CAGTCGTCGTCGCTGCGCTCCTCCTTAGTCGCCCTCACTCCGCTCGCCTCCTCAAATCGCGTTGTCTCTCACCTCGTTGCCTCGGTATTCTAATTTCAATCCCATCGGCATCCTCTTATACCAACGTCGCCTTCGCTTCGCTCGCCTCCTTAGATACCGTTATCGTCGTCGCTTCGCTCGGCTCCATTATCTTCTCTATAGTCGCTCCGCTCCTCTTCTACAAACTCTATTTATATTGTCGTCGCTCCTCCAAATAATCTTTGTTCCTCAGTCGCCTTCACTTAAGGTCGTCGTCGCTGCGCTCCTCCTTAGTCGGCTATCGCCTCCAAATACACTTCTTTCTCACCTCGTTACCTCGGTCTCCTACCCCTAATCCTGGCGAATTAGGGTTTGTCTATGTGCTCTCCTGCTTCCCGTAGCTTTATCCGCGCCTCTCTCACGCTGCTTTGCCTGTTGCTAAGCTTTTAATTCATCCTCCAGTCGTATTTCTGTATTGTCAGTCTTCTATAGGCAAATTTATTTGCCTCGCCGCAGTTCGTACTCTATTTCACCTGTTCCATGACTCTTCTCTCTCCCCTCTTCATCAGCCTCCTCTCTCTCTGGTCGCTGCCGCTCCCTGTCTGCCGTGCTTCTCCGCCGCCCATCTCGCCTTACCATCGCTGCTTGCCGCCTTGTCATCTAACTCACTAATCGTCTCCTCTTTACTTCTCTCCAACCTTACTTCATTCCCCGAAACGCCTTACTTCCACCAGCCACCAATTCATAATACAATTATCTCCTCACTCCCTCACCTTACTCTCCTCTCCCACTGCCTTTTCCGTCGGCCTTCTCCAGCTCCCTGGTGACTGCCCCTCATCCTCCTCTAACCTCTAACCTCGCCTCATAACTCGTCTTTCAGCTCCTCCATCACCCTCTCAGCAGTCTGTCTCCCACCTCGTCGTACCTCCTCGGTGATGCCGTCATCATCCTCTTTCCACGTGCTCTTGACCCTCATTTTCTAGGATCAGGCTCCTCACGTCGCCTTATCTTCAGTCGTCGTCGTCGCAAGCTCCTCCTCCAGTCGCCTTCGCTCCGCTCGGCTCCAGATACACTTGTTTCTCACCTCGTTACCTCGGTCTTCTAATCATCCTCAAGTCGCCTTATCTTCAGTCGTCGTCGCAAGCTCCTCCTCCTCAGTCGCCTTCGCTTCCCTCGGCTCTTTTTCTCGTTTTTTCGTCGGCTTTCGCCTCCTCCAGATAGTCCTGTTACTTGACTCGTTACCTCGTTCCACCTCCTTTTATCAATACTCAGTTGGCTTCCCTTCATTCGCCTCCTTTTCTTTTTCAGTCGTCGTCGCAAGCTCCTCCTCCTCAGTCGCCTTCGCTCCGCTCGGCTCCTTTTGTCCTCCTTTAGTCGGCTGTCGCCTCCTCAGATCGCGTTATTACTCACCTCGTTACCTACTGTAACACCTCCATCCACCTGTTTTGTTGTCGTCGCTACGCTCCTCCAACTGCTCAGATCGCGTTGTTACTCGACTTGTTGCCTCCTTGTTGCAGTCCCGTTTTGTGGATGTTGTCGTCGCTCCTCCAAATATTTCTTGTTCCTCAGTCGCCTTATCTTCAGTCGGCTGCGTTTCACTACGCCTCCTTTTGTCGTCGCTATCACTCCTCTAAATAATCTTGTTATCACGTCGCCATCTTCCATTATCCTTACGTCGCCTTTCTGCCCCTCTCCCCTACTACTCTCGTCCACTCATCTTACTCCATTACCTTGGCTCTATGCCTAGCTCCTACTTTCACCGCCTCCCCAATACATTCCTCATCGCCATCTAAATACACTATTCGACGACCCTACCTGCCCACATTGGCACTGTGCCTACATTAAGGTGCTGCCGTCGTTGCACCTGACATCCATTCGTCAGTGGTAGCACGATGACCTTGGATCTGACGCGGCTAAGGTATGCTATGTGGGCTGGGTGGGGGTGACAGCATGGTTATATGGAACAGCATCGACAAGACTCTCAAGTATATATAAACACCTAACACTGTCAACCTCATTCAGCCTCTAAGCTATAACAACCACAAGTAAACCACCACGCAACACCTAACGCATCAATCTGGCAAAGGGGAAATATACATTAACAATAACAGTTAATGCGACATTTAAATGGCATCTGTTGCGATGTCATTCAACGTGTGCTATATGAAGCTACATCAGGCTCTTAAACGGGAAGGCGGAGTATTCATCAGTGTCCATCTCCTCGTGAATCCTTCCACCGGCAAGATTCGTGGATGCGCCGGAGCTATTAGCCCAGTCAACAAACGTAGCACGCAGTCCGTAATACACCTTGCGGAATGGACCAGGGTACAAACGACAGATGAAAACAATTGCCACTGATACTAGAAGTATGGGGACTCCTATATAGCACCCGCGCCTAAATGCATCTTGGGGGCATAGTTTGCCGCAGTTTGTGCATTTAAAGGTGCATTTGCTGCCGAGGTAAAAAAATTCAGTCTTGTCGCAAGTGCTATCGCTGCATTTGCTAGGTTCTTTGGCGTGTCTGCAGTAATACGTTCCACCGTCATGGCCTGCTTTCTTGCATTCTTCGGAGTGTTGTTCCTTGCCTTCGCAATACCCCTGGCATTTAGTGCCAGGATTACACCACTTACAGCAACTACACATCGCTCCATTGCATCCACAGTTACAGAGGCCACATATACAATCGCCGTACGTTGATTCTTTGCATTTTTCCTTGCAATTCTCACAGCCGCTTTCAGGGCACAGCTTGCCATTTTTGAAAGCCTCCTCACATCCACAGTTACAAAGGCTACATTGACATCTCGTTTGATCTTTGCATTTTTTTCGGCAGTTCGGGCAACCATGCTCAAGGCACTTTTCCCCTCTGATTTCTCCGTCCTGACATCCGCAGTGACAAATAGCACATTGACATGTATCGTTTTGAGTGCAGTTCTTTTTTATGCAGCGTTGACATTTTCCGGGGCAGCAGGTTTCCCACCCTATTGCATAAAACGGTTTATTACATCCTCCACACTTGTTCTTTCCCTCCGCCTTCGCCCCCGCCATCGTCCCTACTCGTTCCATTCACGCGACCGAGAACCTCATGGAACATGCTAGCGCAGCCTCCAGCGCCCCGGTGATATGGCGATGCGACACCTCGGCCGATGCCCCTAACATGTCGCCTAACGGCTGCGCAGGTGAGCACTAACAACAATATGGTTCAATGTATATAACCTATACTTTAGCGTACCGCTTTCGCGGCCGCAATCGGAGACCCGGAATCGTAGCACCGGCTGGGCGCTCGATCCACTGCGTCATCGGGTATTACACAAAAGCATGCGCATGTAGGTGTTCTAGCTGGTGTTGGCCTTGTTCGTTGCTAATGCTTCCAAGTCTACAATTATGTAAACATCATTGCTCGCAGTTTAGTTGAAGTATTACTCTAACGTGAGTGCTGTGTCCGTGATTGTCGCGCATTGTACTAAATTCGCTGACATTTCCAATTACAGCTTCATAACAGCTGTCCACTTGGCCTTGCAGCTTCCGAACTACTATAAGGGTTGCACGTAGCCTGCCTCCATTTGGAGGACGGACGCTTCGGCCGTGACCCCTCCCTGAGGTGGACTCTTGTTTACGCTAAATGTCGTTAGTCCGTCCGATGCTGTGCTACAGATGTGCGTCCAGCGTATATATCATTTTAGAGTTGCGACGTAGTCATCACCCTAATTTTTGTGCGCTCCTCGGATCATTGCGCTGCACCGGCGTCCTAACCTGCGTCTCAGCCAATGTCTCCGCCGCTTGCACGGCCTTGTGGCTGAGTCGATTTTTTTGGTTTTGCGTGTCCTCAATGTATTTAATATTTCTTCCGATATTATTACACTGGCCATTCAACACTCTCTGACCCATTCTTGTTTACCTCTCAATACGACTCTTCACCTCTATGTGCTGCTTAGTGAACATGTCCCTCAGCGCACCCAGAATACTTTTCATGTCATCATCATTTACCGTTGCGTCGAACATTGCAAACAACCATATTAATTAAAGTATTGTAAACGATTTTTGTTTTCCAGGGTTTTTGCCAATTCCACCCAAAGCTCTTTCTGCTTTCCCAGCCCCTTCAAGGTACCGACCACCAATCCCCTCCCGATCTCCCACCTGATCTGTAATTGGCTCACATAACATATTAACAGACATGTTACCATACCTCACGCTTGCAGCATCATTCAAGGGCGTTGTAACATTTTCACCATTCCTTTCCACACCCTGCAGCCAGGCTCTGACACCCTCACTGACGTAGACGATTAGGCTTAAACCCATAGCCAAAGGAGACTCTGACATAACGAATCATTATGCAATCTAGTCGTCATCTCATCTAACATTGCCAGCACTACGTCCTTTTCATGAACCCACACTCCACCGACAACATGCCTATCTAAGGTGCTTGTTCACCTTGTGCATCACAACGTTCATGCTCCTCTCCATGTCGATATAATCAGCCCTCTATGCGCTCCAAATATGGTCTCCACGGCTTCCTATCTTACCGTTTTCTGCTCATAAAACGTCTCCCCCACGGCCCCATCCAGTTAACCGGATGCATGTTGCACCTCTTTTTACGATTACCTCTGTGGAAATGGCATGGCAATTTTTGTAAAAATTTGCGCATCTAGTCAACCTTATTTTACAGTCTGGATTGAGTATTACAAGCCAAATTGGTGCCGTAGTAGATCATATTTGTGTCGCCTAAACATGTAGCCACAGGCTCAGGATGCCAGATGACTGCCAGAGTGAGGCATATGACCTAACATGTGGTCACGACGGTGTGACTCTATGTCAATTGCGCTATGAATACGTTACATAATGACCGTATTGGTGCCGATTACTAAGCTATTTGTGCTGTCATTTAGAGGTGCTAGTGCCACATCACTGTGGCGGTCACGCACCGCTGACATAAATAATCACAAAACACAGCACACAGCGACACATATATATATTTAACCGCTATATTATTTTCTGATGTCAAGCACCTCTAAAGGGCCGTCGTCAAAGTAGTCGACGTCCTTGTAGAGTGAGAGCATCCTGCGGCTGCCGGCGAGCAGCGCCTTGACGTCGACGAGGTGGGAGGCCCTGGTGGTGAGTAGGTGGGAGCGGATGCGCAGCACGTCCATGCGGTAGAGTAGCGAGTGGAGGATGTAGAGCGTGGCGGTGAGCCAGAGCGTGATGATGGTGTAGAGGAAGGGGGCACGGATGTGCCAGAGGAATGTGTCCATACAGGTCATGAGGCTTGCGATAGGCTTTCCGGCGACCACTTGCTTCAACTTGGCGATGACCTTGGAACAGGAGAGTGGCGGCTGCAGCATCCCGTACGGTGGCGTGAACCCGTGATAGTAGAGGAGGGGCAGTGCCTTGGTACTCTGATGGAGGGATTTATCGTCGTGACATTGAAGGTTCTCGAGATCATAGTGCAGCCTGAGCAGTGACTCTCGAAGTCTTTCTGCCAGGTAGGCCGTCCAGCTGAGGTAGTCGTGGACGAAGTCCGGGGAGTACAGGGTGTAGGCCCGGTAGGTGATGGTCTTCATGAGTTGTGGGCAGTTGGAGTTGTCGATGTCGCAGCCAACCAGCGTGGACAGGGTATTGGGATGGCCTTGGTCGTGGTTGTGGTTGGAGTTGGGAGGGGCGGAGCCCCGGATGTCCTGGACGGCTTGTAGATCTTCCTCCCCAAGAAAGTCCCAGTCAGGGCAGTCGTCATGTGCAGTGGAGAGGGCGGAGCCCAGCGTGGACAACGTTGAAGGATGCCTGTGCAGTGAATTCCCGAAATGGTGGAAGAACGATACAAGCTCCCCGGTGGTGCGCGGCGTCCGCCTGGTGAGGCAGTTGAGGTAGGACAATGTCAGCAGGGGGTCATTACCGCCACAGATGGGAGAGAGGATGGTGGAAAGGGTGCCGCCAGTTTCGTGAGTTCCAGGCAAATCCTTCTCCCTGAATCCCATCCTGACACGACTCTTGCAGCAGATATTGCGCGGATCGAAGGGGTGAGTCTTGAACTTGGAGTCGGGGGCGTCAGTCAGGAAGGCCTGGAGGGGGGACATCTTGGCATCACGGCCGTATTGACAATCTCGCCAGCCGCCTTGCGTGGAGTTCCGATTACACTGCGACTTTAGGAACGCCAACTGGTGGCAGCAGGCGTAGACGTAGTCCCGCAGCTGGCAGAGGAGGCAGGCGGGGTCTGAGGAATAACGCAACTTGGAATATTCTGAGCTGAAGTCAGACATTAAAATAGCCTTAGAAGTATCTTTGTGTTTAATCTTGTGGAGAACGCTGGCCGCGTAGAGGCATGCCTGTGTCAGAGTGTTGGAGATATGGGAAGCGGTCAGCTGAGTGGGATCCCCGGTGACCTCTATGGCATCTGAAGGATGGGAAGCATCACTGCTGATGTCCTTAATAATGCCTTCAACGTGCTCCTTAATCTTACTAATATACCCCTTTTGGTTCAATCCGACAAACCAGTAGAGCATCTCCCTGACGGTCTTGAGAAGGGGCAGGTGGTCCGAGTCTGGGGGAGGGGAGGGGGTTGGAATGACGGTAGCGGAGGAGGAATCGGGGACGTACCAGGGGTTACTACACTGATCTGGAGTGGCAAATGCGGGAATGTCACGCCCCGACGTCTTCCTGTCGGGGTCACGAGGGATCCCGGGATCCTCATAGTCCTTAAATCCGAAAGTGCCAGGCGCAAAGTCCAAATCGAAATTGGTATTAGGCAGGCCCGAAAAGCCTTCAGCGGCACCGTACTGCTTTGCCGCATTTTAAAACTCGTCCCGCAGGATATCCTCCGTGTTGGTATAGAGGTCATAGTCCAAATCGTCCACGGGATCCTGCAGCGGGCGATCGGGGACGTCGATGTAGAGGTCATCATCATATATATCTTTTCCATATACACTCTCTTCTGTCCGATCCAAATTTTGTTTTTCAGGTGGTTGAGATATTTCTACGCTGCTTGGGTCCAAGAAGCTATCCATGTCTACCACAGCGGCCTGAAATGGGTCTGGGGGTCGAAACCGCTCATCATCTGTTAGTTTTGTCGGCCGGACGATATCTAAGAATACTGGAGGCTCAGACGAGTGAGGAGCATGCTGACTAGGAATATCAAGAGCGTCAGCATCGGCAACTGGATGAACATTCCGGGTGGAGATGCGGAGATCGATATCGGTAGTTGGCACGTGATCGTAATCCTCAATTCTAACGCTTCGAGGAATAATATCAACGTCGCCCCCTCCAAATAGGTCTTTGTGTTTCTTTTGCTGATCTATTGCGTTGGACATTAATTGCTTCTGTTTCCAATCCTCTTCATCAATCCTACGCTGCTCTTCCAGCTCTTTTTCCTTCTGCGCGATTTCCCATTCGCGTTGCTCATCTCTGTATCTCTTCGCATCCAGAACATTTGCCAGATCGTTCTGAATTTTGGCGACAGAATTCGATTGCTCTTTGATGTGGGAGTAATCTTGCAACGGTGCGCCGTCGAGATCAATCATGGCATCAACAGCCTCATCCCAACCAACTTTTTGCGAACTTTCATGAGGCTTGAACCCATCTAAATTGGCCTTGTATAATTTTTTTTCATTATGTTCATAGATGGTTCGCAACGCCTCTTGAGATTTAAAGTCTACCTCTCCATCCCGAAATGCTTGTAGTGTATCCGGCAACTCCTGCCCAGTTGTAGAGAATGATGGAATGGAGTCCGCTTCAAACATCGGGTCAGAAGACATATCTTCCACCACTGTACTATCTGCAAATATATCAAACGTAACATTCTGACTCCCCTCCTCCGCATCCCTCTCCTGTGTCTCAACGGGCGGACGCCCTTGACCACGCCGGCCATCGGTAGGCTGAAGGGGAGGAACGGGAACGGGACGGCTAGGAGGATTTCGTAGGTTGGGAGGAATTGTCGATTGGAGAGTTTTAGAAGATTTTGGTTTATATTCTGTCAATGTTTTCTTTTGGGATTCCCATACGTCATCAAGGGTCTCCTCAGACAGAAACGGAGTACGCATGATTGATTTTGGCTGGCAAATGTAACCTTGGTCATTAAGAACAGTAATTTCTTCAACTCCATTAGGACACCTCGAACGTTTAGGCGGAGCTCCTCCAGCTCCACTCCCACCTGCACCAGGCGCCGGGACAACCGACGTAGCAGCGACGCTGCTTGAATTGTGATCGGCGCTAGGACTTGTTGGTTTACCACTTTGTTGTCCAGCCCCTCCACCACCTGGTTGACCAGCCCCGTGGACAACAGTTGGCCTAGGGCTTGAACCTGAAGCACTCGGAGCCTGACTGAGCACAGCAGTTGAAGAGGCAGCAGGGTGTATACTTGGAGCAGCAGTGTTCGACGGATCCTGACCCTGGTCACTGGCTCCAGGAAAAGGCGGAGACCCTGCTGGGTCTGTAGTTCCAGTTGGACCAGAAGCTGCAACAGATGTGACTGACGGACCTGGACCTTTAGGCCCTTGGGGGCCTGAGGCTCCTGGATTACTGGGAGGCTGAGATGGAACAGCAGACTTCACCTCTGGTAAAGGTGAATTTCCCTCAGATTTCTTGCCCTGGTTCTGTGCTCCCTCAGATTTCTTCCCCTGGTTGGGAGTTCCGTCGGGAACCTTGGCAGGCGGGACCTCAGGCTTTTTAGGCGGCACAACCGGAACTTTCTTTTCCGCCACAACTTCCTTGGGGGCGTCTGGACACGAATTTCTATACGTTCCATTCAAAATGTCTTTAAGCCTATCCAAATCGCCGTCAGTCCCTCTCTTAAGCTCATTGATTACACTTGACAAATCCCCCAACAAAGCCCGCACATCACTGTCCGACAAATGGAAGCGCTCTCTAAACCTGAATCCGTATGGGAAGAAATTTCTCGTGAAATAATCTCCAAGCTGATTTTGCTGCATTTTCAAGACGCTGTCATCTGTATTAATATTCTGCAATTTCCCCCTCACTTGGTTCAGATTCTCTCTCAACCAATTTGCTGTGTGCCTCGCCAACTCATCTTTATTGAGGTTTTTGGTTTCCGTTGCTTGGCCTGTGAAGTCAAAGCGTTTCTGAGTGTTGAAGAGTGTGCCGAGTTTTGTTCTAAGCTGAGTGCAATGCTTTTTTAGGTCATCCCAGCATATGGATTTTTTGGTGGCTAACTTATTAAGGCCAGCTTCCAACGCTGCTTTCAGACTTCCGCCGTCCTTTGACGTATCATTTTTTACAATATCGCAAAAGGTTCTCACCAATGAGAGAGCGTTCGCAGTGTTCTCCCTATGGGTGCCAGTGTCTGCAACAGCGGAAGTGACAAACACGCTGCGGAAATAATTGTAATTCCCTTTGCTCACTATATTTGCAAGGTCTCCAGCCATGCTATAACCCTGGTAGTAACTATACCAAAATGTCCTGTATTGCACCTCGTTTTTACCGAACCCACCGGGTAGCAACCCTGGGATATTGTGGTACTTACCTTCGTCCACAGTGGATCTGAGATATCTCTGCAGGTCACCGCCGGACTGAGGGTACCCGAAATACCACCGATCCTCTTCCCACCCTGGAAAATCCTTTTCCCAACCACCGCCGCCCAGAGATCCGAAGGTATTATTTATGCAGTACTCTAAAAAGTATATGGCAGCGAGGAACTTGGGAGTGCATTCCAGGAGAGCACTGCATATTTGTTCTGCACTCTTGTCGTTATAGTTTCCTGCAGCTGGATCGTTGCATAACCTCTCATAAAACTTTGACACGGCGGAGAGGAATGGGGACAAGCCCTTTTTAACGTCATCAATTTTAAGATAGTTGGCAGTGTAATACTGCTGAATACGATTATACAAACTTTGGGCCACCTCCCCTTGCTTAGCAGCACTTTGATGCAGCCATTGCAAGAACTGCAGACACTGCTTGAGAGTGCCAAGCGGAACTCCGTGAGCCTCCATCTTGCTTACGAATTCTCTCAGCACAAAGACACTAATAAATGGGCACTAGGCTACTGGTACAAAAGCACAAGTGAAAGCGTTTAAATGGTTAACTAGGAGACACTAAAGTGATAAAACCTCCAAGGTTACATCACTGCTTCCAGATAACCAAGACGCTCCCGAGATGCTTGCAACGTTATCAATTGCGGTGTCATGTTTATGCTCAGATCTCCTGTTTCATAAGGTTGTGCGTATGTTTCCTTAACCATGTTCACAGATATTTTGATGTCACCATCCTCACTGATCCACTGCTCCAACTCCATAACATGGATGTCCAGCGTCTTACTAACTTGCTTAAGCTGAGCTAAGAGGTTACCAACCAAGGCTTCAAAATGCCGAGGAAATAAGTAACTGCCTTGCAAACCAGTGTGTTTATGTGGTCTCGGGCGTTGATGAGAGCGTGCTTAATAAAGGCGTCGCAGGTGAGGGATGGGTGACGACGGCAGGAGTGAGGGGAGTGGCGTGACATGTGGTCAAAAAGCCAGTGGCGGAAGTGGATGTGGGTGCGCATTGATGAGATAGGGGATTGACTGGATATTTATTTTTGGGCGTTTTGCTTTTAATGTTTACAGGAACCAGATGATCTGGGTTGTGCACGGACGAGGTTCAGAGGGGGACGATGGTAGTAGCAAAATTGGAAAATGTTTCTGAGTCAACTCCCTAGGCTGTATGCCAGAACATGATAGCCTTTGGACTCTAGTAAGATAGCTTTCGACGTCACGCGGCCACGTGATGCCATGTGGGTTCGTGGTAAGTGAGAGAATATGTAAAATAAAACAGCACTGAGATGCCATTACGTATGCGCCAATATAGCACGCTACCAACAGTGGTACATGGCTCTCAACTGCCAAAAAGTGTGTAGCGTTGCCAGACCCACTCAGCCATTACATGGCAGTGACCATCAGATGTCAAAACCCAGCTTGCAACGAGATAACTAAACAGGCAACACCCCAAGTGCACTAAAACTAGACGGTTGTTGTGACACTTGAAATGGCAGTTGTCGCCATATAAGCAATATGCGTCCACCACGTGAAGCTACATTATGTCCTTTGACGGGGGGCCGTCGCAACTGTCACATCCTCAAACACACCAGCTACACCAGTCACGAACTGCATAACTACATTTACAGCTACATTGAAGCATACGTTCTGCATTTAATGGCAATGGAGACAGCCGGCATAACTCTACGTGCTGCCCAGCATACAAGATGCGTTAGCTGAACGTCGGCTAAGGCACGCTCGCACAGCAGCGTCGCCCAGGGTCTTCTTCGTGTTGGTGCAACCGTTACCGTTAGCATTGTGGTGAAAGACGCACGCCCCTTACATTTACCGGCACGCAGCAAAGGTGTCCGATATTCTCATGTGCTCGAAACTCAAGCACTCTGAATGTATTTATAGATATATTCATATTCCACCGCCACTTACTTGGGTCATGATTTTTAATTTTAATGCAGTTCCCCTGCGTCTTCCCCTTCTGTGCCTTGTATTGGCAAATCCGGCGGTAATACTTCAATTGCCTTTTCCTCCGTCGTTCTCTTACTATACACCCTTTCCGCCCTTTCTTTTTGCCATACTACATTTTTTTCCTCAACAACCTTCTTATCCTCCTTGTACCTGCCAAATAGCGCACCGTAGCAAGCGATGTTGAGCAGTGAGCCTATCACGATGATGTACATGGTCGACTTCCTCAGGGCCTCGGTGTTTCTATCTTTCATACCATCATCCATGGCTTCGAGTGGCTTGTTAGAGGGGACGTAGCCGTGCAGCTTCTCTGACACCCACGCGAAGATCTCGACGAAGCTGACGCTAATCGAGATGCCGGATATGCACTGGATTATGGCGGACGCCGTAGCCTGGTACTTGTCCTCGATTGCCTTCCTCATAATAGGTCTATCCACGCCACCGACCGTTACCAACGTCGCCCCGAGAATCGCAAACTCTATGTAGTGATACCACAGCAAACGTCCGTCCGGCGCCGGGGACATGAAGAACAAGAGGCACACGATTAATCGGACGCCCATCACGACGATGCCGGCAATCAGTTCGCCATAGTCCTTATGAGTACTTGTAATCTTGTCAATAACAATCCCTCCAGCCGCAGTTCCCGCCGCACCGCCAATCGTCGTTACCACGATCGCAACGCCCACCTTCAGATCAGACACTCCCAAGTACTCCAAATACGTGATCATGTACGGCAGGGTGCACATCGGAGCCTCCGCGATCAGCATCGTAAAGATGGACAGAAACGCTGACCACGACGCAAAAACCGCTTTAAAAGCACCTGATATTTGCTCGGTGAATTTCTGTATGGATTCATAAGGAGTGCTGATGTCCTCCTTGGTCTGCATCGCAAATATAATTGCAATACCAATTGATATCCACACGTATCCCAACACAATGTACGAGACACGCCAGCCAATATATCCCAGCAAGATATTTTGAGCGGCCTCCGTGGTTAAGACGGCACACAGCATACGGCCGATGGTATTCAGGGCGTGAAGGCGGGTGAACGTACTGCTGCTGTTCGAACCATCATCTTCTGAATCCGATATGATCTTTTGCTGCACAGGGTACACGCAACCGAACGCAGCACCGTGTAGGAAGCGCAGGAAAAGGATCTGTAGACACATAAGCAATAAAGCACTTCAAACCTACCGCGGAGTAGTGTGAGGCAGAGCTCAGAAATATTGAGGCGATGCCCATGAACAACAACCCAGCAGCCAACACGAGGTTAGTCTCAAATGCGTCTGCCAGCAGTCCCCAAACTAATGAGCAGCACATGCGCGACATGATAGACACGGTCACCAACATCGTCAGCTGCCGCTTGGAAAACTTCAAAGTTGACTGGAAGGTCCTAACACACATGTACAACACCTGCTGCTCGTAGCCCTCCGTGAACGACACCAGGTGGTAAAGGACCTGGCCAAAGACGCCATAGTCCGCGTTTACTTTCTTTGATGCTGTAGGTTCTGCAGAATCTGAGGATCCAGCAGACTGTGAAGATGATAGCCCAGACATTGTTAGAGAGTGATCCGGGCCTGGCATCCTCCGAACGTTTTTAGAATCAACCACGATGTGTAGCGCGTAGCACGTGGATCAAAACTTGAACAGCTACATTAGACATGTATTGCATCATCTTGTACGGCCTTCACTGCGATACGAATGCCCTGAACGAAATTGACCGGAATATATCACATGGGACATATAATGCAATTACCATAAACGACATCGCTATGTGCACATTGCCTTAGACCCCCAAAACAACGCATGGATATCTACCTGAAACTGAGGGTCCTACAGCAGTGACTCTTCATCGTGCGTGAGTAGAATGTGTACATGTGGATTCGTGCAACCTATGCCCACCCAAGTCTACGAACCGCTCCAATTGACGCCACAATACTTCCGTCGCCGCCACTGCCAAAGCGTGTGATGTGAATTCAGTGACAGCCGACGAATCTCTGTAGCCATTAGATGACGGTGTCTGGCAAACACATCGGCGCGGATGGAAGCTCTGCTTCGGCGCCTCGATGGTTGCTGCGGTAGGTGGGCGACGCAGGAGTGGGGACAGTGAACGCGACGGACTCGTGATTAGTCAGCGCCGCGCTCACCATGTGCGACGTCACGCACTTGCTATGAACGTCAATTACTGTTCTAGGTGCCGCTTTTCCTTCGCGTCCTGCGACCCTCTGCCGGGAAAACTTGTGAGATGGGCGCATGTGTATAGTATCTGTGCCGTGGCATGCAGATCAACTGGCATCACAGTTGCGCAGTCAACTACACCCGGCACGGACCGTGTCGCCTTGTATACGTCAGTTAGTCCCGCTATATTGGTGCGCTAGTGAGTGGCTAGATGAGCTGCAGTGCGATTTTTGTATGACAATGAACGCCACAACGTTTTCGACAAATGCCACTTAACTACGCCGTACACCGGCCATCACGTCGAAAAGTCCCGGCTACATTCATTGCCTAGCAACGCACATGATAACATATATGCAAATCACTTACTTAGCAGATGGTATAATCCTTCACCTATAACGGCAGTCGTTAATTGTTGGGGTTCACCGTCCGCCTAGTTACGCGTCGCCTTATTTAAATCCCTCGTTATCCATGTACGCGTGCAGCCCAAGCATTGCCGTAGGTTGTAATATTTAATCAGCGTGCGTTCCCAACGTATTTTAATGGGTGACATCTATACCGCTAGTAAGGTTAAGGACAGTTTAAGCGTGGACAGAGGGCTGTGGACTGCCCCATACCATTGTTTCAAATGTCGAATAAATCATCATTACACTCCACATAATTCACAGTTTAAATACTCCACTAAGTATCTTCATGTGTTTGCCGTCTTTAATAAACTCACCTAACTGTTTCGTAGCATTTTGGTTGGGCAAATGGAGAGCATCCAGCCAGTTACCAATCCCAGTGTTGATATATGTAATTACCACCCTAAACTGTCCTCGAACATATATTCTGATTCATCTTACTATAGCATGAATGATGTAGGACGGGTCCATGCTTAGTCGAGGTGATGCCACCTTCCTAATTGCGTCTGCCGGCGATATGTCGACACTGGATGATTAATTATAAAACTATGACGTGAAGAAGATCCCTCATGTTGGGGCTAAAACGAGTTAGCAAAAGGCACATGTGACGCCCAACGCAGGGTATCCATATGCGTGACATCCATTACGACACGACTCACATGAACACGCCGAGGTGACTGCTGGAGGATGGACGCGCTGACTGCGTTAGTGCATATTAAAAATACAATGCAAAACAGCAGAGCACATATAATTTTGCTATAAGTGGTGCATTAGGCCTAAAGTTGTGCAAGTAATTCCCACGTAAAAAGGCTATAGTGCCGTTTATTGCGATGGTACCGGGCCTAGGGGCTGGAGCGCCAGAAATGCCTAACTATATACAAACACGGATGGCATCGCGCACGTCTTACAATGAAGCAGGCTTGGCGATTTTACACCCGCTTCTCTTGCTCTCTCCACTAATCCCTCATTCATCGCCTCGTAACCTTGTGACTTAACTCTCCTGTAACACCTCAGCCTCACGTGCTGATCCGAGTTTCCTTAAGACACGTTTATTCACCAGCAACATGCCGCAGCAGCGTGACGCGCTAGCATAGTAAACACGAAAACCGATCCAAGGCACACGTATCCAGATAGCACACTAAATCAAGCAAAAACAAAAAGATGTATCAAGAGTGTGCTCCACGGATATCATAATCGCATTGTAGATACTTCCTGTTCTATTAGTTTAGACCCCCCTAAGGAGTACGTGTAGCTCTTGTCATCCCCAGCCCTGACCCATCTACATGATTTATTTGGCTTCTGTTCTACCGCTCTTATTGGCACAGATTTGCAGAAGAACCCCGCATTTTTTGTATCGTAGAGGAACTTGTAGAAGTGGCCTGTAGTTGCGTCGCCCTTGTTCCTAATGATGCGGCTCATAAGTATATACAGTCCCTCTTCCCCCACACCCACAATACATTTACCGCCAAACGATTCTGTATCTTCCGCCCACACGGAAGCATCTATAATAAACGCATCTATATCCATTCGGTATCTTTGGTATTTGTTTAAGAGTGTGATTTCTGTTTTCTTTCCTCCACTCTGCGATATAACTTGTTTGCATTCAAAACTAAGGGTTATCTTGTGTGGCGTATTGTACTCTAAGAGTTTTAACCAATAAGTGATATGTATCAGTTCCACCCCATCTCCCGCCTCTTTAGTTACAGCTGGAGGCGAGACTCTGTTAACAAGAGAAATACCGTCCTCTGTCTCCATGTATATCTCAACAAGAGGGATGCCGCGATATAGAAAACGATTTGTGTAGCTTTGTTCTTGATTTTTAATACCATGAGGCAATATCATTGCTCTAACTTTACTACCGTGTACGCATTTTGAAACGTACCCGGCGTACATGTGAGAAAGTTTGACCATTCCGTTTCGGTTGATGTCCATGTTTATTTTCGTCGTGTAGTTCGCCGATTTATGGAACGTGTCTTCTTCAACAGCGTTAATGACATTGCCGTTTTCATTCATAGTTATTTGGTGCATAACGCCCGTCAAATGACGCATTTTGGCGTCGTACATGAACGTGTAGAGCGCCGCTTTCCCCTTCGATTTATCTTCCAACCTGGTCTGATGTATAACACATTGTGTTTCACTTCCGACACGCGTATCAGTTTTACATACAGGAACAGAGGCTAAATGCATGAAGTTATTTTGTCCCGATGCCCTAAGGTTGATGCATGTTTTTGTAACTTCAAATCGCACGATGATAGCTTCTGGAGAGGTACTTCCTGGAATACCCAGTTGATACACAACAGTTATATGATGGGTTTCATTTTCTAGATGTGCCGCAACATAACTGCTTGCATCTTCAGACAACAAGTTAATGCCCGTTATAGACTGCAACTTGGGTATGACTAGCGTCCGTTTTATTCCGTTGAGCAGATAGTATACCGCATTTAACCCATTTGAAGGCCTATTCAACGTACCGAATGGCATAACAGCTACAGAGTAAGCATCAGTCCCATCAGTTGTGACATTACCCGCATGTTTCGGATGCAGGGTAGGTGCGTGCCACTCGTTCTTGAAACCTAAAAATACGCTTGCCACGTTTGAGCTAGTTATTGGCCTATCAAAAAGCTTATAATCCATGCCATCGCAACCGTAAGATCCATCCACATATTCTACGTATCTTTTCATTGCAATGATAGCTTTATTCGTTGTGTCATATAATACACTGTACAGAATGTGGTCTTTCGACCCATTTTGCAGTGATAACAATAGATGTTCGATGACCTGAAACTTTCCGTTGGAAGTATTTATGAGTTTAATTTCCTTCAAGGTCTTATAAGAGTCGCCTGTGCAAGGGTCTATACGATATTCTGCATAGTTCTCAGGCGTAACATGGTGACAGCGGTCGATATCCGTATCATCTATAGGCTCCCCGGTTTGAGCGTCAACTTTAAAAATTATTTTTTGTTCGATGTCAACTTCTGCAATCCTCATGGTGAATTGCGACTCCATAATGTAGGTGTCACTTTCGTCCAGTTTTCGAAAAATCAGTTTGCTATCCTCATCGTGCGCAAGAAGTGCCACACCTTGACAATTTTGCAACCATACGCGTATTAACGGGCGACCATTGATATACACGTTTCCTAGATGATAATTATACCACCTTGATTTTGGCTGAGTCATAATCTGTACTAGGTCACGTTGCGTAAGTTTTAGTTGCATTTTTGCTTTCCGCATATTCATCCGTTCCGGTATATTGTCTTCAGATTGGTATGAGGTGAGTCCTTCACTCGCAGTGCCCGACCCAGGTCCACGTTCCCGATCAACGCATGCTGCTGCGCTCGACGAATCAACTTCTGATCGATGACCATCGTTAGGAATGTAGCAAAGGTTGATCGGGTAGGTCCTGTAGTACTTCTGGTACGGTATAGAAAGTGCGTAATCATTTAGTCTTTGGCTTCTTGCTACCTGATAGATTACTAACAATGCGCATACAGCACCTAAATGAAGAAGCGTCCACGGTTGCGCCTGAATCGGTAAACCGCTGCTAAGCGCCATGACTATTGCAGACACATAGGTGGAAAGCGATGGGCAATATAACCTTCGAAAACAAATGTGTAAATTGGTGCCGTATAACTACTAGGGTTGTGCTGTACTACGTGTACCGTACGTAATACCCATGGCGCCGCCGCCGAAGAACACACACTGAGATATGGCCACGGAAAGTGACCATACTTCGTGTTTCCCAATGCCTCCATTGCTGGAGGTCGTGTTTTATTGTTTACGATACACGTGGTACACGCAAGGTTAGGTTGTATGTGTAGATTCTAGCTAAGCGCTGCAATAGTGCACCTTTTCGACTTGCAACATAGGTATATACCGTCTAATTGCGCCTGCAGCATGCCTGCACTAGCAATTTGGTACAATTCCCGGGCTGCTCAGCGATACACGTCGAACTCAAGTTTTTTGCATCTCCATCTCAAAGTGCTTCAAAACACCCAGAGCAAAATGAAATATCATACTTGTAGATACGTCGCTTACCTAATCTTTTATTAGACAATGCATAGAATCACTGTGTGCCGAAGCAAACGGAACCAGTTAAGCCGCATTTGTAGCGCCGCTGCGGAGAAGCAAATTCATGACACTTAGGGCTCACACATTTACAAATAAACTTAATCACGTACAATACGGACAAAAGTCTAACCGGTTAGAGAAGGATGCGAAACAGTATGTGTAGCCACCGTAACCTCTCTGTGAACGGTTCGTATAGCTGTTCATATAAGATTAACTGAGCTTTCCCATCGGCACATCATTTGCTCCTATATATACCTACAATACGCTAAAAGCAAATCTGTGTTTTTGCCAGATTTACCGAGGATGTTTGTCACTGCTTGTCTGTGCAGGCTTCCAGCGTTTTCGGTTCATATTATCTTAAACGACAGATACGCGTGTGTTGTATCGCCCATATATACCACATTTATAAAATTCGTGCTATTATCTTAGATTCCTTCATCGACGACCCATATGCCGGCATCAGGCTGCTGCCGGCAACCGTTGACGCATGGATGCATTCCTGGGAAAGAATTGACGTTTGGTGTTTTGTACTTATTAATTTAAACTCTAAATATCCGGCAATTTAAAAAATAAATCGCCGTTGTTTCCGGCACCTTCCGTTCGCGAAGTCCTATACGGGGTCGCGTCCTTCCACGCTTTTTCCCTCACGTATATGTAGTATATACAGTTCAAGATGAAACCAGTCGCGCCAGTTGTTCTATGTACATTGTGGCTATCTCTGGTATCACAAATATGTGAAGCCCTTCCCGGCGGTAATATTCGTGATACCGGCGATGTCGCCGGCGACTCTAGCCAAATAGCTGAAAGCAAAGAGGGAAAAGCGATCGGAGAAGGTGAATATTGCCCTATTCCGAGAATGGAAAGCATAAATCCCGTGTGGGACCCTGAAGTGATTTATGCAGAAAGGGAGGGCAAGCTCAGCGATTTCGACAAAAAGTTCTACAAGTTCTGGAAGGGGGCTTTTGCTGCTGGCAGATTTGGCGGCATGAAACTTTGGGGACTTTTGGCATCTATGGGCGACTCGGTTTTGAACACCTTGGATAGCCTTGGTATCTCCAAACTAATGGAGAAGGCCGACCAAGAGAACTATTACATGTTCAACGACTATGAGGATGAGTTTGACACCTATATGGACGAAACATCAACGGATTATCTTGAAAAGAAGAAGGCAGAGCTAGCTGCATCGGGTTCGGATTGAACAGACTTACAACAACGGAACTCAATGCGCATACGAAGCCGCTACACATAACAACCGCGGTCGCTCATATACACCATCGTTAACTGTCCGTTTGTGCCCTGTTATATTGGTTGGGGGTGTGAGGAAGACTGGATACCGGCATCCTTCCGAGAGGTGTCGGTTTTGTGGATAACTGTTGTTTGCCGTGCTTTCATATAGTTTTTGGCCATGTTAGGGAATTGTCTTGTAATGGTGAGGACCGGGCTGCGCCCCGGTGTCTTGATCGTAGCACGATCGAAGAACGAGCGATACATGAAGTCCGAACCGCCGTTAATCAACTACAGTACCGACACCGTCACACAGTAAGGAGGCCAGTGTGTTATTTCAGACGCACATGTAACATTATCGAGAACCTAAATGTAATACACGCCCATAACGATTCACAAATCCTAACACCTTTTCCCTGTTAGCCACTTATGTTATCTGTCTGTTTTACTTTATAGAAGCGGTTTGGCGCTGGCGATGTAACTGTGGAACGGTTGTACTTGCACACATAAAGCTCCGGTAACGGTTTTGATCGTTCGCTGAATGTATTATGCAGGCAAATAGTAAATCCACAGCCACATCACATTGTATGATCGGTAGTTACATCCATGTAACGTGTCTGGTCGCAATTTATGAACAATCCATCGTAGAGCATCGCTCTCCGCGCCACGGCCCCCATGAGCGTTTGGTGTTTTGTTGACGTTAACAACTCCTTTTTATTATCCGTGTAATTAACCCTTAATTTTATTAACACGTCGTGTTGAAATTAGGTGGTTGTTCGCGGCGAAGGTTGTGGAGGTTTCGTTGTTGACCTGTTACGCTGTTTTCCTAACCGGGGTGTCTTTCACGCCCTTATTAGGTTAATGCAGTACTTGATTCGCTCATAATTGGCGTGTTGCCTTCTATGACGAGTGGATCGGTTGGGGAGTGATTTTTGTCCGCTTCGGTTGCGGCTGACGGTATTCGTCGTGCGTTATGCTTTATGGGTACTCCGTTTATCCAAAACGGACCCAAGCTTCCTTTAACTGATTATGTACATGCATATGTCGTGTTGAATCGCTAATTGTTGCACTATGGACCGCAGTGGAAAGGCTTCGAGGCATGGCCACTCCCGTAGGTATGTCATGCCACCTGCTCAGTCGCCTGTCTAGCCACATTCCTACTTTGATTTCTAATGATGTTCAGAAAGCCGAAGGTCCACGGGAGTGATCACCATCGCATGCTTAACTTTAAGCAGTTCATTATGATGAGGGTACGCCTGTTGTCCATTTTGTCGACATTTTTATAGGAAGATGAAATATCGCCCGAGGAAGCCGCCGAGGAGTACCGCAAGTATTTCCAAGAGTTCCTGTCGAATGAGATCCGCCGCTATTATGACATGTACGAGGTGTGGTTTTGTATACTGATTATCTGACCCCTATCAGCACCTCGCTTTTTTCCGGGAAAAGTTCCATCCCTACTATTTGCATATCGACCATGAAATTACTAAAGTGGACGTTGTGAACAGCAACCGAGACTTCGTACTGGTTGGTGTTTTGTGATTTTGCTTGTGACCAAGACCAGAAATACACCAATGGGCACTTCGAGGAGCTTTTGCTCGAGATAAGCTTCAAGCGTTTGTACGGCGGTTCATCGTCCGACGTTAACAGTGCCCCGAGCGAGGCACCTTACAAGTATTCGGAATGGGCCTACGAGATCCCCGTTGAGTATCCCAAGGATGACACGCACACCAAGAGGCTGCCTATAGAGTAAGTGTGCGTTGGCGACTTTCTATATTACCCAGTTCCCCTCTGCTGTCTGTGCTTCTGGTTGACGTTCCGGACAAGGTTTTTAAGCACGAGATCCAGAACGCTCTGAAGGTACGCAGGCGGTAGTCGTGTCGCATGTCTCTCAGCCTCATCTGGAACGTTTTTCCATATACATGGCGGAACGTGACTTGGTTCGTACGGCGTTTATTAGCGTGGATGAATGCGACCTGACTAAGTTGAGCGAGACGCTGAATGGGAACCGTTTGACGTGAGTGCGCCGCGCATACCTGTATAGTTTTTAGCGTTCAGGAATTCCTGCTACGTTTTGAGCCATGCAATCCGCTACAAGAGCGTGTTCGCGTGCGTGTATGCCCGCCTGTTTGTTCACACCCAATTATTGTTGCCCGGGACGTTGAGATTACTGGTCGTATAATTCGCAAGCTGGGTATGTTCCCATCGACGAGAAATAAAATGCCCTGCTGCAGATGCCGACTTTTGCGATTCTGGAACCTCCTTTGTAGATATGCTGCCAGCTGATATTGACATTAAGAAGTTGGTAAACATTGTTGGTATCATAATGAGCAATCAGGCGTTTGGACCTTCACCTGACGTACCTGCGAAAGGTGCACAGCTATTGCTACTACGGCCGCATCGTTAGTTATCCGTGTTGCGTTTTGACTGAGGCGTTAGAAAGCCAAGAGTTACATTGATTTATGGGATTTGTGCGGTCCCGGACACGTCCGTGTCGACCTCAGTAGCGCGTTGTACGAGAAGGAGACGGGACTTACCACCAACCACGTCGCTGTAAAATATGCATCATGGGAGACCGCTAAGAAGGGCAGAGCGTTGATGGAGGGCCCCATTCGTGATTGGGAGAAGGAACTCACGGCTTCCTGCGATGTGTCGACTCATCAGCTTCAGTGGCTGCGTGACGTTGAATCTTTTGCGGAGCACCTGCTGAGCTGCGATTTGAATCCTCCGGCATATGTGCGGGATGATGATGAAATAGAGGACAAGTGGAAACAGTTTTGCAACATCAATACTTTGGTTGATGGTCCGGAGCGCTTCCGTTGCAATTTATGCCACAAGCTTTTCAACGACGCGAAGTTCGTGTGGAAGCACCTTAAGTTGAAACATGTAGACTGTTATGACAAGATAGTGATAGAGTGCGGTTTGCCGCAAATGAAGGAGATTTTCACGGGATCCCACAAGGCGGCGCGATGCAACCCTTTTGAGCGGCTCCTTAGCGTTCCTGTGGTACAGCCGCTTTACGACGACGTGGATGCACCCTCTTTTGAGCGAAACGGCCTGTCTGACTCTCGTAACAGCACGAGATTGGAGGCCAACAATAAGCGTCGTCGTCGGGAATACTTTGACTTCGACCGCCCTCAGCCCAAGCGCGTACGTTTTTCATTGATTGATTTGTCATTGGTTGCAGGAGCACACTATGTTTTTCGCGCAAGACGATTATTCGCGCCCGTCAGTGAAGTATGACGATCTGTGATTGTAGCGTAGTATGGCCGGCTTTGTCGCCGAGCCCGCAGCACCAAGTTGCTAATCGTAATATTGTATTTCTTTGTGCAACATCATCGATATTTGAGTCTGCAGTGTCTGGATGCCTATGTGAGGTGTTGTGGGCCTTTTGTAGACGTATTGCGACCCTGCTGCGCATGTACGTAGTACCAGGCATCGCCCGTTCCGGTGGTGGCATACATATTCTCATCCAGTATGTCCTTCAGTTCCCTGAGAAACATCTGTTGCGAAGTTCATTCCGCTAACTCAAGTGTCTTATGCAGTCTGAAATTGTACAGTTCGCGGAGATAGCCGGACGTTCCTAAGTAGACGGTTCCCTGTGCCCGATTTTTGCCCCCATTGTCTGTCTGACCTTTTCCGTGGTGATGTTTATGTTTTTTGAATTAGTGATGGATTTGATTTGGTTAACCAATTGCTGTAGTGTTTGGTTGCGGTCTGTTTGTAGGGTGATAACCTTGCAGTTGCATAGCGTGCAGTCCTGCGCCCGTTGCGCTGTTATTCCTCTTCAGTTTACCTTTTGTTTCTGCATGGTGAAGCTGTCTAGTACCGTGTTGCCGTCTCCGCTGTAGAAATAGAAGTTCTTGACGGTGTCACGATTTATGGCCACATGCGCAATTATTGCAGCTATGATGGCGTTGGTAGTGTTAACGTTGATTGCGTCCCTCTGCTTTTCATAACCAGCATGGCGAGCATTACTCACGTTCAGGATCCTGCGCACCATATCCATGGTTACCGCGCAAATTCCATTAGTATTTGCATATTGATATGCCTTCTCGTATACACGCTCCACGATTTCTGCGTGATGCATGCCCTGCAACGTAAAGGTGCATTTAGTTTTGACGGGACTGTTACCTCCACACGCTCACTTGTGAAATCCCCAAATGCCTCGCTAATGACGTATCCTGCGCGAATGTGACGATTGAGTTACATTTTCATCCACTCACTGACGCAGTCCTCCGGCGACTTGGGTTGCCTCGGTATTGAGCAAGAGGGTTGTTCAGCCTGTTTTGAAATTGTATACGGCGCTATCGTATATGATGCCCTACTTTTTCACTGAATAGAGGCAGCGAACACTCAAGGCAGGGCTGGTCGCGCCCGCTCACAACTCTCACATGGCCATAGAGTTCTTGTGATCCCCCATCTATGAGTATAGGGAGCGCTCTTTCCACTTGTTGCGAATCGTGCTTCATATCCTCGATGCGTTGCTGCCATATGACCATTGTGGCAAGGTTGATCCACCTTCTTGCCTCTACATTGTCCACAGCTGAAATTATGACGTCGAACTTTGCGATCGTTGTAAGCGGCACATATTGTATTGCCTGAGTAATGCTACGAAATGTATTAGTTCGTATTAGAGGAATTTCAGATACGACGCGGCTGGTACAGTATTACTTACTAGTTCGCGGTGATAAGTTTGCTATGCTCCGTGATTCTCTGTGCAGCTACTTGCGCTTTGTACATGCCGACATCATTGTGCCTACATAGATAATACATTTCAACAAGTGTGCAACATGCAGTTTCAGTTTGCACCAAGCCTACCTGTAGAGGAACTGCCGCGTTAGATTGTGTAGCTCAATTGTGTCAGGATCGACAATCGTTATGTTTCGTGCACCAAGAATGGCTAGATTCTTTATGATTTCACAACCTATGCTCTCCATATATCGATTGTTAACTAGGCATATTAATTGTGCACAGTGTTTTCTGCGCCATTGCGGCTCTACCTTATGTCTTACCTAACCCTCCTGCTCCAACTAGCATGACGTTTGAGCTTGGCGTGTCTTCCATCACACCATGCTTCCATACTCATATATGCGCCATATGAACATGGGTCTGCAGTACCTTCCAGCTGTTTCAGGCCAATGACCGCTAGTCAGCCGATTTGATATCGCTTAGTGTGTCACTATCACCCATGGTGTCACGACTACGCTTAAGAACGAGGAAGATGACCGATAACCTCACTATCGGCAAGTGACAATCGTTATATGCGCAATGTGTTACAGCGTGTTAGGCGATCAGCCTGTTGGATCCCTAGAGAAGCGTTACGAGAGATGTTCGACCAGCCGGCACCAATCGACTCGTGCACACCGCCATAGATTGGCGGCAAAAATTTACTCATTGCAATCAATAAAGCTACGCAAAACGACACGGTGTGCAGCGTAACGGACTAACACCTCAAGGAGGCAATGCGAGCACACACAACATACCGCTTGGCAGCCTTATATAGGCTCTGTGGCGGCAAATGAATCACATTAAAACAGCGACCATCCGCCTTGCTTCACTGGTTGCTCAGTTGAGCGACATACAGCGTCAACAGGGCACCGACAGTGCCAACGGCGCACACAGTAGCACAAAGGTAGAGCGTCGTTCGGCGAATCCAAAGCGTTTCGTTCGGTGGAAGGAAGCTGTGTGAGCAGGTGATTTGACACTAGTAATCAGAAAGATTTTCATGCAATCGGGCTATTTCCGGATTTTAGACAGCGGTTACAGTCGAGGCGTTATGCCCGCATTTTTGGATTCTACACATCTCTGCGGCTGAAACCTAGCGACCTCGCTACTAGGAAGGCGCCCGAATTAGTTCGAAACAGACTAGAATTGCGTCCTTCATATTTCGGCCGTATTTCCGCACGCCCGGGCTGGCCTCGCTGCTGGTCGAGGAGCGGCATTGTGTGGGGTCCACTGCTGATCACGCGGCTAGTGTGTCTTCCCCCCACAACATTCGACCGGCATTGAACGGTGCGACCGTTGTATCTACTGTAATAGCCCTGCTTTAATTGGCATTTGTGAATAAACTTTATAGTTATCGGCGCGAAAGCTGTTTGCTGTATCGTCGGCTCAATCTATCGTATTGTTTTCTATAAGACGTCGTGCTCGGTTAAGATGAAGGCATTTTTATCAGCCGTTGCTATCATCTGCGTGGTAAAATCCGCAGAAGCTTTTGACTTTGTTCGCGAGCATACTAGCTCTCCTCGCCACGGATCCCTGCGCGAGTCCAGCGCTGCCTCTGCCGGCGAGGCTTCCTACGACATCAAGGACTACATCCCGGACATTGAAACCCTCAAGGAGCACGCTAACACCGCCGTCAGGAACACTGAAGGTTTTTTCAATGGCTTTATGGACTACATGAGGAACGTCGGAAGCTACATTTGGAGTTACATGCCTGACCCCCAGCAAGGCTACGGTGCCGGTTCCGAGGGCCACAGCAACTCTGGCGTAGGATTCCTCAACAGCCACCCTACTACGAGCGACTCTACCCCCTCATTTTTGAGTGTTGTGAACACTGAGAACATCGATGCCGCCATTTCCAATGTCGCCAAGACCGGTGCTGAGTACGGCGCATGGGTGAAGGACAAGATTGCGGATTTGAAGGCTGAGGTTGTGAGCGACCCCACTGCCCAGAAGGTGATTTCTGTCGTCCGTGACGCCACCGCCCCTCTCACCTCCTCTGGCGAATCTGCTAATGAATCGTAAATCTGAAGGCTGCGATTGATGAGGATGTATTTTTATACACGGGGAATTAAAAGTGCACCTGCACTTTTAATGCTTTTTGAGAGGTCGCTTTTAGCGCTACTCTATCGGCTTACGCTATGAGGCGTCGCAGTTCAGTGAATTCGCGCCGGTGTAACATATTACTAAGGGTATTCTTGATTTTTTGAAAATAGGTACACCTTCTAGTGCACGTCAAAAACTGAAACAATGATGGTTCTTAATACTGTTGTTGCTTAGATTTACTTTCTTTTAGCGTTGCTCCGGGCTTCGTGGCCGGGCGCTGCGTCGGCTGCTTCCGCACTGCTTGCCGACCGTTATTTCTGGGGCCTCTTGTATTGTGGCAGCGATTTTCGCGCTAGAAAATACTAGATTAAGTGCCCACATTCATCACTTTCCTATACAGAAGGTTCTAAATATGGCGTCCAATACCTGCTCGTTCGTCTGTTCTCCTATGATGTATGAGATTTGGGAGGTGGCCTCTCTTATATTCTCTGCCACAATTTCGAGGTCTGGCCGCGCGTTAGCCAGGCTTTCCAGCGCGATTTTGATTTGTTTCAGTACGTTCCTTAGGTGTGACCTGTGCCGTGCCTCGGTTATGAATGGTTGCTTCTGTACATGCGAAAGTTCCGTCGCCAATTGCTGATGCACGAGTTGCAGCAGAGCCTCTACAGTGTGCGGTTCCTTGTTGGAGATAGAGGTGATTTGCGCTCTGTAGCCATATTTACTTTCTATTGTCCTCATGAATTGCGTGCTTTGCGCCGTGTCAATGAGGTCACTCTTCGATAAGCAGATGATAAGGTGAGTGTCGTGCGATAGATTTTGCAAAGTAACATCGAGAGCGTGCTTCGATAGTTCCACGTTGGTGTGGTCAAATAGGAATATTGCCAATCTCGTGTCGTTCAGGTATTGTAGAGCCTTTTCAATTCCCTGCATTTCAACTTCATTATGCGATTTTGCCTCTACGTTTGGACCCATTTCCCTTATTCCGGCAGTATCTACGAAGGTCACTTTCATGCCATTCAGGTCATATTTGACTTGTATGAGATCTCGTGTGGTACCCGGCAAGTCCGAGACAATTGCCACATGTCTATCGCAAATGGCATTCATCAGGGAGCTCTTGCCCGCATTTGGAGGCCCCAATATGCTAACATTAGCGCCATTTGTCAGGATTTCCCCTTTGGTGTCTTCAAGTTGCCTCCTGATTTCTTCCTCTACCTGAGCGAGGCCTTGCAGCAGTATCTGCCACATGCATGTTCCGCAAGTGTGCGTAACCTACTGTTTGTTCTGGCTGCGTCGTTTGTAAGTCTGCCAACGCCTGTTCGTCGAACTCTATTCTGGCTTCTACGGTGGCAAGCAAATGCCTTAGTCTGTCGGCCCACATGCCGTACAGCTGTGTTAGTCCTCCGTGTAGCTGCCCGGCGTTATCACTGCGTTGTATCACCTACTTTTAGTGCTGCATTTTGCATCTCTAGCGCTGTTTCGGATGCTATGATGTCCCGGATTGCTTCGGCCTGCGTTATTCTTGTTTATGTGGAGCTTCGCACGCACCTGTGTAAGATCCATCTTTCCATTGTAGAACGCTCTTCTTGTAAACTCCCCTCTTTCGGCTTGTCGAAGTCTGAATTGATACATAGATATTTAGTTAACTTGTCATTCCTACCCTATGCCATGGGCGCGAGGAATGTGCCTCAAGGCTGCAAAGAGTTGCGACACTATGGCCCTGCTCCCATGAGTGTGGATTTCGACGACGTCCTCGCCTGATAGAGATTACGGTTAATAACCGCACGAAACACACCTGTATAAGAGTTTGGCCCAGGGAAATAAACGGTGATGGCCTTGTCTATAGGTGTGAATTGCTCTTGGTCGTAGATGGTACGAAGCGTCGCCATCCTAGGAATGCACTTGAACGCAGATTTACTATCCCTTGAAACCTGAAGAATCCGTTACAGAGCACATCAAAACTCCACTGTACCTCATTTTTGGTGAGTAATTCCAGCACTTTGAGACTATGGCTTCCTGAGATTCTTGTCACGGCTATCCCGCATCCTCCGTCAGGTATGGCTGAGGATAGACCGTACACCGTTTGCGCACTGGTCTGTTCATGTTCTGATGAGCCAAGGTGTCGCGTATGTGCAGCAGGTACCGAAGTAAAGCTTTGCCATTTCGATATCCTCCAGGCCTGTGCGACGGTCACGAAGAGGACTATACCGCAGAAACATCGCATTGCCACGTGTAGTGGCACACTATCTAGCTTATTACATTTGTTATTTGCAGATTCGTGTATAAAATCCTACAATTACTTAACGAAGGTTGGTGTGTTGGTTATTAGGAGTGCCGCTGTTGTCTATTGCGATATATAACTCCGGCTAGCATTGTCCACGCAAATTGCATCACGCAGACCTGTACTTCTGTACTAGTTGTTCTGCTCGCTCCCAGTTTATCGTCTTGAACCACGCATCGGTGTACTTTGTCTTGTCATTGCGGTAGTCAATGTAATAGGCATGTTCCCAGACATCTGCGAATATCGGTGATTTTTCATCGTTTGCCATTACCTATCACCATAACTGGCTGTGACATCCACAGTCTTATTGGGTTGTCGGCGTCTTTTGTGGCCGCAAGTTTAAGCGTGTCGGTAACTCGGTCGTATGTCACCCAGACCCATCCGCTGCCGAAGTGAGCTGCATTATTATTTGGGTGAGAAATCCGAAACATTACCTGTCGCCATTTGCGTAATCTGCTGTTTAAGGGCCTCGTGTGATCCAAACGATTTTTTAATAAGCTCATTCATCATTGGCGCATCGAGCGTATTGCCATTCGGGGACATTCCGAGCCAGTAGAAATCGTGGTTCCACACTTGCGCCGCCATGTTGTAAACTGTGCCCTGCGCAGTTTCCAAGAGTTCGTCCAGCGTTTTTGTGGCAATTTCCGGTTGGTTGGCAGCGAGTTCTGCACCAATACGTCTCCACATCACGGTGGCTTACCGTTTAGTTTTTTGACGTACCCCGCGTGGTGCTTAAGATAATGGAACCTGACTGTTTCCTCTGAAATATGCGGTTCCAAAGCGTTCAGAGCCTGTGTTGATATGCTACGGATTCACATGATTTGGACATACATATGGCAGCGTCATAAGCGTGAATGGCTGTTCACTGCAGCTCTCCGCCGCAGAAAATCGTCTTTGCACTGCATTAGGCCTTGACATTGCACCGTTTAACGTGACTTTGTGCACATTTCCAACGAAGTAAGCCCCGGCAATCTTTGCCAGGAGTGCGATCACTTGTATCCACATGTTCATTGTGTTTCCGATACTTGGTTTGGCAGCTTGAAAATCATTTGGCAGCTGTCGAGCGCAATAACCGAGAATATGAAATACGTCCACTCTGCAGATACGTAATCGTCGGGTATTGCTGCGACTAAAAGCGCTTCGTGCTTGCTGAATATGATCGAGTCGATGGCGTTCTGCAATAGCATGCACTATTCACCTTAAAATCCGCTTACCTTGCAGATGGTATACACGGCGTCAGTCTTGAGCACAGTTTTGGGATTTCTGTTTGCGTACTCTCGTGACTCTTCTCCGACGTGAGATGAGAATGAATGTAATCCGTAGAATGCTGTTTCCAATTCGGCGAGGATTCCAGCTAGGACAATCATGTATGTGGCAGCATAGTGGCGCTTACGTGATCTGAGTTTTAGTAGGATCGGCGAGTGGGATTGGTCGACCTCCCCTTCGGCGTCCTTTGTTTCCGACTGCCTGTTGGTGGCTGCCCCGCTGGTCTTGGTGCCAGCACCTAGGTAGGCAGTGTCGCTGTTGGCGTTAGTTTTGACACCGCGTTGATTCGTGTTGTCAAGTAATTGTAGATCCTGATGCTTATGCTATGGGTTATACCTCGACCAACCTGTGTTCTCCCGAAATCCGTTCTTTGTGATGTATTTCGATTGTTGATGCGGCAGACTTCGAACTCAGTCAATTCATTCCCTATGCGATTGGCAGATTCCAAGTAGCATATAATGCTTTGAAACTTGGTGAGCCCAATGTTACACTGGGTGCAATGTTAGAGCGCTTCGTTTTCTTCTTACCGAGCAAGGTGGTATTTCCGGTATCACTGATTCCGACTGCACGTATTCCTCAGCCGGTGTGATTAATATGTCCTGCAAATGTGTGTTTCTTCCTTCCGTTGGAATGCTTACCAGAGTAATGCAGATACTGGGAAATGCAGGGTCCGGGAAGGTTACTGATAACGACGCCACCTGGTTGTTCCTGCGTTCCAGATAAGCCACAACAAGATGCCGGATTGTATACCTTTTGAGCTTTAACGCGGCATATTCACTGTTAACCGCGGCGTTGAGTGTCTCGTATAGTGAGCTGACGCTGACGTTGAGCGCTATCGTGTCGTCTTCTCTTCCCTCTAGGATATACGGACTGTGAAATAGTTCCGCCTATAACGTATTTGGAAGGCCAGATTCGCATGCTTACCGTATCTATTTCGAGGAAGGCGTCGGTTGATAGAATAGTTTTAATAACTACTGAGACCTTTCTTTTTGAGATTCTGAGCACTGCGCTCATAGGATCCGGATGATCATTAGCAAGCTTGCTGAGGCACAGAAGGCACCCTACAAACACATTAACATTGTCTAAACGGTATCAGATAGCGTCACTGTCGTAACACTTGGCCGTATTCCTAAGGTGACATAGCTAACCAACGAAATGATGCAGATTCTCGACTTTAAATTCACCCCGAAACTTCATCACTAAGCACGTTGTATGTACCCGCCGTTCTCTCGTTAGCTTGTTGCCTGTGCAGTTAACGCGGCGGCAGGTATGCCGGAGACGCGTTCTTGACCGTTGCAGACGCGATTATCGCCTACCTATTGCACAGCTTAATCGCTACTAGCATTTGTTTTAAGAAGATTCTGCTTCCAACCAGATGGAATACACAAAGGCACCGTGATGTACGGTGTCTGTCCGCAATCCCACCGAAGGTTCTGCGCTTACTTTATGTTTTACGAGACTGCATTGCGCTAGTCGACTATATTTGCTATATTTGGACACTTTAATCGCTTATTGGATGCGATGTGTTTGAATTGTAGGCTGTCTTTTTAGTGTCTATCGGTGGAAGATCGCAAGGCGTGGAAGCGTGATATGCCGGCGACTCGATACTGAGATGGCATCCGTCCTTCACAGCCTTGTCGCGGTTGCATACGTCGTAATATATGTAGGTGTATCATTTGGAGCATCTGTATCGGGGTTCTCGGTCACTTCTACGTCAAGCCTTTTGCTCTCTTATCCGCTTGCATCTAACTTCTTTGTTCGCAGGCCGGCAAGTGACTCCGATAACCGTGCTGGACCAGTGTCTTCTGCCCTTTCTCCGGGGTTCTTTGTTCTGTTCGGTCAGGACGCAACATCGCGTTGCGTATCCCCGGCATACCACGGCGACGTTAGGTTTGTGGCGGGTGTTGAGGCACATATCCAGCTGGCACTACCTCATAAGATCTTCTGCGACTGCCCCAGCACTGCGTCGTGCACTTCAGGGCTGGTGGATTGTGGCACTTCCGCATTAAATCACGAAGGCAATGCGGGTGCCACCATCGCAGACGGTTTTCCGTGCGTCGACTTATACAAACGGTTGAACAGTATTTTGGCCACTCCTGGTAGTGATAAGTCCGAATGCGACTCCAATGTGCCATATTTCAAAAATGATTGCACGATATCGTTTGATGACTATGCGTCAATGTACAATAGCCGCAGGAAGGCCGCACGTACTGTTAAAGACGGTTGCCGACCATCCGCGGTAAACAAGAACTCAATCCATGATTTGAGCAAGTTTAAGTGCGCCATATGCATGGGCGAAGTTGGAGCGCTTCCGCTACTTTCTCCTTTGGCAATTTTATACGGTTTATCCGCATGCAACACTTTTTCGTGTGAGCCGAGCAGTTCGGTTTCTTTTGAAAGGAAGGTGTACTCTTATGCCGATCTTCCTAAACGTTACCAGCTGACTCAGGTGAGCAACCCTATCGGTACCAATGGGCGCGTGTTGTTGAGTAGTGGCCGGGAGATCCGCATTGCGCATGTGCACTTGGAGGAGGACACCGCACGCACGTTGACGATGAGCGACGGATCTTCGCTACATGATTACAATCGAAGTGGCGTAGGTCTGTTGGAAGTTGTCACCGAGGCATGCGAAATGACGGTAGAAGAGCTTGTTGAATGCTGCTCAAAGATTTATGAGTTATCCGTTCGAGGAGGGCTGTCTAAGGGGCTGATGCACGAAGGCAACATCCGATTTGACGTCAATATATCGTTACCTTCAAAAGGATCAAATCGCATCGAGCTGAAGAACTTGAATTCGTTCCGACGCATTCGTCGATCTGTGCTACAATGCCTGTCTTCCGAGTGTTTGTCAGCACCGCCCTCCAGCACCGCCGGGGTGGACACTGACACAGCTCAGGAAAAAATCAATAGACCAAATGCATGGAGAGATGTCATGCAACGCGTTCTTGAAGATGAACCCGTCCAGGCTGCGACTGCTCCGGTTGGCTCCACCTTGGGGTGGAGTCATGAATCAAAGGATCTGGAATACCAGCGCAAGAAGTCTGCAAGCGCTCTGTATTTAAACATCCCTGACACCAACATACCTACCATATCTATAAGCAAAGATTTGTTTTCCAGGGTGGCATCAAGCGCTTTGTCTGATGATCGCCCCAGTTTGGAGTCCTTGCATGACGCATACCCATCAGTGCCGATTGATTTGCTGGGAGTGATTCAGAAAAGTGATGAACGCATTGGACTATTCCGTCAACTGTGCAATGCAATCGGTGACCACCCGTTTGTGGCAAAATGGTTAGTAAACTACGTTATACCGGTTGTTAGTGTCAGTTCGGTGGATGTGGATCAGCTTTGCGAGTTGCTGAATGGCGTGTATTCCAAACGGCTTAACGTGGACACAGCCAAACGCATATTGCCTGATTACCTATCAAGCGGTATGCATTTCGAGGAGTATTTGCGATGTCATGAGCTTGGCCTGCTGGACGAGCCGGCGACACGTGAGTTCGTGCAGCAGTATATGGCTCTGCACAGCGCCGGGCACGCGACCAATACTGCGGACAGAAAAACTCTCATCCGTCTTGTGAGCGATATAGTGGCAGCCTCCGGCCACCGTCTGAATTACGCGATGGTGCGTGACCTATTGGCCCATCCACCGGTATCCGGCTAACATTTGTTTGCGCCGTCAACGCGCCGCGCATAATTTTTTACGCCTTTTACTAGTGGACAACGTTGACCATGTATTGTTTGTGCGGTTCAATATGTATTATTTTCCTCACCATCTCTTTATCTGCGCATCTGTTGCCGCTGCAATATCCCTGAATATCCAGGTGCTTCAACGGCTTGTAAATGGACAGCAAGTTCAAAATTTGTTCTTGCGTAAATTTGAAGTAGTGGCTATCGGCAAAGGCCACTCCGTGATACATTTGCGGTATAGCTTCTATGGTCCTCATCATGTATGCCGAATTCCACGGATTCCAAATGTTAGGCTTGCTCATGGGCTTGACCTCGATTTCGCGAGCGCACAAGTGATATGAGTCTGTATGTTCCACATAGAATACAAGTAGCGGTATGAATTTGAAATACTTCCCGTTGAGTAGTATGTTAACGATTTGCACCCAGAATGGCTTCAGAAACGGATCGCCCTTAACATCGGGTGCCCGAGATATTCCCAACTCCTTTTGAGTATTACCTTCCAATGTATTCTCCAGCAAGCGCATAATTTTGATAAGTACGTTGTACCTGACCCTCCCATGTCCGGATACTTCAATGAACTGCTTTTTATCGTCATTTGCGCTGTCTACAGTTAATTCGCCTACTTTGTTTTCAGGACCTCCCACTTTTAGAGATGGACCAATGCCATGTTTTGCCATCGTTGTTGAAAGCACACGTCTTAACGGCCTCAACCTGAACTCTGGCATGTCCAGCGTGTGCATTACGCACCGTGCCAACTTCGGGTACTGTAGCTTGAGGTCACGGTGATCGCAACCTTTATCGCTCTTTTGACTCATCTCCAGTATCTTTAATATAGCCTTGTGAATGATTAGAGGTTTTCCACCTGGCGTCAGTCGGAACTTCCAGCTTATTACGCAATCGGTCGGCACAATGCGCACTATGATATCCACAAGCTTTTGCGTCGGTATGTACTTCCATCCTATCGGCTCTGCGTAGGCACATTCAACACCCCTTTCTTTCACTAGATTGCTGAAATCATCTAATAGCAGGCATCTTTCTTTGTCTACGTCGAAGGTTGTGCCGTCGGCCATAAGGTCATCTATGGTTAGTATTTTGAATTCTTTCTGTTCGAGCTGCTGTTTCCACTGCATCAACTTTGGATCTGGGTTATACGCGTCATGCATCATCGCCAAAGTGAAATTTGAAAGTCCTGAACCCGCGCGCAAGGCGTGTGCGGCGCCATCGTCGAGAGCTGCATTCGAACGCTGTGCGATGCGCAATTCGCCCTTGTCTAAGAGGACGAACGTGTCTATCGCACCAATGGCGCTAACACAGCTTAAGACTTCATCACGTTCGAGAATTTCGCTCTGTAATAAGCGAATGTCAATGTCGAGGTCCTTGAAGTTGTATTTTCCTTTCACAAAGTTGGGGAACTGGTTGTAATAAGCGGCGTTTTTAATGAACGGTTCCCTAAAGTGTACTTTGTTCTGACTTCTTACATCACAATATCTTGATTCTACGCCCGTCGGTATGAGGAAGGTCGGCAAAAGAGCTTGGCGTGGACTTGAACACCAATTTAACCGTGCTACGCGAAAAATGGGAGCAGAGGCCACGTAGTTAAAAGAGTGTAGCGTTGTAAATGCAATTAGGATACGACAAAGAATTAGGGCACATTTTTTACCCATTTAAGTTTACACTGCTACTTCATTGTTATGCACTTGCGGGTGTCCAGTGTTGCCCCTTATATGACACTTGAGCAGCGTTAGAGACGGCTTCCAATCGTAGAAAGGAGTGTGTACAATTCGTTTGCCCTGCGCCTTGAGTATAGCGTGTTTGAGTTTGGAAGACGGCATCATTTGGTGTGTTGCGTGGAAGAAGTGTGTAGGCCCATCCACTTCGATGTAGGTTTTTGTGATTCCTGTTTTTACAACGATGTCGGTGTAGTACAGTCGGTTAGTGCACCTCACTTCGGATCGTATTGTCGCATCTGGACATTTAGTTACCACATGCCTCCATACCTCTCTATGCAGGCCTGCAAACTATCAGTCGCCGCCACGTCGGGCTGTTGCTTACCGGACATTGTAGGGTTTCGCCTGTTACTTCCCATCTCACTATATCTGGTGGTTGCAATGTCGTTTGACACCTCCCTGAATGCGTGTTTGTAAATGCGTTTGACCTCGTTATATATTGCACGTTTGTTGTTGCGGCAGCTTCTCTTCAGGACGAGCAGTGCAATTTTCAGCTGCTTTTTCATCTCCACGGACTTGTAGAAGTCGGCTCCAAACTCCCTAAGTAATACCAGCAGCTTGTATAGTAATAGGGGCACGCGGTGACCGATCCCAGAGAGAGTCAAGGCAAATAGGCAGTTGACTGTCGCCTGTGCGTTCATATCTTGTATGCAATTTTCCGATGTCATGCACTTGAGAGCGCGTACAAATAGGGTTTCAAACGGCCCCTGAGCATTGCGCCACTTCTTTGACCTTGTGATGCGTTTCGTGCCGGGTGAGCGGATAAGCCCCCGCTCGATATTTCTGTTTAGGGGGCACCCCAACTTTGCATAGGCAATGAGTATTTGCGCCAGTATTGATGGGTGCTGCACGGATTGGAGATGCCGCATCGTCTCCAGAGCCATACGATGAAGCACGCGCTCATTTTTCATCCTGAACCTGTACGGTGTTTTATCAACATGTACTGCCCGCCCACCTGTGTAAACCTGTTAGTATAGCTGCCACAGATTCAATATCCGCGTGTTGTGTTTGTGACGCACAAAGGTTTTCAATGCTTTCGACAATTCGTTTGGCTATGTCGACTGCCGCCTTGTGTCCGTTGAAACCTCCGATGGCGGCGATCGTTTTCGCGCAGTGTCTGAATGCATCTGCACCCTTGTAAAAACCGTAGAGATCATTGTATATGAACATCGTATCTGCCGCTGCGCCTTTATTCGTGGCAGCCTTTATGAGGTCCCGCAACGCTCGCCTGCGCTGCGGTTGCGATTTTGTGGTGACAGGAGGCATGGCGAGCCTACGTTCGAACTGCAGCATGTTGGAGATGGCGATGGAGTCTAGCAATTCGTGCAAAGCGTCGTCAGTGTTATTAGATTGCAGCGCTTTGAGGTTCGCAATATGTTGCGCAAATTCCTGAGGCGTGCCTAACAATCCTACAGAGTGAACGCTTTTTGCAGCGATCATGAGTGCAGCATCCTGCGGACGATTGATTCTAATGGCGCACTTCATAAGATGTATCAAAGACACATAGTCGACGTCCGTATTCTGCATCACGTGTTCCACCGCCATAGCAACGAATGCAGCGTATCGCTGCAGGAGTTCGCTGTTACCCCTTTCTACGTAGGGCGCAGAATGAGCCGCCACAGTGGCTACACTTTGAGCATCAGCACGTTTCCCGCCGATAAAACTAGACGGTTGAACCAGGTGGTGTAAAACGAGGGCAGTGACGTCAGTAATGCTGCGCCACCCTTCCATGAAATCGTTTTGATTCGCATCTATGATTCCTGCTTGCTGCACCTCCAAATCCGCCGTTTTAACATATTCTACATGATCGCCGGTTTCTTTGATCACTATAATGGCATCTTTGCCCACCGTCGGTCGAGGCCGTAATGCCGTGTGCCCTGGCGTTACGCCGTTGTAGTTACCATCGGTGGCGCTGATCGCAGCCCAAACACGAGCCACTACACAGTACACCATAGCAATGTCTTTGATGTCATGTATGGAGTCTAGGTTTGCACGGAGGTAGCTTGAGGCAACGCGATACATTTTATCCGTATGACACCCCATTCGCTCCAGAGTATTCACGCAGATGGCAAATGCCCTATGGGAGATAGTTGCAGTTCCAAACTCATTCCTGTTATAGAGTTGAATGAAGAGGTCGTGGCACAATTTCGTTTCTTCGTCTGTCATTGCAACTCGCATTACCATGAGCGCATGCATGATCCCCGCCATGTCCTCGAATATGAACGGTTTTAGAGGTTCAACCTCCCCCGCATCATACAAGTATCTGAATTGTGCGACAGCAGCGTCTTTTAGTGCGCTGGTCATTTCCGTGTCGCTGTACTCTGCAGTTGCTGTCCCATGCAGTATGCTGTAAATGTTGTAGAGCTCAACTCGGCCAATTTCAGTCGTTCGTCTCGCACGTAACAGATGCGGCAATACTGCGGGTTTGAGGCCATCAATGAGGTTGCGTAGGTATTCCTTGCCAACATTTGCATTGGTGCAGCTGTGGATTACAATTGCGATTTGTTTCAAGGTTAGCTGGTCCTTGATTTGTAGAGCCTTTTTTATATGAGCCTTCCAGGCCCTCTGCAACCCATATATAGTGAAAGCAAAAGCCTACCTTCCCAGCCTTTCCGTCCTTACTTGCCTGCACCAGTGTTCTGCAAAGGGTGGTCGGCTCCATGAGCACGGTCCGTTTCAGGGGTGTCGTTGCAACATCACTTCCTGAGTCACGGTTTACAGCGCATAACCCGGCACTAGCGGCTTCATGTGCCACATTGGCGCCGCTGGACGCGGTAGACAGCGTTTTCGCTACCCCGCGCGCTGAAACGCCGGCATCGCAAATCAGCCGCGGCAGTGTGCGGAGGGAGAGCATGAATATACATGGGTGTGGGCGTCTACGCGGTGTTTTCAAATTTATAATGCACGTTCAATGAGTGCGATTTGTTCGGCAGTGAGCCTTCTTGGGAATGTGACTCGTATGGACACGTACATATCCCCGAATCCTCCGCGTTCGTCTGACGGCATTCCTTTCTGTTCGATTTTGATGATGTGGTTGTGCGGCGTAACTCCGCTCTCCGCGACCTCGATGCTTTCTCCGAAGAGGTCAATGGTCTTGTCGAATCCCAGTAATGCCTCTTTGAGGGTGATGTCCATCGTGCGATGCAAGTCGTTTCCCTCCCGGCGGTATATCGGGTGAGGCTTCTCCTCGATGACAAACACGACGTGGCCGCGCTTCAAGCCCGGTTTTTCTTGTCCACGTCCCTCCATGACGATTTGCTGTCCTTGTTTGGCACCGGGCTCGATGGTGAGTTCCAAATTAACGTCCTCCACGTACGTGGGTCCGTTGGGGCACGCCTACTCAGGTTTAACGTTATGATAATGCACGACTTACCGGGCAGTACGCCTTCCATCCCTCGTGTCGGCCAATGCAGGTGGGGTCCCTGACCTGCTGCTGCATAAACATGCCGGGACCATGCTGCATGGTGACTAGTCTAACTCCCGCCCCTTGGCAGTCCTTTCGATTGACTTTGCACTCGTCGTAATCTGGGCATAGCCTGCTGACTTGTACCTTGATCGTCAGATCGCGTCCGTGGTAGAGCACATCGAGCGGGATTGAGAGGGGGTACACCAACGCTTCCGCACGCATTTCCTCATCTCTCCTGCGTCCGCCTCCGAACCCGAAGATGTTTGAGAATATGTCATTGATGTCATACCCGTCGTCGTTACCTCCTGATTGGCTCATGCGCATTAGTTCTGCGAATCCTCCCTCGTCATAAGCCTTCCTTTTCTCTGTGTTATTCAATATGTCGTAGGCCTCATTGATTTCCTTATATCTGTCTGCGGCATCAGGTTCTTTGCTTACGTCTGGGTGGTACTTCTTGCTGAGTTGGCGGAAAGTTTTTTTGATTTCGCTAGCTGTGGCTGATTTCTTTACCCCGAGGACTTCGTAAGGGCACTTTTTGTCGGCAAATAGGTCTCGGTCAGGTTCTTCACCAAAAAAGCCCCAAGCCTGGGCGTATGCGATGCCGGTAATGGCAACCAGGCATATAATTCCACGACGCTTCATTATGGCGTGTACTCCCTTATGCGTCGTGGCCCTCGAATATGTGCGATGCGGAAACGGGCTTTACACTTTGTAAACCCCGTTCCATCCACGCAAAGGTAGTTTAGCGGTATACCTGAGTGTTGGCGTTAACTTTGTTACACCTGGCTCCAGGAGACGTAGACACACAGAACGGTGTTAGTATTTGACCGAATTAGCGTCCTGTGTGACCACTTCAACAATTATTCGACTTATTAAAGCAATGTCACGCCTATGTGACGAGACGTGTCGCTTGTTTAGCGGCTCGCTGTGACGCTCGAGCCGTTTATGTCGGGATATAACGAAGATGTGCGCAAGCGGTAGGATATGTTTGGGCACCACACGTTATAAAGTGGCATATGTTGCATCGGCGATGCGCTCTGGCCACACCTGTTAAGTGTCGTGAATGGTGTGTACATGGACTTCGTGCCTAGAGTCATGCTTTCCTTATACTCAGTGGGCTCGTCTTCTCCTTTAAGTGCCAACTGATTGCCGCCATTTTAGGCGTGTATTCACGTGTGCAACTACTTCGGTGGAAATGGTACCAATACTTCGCAGTTACATCGGAGGCTGGACATAAGCCAATCGTACAAACATAAGCATAAGCTCCCAATCCACTCATGCTGCTAGTATCCGCGTTTCTAGAAGAAATAGGCTTGTAATGTGGCGGAATCTCGCTTGGAAGCGTTTAGCGTTTCATACTCGGTAAACCAACGACGCGTGGCAAGTCTTAGTGTAATACGAGGCTGTAGTCTCAAAGTATCATCCTTCCTAGTTACAGAATCATTATACATCATTATTCGTCATGTATTCTGCAATACATATTAAGATTTGGCGCATGTAGGTCATGTTATTTATGTGTGTGATGCCTTGGCTGTCGTCAGCTGGCACGCTTTTGTGCATTAGACAAAGTGCGCTTGGAATATTTGTTCTATATTAATGCTGTAGTGTATAAATATATTTCATAATATATGGCACCCTTTTACCATTGAGCGGTGCCGTATAGGCGACGAATCCAGACTGTATCTCCCCCGGTCGCGCGATCATTGCTGTTCCAACTATATTAACCCCTTTTGGTTCATATTAAACGTAGTATAGTTCAGCTTCCAGCTGTAACGATGGTGTGGGAGGCTGTGGAAGTTAAGCTGCCGCAGGTAGTGTCTGAATCGTTGGCACTGGATGCTCGTCAAAGATCTGCGTATGCGCCGAATGTTCAGGTCAAGCACTACTCGAGCAGCGAGCGCGCACGCTCGGGTGAGAAAGACCCATTAATTCCGGAAGGCGAGCTGCACGAACTCATGAAGGAACATGTAAATTGGCTGCTGGACCAATTCTCGCACAGCGCGGTTCACCTGGAGATTACCTACGGAGCCCCTCGCGCCAAGATACATTCCCCCACATGTTACATGTTTGGACTAAAGTCTGAATATATGCATTCGGGCAAATTGCCGGAGTTGGACGTGCCGAAGAGAAATAAGGAGGTGTTAGATCCGATATTGGCGGCTGCAACTGCAGCGATTTTCGAAAAAGAAGTTCACTTCAGTGATCCGTCATCGGTCACCGAGCCCGTTAAAGAGACTGCCGAGGGGCCTAAAGTTGATAGCACGTCACGCGATGTTGATATGGCCTCTGGTATTGAGATATCCGACGATGAGGCATCTGGTGACAATGAATGCAGTTCTGGAACGGAGTCTGACCGTTCCGATGGAGGCGTAAATGCTACAAGAAAACGTCAAACTGTTGTGAAAGACAGGGATGCACCGTCTCCTAGTGCTGACGACGGTTCTGCCGCGGATCAAGAAACGCTTTTGAATCACATGCGGTTGGTGTTGCATTTTTTTCTTTTAGATGGTGCAGAGCACGGTTCGCAGAATTAGAGACTTCGGTGAAGTTCGAGGACACTATTATGCATGACTATTATGCACCCAACATAAGGCAACAGTTGGATACTTCTGCTTTAGAATCGCAGCTGTTTAGCGCTGTCGCTGCCAACGCCCCCACCACCGACGAGAGCTCGAGAAACGAGAACAGACTGGACAAAAGGGTTATTGACATTCTTGGCAAGGGCAATGTAGTTGGGTTTTCAAGGATTGTTTCGTGGATACCTCATACTAAGGCTAAGGTAGGTGTAGTGTTAGTGATATTGTCTACCGGCTATTCCTTTGTTGATATTTGTTTGATGTTATTGGATGCTTGGCATTCTCAAACTGAAGACATGTGTTCATAATTTGCAACCTATCTGCTGATAAATGTCCCTCATCTTGTTGCAGTTACCACCTCACCTGCTGCATGACATGCTAATCTGGAAGAGCTGGTTGATCAACGGCCAACATCTTTGTTTTTACGGCGCTGGGTCTAAGCGACAGCTGATAAAAGTCTTTGTCAAGTTTGCATTACGGTGTGTGGATAGGTTATTCTTATCTCATCTTATACAGTGACGGGATATGCCTGACGGTGGACGCGTTCCGGGTCAAGGGTAGTACGGGTGAGGTGTTTTGGCAGCTATTAAGGCGCGAATTGTTATCTAAGAAGATGACAATGACCGTTCCTGAGTGCAAAAAGGTATGTAAATGCGTCCTTACGTATGATATTCATGAACAGGCGGTGTTGAAGCGTATTGCCACCATGCGGAAGCCATTTTACATAATTGTATATAATTTTGACAATTTGGCGACAATTGGAGCTTTGAAATTACTACGTGCGCTATTTCGCATATCAAACGTACGTTGCAGCGTCAGCCAATGCGCACAAATATCTTATAGGTTCGCTTGATTGCTACCATGGATAATCTCCGCTCGAGCATAGTGGTGTCGTTATTTGATCAAATTCTACGCCGATACAAGTTGATACGTTTAAACACAGGAATGGACTACCGGTTTGTTGTCTGTCTCCCCTTTATATGCAGATTTGTAGCAGCGAGCTGGCTTCCCTATGGGAACGCACACCGCCGCGATTTATTGCGCGTGATGAGAACCAGAAGAGCGCCACCGAAATGCAGGCTATCATCGAGGCGTTGAGCGTGAACCACCGGCAGCTGTTTTCGTTGATTGCCCAGATGCAGCTCGATGGTTTGAGAAGTCGCACACGTTTTGATGGAGTTGAGAAATACGGTCTCCTGCGAGAGCCTCGGGCACTAACAATTTGCAACAGCGAGAGCAAGTTGGACGCATTGTTGACCGAGTTCGTTACGCATAACGTGGGTTGATTGTTCAAATGCCGCCTTCATTATTGTATAGCTAATAGAGCAGTCTCGAGGTCGGGGTGGAAGGTTCTACCTAACGATACCCTTTTCAATGTGAGTTTTGGTGCTTTATTTCGCACGGCTTGCCAGGCAAGAGCTCGAGCAATTCATTAACCTGTAATCGCTTGTTGCGGCTTTATCGCATTCTCCCTATTTGCGCCACAAGTCTATGGCGCCATTGGCTCGTGCAGTTGTTGCCAATTTGTATGGAGAAGGCATTGGCGCATAGTCATATGGTTCTAGCGGATCTTAAAGACAAGTCGCTAGTCACCAACTCCAAACGTAATGGCTGCCGTTCTAAGTACGATTATGAATATACAAGTGAGTGGATGACTGATTGGTGGTGCGGCTAGGCAATGAGCAAAGGCGTATTGCCGGGTGTCACCAGGACACTCCACCTTGATGACCACGGAGCGGTGTACCACATAATGTACTACACGTAACCCACTATAAGCGTTGATGCACCACAGCAAATTATTCTGGCATTTCGGGGTGCAGTATCTCCTGTTTTCGCCCGAAAATTGTGTGCGACACTGACATGCGTTGCGCATACCGCATGCAACGTTCATAGTATGAACCTGTCTACGATAGGATATATTGGATACCATAGTACCTTTATCGTACGACTATTTACGGCATATCAGATTTTGCACTTTTCCTTAGGCTCGCATGTATTACAAGGCTATCGCACTTTTGTTTAGCCACCATTAATACATAGCATACAAATGAACCCACAATTCTTACACGTATAGCAGCAGCGTAACTTAAAGGGTCTTCACAAAATGGTGTACAACTCGTTGACCGAGGCTCCTCACAACCTCAAGGAGGGCATTGACTGGCTGATGGCCCTGAAGGGAACTGATGCTGAAAAGAATTTGGCGGCTTTAGGTGACGCGCTCCACAAATTTCTCGTAGACAAACCTGTTGGCAAGATGGAAGTGCCAGCTCTCGAAGATATTAAGAAGTCTACTAAGGAATTCATGGGACAAAAGGTCAACGGCTATCCTTTCGCTAAAAAGCTGCTGGGGAGATTCAGCAAGCCTATGGATAAGTCCATTCGCTCCAACTTCTTTGGCACTGCCGACGAAAGCGATTATAAGAATGTAGTCAAGACCCGGGGCGTCAAACCTGAAGATATCACAAAGAGCGTAAGCGAAGTTGTTCATGGGTGTGAGAAGTTCCTGAATGGTATAAAACCCGCTAAACAGTACAATTCCGCTTACAGTTCAGAAGCGACGTGGGAGGCATCATGCGCGAAAGATCCGGAAGCTTGCGCAGTGGTGTTTGTGGGAATTGCGCCTATGTTGTACACGGGCCTACGTTCTTTGCGGTTTGCAAGCCATGCAGCGTGCTTTAATTGGGTACCATTTTCGAAGAAGACTAATTTGGGAAGTGTATTGGAAGCCTTGGGTTACAAAGAGGCGGAACGCCGCGCTAACATGAGTGGTTCATATGTCTTCAAGGCACTGGAAAATGTGAAATTCCAAATGTTGGTCACCCTCTACGACCTCGCTGGATTCTGGGCTTTCTATTGAGTGGAGATTGCAGGCGGAATCTAAAGTCAGGTTCGGGAGAACAGGGTTTGTGTCCGGTTCTCCAGTGAGTGGCGTACGCATTCTCACGATACCATTTAAAATTTCCAATGTATTTATCACCAGTATGATATATAGACTCGTAATCCACAACACTGCCGGCATAGATTGAAGTCAAACTCAGTTCGGAAGTTCTATTCAATGTAATTAGGAATCTTGTTCCAATATCAAACGCGTTCGTCGTAGTGTGCGAGACAAACATTTTGTGGAGACCCTCAGTTTATAAATTGTGCTGCGCATTCCTCTAAGTCTTCTTAGGTAGATTGGCAATCATTGCCGTCTAGAGTAGCTTGCTGGAATAGCATTTGCAGGGATGCAGAGTGCCTGTTGTGCTCAAGGTGTATTAACCCTGGTACATCGTATCACCTCACAATGTAATCACTAATCATATAGGCTCTTTTGAGATAAAACATAGTTATTTCGTCTCACAAACGCAAACATGGGGGTGATCCGCATTGGTGTGGATGGTTCGTATGTCTTATGAATAGTTCGCTTGTTTTGCCCCGCAAAGCGGAGATGGACGGCAGTTCAGTGGTCCATTATATCTACATCCAATAGGTTAGGCAATAGGATTGTGTGTATCTTACAGCCAACCTCAGTATCGTGCGAGGAGTGCGTCTCCAGATAACGCAAAGAATCGGCTTGTCAATCTGATCCAGTTATGCTAAGTTAGGTGGCCAGGCGCGAATGTTACAGGGCATAACTAATCATGGATGTCTGGGATAGGGGCCAATATTTGCATTTAATCTGCCTAGTTCGCTGTGGGAGTGGCCATCCGTCGCGTCACTATTAGTTACGTCTCTTCACATTCGATGTCGGCCTTCAATAACTGTCGTAGTTACGGGACTGATGAGATGTTTACCTTCACTACAACAAGGGAACATACTCTGCTGCAGTCCATTTAGTGGTCTCGTATCCATGCTGACCTGTGATGATAATGCATTTAAGATAAAACTCGATCACCTCTTGCGCCTTGCTCTGCCAGTGTGTATCCCACCGATAACATTGGTAAAACCCTTCGTATATTTTTATGCGGCGTGCACTATGTTTTTGTCTTGGAGTCGGAAGATATCTGAAATCAGAACGCCGCAATTAGACCAGCTGCCACCACGGTTCGAATAATGGTGATCTCCATTTTCACGAATCCTGAAGAGACTCTTGTATTCTTAGTGTCACGTATATTGCCGACCATTCCACATTTACATTGCCGTGAGGGCTTATTTCCACTTTGCTTAGGTTCGCCATTTTCTCTGCTCCCTGTATACATCTCCAACTTAAAAAGTAAATACGTTAATTCCTGATCAAGGTCCCATAGAGATTTAGTTCGTAAGAAGAATGCATACTCCTCGAATTCTGATTCAAGTTCCCGTTGTTCTTTTACGAATTCAATTGCTTGAGGATAGGTTGGATCCATCTTTTTTAGTGCATCACTTATATCGTTGTAACGTTTGTAAATATCCCATGCATTTCTGATGTCTATCATGTTGTCATAAGATGTGTCGTATTGATATTGAATATCATCGGGAATCACGTCATCATTTGCAGAGGAGAGCCTGTCCGCTGCGTCTAAGTTTGCGTCATCTATCAAAGGATCATGTACTATGCCCCCTATTTTTGCCGCCTTTGCCTGAACTGCATAAAACCGTTTAAAGAAAGAGCGGTCGTTGAGTAAATCTTGCATCATTTCATTGCCTTCCTCGGATTCCGGGATACTTTCCCCTTCAGTATCCTGTCCTATATTGCCCACTAAATCTTTTTCGGATGCTGGCAGATTTACCCCCCTCTCCCCCGATGGCCGTTGATCATGAGATTGAGGAGACGGCTGAACTTTATGTTTTCGAATAAACCTTTTTGCCCTTATAACGGTTTCTCTATAAGATGGTGCGTTGTCTACACGTAAGATGTCAGATGCGAACCGCTTTTTAACTTCGAACACTTGTTCTAGATTCGTCAGATCCGTATTTAGCTCAGCGAGCCTTTCCTGCGTTATATGTTCCCTTTGAAGGCCTCTGGCTATGGCGCGGTATTCATTAAGCAATTTTCTTAATTCGGTGTAATTTACACTTGCGCTAATTAGAAGTTTAACATCACGAATGAGTTGATCACACTCTTTTGTGTCTGCTTCTTTAATTTCTATTGAAGCATCAGATTGACTTATATCATATCTTAATCGCGAAAGATCATAATCCAACTCAGTAGAATAACACGTTAGGGATTCTAACACTTTGACCCTACGATAGAACTCTGCATTACTGGCGTAGAACGCAATGCCTGTGGCAGGTGGCGCTCCACTACCAGAAGATTTCCCTCCACCGGGAACACGAGCAAGAACGCCATTGATGGCGATCATGTAGATGCAGAGAACATATGCAAGATTTCGACGTCCACAGCAGCGAGCAGACTTCATGTTGCCTATAATAATTACACAGCCGAACTCCGACAAAACGAGAAATAAAAATGGTCGAACTCAACACTTATTAATGTAGTATCTCAATTTGATTCTTATCGAATTTAATGGTCCTCCAGAAATTCAAGCATCCGACGTTGCGTTGAGGTTGAATCACTTGGAGATATGAGCTGAATCGTATACAAAATATCTGCATTCATAAAAATTAGAGTAACTTAAGAATTGATTATTGGGATTCTGTTGAAGTGTGATGCTTCTGGGTTTTTCTGTCTTCATATCACCTGTAAACGTCTATGTTACCTAGCGATTTGCGTCACCACCTGATTTTCTTGCTGCTGCATGTAGACACTAATTAAGTAGCAACAAATGCTTTTATTGCGCTATATATTAGGCGAACGGGGTTTTGGGGTATAACCAAGAATCTAGAGTGGTAAAAGTTGTATTATTTCATATAAAAATTGGCATACATTGAACAACCTGTTGTATGGTCAGCGTTACGCTCCCTTATGGGTCTAAAATGCAGCCATTGGTAACTATATACAACACCAGCACATGATGAACCAGTATATTGGACGTGCAAAATGAGTTAACATGGATGCAAGGATATACCTTCTGTGTAGTAATCGCTGAATGTGTACATCGCATTCTCCACGTCGATATCTTTTCCACCATGCGTAGTCGTGAATGGATCAACCGCATCTGTTATGGCCCTTTCGGCCGCAGCATCCACCTTCTCTTCCGCAGCAGTGTTGAACTGTCTGACGGGCGGTTCAAGTTGGCCAAACGCAGCTTCAAGCCGAGCTGTGACTTTGCCTTTAAATTCCTCTTGCAGCCTGTCCACGTTGAGAACGGACGCTTCGGCCTCGACACCTCCCTGAGATGGACATCTTGTTTACCCCATGTGGCACGCATAAGTCCGGTGCTGTGTTATTGCAGTATGTCTAGTATGGATATCATTTCGAAGTCACGATGCCGGCTTCATCGCATCACTTGTGCATCATCCTCCGACTTACCATCCACATAGCCATCCACCAAAGGCGCTGCGGTCCCGGTGACCGGGATGCATAGCATAGCCTCAAAACATACCTCTGCGTACGGACCCACAACCATCTACCATGGCATTTTGGCATGCACACTGTCCTAAGGAATACTATGCAGATAGACACACTACCCTGGACGTCAAATATTGCATTAATTAACCCATCCGAGTTGCCGAATAAACTGTGCGCAGAGGATAGTTTCTTTTGATAAGACTTCCACTCTCAACACATCTTTAACGGGTGAATTCAGGATGGTGGTGCAAGATAACCACGACATGCACTCGGTCCATACAATTTACGCCATGATGGGCTGACTGAGAGCGTATGTTTACGGTCGGTTACACAATGCGATTCCTCTTGTCAACAGTGGGACCGGTAATTGACTGAATGGTCCCCAGTTGTATAACAAAAATGCCAAGAAACCACTGGGTGGGTTTATTAAGCATTGCGTACATATTCCGATGGCAGTGGGATGTATAAGAACAATGAATGATGTGGAGTATAATGATTTCATCCGAAAATCGAAGCTATGCCCTGACGCAATCCACAGCCCCCCGTCCACGGCTAAATTGTTTTCCAGCCTGCTGAGACCCATAGATGCCAATCACTACCATATGTTGAAAATACATGTTGACCTAATATTTCAAGCCACGGGAACTTCTCAGCTGCATGCGTCTGTGGATAAAGAGGAGCCTAAGGCGGTGTGCAACAACGTGGACCACGAAGCTGGGTGATTGGTCAGCAATTGCAGAGGCTGGCCTCTGAGATCCTAGGTGAGATGATCAGTCAACTGCCAGATGAGTAAACAACATAAAGGTATGAGTGGATAGCCAATGGGTGACTAGTGATGGGCGAAGTGACGGGCGCCGCCGAAGACCAGTCCAACGGGATGGCCAGTGTACGGCCCGGTTAAGTGGCGTTTATGGGCAACATCGCGGTTATCACTAGCATAGTAAGCACGCACGGTAGCTCGACCAGGCGCTCAATAGCGCACCAATATAGTTGCACGTAGAGGCAGTAGTAGTCTGCCGGGTTGTAAGCCGGGTGGGGTTGCGACTGCGCAACTGATGCCACCTGACCTGCATGCCATGGAGCAGAAACTATTCACATGCGTCTGCCTCACTGATATATCCGTGGTGCGAGGCGCGCAGCTGTGGTGCCCCGGGCGGTGCTTGGATGGCGTCTGCCTGGTTGGTAGCAGAACGCTGAGGGGAGACGGCTTGGCGACGTCACGATGCGGGGTCTTGATAGGCATCCTGGCTGGAACCCGGAATGTCCAGGAGGTGTGCTGTCATTATACCACGCGGCGGGCTTTCACGTGAGTTGGCCTCCGGTTTTGATGGGTTCCTGGATTCGTCGCCCTCCCCTCAGGTGAGCGCACTATTTACCATCCACGCATTACAAATGTAGTTTACGGATCCGCACGAATACGTAATTGTCTGCGATCCCGAGCTTTTAGTTTCATTTCTATGCTGCACCTACTTGTCACCCAGCGTCTCACTTCGTAGCCCGTTCACTCAGCTCACCTAGCGGTTTGGCTACGCTGTTTTCGTGAGAGGCGTCACCTCAGAGGTGTTATTACTTCAGTGTCTCCTAGTTAACCATTTAAATGCGTTCACTTGTACTTTTGTGCCATTAGCCTAGTGCCAATTTATTAGTGCCTTTGTAAGCAAGATGACGGGGCATGGCATTCATCTCAACACTCTCAAGGAGTGCCTGCAGTTCCTGCATTGGCTGAATAAGGGGGGTGGGAGCCAGAAGCTTCAGGAGGCGTCCCTAAATTTAGAAAACCGTATTAAGCAATACTATACCCCCAACTTTCTTAAAAAGGGTGACGTTGAATACGCACTTTCCGAATTCGTTAGGAAAGCGTCTGGGATTTATGAGAGATTAAGCAAGGATCCACAACCGGGTAAATATGGTGGTGTGGATGCACAAAAAATCACTGACGCTCTGCTTGAGTGCCACCCTAAATTCTTCGCCGCTATGTACTATCTGCAGTACTGTGTGAATAATAGTTTCAAAAAGCTGGGCGGTGGGGGGTGGGAAAAGGATTACACAGGGTGGGAAGAGGATTGGCCTTGGTGGGGTAAGACTGGTTGGGGCGGTGACCTGCAGAAATATCTCAGAGCAACAGTCAGCGACCCAAAGTACAGCCAAATCCCCGGTTTGTTACCCGGGGGGTTCGGTAGAGACGAGGTGAGATATAGTTCCAATTATCCTTTTGGCTATTATCAGGGTTCTAATATGTATGTCGACCTCGAAAAGATTTTGGAAAAAAGACCGTACAATTTCTTCCGCAGCGTGTTTGTGAGTTCCGTCATTGGAAATGCAGCCAGTCGTAAAGAGAACTCGGCGAACGCTCTCTCACTGGTGAGGACTTTCTGCGATATTGTGAAAGAAGCAGACCCAGATACCGGCGGAAGCTTGATAACAGCATTAAATGCAGATTTAAAAGGTCAAGTGTATTCATCCGATAAAACCATATGCTGGCAAGAATTGAGAGACCATTGCGCTAAACTTAGAAAGAAATTTGATACATTTTTCAACGACCCGAAACGTTTTGACTTCACTGGGCAGTCGATTGGACTTGATAAGCTTCAGACAAAGGAGCTTGCTACAAGAGCAGCGAATTGGATGAGAGGGAATCTGACTAAAGTGCGGGGTAAATTGAAGGATATTGAGGAATACAAGGGTCAACATCCTGGTGCATACTTCACTAAAAACCTTTTCCCCTACGGATTCACATTTAACGGACAATATCGCTCTATAAGGTCGGACAAAGAACTGCAGGCTTTGGTGGGGGATTTGTACAGTGCAGCCAGAGAGCTTCAGACAGATGGCGACGGTTTGGATAGACTCAGCACAATTTTGCATGGTGTGCGTCAAATAGCATGTACAAAGCCTGAGCCCCCGCCACCAAAAGCTGAAGGGAATCAGAACCAGGGTAAGAAAGCTGAGGGAGCGCAGAACCAAGGCAAGAAAGCGGAGGGACCTCCACATCAAAATAATGGTCAAAGTGGAGATACGTCTTCAGGTCCAAAAGTTGTACAGCCTCCTGCCTCAGATACGTCTCCCGGTGATACAGGAGGTCAAGGCCCGCAAGGGCCTCCCGGTTCAAGGTCTTCGACATCTTCTCATGTTCCAGATTCGTCAGTCAATTCTGTTGCAACATCTACTCCAACTGGGTCTCTAGGCCCGGTAGGGTCTAAAGGTGATCCAGGCGCTCCAGGGTCTTCTCAGTCTACAATCACGCCAGTTATTACGTCGGTTTCAACTCCATCTCAAGGTCCTGTAGTATCGCAACAGCCTCCCCCTCCACCATCTCCCCCCAGTGCTCCTGCTGCAGCCCCCGGCCCCGCTGGTCAGCCTAGTGTTCAGGGTGCGGGTCCAACGCCCAGTAATGCTTCAGCTCCACAGCCTATTCTCCCTCCAGTCACTGTGGTTACTCAGTCTCCAAGTGTTTCAAGTTCAAGCGCTGGGCCAACTGGTGATCAGGGGGCTGGTAAAAATGCTGGTCAAGGTGTTACTCAAACTACAAGCAGCATCACTACTACGTCGGGTACCCCTCAGCCTGGTGGAGGTGGGAGTGGTGGTGGAGCTCCAGGAGGGGGTGGTGGCCCGCCTGCCGTTCAACAAGATGAATGTCCTGGTGGTAAGATGATGAGTCTATGGCCTAATAGTGAGACCAAATTCTGTGTTCGTGATTATGATTATAAGAGCCAGAAACCAATTGATAAGCGGTGGGAGAAGTATGATGCTCGGCAACGAAAGAAACATGGTGATATGGATGCGTTAATAAAAAGAGGTCAAACTTTATTGGATCAAAAGAAAGAAAAGGAACGTAAGCGACAGCAGCAGAAAAACCAACTTAAACAGCAAAGGGAGGCAGAAGAACGTAGGAGACAGGATGCAGAAATTGAACGTAGAAAATTGGATGTCATTAGATTGCAGTATCCGCTCATGGCGGCGCCTGAGTACCATGACAATTTCGGAGGGAACAGCCCTAAGAAAAGGACGCACAAGAAGGCGGCGGTGCCTATAGCCCACGATCTTAAGGTGCCCATGCTTGAAGGTTCTGGCATCCCCCTGCCTCCGTTGGGCGGCGGAGTTCTAGACGGTCTGGTGGGAGAAGTATTGCCAGATAATTCAATTAAAGTAGAAGACCACAAAATTATTGAAATTCACGATGCCAAGCGCAGAATACATTCCGGCAATGCACAGCGGCAACGTGAGCTCCAGGATTTGAAACTGAAATCAAAGCACGTGGATGAAGAGCGAAAGAGAGATATAGAGGCCGCACAAAAAGAAGCGAAGAAAATAGAAATTCGCAAAACACTTCAAAATCCGCCACGATTAACAGTCATACATGACCACCCTACAAGATTCACCCCTATTGGACTTCCCATGGCCTACCCGATTAAGCCGCCGAAATTGCCGAATACGTTTCCTCCACCTTATTCTCAGCCTATGATGGACATCACAGGCAAACGTATTGGTGGTCCACACGACGAACGTGACGAAAAGTTCCGCAGGTTTCAACGTGAAAATGCGTATAATGATTTCAGAGATCATTATGACCGCCGAACAAAAAGCCTAGCAAAGGAGGCGGAACAGTTGCAGAATGAAGCCGCCGCAAAAGACAAGGAAGCCGCAGAAGCAGGGAGGCAACAAAAGCTGTTGGAAGAGATGACTGAGGAGCTTATAGTTCCCAAACCAAAGAGCGACGGTTATAATCACGACTTTATCGTAAGCAATGCACTGGGTGCGAATTACACCGTGCCGCCAATTATTGATAAGGACCCGCTAAAGAAGTTTACGCAAGGCGGATACGATAATTCTCCGCCGACAGCAATCCCACCGGAGGAGTACTCCAAAGTCAGGATGGCATTGGAAGCCGAAAACAAACATACCGTCTACGGGGACGTTCACATATCCGTTCAGAAGCCGTCGTTTACTGAGTCACATGATGATTCCGACCAATTTGATCTCCACATTGATGTCCGCAAGCCCATTGTTCAAGACCCTGTCGACAACACGTATGATGACCCTTACGCCAATGACGACGACGTCCTGCGGGACGAGTTTAAAAATGCGGAGTCCTGGCATGGTGAAGACAAAGGCTTTTCTGTCCTGCCCAAGAGTAATTTTAACCTTGAATTTACTCCATCCTTTTTACAATCCGATGGGGATCATGATCCTGGTATTCCCCGGGATACTCCAAGGAAGCCATATGACCAGATCATTCCGGTGTTCCCTGACTCTGGAGTATGCCAAAACCCGTGGTACGTCCCCGATGCCTCCTCCACTACCGTCACTCCACCCCTCTCCCCGCCCCCAGACACGGACCATCTGCCCCCGCCAGACACCGTCAGGGAAATGCTCTGCTGGCTGGTTGGAATGGCTGAGTTGGGGTATGTTGAGAAGATTAAGGAGCATGTTAAGAGCATTTTGAAGGAGTATAACAAAGATGCCTCCCAGCCTCCAGATGCCCTCGAGGTCACCAGGGATCCTTACAACCTGGACGCTTCCATCGTCTCCAACACTCTGACACAGGCATGCCTCTACGCGGCCAGCGTTCTCCACAGGATCAAACACAAGGACATTTCGACAGCTGTTTCAACCCTTGACTTCACCTCAGAATATTCCAAGCTTTATTATTCCACCGACCCCGCCGCCCTCCTCTGCCAGCTGCGGGACTACGCCTACGTCTGTTACCACCAGCTGGAGTTCCTGAAGTCGCAGTGTAATCGGGGCGCCAGGCACGGTGGTTGGCAGGATTATGAGTACGGCAGTGGTCTATCGTCTCCCAAGTCCCCCCTCCAGGCCTTCTTGACTGATGCCTCGGACTCCAAGTTCGAGACTCATCCCTTCGACCCGTATGACATCTGCCGCAAGAGCCGTGTCAACATGGGATTCACAAAGGATGATCTGCCTACACCTCACGAAACCGGCAACCATCTTCACACCATCCTCTCTCCCAGCTGCGGCGACGAGGATCCCTTGCTGACATTGTCCTCCTACCTCACCTGCCTCACCAGGCGGACGCCGCGCACCACCGGGGAGCTTGTCTCATTCTTCCACAATTTCGGGAATTCACTGCACGAGGCATCTTCACAGTTGTCTCCACTGGGCTCCGCCCTCTCCAATAGACATGACGACTGCCCCAAGTGGGACTGTCTTGGGGAGGCCGACCTCAATGCAATCAAGGACGTCCTGGGCTCCGGCCCTCCCAACTCCAACCACAACAATGGCCATCTCAAGACGCTGTCAACATTTCTTGGCTGTGGTATCTATAACGTCGACTGCCCACAACTCATAAAGCCCATCACCTACCGGGCCTACGCCCTGTACTCTTCCAGCTTCGCCCACCACTACCTCAGCTGGGCGGCCTACCTACCAGACAGACTGTGGGAGTCACTGCTCAGGCTGCAAGATGATCTCGAAAAGCTTCAATGTGCCGAGCTCAAATCACTCCACGCTTGTCCCAAAGCCCTGCCACTCCTCTACACTCACGGGTTCACCCCGCCAGACGGGACACTGCAGTCGTCGCTCACGTGTTCCAAGGTCATCGTCAAGCTGGAGGAAGTGGTCGCCGGAGAGCCTATCGCAGAGCTTATGACCGCCATGGACACATTCCTCTACAGAGTCCGGGAGCCCTTCCTCTGCGCCATCATAGCGCTCTAGCTCGCCGCCACGCTCTACATCGCCCACTCACTACTATACCGCATGGACGTCCTGCGCATCCGCTCGCACCTCCTCACCACCAGGGCCTCCCACCTCATCGACGTCAAGGCTTTACTCGCCGGCAGCCGCGGGATGCTCTCACTCTACAAGGACGTCGACTACTTCGACGACGGCCCTTTAGAGGTATTTGACATCAGATAATAATATAGCGGTTAAACATACACGTGTCGCTGTGTGCCGTTTTTCGTGATTATTTATGTCAGCCAGGGGTGGCGGTCACTGTGGTGTGGCACTAGATCCACTAAATGACAGCACAAATAGCCTAGTAATTGCCACTTATACGCTTATTAGGTCATCTGATTATAGCGCGGTTCACATACAGCCACACCGTCGCGGTCACATGTTAGGTGACACTGCTCACTTCTGCCGTCTTCAGACATCCTTCACTTGAGACTATAGTTTTACGTCCCACAAGTGACACCTACGACACCACCAATATGGCTGCCAATGCACCATATAGATAATCGAATAACCCTTAAAAAACACGCAGTCTTTTTGCAAAACTTGCCATGCCATTTTTTCAAATGCACTCAAAGCAAGGGTTAAGACATGCATCCGATCAGCTAGATGGGGCAGTGGTGAAGGCGTCAAATAGGCAATAAAAATTTTGTTAAAGAGCTATGGAGACCATATTTCTAGCACATAGAGCGTCATTGACGTAAAGATGGAGACTCGAATGAAAGGGGTGAAGGACAAGGTGAACTAGCACCTTAGATAGGCATGTTGTAGGCGAAGTGGGGGTTTAATGGTCGAATGTGGTCTTATTACTGTAAGGTTAAAGAACAAGCGAACGACGATATTAACACGTGCGTCACCGTGTAGTTTGAAGGTTGATCGTCCACGTCAGTGAGGGTGTCAGAGCTTGGCTGCAGGGTGTGGAGAAGAAACATTAAAATGGTACAATGCCCTTGAATGATCTCGATGCTGCGATAGATGACCACATGTCTGTTAGTATACTATGTGATGCATTTACAGATGAGGTGGGATATTGGGAGGGGATTGGTGGTCAGTACCTTGAAGGGGCTGAGAGTGCGTTGGGTGGAATTGGCAAAAATGTTGGAGATATGATATCGTGTAAAATATGGTATTCAAAGAATATGTCGACAAATACTGGCGCCGCCGTTAATGATCCCAGGGTTAAAAAATTCAGTAAGGCAGCTGGGTGACGTGTTCACTAGGCACCAGATTGGGTTGAAGAGGCGTATTAAGGGGGAAATACAGGGAATGCAGGAAACGTTGCATCACATTGGGGAAAATATTGAAAGCCTCAAGACCCTACTAGAAAAATATTCACTCGATCACATGGGCCGTGGATGCGGCGGAGAGGTTGGATGAGACGCAGGTTAGGACGCCGGTGCAGTGCAATGATCCGAGGAGTGCACAAGAATCAGGGTGATGACTATGTCGCAACTATGAATGATATCTACACTGGGCATACGTCTGGAGCACAGCAAATGACGTATGTTCTCCACTTGGCGTAAACAACACGTCCACCTCGGGGAGGCGTCAAGGCTGAAGCCTCCGTGATACGTATGGAGTCGGGACACGTGTAACCGTTAGAGTATTGCTGAAGCTGCAAGGCCAAGTGCACAGCTGTTATGAAGCTGTAATTGGAAATGTCGCACAGAGAATTGCGTACAAAGCGCAACATTCACGGACGCAGCATTTACGTTACAGTAATACTTCATCTAAATTGTGAGGAGCGATAATTACATAGTTATGGACTTGGAAATCTTTGTAAGGCACTAGATAAAACATCTGCATGCGCATGCTTTTGTGTTATACCCGATGACGCAGTGGATCGAGCGCCCAGCCGAAGCTACCACCCTGGTACTCCGGATGCGGCCGCGAAAGCGGTACGCTAACCTATAGGTTATATATAGTTTACAATATTGTTGTTAGTGCTCACATGCGCAGCCGGTAGGCGATATATTAGGGGCATAGTCTCAGGTGCCGTATCGCCATATCACTGGGACGCTGGAGGCTGCGCCCTGCCTATTCCGATGTGATGTTCAATGAAGTTCAGGGCCGTGTGAAAGGAGTCAGGAGGGAAGATGGCCGCGGCGAAGGCGGAGGTGGAAGCCAAAAATGCTTGCAAATGTGATACAGGAAAATGCGAGCATAAAAAGCCTTGTTTTGATACCAGCTGTAAGGAATTCAAATGGTGTTGTCTCCCCAATTGTGTGGGCTGCGTAAAAAAGAGTTGCAACTCTGGGAAACCATGTCAATGTTATTCTTGTGGCTGTGAATGTCAGAATGATCCTGAAGTGAAGGCAGGCAAAAGGCCGTGCAAGGAGTCCCCAAAATGTAAACGCTGCGAAATAAAATGCACGAGTGTAAATGCTGGTGGCAGATGTTTATGTTACTTATGTGGCTGTGGAATATACTGTAATGGCGTGAATTGTCAGTGCTGTAAATGGTGTAATCCGTACACGGATTGCAAGGGTCCGGAATGTTGCGATCGACAAGAGGACGAACATGACGAAAAAGAATGCGCAAAAGGTATCTGCGCCAAATCTCCCGGCAAATGCAGCGACGTCAAATGCAAGTGTGGAGGCACGTGCCCCAAAGCTAAATGCGCCAGAGAAAGGGGCTCAAAACCATGCAGCTGCGACAAATATTTGACCGGAAAATGCAGCTGCAAATGTATCTGTGACTGCAGTTCCTACGGCCAGTTTCTTTGCGAACACGGCGCAAAAGATGGCAAATGCACCGAAGATAACTGCGAGGCAATGTATTACTATGCTGGTAGATGCCGCTTTAAGTGTACCAACTGCGGCAAGTTATGCTCCCAAGATGCATTTAGGCGCGGGTGCTATATAGGAGTCCCCATACTCTTAATCGCAGTGGCCATGGTTTCCGTCTGTCGTATGTATCCTGGTCCATTACGCAAGGTGTATTACGGACTGCGTTCTACATTTACTAACTCGTTTAAAAGTTCCGGCGCATCCACGAATCTTGCCGGTGGAAGGATTCACGAGGAGATTGACACTGATGAATACTCCGCCTTCCCGTATAAGGGCTTAATGTAGCTTTATATAACACACGTTGAATGGCATCGCAACAGATGCCATTTGAATGTCGCATTAACTGTTATTGTTAATGTATATTTCCCCTTTGCGAGATTTATGCGTTAGGTGTTGGGTGGTGGTTTAGTTGTGGTTGTTATGGCTTAGGGGCTGAATGAGATTGACAATGGTACTTGCTTTTTTGTAGTTGAGTGTCTTGTCGGTGCTGTTCCACATAACCATGCTGTCACCGACAGCCAACCCACATAGCACACTCTAGCCACGTCAGATACAAAGTCATCGTGCTACCACCGACGAATAATTGTGTAAGGTGCAATTATGGTAGCAGCTTAATGTATGTACCGTGCCCGTGTGGGCAGGTAGGGCAGTGGAAAGGTGTATTTAGGTGGAGATGAGGAATGCATTGGGGAGGAGGTGAAAGCAGGAGCTAGGCATAGAACCAAGGTAATGGAGTAAGATGAGTGGGATTAAAATAAGTGGACGAGAATAGTGGAGGAGAGTGGCACAAGGGCGACGTAAGGAAGTCGAAGGAGGAGCGCAGCGACGACGACCTGGACGGTGGACAAGGGGTGAGGAGGTTGGTGGAGGCGGTTAAAGGGCGATGGAGTAGGGATCAATAGCGACGGCAGGGAAACACAAACGAAAAATGGGTAGGGAAATCAGGAGAGCTGCGGAAAGTAAAACAAGGCTGATGATAAAGTAATTGTTGGTGAGTCAAAGAGCGATTAATTAAGGGTGAAGAAAAAGATTAGGAACAGGATTTGCAGCTATGAGAATAAGGGAATTTTGAAATGAAAGATTGAGGATCATGAGAAGAAGGTAAGGGGGAAATTGAAGGATCGTTTATAACAATACCTCCAAGACTCAGCGCACCAAGTAAGATAACCTACCGGACAATACTGGCGGACCGACGGGGAAAAATCATCAACATCGTGGAAATAGGAGTAACCAATCAACATAACATTGTTATAATAAGCGGATTAAGACTCCGCATAACCATGATGACACGGCCTGATGGACGCCATCACGGATGGTACCTGTAGCGTTCGGCAACGCCACGACTTTGAGCCCGTAACCTACACGAACGACGTGAAACGCTAGCCTGGTAAACACGAAAGCCGGCCCTAAGCCACGTAGCCAGATAGCACACTAAACATAGCCAAAACAGAGAGAGACCCGTTTAGTGATGGTGAATGGGCTATTAATATTGGAGATAGGTGATACTGAACGATGTTTCACCGCCCCCTTTGACGCCGGTGGTAGCTCAGTTGGTAGAGCGGCAGACTGTAGAGTTGTGGCTATCTGTTGGTCGGTGGTTCGATTCCGCCTCACCGGACTTTTTCGTTGCGGCACGTCGCTCTTTCACACTGCAATTGAGCATCCAACAAGCAACATTCGAAGGTTTACATCGACATTTATACATTATTGTCTGCGTTTTCAAATGTTGGTTGCCTGCCCCTCTACCTCGTCTATGGTTCGCTTATGTCTCGGGTTGACGAAGTGCGGCAGCTGGGAATTCTTGAGATATCTTATGTTGACTGCGATTCGGTCCTTGTATGCTTCCATTTCAGTCCACCCGTTTATGATTTCTTTGAAGCCCTTTATTGACATTCGCATGTCGAATGTTTTTGCGGTGGGTTCCGTTGTGCTGTCTTTTTCGACAACTTTGCGCTTGAAGCCGAAAAACACGCATGATGCGTAATCCCATTCGTGATGCTGTATTCATTATTGGAACACCTTAGTATCTTTTTTACCTTGTACTTGAAGAACTCCGGCCATGGTCTTACAAGGATGCTTGGAACGACTTCCAATTTTTTAATTAAAAAGCGCATCCGGCTGCCAATCCACCCTTCCCACTTGCCATGTATCTGCAATTCATATATTTTGGGAATATTGAAGGTGCCTCACATGTTCCGTTGCTGCCATCACCTCTATGACGAGGAAGTGCTTGTGGGATGCAAACATGTCCTCCTTTTCAAGGACCTGCTCCCACACCCTGGACATATCGGATGCCTTCCTTTGCGATTTGAGCAATTCATGCGCCCTTTTGAACTCCTCCGTCAGTATGCGCTTGGTGGTGAGCGTGATGTTGTGCGTGGAGTTCATGGAGGGGAATGCGGGTGTGATGACGGGCATGAGATGTTGCCTGTCCTGCGAGAGTTTGAAGATTACTGAGGCGTTTTTATACTTACTGTCGCGTTGTTTCTGGGATCCCAGACCTTGAATGCCATATATCCCGGGAGGTTTGGCACCTCTTTGATCTTACAGAGCATGACGGGAAACTTCCAATTCCACTGCGCGTACACCCTGAAAAACTTTTGTATGAGTTGGTTTGGGAGGAAGTTCGGGTACAGTTGGCACACCCGTGCCGTGAGGATAGCCCACGCCACTCCTCCCATGTACCCCATGACGGTGGTGTAGAGACCTCTCCTGTTGGCCCAGAGTTTAACGTATCTGAGCGTTGTCCTGAAGTTTTCCTTGTTGGGCACGAGTGCTAACATGAGCGCCGCCACTCTGCATCCGTTGATGCTGCGTGCGGTGGGTTCGTTCATGTTTCTGAGTATAGCGTCGTCGAGGACGTCGATTTCCTCGCGCACGGTTGACGCCGGCAGGCTGGCGAAAAGCAAGTCAATATCAATGCCATCATATGTAAGTTTGATTACTGGCGTGTAAGCGTCGGGAACGGCGTGCAATTTGGTTATTAAGTTGACTTGCTTTAGTAGGTTGTAGAAGTCGGTGAAGAAGGCGTCCCTGGTCACCGACTGCGGGCAGAGGCATAGACAATCGATATCGCTGTCCGGAGCCACAATTCCGAGCCTGTATGAACCGAATGTGAGAAGCTTTGCTGATATTTTTGCAGCCTCGTCGTCTTGTATTCCTAGGTGGCGCGCCGCATTTTTTCGGACAAATTGCTGCAGCAGACGGTTGAGCGCTTCCAACACCTTTTCCCTCTTGAGTTTCCCCTCTTCAGTTTCGTATAGGTTGTGCGCTCTCAAGAACTTCAGAAGTTCGGCCGTTGCCTCTTTGTCGCCTTCCGCCGGCCCCTCGACAGTGACAGGGTCCGTGATCCCGTACCTCTCCTCGGTAGCTCCAGCATTAGTTTCATTCATTTGCGCTGAAATCTTGGTTTGGTTGGTACTGCTCTGCAGCTATTCTTTGCGCGGAAGGTTCTTGATTGCCTTCCTCACGATGCGATCACTGTTAATGCGCAGGTTCGCCTTGTGATTGGAGATTGGGTCGGCTTAAAAACATGACAGTGACACCATACGGCTTCAATAGCACCTTCCGGTGGTATTGATGATGGCTTGAGACGTTATTCCCCCTTGGTGTTCCCTGCAGTTCGTCTGGTGTATATTAGCTAGTGGACGCATATAGTGACCCGCATGACTGTAGGCATCACTTAGTCCCTACGATAATAGTCCTATGCAAAAACTTCTTTACCGTCGGACACGTTTTTCCTCTGATTGAAAACGGCTTAGCGTGGGTCAAATACCTTGCACAGATGGCGGAGTCGCTAGACTGCATTCCAGGGACGAACACACCGAGCACTTAACCCTATTTCTTATCAAGCAATTGTATAAGCTTTTTCATGATATGCTCTACGCGGCCTTCCGGTTGAGCAGCAGTTGTCGGGACGCGTGCTAATCTTGTTGTCGTGCTGTAAGAACAACTGAATGCTACACACATTTACGAACAGGCGGTTCGTGCTTCTTTATTGAACGTTGTAGATGCCGATTTAATGTGATGTGTGAGCGGGTATTGCGTTGTTTTCGCTGGTTCTAGCGGGTTGTTTTCCAAGGCAATTGACCTCATGTCTTGAGTTAGGAGAATCAAGAAAGGTGTAATTTTATGTTTAGGCGCCGAAGTGATAGTCGCAGTAATTGGCTATTGTTTGTCTTGTCGGACTGGCTATATCATCGGATACTGTCTATGTCTAATGTGTATGCCGACTCACATGTAACGCCTTAATTTGCATCGATGTGGAGTTTGAGCCGCGAAAGTAGCGCGAATGGCGCTGAAACTCGCGCGTCTGTCTTGGACACGTTGTTGCTGCGTTCTTCGACGGATGACCTTGACTTGTCTTCCAAGGGTTACTGCTCATCCGTTGAGACAGAGTCTGCTACGCCATACATGAGTTCAGATGCATCATCGAATCACATCACGGCTTCTAATGCCACTACCACGCTTTCTCCTAACAACTCGAGGGAACCTAGGACCCCCACTACTCGGTCGGAGCAGCTAGCGATTCTTCTGGCACGCAATCACTACTCCGCGCCCGCCTGCTCGCTAGAATTTGTGAACCTCACGTCCAGCATTCGGACTTCGGTTGAGTCTCAGCGCGACTCCGATGTAACGCTACTGGACAACTGCTCGTGTCCGTACGCACGTCAAAACTCGACAACGCAGTCCCCACTGAACGACGATCCTTCTCCGAGCAGCCAGGATCGGTGGGTCGACGCTTCTGGCGATCAACAGCCGCCTGTAAACATCGACAGCGTACCCTTAGATTCGGCGTTGGTGAACGAAGATGGCTGCGAGGATACGCAATCCGTTGAGGGGGAGCCGTCGTCAGCCTGCGCTTTGATGAATATGCACAAGGCTACTCAGGCGTTAGAGCGTACTGCGGAAGACGGCATCGACACTACGAGTTTCCCTCTGGGTCCCCTGGTGCGCAGAAATTGCGTCGATGTGGGAACGAGCCCCATGCCACCCTCGCCAGGTGAACCTGCGCCATCGCCTCCAACTTCTTCTGCCGTCGATGCTGGCACCAGTCCGATTGAATCAGTGAAGAAATCTATCCCCGTCTACAGCCGCAGTCTTCTCTATCGGATTCGAGTGCCTTTGGCCCAGAGACTGCGCAATTCATGCTCCACCTTGGGTGGAAGCATACCCAGCCCCCGCCGGTCTAGCGTGCAGCGTGCTAACATGAGCTGCGAACGCACGAGTGTGTCATTACGCCTCAGAATTCAGGATACTGCGGCTGTGGATGTCGAAAATGAGACCTCGGCCTCTGATGGGTTGTCATCTACTACGTCTTCCGATGTTAGGCGCCCCGTAATTCCGGAGAACGCAACGGCGGAAGGTGGAACATTTCTGAAGCGCGTTCGCTGCTTGAAGAATAACCGTGAGGGAAAACGACGGCGGGCAGCTTCCGCGTCACCGAGTCGGGGGATCGTGGTGTCCGGCGAGCTGTGGCCTAATGGCACCATGAAGTACATTGGTCCTGACCTTAGCTCGGATCAGGCAAACAATGGTGGAGATGATCGTCTATTTCTGCTCAACCAGATGTTTGCCAGGCACTATCATCTATGTAAGGCGCGACAGAACAATAGCCATTAATGGTCAACTGCGGGGCTGTAGCCGCCGCTATCGCAAGGAGCAAACCTGCTGCACATACGGTTACCACGAACTCAAAGTAGAATATTATGTGCCTGAGCATCTAGTTTCATAGCCAACAGTGGTTAGGTGGTACTATTCGCACGCACTTCTCTGCAAGACGGCTGCTGCGGAGGCACGATGTTTACGCTTGTGGCTGTGCAAGACGTTCCCGATAGTCATCCCAAAATGTTAACATATGTGTTTGAAACGGCCGCTTTCACTCTGCAGTAAGGGCCAGTTTCCTCGTGTTGAAGTACGGCCGCAATGCCCACTCGGTTTCCAGGTCGCGCATATCCACAGTGCCAAGCTCGATCTTGAATGGCCGCATGACGAACCTCGGCCCCACTTCAGTCAGTTGTACTTCCTTCTCATCGCCTGTATATCGTTGTGACAGCACCCAGGATAGGTCCCTACCTTCTCGGTTGTTTGCTGCCCAGACGTGGTGCCTGAAGTGGATGTAGTCGCGCTTGTTGACAAAGGACAGCACACGCGTCTCGTCTTGGTTGGCCGGCGGGAACATGTATCGTATGACATTTTTCACCCTTTCACCGAGCTGCGATGAGAAGTTGTGGAAAATGAGGTGCGGGTATGCCTGTTGTGGCATGGGAGACGGCGGCAGTATAAGCTCTTACCTCGGACATTGTTGGCGGTTTTTCAGGCAAGTCATGCCTCAACACTACTTCAGAAAGCTGGAAGTATGCAGTGGGGCCGTGCGGGAGATGGCAGATGATCATGGCGTTCGGCTCTCCCCTGTGCTCGTACAGCAGTACTATGTCCGATACGTCCTTTGACTTGCAGAACGTGACCAGATCCTTAAGAATGTACGATCCTCTGTTCATGCGTTCGGAATTAGGTATTATAAGCCTAATTTCCTTGGCGAACTGCGATAGCCTGGAGGAAGGATCACGTGAGGTGGTAACCATAACCTTCGGTTCCTTGATGCCTGAGGAGTATTTAGGTATTATCAATAGATGATACATGTACATGCAACGTCGTCTGCGATCACAAGAATCTCCACAACTCACCCACAAAGGCATATTCGTCATCGGCGTGGGTGTGCTCCTCTCGGTGGTGGGCATCTAGAAGGTCTAGAGATCCTTGTACCTCACCGCTGAGGTGCCTTAGCTCGGTAGGTATCGGTTTGTTGCTCTTGATTGCTTCCTTTAGCTGCCGCGCCTTCTTGAGCGACGTGCTCTGCTTGTCTTCTTGCGCCTTTGCGAAGAGATATTCGCGGCGTTCCCGAAGAGTCTTCCGCAACATGTTGGCGCACTTGTGTATATTGTGTAGAAAGTTTTGCGATATGCTGGTTTACAGCATTTTCATCGTGTAATACTGGCTGCCGAATGTGCGATAGAATGGGCGCGGTTTGAGAGCCTCCCCCAATTTCACCGCCGCTATAAGGAATCAGATGTGCGATATTTACAAAATTATAAATGCGATTCTGCATTAATATGCGACATAGGCCATTTCAGGGCGACGCTATGGGGAGTAAGCTGCGGTGACATCGCAGCCTATTGGACGGTGGTAGTATCTGTATTTGAAGACAGCGCGGTAAAACCGTAAAAAATCACAATTGGATTCCACCTTCACCATCAAACATTCCCTACAGACGCAGACATCAGCTTTTGGGGGACTCCTTTCGTGGCCGTATCTCTAAGAAGCTGTCTAACAGCATCTGGCCCGGAGGAAGCGCATCCTTTGGGCGTGACCCTTTAGGCAATGGGGATACGTCGCATTCCTCCCTGTATTCGCACATTTTGCACTTCCACGACTCTTGTTTCTGCACGTGTTAAATCGAGCTAATGACAAACATACTCTAACAGGCTCCGCATGTCGGTTTCCATCCCAGAAATCGCACAGGTACTGGATAGTATACATAGTGGATGATTTTTGGAGATCAATATTTGATGTGTTGAACACCTCCCCCTGGTGCTCGTACGACAATTGCATGGTCGTTGCGATTTCCGGGAGGCGCATGAAGGCGTTTCGGAACCGCTTTTCGAGCTTAGCCAGGCACCCCTCATCTACGAGTTCTGGTGATACAAAGGGAGCCTCCTTGTCGCACTCAAAGGCTTTATAAAGCGCATCAAATCCCTCTTTTCCGCCGCGCATCCTTTCTAGCATTATGCAATAGGTTTGAACCTGTAACGCGGCACCTTGCATCTGAGAGGCGCTGGGCTTGCTCTTTTTGTTGCGCGTCTTGGTATCCGATATGCACACTTTCTTCTGCCTTGTTGGTCCCGACCTGATGATCTCCAGCTGGTCGATGACCCCGCGGAGAACGTAGCCGTTAATGTTTGCGAAAAGCCACAGCTCGCGACACTTCCCCGTAGACATGAGCTGGTCTATAAGGTTGACTGAGTTGAGCAATTTAATGCCCAGGAAGTCCTCATTGGTCTCCACTGCAACCTCAACCACCTCGTGGTCTTCCAGCTCGAGCTGCTCATGCCGCTCTGTCCCTTGCTCCATCTCCTTCGTGACACGCTTCCGTCCAGTGATGAGCATGAGCTCAGTTTGCTTTTCGCACCACAACTGCGATGACAGATCAGTGACTGATAGTGTCCAGTTTTTCCTGAATTTAATGACGGGCGGCAGTTCAACTACGGCAGTTGTTTCTTCGGCCGACAGGGTGGCACCCATGTAGTCCTCAATGTCTGGAATAAGTCCTTCGAGGACATTACTGTCGATCTGCGTGTCATCTTCTGTAACCTTACCGTCCTTCGCATCTTCACTCCCTTTGGTCTCAAACGCTACGTTCTTATCATCCTTCTTTGCTATGCGATAGGTTTTCCTCTTCTTCATTCCAACTTCGTTGTCATCCATGGTGATGGTTAGCCGTACTGTCCGTTATAGTGATATAATTATGATAATTGTGGCGGCGTCTGAATCTCATCGCTGCGTTAGACCACATGAAAATTAGAGGCAAGGGTACCTAGAATGCACCGTCTATTGCCGAAATAAAGCTATATTCACACGTCCAACGCGATGAAATGACTCCTTACGATACACAGGAATCTCAGGAGAACAACGTCTTCATGTGTGTAGATCGCGGTCGTCCATCGACAGACTCTGTGTTGCCTTATTTCATCCAACACATGCGCCTAATGCAGACGATAGTGGTTTATTACAACGTCTACCGGCATTTATACTAATATGATTGATATGTGGTGTCCCATGTGAGTTATACTATCCGACATCTCGTGACTACAGCGTCGCTAGTTATGAGCTGCAAACATTGGCACATCCGCCCCAAACGCTACAGACGGTTAATTCCGTGTTTTCATGTGCAGTTCAACGTCAGTTCTGACGGTGTTTATATATGTTAAAAAGAATTCGATTACCCCGTTCCTAGTCACTGGAAGGCGCTGAACTCTCTAGATGTGTACGTTGAGCGCGTCAAGACAATACTTTATCGGCGATGAAGAACGATAGACTGCGCTGTTTTCGGGTGTTTCGTTCCGGAATCCCGGATTTGTCGACTCCTGTTATGCTAGGTCGTTAGGTTTGGCTTATTTCGGTAATTAACCCTCAGGAATCGACGAAGCTGGGAGAGGGCCGGTTTTGGGACCTATGGTCTACGGGGGTTTCGTTTGTCCGATAGGGGATGCCTGCAACAACATGCTGAAAGACGAGATTGGCGTTAATGACTCCAAGAAGCTGACCGCCGATGCGCGTGTTAACAAGTTCCGCCAGCTGAACACAGCGTCCAAACCGTTTGCCATATGCGCAGAAGTGCTGACACCGAAGTTCATCAGCTACAAGATGTTGCAGAGGTATCTCTTCAGTATACCGCAGCATATTCCGCGCAGAGACAGCTACAACCTTAACAAGATATCGCACGACTCAGCCATCTCTCTGATTCGCCACTTTCTATCGCAAGGATTCAATTTGAAGGAGGTATGAATGCTTTTGGTGCTCTTCACGCATTCCAGGTGTACGTGGATGCCGTTGGTTCGACGGGCGTCTACGAGGCCAAACTGCGTGAGCTGTTTCCTGGCATCCGCTGCGTTGTAAGTTTAGCGTACTGGATATCAATGTCCATTTTCTTGCGTCCTCAGCGGTTTTATTCTGCATGCAGGTTGCCACTAAAGCTGATTCTAAGTTCCCCGTGGTCAGCGCAGCTTCCATCGTGGCCAAAGTTATTCGCGATAACATGGTCGAGTCGTGGCTGTACGACAAGTCTGAGCACGTGGAAGTGGGATCCGGTTACCCCAGTGATCCTACCACTGTGAGGTTTTTGTCTCGCAGCGTAGACAAAGTCTTTGGTTTCTCGACGTTTGTGCGCACGAGTTGGGCCACGGCGAAGAACATACTAGCGGACAGCAATGTGGCCGCCCCGTTCGAGTGGTACGAAATCAACACCAAGGACAACGAGCAGGAAGCTGAGCGGATGAAGGTGATACGTGAGACCGAGTGGCCTCCCTTCCGGACGCTGCAGACCATCACAGAGCTCTAAGCTGTACTACCGACAATCGCATAGACAGCCTAATAAACTTATACATATTAAAGATCGTGTCAGTGCGTACGGGATGCGATCTAATTACGGCTACGCAGGCGGATTGTGGCGTGTTGTAAATGCAGCCGCTACTAGAATTCGAAAATGGACATATATAGGCATTAAACTATATTAACTTGTATATACGGTGACACCTATAAGCATCTAATTTCAATCCATATGTGTATCGGCGACGTAACGTGTCATATCCAAAAGACGAATCTCTCGGTGCTGCCTCCCTCTGATGCACCGGGATCGGTCAGAAGATCAGACGGCAGCTCAGGCTGCGCCGAACCGGTTATATGGCTTGCGCCATCAATTTGAGACGGCTTGCCATCGTACCGGTTTCCGACAAACTGCACCAGCCGGGTTTTAGTGTAGGCTTTGAAGTTGCACGTCTCACCACCCCGTGGCCGCAGCTCCACACAACACACGTCGCCCCGCGTCTTAAAGCCTAGTTTCTGGAGACGCTCCACTTTTGAGTTCCGTAGGAGTGTGACGTGGAATTCGTGACTGACCGATGTTTCATACTCGGGGAAATCCTGATCCACTTCCCCGACAGTTGCGGGATGAGTGGTATCGACATTTTCTTCAGTAGTTTCGCTTGCGTCGCGCGGTACCACATTGGATGAATTGCCTTGCCTTTTCGAAGAGGGGTCCACACTGTGCTTTTGTTTGATCTGATCACTAAGGTTTCCCTTTCCCTTGCCTCGCTTAGCTGGCTCGTGGTCTATATACTTGCTGCGCAATTCCGCCAGCATGTCGTTGAGTTCCTCGTCTGTCACCGCCCCATGGGGGTCGACTATGGCGACGTCGGCGTACGTAATCTCGACATTGCCGCCTGGTGTGATGTATATGCCCCGTGCGGCAGCCTCTGCCTCAGTCCATCTGCCTGGGTTATTGGTGCTTTTAGCTTTCGAAGCCATCTCTTGCGCTACTCGTTTCTTTGATGTTGTAATTATGCTGTTCACTGCCCGTTTGACGGACTCTTGGAACTCTGATGCGATATCGGAGAGATTATCTTCTGGCCGTGCGTGGGTCATGAAGACACTACGTTGCGCGGCCCTCCCTTTGTATACGATAGGTTTGACACCAGCCAGTTCGATTGTGTACGGCTTTCGTACTCCATCCGCATCCGTTGACAATGATGACACGGCTAGCGTCGTGGCCTGCAACGCCCTAACGACCGCGTCCACGTCTTCATCCGTAACTAGATTCAAAAGCGCCAAAGTCACATGCGGCCGCTGCTCGAACGCTAAGTCCTGGCCTGATAACATGGTGTTTACACTAAGTAATCGAGTTACCTAGAATATCTTTTGCTTCTTGCTTGAATTGGCTAAATACACGCTGAAAATCAGCGCCCCGAACAGGGAGGCAGAGATAGTAGTTGTATATCCGGCTTGTTCTACACATATTGAGCATCTCTACTATCGCTTCCGATGCCCTGCTACCGCTGGCAATGAGGCAGTGATCGTTTCCGCGCGGAGTTAGACTCATACGGACGTCCATGCGTTTCTCCAGTTCTCGAAGGTGGCCCCTGATAAAATCGTTGAAAGCAGGCCTTACAGTCACTGCGACCTGTTCCATCACCACTGGCTGTACCACTGAAACCTTTTCGGTATCATTATGAGTCTGTGGCTCCGCTTGTCCTATTGAGGATTCCGTCGTGCTGCTGAAGGCGCCTTCCTCCGGCATAACAAGCTCGGTTTCAAGGGGCACTGGCACCCTAAACGTGTCATACTTCGGGGGACTAGCGCCTGCTCTCTGTATTGCGATGGTGTCGAAGCGAAAGTGATCACCCTTGATTGTGACCATTCTGTCTACGTGATTGTCGCGAAGGTACCGTTTACTGCCGACTTCCGCTCTTGTATCCCGAAATACATAGCTATTCTGCCAACGGTTTATTCCACAGCAGATGCGTCGGAAGGCTATGGTTCTTACTATGCTGAAGGTCTCCGTGTGTATGAGCGCTACAACGAAACCGACGTAGACGCTGTAACGCGCAATCATTCAAATTCAGCTCACGACATCTCTGTAAAAAGCTACTAAAACATATTATTAGTATTGAAAACTGTGCCCGAAGGTTGATGCGCCGCAGCACGTGCGGAAGGCACACGTTGACGCCGCAGTTCGCATTTAAGTTGCCGCAAACATGCTCACGTTATGTAGCAAACGGTATGTACGTGATGTGTGACAGATGCGCGTGAAATACTGCACAGTGATCACATACTACCTTGCGTAAGTTATTGGCAACGTATGTGAATGTCGAGCATTCTCCCAGAGAATCTGGTCGTTATCCACGCCCTTACAAAGTAGCGCATTTCCGCCGTCCATAAGGTTCCGAAATTCCGCCTGCTTACTTCCGCAGTCCGGGTTGATTTGGGGGGTTAATCCTCGTACACGTTAGCCTGCTAGAGGGAGAGGCAAAATTTGAGTTTACCAGATCTCCACATCGAGTACGGGTTCACTATACGATAAACGTTTACGTCTTCGTGTCCGACACCCGATACGCGGAAGATTTCGTACCTGGCACCCTTCTGCTGCGCGAAACACCATTCATTGTAGCTTACTGGGAAGTAGTTCCTATCTGAAGACGAGCTGCTTTTGACCTCTATGAATACTTCCTCGCCTTCCGTGTTATGAATGGTTAAATCGTACGCAAGCCCGCTCTCCGCTGTCTTGTTATACCAACTTATCGCAACCTTTTTGCTATCCAATTCGGATTTTAACAATGCCTGCAGAAGTTCGAAGACATATTCCTCTCCCAAATAGCCAACTGCATAGCTACGCTGACTATCCGCTACATTCTTGCGCGACGTGCGGTCTGCAAGCTGCCGGTTCATCTTGGTTGGTTTGACGTACTTTGAAGAGGGGATGTGCTCATATAAGGAAACGCTGCCAACTGCGCTCCTCAATTCGTCAGACAGCACCAACATATAAGCCAAATGTTTGTGTACATCCTTACAAGATGTGGATCGTCCATGATAGAGCTGCACCTGAGCTCCATGGTCATTGATTGCATCCTGTTGTGAAATGCTCGCGACATCTTCCTCTACTTGTAATGGCGAACGCACCGACTCAGGTGCTGGATTTAAAGTAACATCTTCATGCCTACTAGTCGGAGGGAGGCTCTTTACTGCGTCTCCATCATCCCTCTTTTCATCTCTAGGTTCTGCGTGAGGGGGACATATCGCTGAACGTAACAAATGGGTCAAATCATCTGCAGTATTATCCGATGGCGTGGCCTCTATTCCAGCAGAATCGGATTGTACCGACTTGTCTACAACATCCACATGTGCGGGCGTAGATTCAGAAGAACTAGAGCTGTCACCGTTGACAGGTTCCGACGACCTGGACACGCCCTGGTGGTCAGCATCTGGTAGTTCAACGTTTGCCGATGTCGACGGAGAACTCGCAATGCTCTCAACATCACAAGACTCATTGCTACTAGATGTGCTTTCGATCGCAGATTGACCTATGGGTGAACCGTACAGTAAAATATAAACAAACGGATCCATGACATTTCCCAAGCATACCTCTCCACTATCTAGGTGCGAACCGTGCCCCTCTAAGTAAGGCAGATTTTTCGCAGGAACTCCACCCGACGTTCCTTTAGCCGCAGTTTGATTTACTACTTCCGATTTCTTCATTGTAGTATCTACATTGGCGTCTGAAGCCGCTTTAGCACACACATCTCCGCTAGAGGTATTACGTCCAGGCGCAATAGCGCTACTGTTGCCAGGCAGCTGATATAGAGATGGGAACACATACTCAGAACATAAGCACCTTCCCGATGGTCCAGTGCTGTAACGTTTCATGAAAGTATCTACCGCATTCTTGGGCTGCGTCATTATCATTTCATAAATGGCGGACATAAATTCTCCTAACAACGTCTCTTGTTCGGTCGTCCCCACAAATCTGCTGTTCAAATCCATTGGAGGAGTTGTGGGATCGGAGAGGAGGGACTTTGCGAGGTTGACAAAAAACGACTCGGGTAAACCTTTAAGATACCCTAATTTCGTGGCTTCTTGTGCACTAGATATAACATCCGCCGTGCTGTTGAAACGTTTAGGCATGGCGCTTAGGACTGCATATATCTTTATGGTACCTGCGGAATCGCAATGAATGAATGAGTCGTCCGACACACGTGTGCCCGTGGCAGACACCCCACCCTTGCGGTACCGATACTCCATCAGAAGTTCGCCTGTTGTGATGACGATGGATATTCGACTAAGAATTTGGGGGAAACGTTTACAGCACAGGCTGTACTGATCTTTCATGCGATGTTTCAGGTAGTAATGCACATAAGGCAGCAGCGCTACTAATACGTAGACACCCATAGGCCACGGACATTGTTCCGCCTCAGCCCCAACTACCGGCTCCATCCAACAGTATTCCTTAAACTCTGTTGCTTCCAATGTATCCAATATGTCTACCCATATGCCAGTTATTCTGACGTCTGTGCCAGGGGGATATGCCTGAAAGTACCGGATCATGTAGGCATCCAGAGGTCCGATGAGGGGCTTACCGGCAACCCATATGCCTAATTGTGGACCCAGCGAGAAATTTTGAAGCAGATCCACAGAATCCGGATCACGTGCGACAACTATACCACTGGCAGGCGCCACAAGCCTATCCATCTTGGTGGTACGCCGATTATCATCTTGACCCGGAATGAACATGTCATCATATTCGCACGTCACAGGTATGCATTTACGTTCCCAAAGGGCTTCCGTAAACTCCTCCTCATCCAATACGTTATAAAGATGTATTATGCACATGTAAACAATTTCCAAGTTTTCTAAGGCATTTTCTTCTGTGATATTACCTAGGATGCGCAGCGTTTCTGCGGCCGACATGAATTCTTTGATTCCCAGGTTGTACCAAAAGACCCCCAATAATGGGAACTCTGCATAGTCATCTGCGAGTGGCGTGAGAACTTCACAGCCGGTCATAGATTTGAATACTACCAACCTCGGATCCTGCGCAGTGCATACTACTGGCTTCTGAGGCGAGCGCAATGAGTTGACACATGGACCAAAAGATACTATCAACTCTCTGCACCAAAACATGGTACGTGCTCGAACGGCAAATAAGCTATCCTTTTGCATCTCCCGATACACTTCGATGTATATACAAGCGAGTATTCTCCTCAGAACCGCAGGTTGATTTAAAAGAATACTATCGAAAAATCGCTGTGAAAACGAATGATTCAAACGCTCCAGTGTGGAGGGGTCTCCCCAATGTTGTAGCCCCTGGTTTGTGCCTGTCTGAGTTGAAATGCGACTTGGAGTCTCCAAATTGGCCTGGCCACATTTTGCAGATATGAAATTCAGTATTTCCAACAAGTCGTATGATTCCTTTGGCAGCAGAAGTTCGTTTCTAACTTGTTCATCAAGACTTAAAAACAGAGTGCAGGGATACCCGATGTCGTTTTCTAAGGCAATGGGTGGCACTGCTTGCCAAGTGCCAACAGGTCGTGACTTACTGCCATGTTTGTAGACACATTCTTTGTACGGAAGCCACGGGATATGGCGCAACTGGTAGTACAGCAGTGAATGACCGAGGGGTTGCTGCCGACCACCAAATTGCAATGTAGCCAGGTAATATTTAGGGTGAAGTTCAAGCTCCTTGTTCATAATGTGGTACAATAATGTGGAAACATGGTGTGCAGACGTCCACTGAAGTCGCAATGCCGAATCGTCTCTTTTATGTTTACTTGGGTCCCCACCACGTGCATTACTTGGGTCACTCCCATATAGTTTACGCACGGCATCCACAACGCTAGCGAAGTCTGGGCTATACCAATCTTTCACCACCTTATGAATGCCAAGCAGATGCGATCGTCTCAAATCAGAATCAAGCTGCTTGGTACGGTGCCAAACTGCTGTCTTTATGTCGTCGGGAAGCATGGGCAATTCATATTTACCGGAAGCATCGACCGACAGATCCAGTGGAGCGTATGTGATGAAACTGAATACACCAATGTATGCCAGCGTGTCAACAAAATCCTGGAAAGTAAAGCCAGCTTCCGAAGATTCGCTGTGTTTGGCAATACCTGCAAGATAATCATCACTGAGGAAAATGTGGTGCAGATCCGTCCGAGTGGCAAAGGTTCGGATATTGCTGTAATGTTTAGCGAGATCATCATTTGCGGACATAATTTTGCAGGCGCTTCTGTGGTTGGGACAAAAGCGGATAAAGGGATCACCAAGATGGGTTATCTTGCCGGTGCTAAGAACTACTGGCATCGATCTGATCACCTCTATATCCTTAGGGCCCAACAATGAGAGCTTTCCGCAATTCAGAGCCAAAAGGTGCAACACATCTCTGCTGTCCTCCAAAATTTCGTCAGGACCAAGACGATCTTTTGCATCAAGCATCTTGCGAACTTTGGTGGTGATTTGTCTGGACAACAAATTCTTGTCTGTTAATTCCACGCAACCCAGAAGTTCCAATATGCCGGCCACACGATGCTCATACCCCTCTATTTCCCAGCAATTGTCGAACAGGGATGGTGATATAACCTTGTGAATGTCGTTCATGCATGTATGCTTGCCGCTACGAACAAATACGGTGGAATCGTCGACAGAGATGAGCATCCCCTGAGAATCAACCAAGAGCAACTCTTTACGAATATCATCCATATCACTAGGAAGCGCCATGCGCTCCAGCAGGCACAACACCACCCCCATGTTGCCAAAGAACTGCTGCGCCAGCTGCGGCTGCGATGACAATGGAAGGGAGATATCGATTTTTGTACGCAGTCCTTTCAGGAGTTGGCATATAAAGGCAACGTTCATCTCACTTATTCCGACATTCAACATTGCACCACGCAGGTACGGATCATGAAATTCCTCGGCGGCATAATACATATCACAGTAATCCTTGAGTAGTTCCGAATGAAACACCGCACGCAGTATTTCCGGCGTATCCTTTTTGGACACGAGGCAAGTGTCATCTGGCGGAATTATGGCCTGCGAAGGAAGGACAGTCACATTTGATTCACCGTCAACAGCTACCCAACGCGCCTGCTTCAGTACTTCCTGCGCCCGAGCGCAACATTTTTCGAAAACACCTGTGCCCGCGTCTTTTCCCGGTATCGCGTATATAACATTACGGTATAAATTCGCCTCGTTCCGGTAAGCTTTGGATATTACAAAAATCATCAAAGCGAATGCGAGACCGGCATGCTCCGCCAATATGCTATTCCATGGATCATCGCTGATGATTGTCCCTCTGCTTGCAGATACGACAAAATTTGCGTCAATCAGAAATGGCAGACCATAATCAGCCACAGGAAGCCCATTGCAAACGCTGTATGTTTTACCTCCAACGACATTTGGCAGAACTGGGACGCCGACCGTGACAGCATAATCCTCGTTCACCTCTTCGGACAAACCCACAGCAATCCGTTCAGTGCTATCAAGTTGGAAATTGTATGTGAACAGGAACACGCATAAATCTTCCACGGTAGAGGCACCATCAAATAAGTTTCCGACCTCCTTCGATATAGTGATAACCTGAAAACAACTCTTAGTCACATACTCCGAATCACCCGGGACCGTAGTGGTGGATGAATCTGCTGTCTTACTCTTACTTTTACTGCTCACTGTAACAGTAGCGGTTTTATACGATACCGTTTTTTTTATGAAACGTGTAGCGGTGCTTTCGGTGCCGTCTACTAGCGTTATAGCCGTAAGCTTTCTCAAGAATGCAAGATACAAGGCGTCAATTTTCTGAAAATCTGAAAAACAAGTGTGTCGCCCATTAGCGATGTCCCCCTTCTTAAACGGCAGATACATCAGCGTGTTTGGTATGACACCGTGCCTCTGCACCAATTGCGAAGCTAACTCTCTGAAAAGGTTTCCACCCTGAGTCGAAAGCCTGTTTTTGACATATCCAAATGGGTTGGTGTAGTTTCCAACACAGACCCAATGAGGCAGGATAAACTCCGTATTATTCACCATATCGGGGTTGGCGTTGAACATGAAGTGGTAGCCATTAGAAAAGACGAATGGCGATTGTGTAACTAAGAATACCGATTTGAATCCTCTACCGAATTTGCCCACCTTGCTTTCACTGCTGTCAATCTTACTGCTGGCCCCTACATCACAAAGGGAACGTACGTCTTTTTCGCTGAAACCACGTTCGTTATTAATAACAACGATGCCTTCGTTATCAAACAGAAACGCAACTTCGGGTGACTTCACGTCATAATCATTGTCATCTGCGTTTTGCAGTAGCTCCTGCTGAAAATGAACTCGGCTATTATAAAGGTCTTCACTAAGCCGCCCAATTGAGCGCGCAATCCTCTGACGCTGCTTACGCAGCACTGTGGCAAGATTTTCGGTCTCTGGATTTTGTTGTGTTACCGAATCGCTGGGGTTTGGATTCACGCTAACACCAAATTCTTCGTACCGGATATCGTTAATCAACTTTTCACCACGCGCTAGCAGTTCGGGATCTGTTGGTGCCCAGAGTTGCCAATATAGATTAACTACGTCGGGAGAAGTGTCTCCCGACTTTCCCACGATTTCCGGCGATGGCGGAGTTGAGTCGTCTTCACCTTCATGTAGCCTCTTTTTCCGTTCACACACAGTATCAATGCTGTCATTAGCTGTGTCACGGGTCTTTTCAACAACGGGATCGCCGTGTCTTCCTTCCTGTGTCGGTGAAAACTTCATTGAAGACGATTTATCGACATGATCGGATGGGATATACCCAGAATTTTGTTTGTTGTCTGCTGCATTGTTACACGGCTTCCCTACATTTCTGTTAGCGGGAGTGTTCGCATTGAGAAGTTCTTGCTTATCCTCGGGATCACCATTAGGATCTGAGCCCTTGGCAGTGGCAGCCATAGGCGCTGCGCATATGCCTGATACTGCACTAGATTGCTGAATTTTTGATGAGACGACTGCATTTGTATGGTCAGGCGTTGGCAATGCTGTGGGCTCGGCGATTGGTAGTGACGTATGACTGCATTCATTTTCCGGCTGCGATGACTTCGAATCTTCAGCATGTTGCACGTTCTGAGATCCGGACGCTTCTTCCCAGCCCTTATATCTCCTTGCAACAATAGCTTTGGCCTCTTCCCAATACACGCTGACAGGGATATTGAAGAAGGAACCCATTAGGATAATCTTGTCGTACACCGAACCATTCATTCCCCCTTTTAAAATGAGCTCGCACATGTGGATCGCAACACGACGCATGCACTTCTTGCTGAAAACATCCGTATTATCGAAATAAGCTGTGCAGAATGGTAGTAGCAACATGTCTGGCATCAAATCAATACATTTTGCCAAAAATAAGGGCCCAGGTTCACCTGGAGAATGCGATGAAAGCATCTGGTTGATGGCTTCGGTGAGTTTATCCCTCGAAGGTAGGAGAGAAATCTTCTTTACCGAAACGAGTAGAGTCAGCCCATGGGCAGCGAAGGATCTCGAATCATTTTTATGAATCGCAGAGATCATTTTCTGTAGGATATCAGAGGAAGATGCAAAACCCTTTGTTGAAGGCACTTTTATGGCAGAATCGTTTTTTAGGGTGATGAACGTTACGTCACCTAGAACATCCGGTGAGCAATTCTCCAACACGCCTTTTAAAGTCCCATGATTTATCTGATGCCTCATAGACCAATTGGTGACGCGATGGATATCTGCCATCATGGGCGATGCGGCGATCTCGTCGTACAGCTCCTGCATCTTATGCACACTCTTTGGATCATCTACGGTCTCCGCTGGAGGCTTCTGCCTCTCTGCGTAATCATACCCGAGTGCATATCCATCTACAGTTGGCGAGACCTGAGCGCTGTCGTGAGTTTCGAGGTAATGCGAAATCGTTTCCTCCAGGCCATCTTGATCCTTTTCTGACGTTACATCGATTCCATAATCTTCTTCCAACATTCTACGAAATGCTGGCATCATGCTCTTAACGGCATCGCCCACATCCTGCTCGTTAGATGGTTTTGGCAGCGGGGCGATACTGCCCAGGAGAAAACGAAATCGACGAACCAATCGTCTGGCATACATCTCTAAGCGTGTATTCGACTCACAAGCGCAGCGGCATTCATCATTAGCAGCTACATTTATGCCGGGAACGCTGTTGTTCGATTTCTGGAAAGCTTGGCTGTTTTCTGGAACCGTATACGGCATAGGGGTCTGATCAAAAGCGCCCATATGCTCCTTCGCATGACTGTGACCTACCTGATACAAATATCTGGACTTAGATCTCCCCATTAGGTCGACGTTGTAAGGCATTAATCCATAGGCAACCTGTATCAACCGAAACACAATGCCCAATAGGAGCTCCAGGAGCATTTTCTCCGCCTGTGCATCGGTGCAAAGATTTTTGACGTTTTCCGCAATAGCGCTAACAATTGAGGCGGGGCAATTTTTACGTTTCGACTTATGTAGCATCTTCATGACTTGCTGTTCGATCTTTTTGATGAGCACCACTTTCCCCACGTATCTGCGATCGTTGTTTGATAACGCTGCGGCCATGATATGCGAGCAGGGGAACGTGACCTTAGGGCAATTGCAGTTGAAAAATAGCATGTCTACCATACGGCAGTTCTCAGAGTGAGAGTGAACCACGTAGTAATCCGTGTACGAGTGTGCGTAAACTCCCCCAACCATTTGCGATATACCCAACGCCTTGCTGAACCCGCCGAACTTTTCCATGCACTTCAACCAAGAGCTATCTTCCTTATCAGTCGCTGATACAGGTACATTATCTTCTATTGAACCTTTTTGTGATAACGTTTCAGCGTTCTTCGCTGGCTCGCTGCTTTGGGAGGCAAGAATATCTGGTAGCGAAGCCTCGGCTGCGCTTGTCTCGCTGCATGATGGGCTTAATGTTTCATTTGATTCGGGTAGAAGTGGCGCTGATCCAACATCGACGTGGACAGGAGGCGCGGTGGATGCATCGCTTGCTTTCTGTAGACCAGCGGAGAATGCGGCGGCAGGCTTCCTCGACGGCCGTTGCGAAGAAAGAGATGCACGGTATGAACCATCGCTGCGCGAAGGCCACGCTTGGACAAAGGGGTTGTCCACCATTCTGCCGCAGAATCGTGTCAAATCTGCGAGAAGGGAGTGGAGGCCTTAATATCGTCAATCCTCGCCGGTTACCGCCAGCAGCACGGCTTGCTGCGTAATTTTTGATTAATTACCTGCGATTATGTACTATGTGTGCGATAAATAGGTCGTGTTGAAGTGGACATTATGAAAGGGACGTCACGGTGGCATCCCACCGAACATCCTACCAGAATTCGACCTGTCAATCTTCATTCCGACGCGCTGTAAAGTTATCGAGCGATCTATTGCAGTTAGTGTGAAACAGTTAGCATGCGGAGCGTTCTCTTTCTGCACCCGGACCGCCGGTCCAAATCAGATCTAACGCGATGGTCGCTTTGAGGTATCTTAACCGTACAGCGCGACTGTTGTGGAAAATACAACACATTACGACATGCTAAGTAGTCGTCACATTATCGGTATATGATGGATACAGTGCCTTCGACCGTACTAACGGTGTGCAGCCTAGCCTCTGATGGCCGGCATTGACGTAGGAGACGCCACCCGACTCAATTCCAAGAAGACGGAATATCACCCACAGCGGTAACCATTTGCAATAACGGCATAGACAACACTGTTACGGCGCGCATAACAACTTATTGGCGCGGCTCGGTGTGTGACTGCACGTCTTCATGTAACCTCGCGCAAACATAAACGACGATGTAATTGAGACATTGTCCATCCCTATCACAAAAATTAGCTGTTTTTAACGGATAATCGTGGTGTCCCCAGACATGCGTCGCATTAGCGTCTACCTGGACGTGCCACATGGGTAGTGCGCCACCGCCTACACACATAGTTTACTTATCACTTTTAATAACAACTCTTCAAGATGATTCCGGAGATTTCAGTTATTCGCCAGGTGGCGGAGAACATTGAGGTCCCGTACAAGGTGACCCAGATGCTTGACTCTGACGCTGAGGTGCGTCTTGACCAGATCGTTGGCCAGCTCAGTCTTCCTATTGAGTACCTGAAGGATGTCGCCCAGAGCTTTTATGCCGAATTGGTGAACGGATTGAAGGCACACCGTCGCCATCGTAACCTATGGCTACCGAACGAGTGCAGTTTCAAAATGCTTGATTCTCACATCACCACCGTTCCAACGGGTGAGGAGACGGGATGTTACTATGCCATTGACTTCGGAGGTTCGAACCTTAGATCTGTGCGTATCAACGTAAAGGGAAAGGGTACCATGGAGCGTATGCAATCTACGTTCAGCCTTCGTCACGCCACGGCTCTGAGGCCCAAAGGACTGCTTGACCGCACTGCCACTGCCACCGAACTTTTCGACCACTTCGCAAAGAGCATTGGAACCCTTATGGAAGAATCCGGTGATGCTAAGGACTCCAACAAGATCTACCCAGTCGGCTTCACCTTCTCGTTCCCCTGCACCATGCTCACCAAACGCAACGCCATTCTTCTTGACTGGACGAAGGGTTTCGAAACTGGTCGCGACACCAACGAACAGGTGGAGGGCCGTGACATTGGAATGCTCATGGACGACGCCTTCAAGCGCAACAACGTCAACGGCAGGGTGTCCATCATTCTCAACGACACCGTCGGCACCCTCATGTCCGTGGCTTACCAGAAGCCCCAGGGCTACCCTGAATGCCGCGTCGGACTCATCTTAGGCACTGGGTTCAACGTGTGTTACGTGGAGCACGAGTACATCCGCTACGGCTACATTGGAAAGGTTATCAACATTGAGTGCGGGAACTTCGACAAGGAGCTGCCCATCACCCCTGTGGACTACGAGATCGACTGGTACACGTCGAACAGTGGCCGTGGTAAAATGGAGAAACTGATTGCCGGGGCATACCTGGGTGAAATTATCCGCCGCAACATGCTTCTCTATCTTAGCGAAAAGGCCACCGCCAACATGTGGAAGGTTGGCACATTCACTGCCGTGGACGCCGCCGACATCGTCAACGACAAATCCGAAGACTACGCAAAGGCGCGCGAAATCGCTAAGAAAACCTGGGATGCTGACTTCGACCAAAAATCGCTTAGAGGTCTTCGCCGTATATGTGAGGCTGTGTTTGACAGATCTGCGGGTCTGGCCGCTGCTGCCATCGTGGCCACTGCGCGCAGAACCCTCGCCCACGCCACCAGCAAGATCACCTGCGCCGTGGATGGTTCTCTGTACGTGAAGAACGAGTGGTACCGCGAGCGCATGCTCCACTACATGGAGAAGGTCTCCAGGCCCGACCTTGTCGGTTCGGTGGTCATGTACGCGTGCGACGACGGCTCTGGCAAGGGTGCTGCCATCGCGGCGGCCATGATAGGCGCTGAAGAGTAAGTTGCTTAAAGCGTCCAAACGTGACGTTGCCACGCATCGCCGTTGGATACCGCTGCATCAAATCGCTCTGAAAGCCCACGTGCTTAATTGCTGAAGTCGATATGGCCCCTGCTCGACGAATGTGTACGATACGTATACGCGGGTGTGCGCCCATCTCGTCCATTACATTTTGAGCCCCTCCTGGGGCATTAAATATTATCCTTTAATTTCTGATATTTACAATGCCACGAGGCGGCCATCGTGGCATTTTATTTGCGGTTAGCGGCCGCGCTCTGACGGCGTTCGGTCGGCGGCGTAGACGCGGTCTCTACCATCACTGCACTAACGAGATATTTCGCCCTGCCTGGGGGCCTGTGCGTCAACCGCCGCTGCTAATGGATGCTCAGCTGCCTAACTGGGCTTCAGACACCCTGTCTCCAGCCGAGAAATTGCCGCCCAAACCGCAATACAGCCGCGACGCCAGGTCGGCCTGGCCGCAGGAAAGTAGGTGCCACCATTTAACGCCCATTCACGGATTCAGGGTCGTCTTTCCTGCTCAACATGTATCGCCGGAACGTTAAGCGCTACTTTCATCCCGCAGCAGTCGCGAATGACGATCATGTACGCAATTACATCTATGAGGTGTTGGAGCCCAGCCATCGCAAGTGCTTCAGCGGCATCGGAGTAGACTTCATGAGGCAGGTAGGATGCTGTAACAGTACTTACATTGCGTGAAGTCATCGAATCCCGCAAAGCACATAGCCGACGTTGTCAAAGACGTCAACGCAGTGTCGGCACCAAACCTGGATCTCAGGTACAGGGAAGACGCAATTCCCAGGTACGGCGGATTTGAAATAGAGAAACAAAATCCAGATTTAAACGCATGGAAAGCCTTGTACGGCAGTCGGAGGCCTGGAGCAGCGTTGCGCCCATGCAAGAGGCGTCCGCCAACCCCTTCCCTCACGTTAACGAGAGTGCGTCTCTCGTTCGGAATCTCGGCCTGGCGGACGTGCTACACACCAAAAGCAATCACAGACTTGCCAGACGTGCACATCCCAAGTGGTACGCTGCCAGATATCGCAAGTTCATGGACAAAAAGCGGCTGCAAGAGAAGTTAAGGCAGCTAAAAATTGAGACAGGGGCGTAATCACTCGGAGTCTGAGTAACCGTGAATAAGGCACTTTCCGGGTGCAGATTTGTCCTTTGGCACGCCCACTGTACCAGGAGAAGTTGTCTGTTCCGAATATGACACTGAGTTACGGTCCGCCACCTCGGGTGGTGACGGCTTTGGCGCATCAACGAAAAGTTTGCGCACATGGTCCGGCACATTGCTGCTCACAAACTCGGATAGAGCGCCGCCCTCGTTGCGCTTTAGGCACGTGTAACATTCGTGCAGCGGGTGGCTGGAATCCAGGAATGGAACTTGCTCGTTCGCTGCATGGATCTTGAGCCTGAACTCGAAAGCTTCGCCCTCCTAGGAACAAATTAGGCAACACATCGCAAATTAAGTATATATAGTTGTATATATGGCTTACCTTCCTCACCATACAAGCTGTATAGGCCATGTCTAGGAGGACTGCGCGATCCGGCATACGTCCAGCTGGAATCACGCGCAGCAGCTGCGGAGGCAGCTCAGGATCGCGGTCCTCCATCAACGGCAGTGCGTCATAACATTTCTATTGACGCAAAACGTACTATTGATTTCAGTGCTGGTGACACAGAGCCAGTCGATAGCACGCGATGTCGTGTTGCCCGTTATTGGCATGTAATGGGCACACACTTCACTCTACTACAATGACACCTCTAAATCATATAATGAAGCATCACACTAGTTTGCGTTGAGTGGGATTCTCGGCACCTACACACCGACAACTGAGTGTGTTAGGTCTCGCAGCGTGTGATTCGAGAAAACGCCGACATCGCAATAACACAACGGTGATTGAACATGAGGAGTCTTGTGGTTTTTGCTGCTGTAATGCTTGGATGTGTATCGCATACGGAGGGATCCCGTATAAGGAAGAGTTACACAGGTACGTGATTGAGCAATGTGTGATATTGGTCCTGAGTGTACAATTGTGCATCATTATACGAGCCACAAATTGATGACGTTGATCACGTGACACTGTATTCGACAATGAAGTGTGCAGATTCCTTTGTCTATGCCCATAATTTTTGCTGCGTACCGGCACGCTGGCACATGCAGATGTCGTTCACGTTACCATTTTTATGCGTCGCACACGTATATACGATAAAGAGTACGCTGATGTGTTGTAAAACCTGTTTCATATTGTATGAGCGCATGCGCACAACTATAATAACGCTGCAGACACGCAACTCGACCTCTTCAAAGGTTAATGGAAGGGTGGTGTGTAGCATATTTTGCAGATATCGCCAAGAATTTGAAGGAAGAGAGTGAGCAGATTCCCACAACAGCCGAAGTGGTAAGTGTGGAGTGATATGGTTGCAAGGTTTTACAGGTCGAGAACATGAAACGGTTGGCAGCACGGCCGTCGCCGCACATTGCGTTGCAGATTGGATGATGCGGAATTCAAAAAGCTAGATGCGCGCATCGCGAAAGAGACCACGGAACTCAGTCAGGAACATAGCAGGTGGGAAGGAATGCCCAGATGCCTCACATCATGTTAGCTGCGGCACTGTAAATTACGAAAGGGATTACTCGCATGCGTGTCCCTCAGGTGAGGTTGCAGATATATGATATAAATATGGCGTAGAATGGACCCTACAGGCAGATGGCTCATGCTGGTAATAATGTGTACTATACGATTTTTTCGCAACATATACAGGGGCGAGCATTACTCGGGACCGTGTGAAGCCATTCAAACATTCAAGTTGTTCACCACGGCCGATAAAACCAAATTTGTGAGTCTGATTCCAACTCTTAAACCGCTCAAAATTGTACCAGGAGCATAGATGCTGCGCATTCTGGCCTGCTCGTGAATCACGTAAAAGGAGCGTTTCGAAGTCGATACTGATAGGCGCGCTGCACGGCATAGTAAGTAAAATATAGAGCATCACCACACATTGCGTACAGGTTGACCCACACAATGGGCACATCGTGCCTCCGCGGCAGTGATTTATGCAGTTACATTACAGCTTAATGTTTACGTGCAAACGTGGCTGCAGCCTGAAAGCGGGGGTTAAAATTCCCGTGCCCGGTTTTGCCTCGGCGATATCACGGTCGTTTGCGTACCTGATTTAATTTTGCAAATATTACGTATCAAGTAACCTACCCCAGAGTGAAGAGCAATGGGCCCCATTGGTAGTTGAAGTACCCCTGTCTATTGCCGTAACCGTGTTCACGCAGCATACACGAGAGTGCAAGCGTGAAGTTTACGCCGCGCTTCTTTTTGCTCTTGGAGTAGTTTCTTTCTATAGCCTTCTCATGTTTCTAAATCTCAATCAGATGTGGAACAAAACCACATACCGCATACATGGTCGGTTTCGGCAAACCAGTGTGCACCGACACTATGGCTTCGAGTTTGTCCCGTAACTGGTCTCGTCCATCGCCTATGGTTTCTTCCACCCACTCCGGTAGGGGCATCTTATTCGACAGGGATGCCATTGCGTCTGCAATCTTCCTGTCGTGGTCTGCGATAATTCTGTTAACAAGAGCGTCTGCGTCCTGCTTGGGATCTTTGCCAAGTTCGCTCCGCAACTGCTCCTTTGCTGATGCGGCGGCCATGAGAACAATTCTCAGGTATGCGTCATTCGCGAAAAGAGAGAGGCGCTTGTATTCCTGATCCACGTAATGTGACGCAATGTCGTCGGACTGCCAAAAATGATCATACGGCCGCATTTTACACTTACATTCATGTTGCGAGTACGGAGGAAAAACGACAAAATGGCGTCAATCATACTCGACTGCAAGATGGAGGTCAAATTTGATTTTGGTGACCCCTTGTACAGTTCTCCTAGCCTGTCCTTTACATAAGTACGATGCGATGCGAAGCAAGCCTCGTGTATCTGCGCCATGGTTGTAGCTGTATCGTTGGTTCCCTGAACCATCGAAATAGCTTTTGCGATATCTGCTGTGCATATTATGAGGGTACTAGGCGACCTACCATCGGGGGTGCAAGGTGTCTCCGACTGACTAATAGACCTGTATACGCTTTCCTCATCACCGTTCGACTTGAAAATAAACTTAGGGCTCCTTTGGACGATATCTGACAGATGACGTTTGAACTGCTCGTACACCGAAACATCCTCTGCAGATGAACCTGGTTTTATTGTGTCCAGGTCTGGTATAAAGACGTATACAGTCGGACCTTTCTTGCTATCTACGATTTTCGCCAGGTCCTTCAGCAACGTCCTGGCAGCTTCGGAGAGGCGGAATGACTTACTGCCACCCCGGATGTCCGAACGGTTCAGGTGTACCAAGACGGCACCCGATCGCTGACACAAACGCAGCAGCGGCTGTCTATCGAAACCTCTAATCGGCTCGTTGGCGGCAACAGGAATGTCGACATCGACAACAAGGGTGCAGCGGTCGGGTTGTTCCAACTCCCACAGATCCGCCCGCGGCCTCAATGGTCCGCCCAAGGCGGCAGATTTCACCAGATCTATGCCGAATGCATCATGCAACGCCTTTCGTTGTGTCCAGTTGCTGGCACCTATGCACGACACCAGAGAACAGTTGCTCGCCTTGGTGCCTCTAAGCCTAGACACCAAATCGCTCCTTGCAAGGATTGAAGGATCTCCATTGAGCGAATGCTGCAGCCGTATGACATTGTTATAAGCAACATAGAATCATTTATAAACACTGTCCGGCTCTCGTAGCCGAAATCATTGAAACACGTCTATATAGTAGGCTCCACCTACCTTACGCAGCGTAGAGACGCAGAAGCAGCCGCTGAGCAGTAGCAGTCCTAAATAAGGCAAAACGCCATATCTCATGGCGCTGCTGCGATATGTATAAGTGCGCCAGTATTTGAGTAGAAGGGCCGAGATTCCATCGGCCTATGGAATCCACGGGGAGTCTGAGATTGGCTTGCCAGGACGGTGTAACGGCGCACAATCCTTAAAATCACGCATGCAAATCCATTATTTGAAAATTGCCGAACACATGGGATATGAGCGGATTCCTACTAATATAATCGCTGACGAGTGTGTAGTATGTGTGACGTTGATACATCGGCGGAACCAAATTGGGTCACCGAAACAGCCAAACTAGGGCACTCACATCAGCAATGTGTGCAATTATAATTAATAGTGTGTAGAAGATGCTACAGACATGACTCGCCTTCGGCCGGCGGCGAGGGAGCGCACATCTGCCGTACGACTGGTGTCGAGGAATCTCGCTTTGCGGCGTCATTACAGGCAACAGCACTATTAGAACAGCAACAACACGATGCGGTGCATTGGTACCATTTTGTACCATGCCTATTTCGTGCTAGCAGTAGGATTGTGCTCTACATTCGCCTACGGCGTGCAATGGAAGGTCCTTAACGCCGGTGATCCAGGTAAGAGGAGGAGTGATATAAACTGTATGTGTGTCAGAAGACAATAATGTAACGAGAGCAGCGAGCGCCTTTTCAGCCACCACTTTATACACCTTCGGAGGTGAATGGGAGGGTACGTGAGAAGTCTCTGACCATGCTTACAACCCACAGGAACATATAGCAGAGACTTGCGGCAGTTCGATTTTCTCAAGAAGGAATGGACTAATGTGGAAGTTAGTGGAACGGCTCCTGCGCGGAGGGCCGGCGCAACTCTGACCAAGCTAGCATCTGCGCTGTACCTGATCGGTGGCCACAACGAGAATGGCACAATGGGTAGCATACACAAATATGGTAACCATGCAAATCGGAATCTTTACATGTGTATTTGCAGATATCATCACTAACAAGTGGCATAACGTGCGCATATCAGGGGATGTCAACTTTATCCCGAGGAGTGGCCACGCGGCATGCACGGATGGCCAAAATCGCATTTTCGTCTTCGGGGGATACAGTGATGTGGGTCACTGGATAATATAATAATGATGTCATTGGTGCCGTAGGAAGGACTCTTTCTCAACGATTTGTACGAGATACATTTGAGCTCCAAGTCGAACCCTGAATCTAACGCCCAACAAATCGACGCCACATTCAAGCTGCTAAGCACAGGTACATTGCTCAGATTGTAGAATCACTTGTCATACAGATCTCAATGCGGGTGCTCTCAATCCGTCCCCCAAGGAACACGCATCAATGGAGATTGTTGATGGAGTGCTCTACCTCTTCGGGGGGTATAGCTATGGAGGCAGCAGCAGCGACGGAATGTAAGAGCAAATACGCATGTTTCACTATTGATAAAAGGTGGACGTTCGATCTTAAAACGTCCAAGTGGACAGCGTTGGAGTCCGAAATGTCACCGCCGCCCATGGAGGGTATGAGCTCGATAACGATGGGCAGGAGCATCATCTTCTTCGGCGGCTGCGACTTCAGCTACAACTCAAATCGATGCTACAAGTTAGTTGTCATCATGATGAAAATGACGTTTGTGGTAGCGATTTATGGCGTTTCGACACCACAACGACAAAATGGTACATCATACCAACCGCTGATGACAAACCAGCCGCACGTGCCTTCGCATCCATGGCGTTCCTTAACGGTAAAGTGCGTTAGTAATTATACAATTGGGTCACAGATGGTCTAATTCTTCATGGGGGGTCCAAAATGGACATTCGAGCATTCGGTGAAACATACCAGCTTCTCGATATGCCCTGTAAGGACCCAGCCCACACGTGCCTAGGCAGAGGTAATTTGATATTTTCAGTCGCACCACTGGATATATAGGCACATGCTCATCCACGTTATGTATATGTTCAAATGGTTACGAAGGTCACGACTGCGGAATAACGTCAGCGCCCGAAGACGCCGTCAAATCTGACGATGTACCATACTACACAGAAATGTGAGACATACAACTGATGTGAGTCTCCACACATTAATCGTGCAAAAACATCGAGTGTTAATATCGAAATTAAAACTATGTTATGATGAGGGCATCATAGATATACGCCTCTTCAAGAAGCCGGGAAGGGCTGAGTCCTGCAACGTTCGGCGTACCTCGTCAACCGTTAGTCTACGGGTGCCAGGGTGGTTTTGGCCTGAAAGTACCATTTTCAGCGAGTTCAGCGATACGTGGCTTTTCTTTAGCACCCACATCTTCCTGTCACCGCGCAAAAATGGCATGGCCACTTGCTTCAACAAACTCTCAAACACGGGTGCCGAATCTATGGAGTATCCTTGAGCCGTCAACTCCTGCGAAATTTGCTCCGCAGAGTACACGCGGTTCTTCAAGGCGCTCGTTATCGCGCCTTTCAGGATGTACCGGTAAATGATCTGCGATACCTTCGAGCTCTGAGTCTCCCGTAACGTTTTCACGTGCTTCATACTCTCGAGCAATCGATTGCTCCAGTTGACTTGGTATGTTTTCATCAGAGCACCGTACTTGTTGTAAAACTCGCTGTCACGTTTCAGCTTCAGTGTCCAAAGCTTCCCGTGTTGCATTGCCACTTGAGATATCATCTCGTGGACCATGCGCACTGGGAGACCAGTGAGACTGTGCACGGCCTCAATGGTCACGTGGCCGTAGGCACCCTTCTGCAACAAATCTCTCATCACGACGTCACGATAAAACAGGCCCAATATAACATCGCGGCAAACAATCAGATACGCGCGGTCTTCATCGTCGAAATCATCCTCCGTTGTATAATTGGGTATCGCATGCTCCGACGACAAAATCCAGTTGCCGTCAATGTTTGTTGCAAACTCCTGCAGCATTACAATCAGTTGATCATCGTTGACATCTGGGCCCACAATAATGTCCTTCTTAAGAGCGTAAAAAGAGTCTATGTACCTCTGGGTGAGCAGCAACTTTAGCTGCGTCCGCACCTCCAATGTGCCCATGAAACGGACATTGGGCGTGTTTTCATGCATTGAACGATATGCCACCTGGCTGGTGTCTGTGCTGAATGCGGGATTTGTCGAGTGTTGGTAGCCATCCACATCAGACTCCAGGCTGCGGTGCCATTCATCCTGGTACTTGCCGTACTCCTGAGCAAAACAGACTGCATTTATGTACATCGACGGGTCTTCATGGAAGTACATGGGCCTTCGTGCTAGTTGCTGCAGTGTCCGGCACCTCTGTGTTAACATCTGCACGATTTCACGAGATTCTTCTGAATCCATTTCGCTTATCTTGCCCACATCACGCCACTGCAGATTTCGATTCTGAAATAAGCTGTTCAAAGTATCGTCGAAATTCACGATCTCGCTCATGTAAGGTTTCACCTTTGGCCGCAGTTGTATTACTCCGCGAACCGGCACAATATGTAGTGACCGTACTAAACCACTATCGGTCTCTTCCACCACGAGCACGCCAAGGCAGTCACAGACGTGATCGCCAGTCACAATTTCAGACCTTAGTTTCAATGTCTTCTTCTTGTCGGCGGCAACCGGTTTTGCGAGGTCGAAAAGGTGGATGGTGTTAGTCAAATCCGAGGGCTCGTATCGAAGAAAGGGGCTTGAAACACGAGAACTCTTCTTGGCTGATAGCGACGTTACATTCACCGGATACTTTGTGCCCAAATCATAAACGAACTTAAGGTATGGGCAACTGCTTCGTTTGCTTTTCTTGATAATGGAGGCCACACCGTATGTACGCTCATCGACCACCTCGCGCTTTGACTCCTTACCGATAGACAATGTGGACAGCGGCAGCATATCCGTTGCGTTGGAACTTAACGCGATGCGATTTTGTATGTCTACCTCCTTGGAAGCGTCGGGACAATCTGACGTTGACAACTCCAGCGGATACTGCAGTAAAAACAAATCGCCGAATGGCTTGCTGCACAACTCGCTTGCCACGGAAATGGTATTCGCTGGCTCAGCAATACGACCCAACAGGTCTTGAAGCACCGTGTTGTTTACGAATACGTCAAACTCGCAAACAATAGGGTCATCTTCCTCCGGGTCCAGATCCATGGCTTCATCCTCACGGGCATCCCTCATTTCATCCAACAAAAGGTAAGACTAGAACAAATCGAAGCATCAATGAAGGATATGTGTATCCAAAACACATCCACGTTAGTGAAGTTTTAAATTGATGCAACAACCCATAGAAGCAACTGCGTTATGCGATGTCAATGCGATAGAATCCTAAAATACATGCATAGGATCTCCTTTACGTACCTCAGGCGGTGCCTTAAAGCGCAATTGAGGCTACCAATACCTATGGAATATGCCGCAGCTCCCTTATTTGTATTTGCTTGTCAAATTAGTCGGATTTTTTATCCATGATGTATGGGGAACCAAAATCAATACTGAATGCGTCTCTCATTCCCGTCACACAAAGATCGTTGTTTGATTCCCTTCGTAGCTAATGTGTGCGATTTCCTTGCGGAATTTCGCTCAACAAACCGACGAAGGCAGAGGAAGGTGCGTATCCTTCCACTGCGTGTCTGAGAGTCTCGATAGGCTACACCGCATTACATACACCCAGCCAGTGCTCTTAACATTTATTGTGTAGTTAGTTGGAATTTTGAAATATGGTCAATGTATAGTGAAACGTGAAGACGCGCTATTGGCCTCACCTCTCTTTTGAAGTCCGCCCCAACTGATGCCTTGCGTCGAGGTAATAGTAAGTATAGTGGCACGCAGCACTAGTTCAAATTGGAGTATTATAACGAAACGACATACATTGGGAGACAACAAAATAAAATATGTGTGTCACTATTCGTCGCTGTATTCGTTGAATCGATGACGGATTAAACGGTTACACATATATGTGTATTGGCGCCGACATTCGACATCGATTAGTTGTCCGTATTGTGGCGAACTCTAGGTCTCAGTTCAACGGTCAGCGCACATTGGCATAAAGGAGGAGGGATGCGTGATTGGAACCCTTAAGGTGTTGTACATCTTCGTGTCTATCGATCGATGTGTATTAGACAGTGTTACGACTAGGCTGATGGTATAGGTTTTGTCCCGAATTCTCTGCATCCGCTGGGTGTATTGCTATATAATACTGGCTGACGACGAAAACATAGAAGTCAGTGGTAGCGAGAATGAGGTCCACGTGGCTCAACTTACGCAAGGCCGTAACCGAAATCAACAGTTTCACGGTAAGAATGCTGTCATTAAAAATGTTCACATATGTTGCAGCACTTGCTGTACAGTGAATCGGATGATGACGGAGCGCAGCCTCAACCAGCGACTCACTTGTCAGAGGTGTGTCTACTGTAACTATATCCCCTTCATAGTATGTTTTAGGGTGTACAACAGCTTTCCCATGCATTGGCAACATCGGATCATCATCAGGTGCACGGTCAAAGCGGATTGGAATCAGCCGAACAGCGCATGCGTATGATCAATACACTTGGGAAAGTACGTTCGTTTATGCAAGCTCACTGACGCACTTTTACAGGCATCGGGTGATAAAAGTGATGACGTTTTGGGTGATTTTACGACGCAACTTATATCACAATATGAGCATGGATTCCAGCCTGGTGGAGGAACCTTTAGCAAGTCACCACTCGTCACGGCGAGCGCATCGAAAGAAAGTAGCCGTTCATCGGCTTTTCAAGATGCGGAAAGTATGAAAATATTTCAGTTCGGTGATTTTCTAAACGAGTCTGCTGACACTCCGTCGTCTGTTGCTGTATCTTGCAGGTTGTACCTTCTATACAAAATGTGTCTCACCCTCGAATCCCTGTGGATGGAGATTGAGGGGAGGGTGCGCGACGCTACAGGTTCGCCAATGTTCGTTCCCCCAATGCAGCGGCCCAGTTGTTGGCAGAAATGCCACAGTGTTCATAACGAACAAACCGAGAAAATACTGTCTTGGCTGGAGCGATCCCTTCATACTATGGCAGTGCTTTCGCGAACATTAGGCATCGATGCCTCCCGCATTTATGAAGGGCCGAGCGTCCTGCTCGCATCGGTAAATGAACTTGAGCCCATTGCCACCGGGGAACTAAGCCCCTCATCGCATTCCAGCACCGCAGGCGGGGCTCAAGAGGAAACTCCTGGGGAGTACATGCGACTTATAAAATACATATCAAAGATGCAGGTGTGTTTTGTGTCTTGTGGCGGAACACAAAGTGCAGGCCGATTACGACCGAAGGGTGCAGAAGCTACAGGCTACCCAAGATGCAGCGCTCGTGAAGGCTACGCAGTCGACAGAGCTCGAAAAACAGGTGTGCCTTGCGCGCATTCCGACAATTTGTCACAGGTGGAATCACTGCAGGAGCGCATTGAGCAATTGGAAGGGCAGCTGGCAGAGAAGCGTGACGAAGTCAAGCAGCTCACCGATTCCCTGCTCAGCGCCAACGCTGTGAATACACAGCTAGTGCAGAAAAACGAGCAACTGATTGCGACGAATCAGCGGTTGCTAATGACGAAGAGCGATTTCTTGGATAAGGATACGGCCAACAAGATGATTCAACAGTACTACGAACAGGAGCGCGCTGGCAATCATCGCCGCGAGGATATAATTCGGATTCTAGAGAGCATGCTTGGTATCGAACCGCCTGCGGCTACGAGTCAAATACCTCCAGTAGCGGACGCTCGTACCCTTGCCAACCAGTTTATAGAATTTCTCGATGAGGAAACGTGAACTGCTTCTCGCATCGCACATACAATTACGAATCTATAGTATTATAATTGTTGATATTATTGGAAGCGTTTATACCACACATTTAGTGAGCTGTGTCGTCATTTTTGTGGAATGTGTGGAAGGAGATGATACCGCCACAGAAGCGCCAGGCATACGTAACCAGAATTATATTCTTACGTATTAGCGTGCTTTTGTAAAGGCGGGAGTTTGTCGTGCCGTATAAATCTTTATGTATCCTAGGTGTGATTATGTATCGCATTTTGAGATGGAGAGCTCCCACTCCTTCTGTACATAACAATGTCTAGAGCCGATGTTTACCATTCATGTGGCAGCTGACGTCAATAGGAAGGTATTTAGTATAGAACAGGCCTAATATTAGTCGACGAGCATGGCGCTACACGGCTTTGCGCCGATATCGAGCAGCCTCTACTTGACCAAGCGTGCGAGACTATCCGACGCTTTGGTAAAGGATAGGGAAATAAACGAACAGGGAGTAGCGGCAAATGATGTGACAGACCTGAGCTACTCGTCAAATCGCATGCAAACGAAGTCTGGAGTGCCGCCAACCTCGGATGACTATGAGTTACATCGCGGACTCGTCGAACTGGCCCGACGCAGGCTTAAATTTGCGTCATTCGACACGTATTCTGATGATACTAGAGCAACTGCGTGCGATGGATTAGAAGAAGGAATCAATTTCCTTTCACAACAGCGATGTATAAGCGAAGTTTCTGCTCAAATGGATGCAGGACGTTATTTTCCGGAGTCTCAACGTAAGAGCGCGCCTCTAATCGGTCGTATCAATGACATCGCTAGCATTGTAAATCTGGATGGGTCTGCCAGAGGAAAGAGCGTACTATCCAAACGAGTTGCCGCGGGGGCGGATTCTATAGAAACATTGATAGGGCCGCTGAGTGCCAACGAGGTGGCACATCTATTGTTGCTGGCGCAAAAGCTCAAAGAGACAAATCAGATTGACGACACTCTAGAAAGGAATATAGAGATGTCTTCTAACATGTGGAAACAAACAGGAAAGGTGCCGAACGTAGTGGCCACCGCTGTTGTCGCCAGCCTATACGAAGGAAAAGCATATCAGTGCGCAACGTGTGGCATTCGGTTCAGCACGTATGATGCTAGGAGTAGACATTCCCTATCGCATGAAGAGGTCAGGCGTGACCTTCTGTGGTCAACCCTAGACGAGTGGATCAGCACGCCGCATCTGCCAAGCTCGGTTAGGAGCGGTCAAAAGGTAATGATGACGCTGAAAGGTATCAGTAGTGCGCTGTTAAACGACAGTTTATCGGTGTCGTCAAACCTCAAATGGTTGTGCGAAGCACTGTTTTGGAGAGTGGGCGCCGAAAAGACTACGAAGGACGTAGAGATGGAGTCCGATGCTCCCATAGACAAAACCGACGAGATAAGTGGCAGCTCCAAGCAATCTCAAGATGATTCGATGCAGTCATTATGGTCTTGGGGAACTATGAAAGATTGTCGTGGCACCCCTATCGCAAACACCGACGGCAGGTCAGTAGGAACCATAGGGGTCGAATCTGATGTACATATTCTGCTGGAAACGTGCCATAAGGTTAAGTTTAACGTATCGAGATGCAAAGCTAACGTGCCCTTCCCCGTAAACTTCGCTGATCTGACCCGGAAATGCTGTGTTATCTGCCACGACGTCCTAGAAGTGGAATTCAGCGCCGCATATAACTGTTACACATACGCGGATACCACATGTTTCAAACTTGACGGCAGTTACATCAAAAGGGCTTTTCAAGATGAGCAATTGTCCTGCAAAATATTGCTTGCGACGAACGGGCTCAGCGATATGGAAGATCCATTCTTGGTACTCCGCAAGTCAGCCGCCTTTACGCTGGTAAAATCAGCCCTGAATGCATGGAGCAATGAAGAATCGGTAGGCAGGTCGGGAAAAGAATTCGTGACAACAGGGGGTGCGACCGTACCACCAGACCGAAAGACGCTGTGGCCGGACAATCAGCAGCTGACAGGCGAATTAGCTCAAAAGTGGAGTGGCCCATTTGCTGCTGCTAGTGGTACCCATGGGATACCAAATAGCCTCATGTACGCACACAGCCATTGCGTTAGATTCTTTCTCAATGCACATACCCGACGTGCAAAAACACTAACAGATGGGAATCCCTGTGCACGAGATATCGCATCCATCAGTTTACTGTAAAAGTGTACTAAACTTGCGAGAACAGCAGAGATGCGATAATTTGATATCCATTATCTGTTTATGTGTATTTACTCTTGTTTCAGTTGCTGCGTACCGTTACGGCCGCTTTTCGGGGCGTAATTGGCGACTTTTAAGAGCTACAACTGAACAATCCGCACCAATAAATGGCACCATCATGTTCGCTCGTAGACCACCTAAGAAGGTCTAGACCAGTGTACACCGTGACATTTAAACTGCGGTTCACCACAATGTTCGTTGGGAATACGAAGATGAATGCGTCACACGGGAACATCAATCGCCTGAATTGCTTCAGAAACCTTCAAAGAGGCGATTATAACTGTGTTTGACCTCATTTGACAGCAGCACCACAGCAGATGGATAACGCAGACACAAAGTTTACTACAATTAGATTGAATCAATTATAAATGTTCCGTGAGAATTCGTATGCCAACTCACTGGGGATCCGGGATCGGATTCTTTTTTTGTCGAGCCTTTTTGGCAAGCTTTTTTGCAGCCTTTTTCGCAGCTTTTACAGTTTTTGCTGCTTTTACCGCTTTTACAGGTTCTTCAGCTATCACAGGTTCTTCAACTCCTGCAGGTTGTTCAGCTGCTTCACCGCCTTTACCTTCTGCAGCGTCTACACCTTCAGCTTCTACAGATTTTGCGACTCCTTCAGGTCCTGCAGATTCTTCGGTTCCTACAGACTGTTTAGCACTCTGAACCCCTGTTTTATCGACCCCGTAGAATGCCCAGAAGCCGGCGATATCGTAGATGGAGTCCAATACATCTTTATCCACATAGTGCAACGCATGGAGGAGATTTGAACGACTCAGGAAGTCACAACATTCCGGCTCTACGTAACCCAATGCTTTCATCACCTTTCGCAAAAACTCTTTTTCATTGCGAGGCAATAAGCATTCAAGGAGTCCGGGATTGGCCACGTCCAACAAAAATAATAGACCTGCGTACAACATAGGCGCAATCCCCACGAGGACCACTGCGCAATCTTCTGGCTTTTTCGCGCATGATGCATCCCACGTCGCTTCTGAACTGTAAGCAGACTTGTACTGGTCAGGGGATTTGATATGTTCCAGGAACACGTCACAAACAGACACAACCTGAGCTATGTTCTTTGCGATACCTCCAGGTTTTACACCCCATCTATTTACTACGTTCTTATAATCGCTTCGGTGGGTAGTCCACGGACTCTTCAACCGCAACAAGAAGTTTTTACCCATAGGTTCCGTGTATCGTTTCAGGAGGGCACTCACGTAGAACCTATCCTTAAGCTCCTCCTGCCCCAGGAACTCTTTAGCAACACTTTTTATTTTCTCGAGAGCTGGCAATTCCATGAAACCAACGGGCTTGTCTGCGAGAAAGTCATAGATAGCATAACCTATGGCCTCCAAGTTCTTTCTGGCATCTGTTCCCTTCAGGGCCATCAACCAGTCAATACTCTCCTTGAGGTTCCGAGGAGCCTCGGTCAACGAATTAAACACCATTCTCTTCAGACGCGTTGAGTTAGGTGACTGCTATAAACGTGTGGAATTATAGGCCGATTTATAAAGGCCGCGTATGTGGTTGGCGGCGTTACCGCCACCTGTATAAATGGCGGATAAACAAAGGTGCTATTGCCTTCAACTACACATGCACCTCATCGCAATATGAAGGCCGTCCTATGCGCCAAACAGGCAGATTACAAAGGCGCGACGGGAACCAAGCTGTCGTATCGCAACCAGATCCATAACTTTAATTTGGCATGCAGTGTGCACAACGCATGTCATTGGCATACGCGAATTTCAGACAATGTGGCATATACTGGAGCTTCAGATATTAGTATATTCACAGCGAAGCGTCGGCGTTTGTAACGTCACAGAGAGTTGCAGTTAAAATGTCACAAGGCGTACGCCGTAGCGCGGCCGTCACGTAGGACAATACGTTCCGATCACTGAACATATTTTCCATTTGCACGTTATATACACGTAATACAACTACACACCCACTTGTTAGCACGTCATTCACTCACAAAACACGTGAATCACCACCTTACCTTGGATGAAACTTCTCCAATACGCATATGGGATGGCCAGCCACTCGGCTTCACGCCCACTCATGCTCATCCGCAATTGCTAACATGCCGCTTGCTGACACAACAGGTGGCTCACTGCCTGGAGTGGCGCTCCCACGTTGCCGACTTTGGTCACCCACACTGAACCCAAAGTGCAGTATGTAACGAACACGTTTATTTCGTTGTATTCTGGTTGTCAGTTAGATGGGCTCGGCAGCTGTGATTACTGCAAGGATGAGTCTACTATGGGTTACGCGTACACAGGTGTTGAGGTGGTATTCGCAAATGTTGTACCACTGTATTTCTTCTAGATAGACTTGGTCAATGCGAGTGCACACGCCACCACCACTACCTAACAATTTCCGCTGCTTTAAAGATCTTCAGAACGTTCATTCTTCTTTGCAATCATTCGTCTGGGAACCGAAACTCATCTTCATTATCGTAAGCCTCCGGATTATCATCTGCTCCTTTAGTATGCGTAACGCCTTGAATACCTGCTTATTCGCCGTGCCAAAAAGCGATTAAATCCATGATACCAACGATGATGGCATTGATGATTTTGCTGATGATAGTAATGACGGTACCAACGACGAGACGGTCGATTAAGAAACCGATAAGGCCTTTCGTAGCCACAGATCGGTTAAGACCGTAACTGAACGGTCGAGTTCGTCGTATCGTGTCCTCACCGGTAAACATTACTATCGCTACCAAAATAACAATGATACAAAACGGCAATCGTTTTCTTATCAATGGGTCACTCCACCAGTTCTGCGGCCTTTTTCCATCCTTGTACCTAAACCATGCAGGACGTCTTGACAGGTACCGTTCCCGAGCTGCTCTCTCAACTCTTCCCATCTTGCACACGAAGGGCTCAAACGCAGTAAGTTGAAGTAATCGCCAACGTGCCTTGAGACCATAAACTAGTCTTCAAAATGAAATACGCATCCAGGCTGTCGTCCAGGTGTGCTCAGCTAGGCGTAGTTCGAGATCTCTCAGCTCTCACACACCGTGGATATACACAGTTAACGTGTCCTGATGCGCTAGTTTGCCAGCACAATTCGACTCAAATTACATACTTTTGAATTCGATCCGAGAATGCATATGCTGCACTCAGAATGCCACTGCTCACGCGCGGTGCAAGGCATTCGGGGTGATAGACATCTGGGTAACTAAGTTTGCGGGCTCCCCACTAAGTGGGTACTGGGGTAGTCCGGGGTGACGACTGCAGGGCCAGCCACGAGGTTGACCATAAATGCTCGTAACTGCGGCTTTCTCTTATACAAGACCGACTATTCACAGAATGTCGCACATATGCACATAATTTCACATTCTACAGCCACTGTGATGTTACCCACTCACCCGGCTGATGACCAACACCCCTCCCAAGCTGTCGACTAGGTTTCAGGCCTCTTATGCTATTGGACGATACAGATGACAATTGCAACGTGGCCACTGCAACACCAGATGAACATACAAAACTATATTGCACAATATGTTGCAGTTTACGTCCAGTCAGTGAGGCCTTCTTAAGTACTTCGCGGAACTATTGGCCGCCGTGGGTGCTCTACCCGACGACTTCTCACTTCATTATTATTACAGCACTTGGTAAAGTTACACATAAAATAGCTTCCATGGGTCACATATCATGTATAAGCGTTATGTAAACATAGAACAATGCAATCTGACGATACGCCTCACACCTCAACCCGATGAGGTCGGAGCTCTCGTAGATCTGCGTGGTGCCTAACGTGATTTGTTCCCTTTTGGCATAAACTCCAATTCCGATATCTTACTTCCTTTCATGATATTCAAAATCCTAGCTAAACAGCCGGTTGTCTTGTTCGCACCAATCCCATCAGGCTTCGGGTTATGTCGGTGGGTCCGGCGATGCCCCTAAAATGAACTTCCGTATTGACGACATGACTGAATCCAACACTACGTAACATGTGACGTAAAGCGGTCGGAACAATTAATGATGATGTGAAGCCACCCCCCATGCCTCACCATCGATCGGCTAGCGGCGCCAGGCACCTACACGGTAGAGTTGCATATCAAGATTAGTGGAGTAATCGAAGTTCCCCACTAAACGCCGGATATTATCCATGGTTAACTGTTAAAGGCATAACCGAATGATTAACTTATGTGCGTAGACACAAAGGACAACATCACACATGTCCCATTCCACTAGTACGAGGTACCCACCAACGGTGTTCTGAGACGGAACTCAACGCCACACCACTAATATTGGTCATTGCCACCTACACAAGCTATACACAACAATTATAGCATTGGACTAAGCTGATGAGCTGGTAACTGCAAGTACGACGACCTGTCCGAAAGCCATGCTAGTACGGTGGATACACCACTTATCATAAACAATGAAAACAATTGTCTCATTGACCAGTTAATTATCACATCTGTGCCACTCATTACTTGGCGTAGTAATTCTCTATTTGTATAGTGGAGAGGATGATACCCTTGACGGTGACGCAACGACACTCCAGTGGCGGCGTCTGGCGCAGCGTTTCCGCAAGTTTTAATTTTGAACTCTCAAATCTGAGAATGACGAAGTGGTTGGACCGTGATGCCCTCAAAGATTTGCTGACATCGACCAAGTTAGTGATGCTACCGTCCACTAATACTTGGCCGAAGCAGTTGGGTGGGTCCAGGACGTAAGGCGCTGGGCAGTAGAACGCAGCTTCCTTGGCATCTTGGAGATCGATCTTGCACCCGAACTGAGACTGCCCAACACCGTCGTAGAGTTTGGGCGTCTCCGGCTTGAATAGGTCAGTGGACTCGTAGGTAACGCCGCATCCTTGCATGTAGGGATCCGTCGTCTCGATTTTAACTTCAACGACGTGCCACGTGTATAATACCGATGGTCGTACTATATTGGAAGTGGTAGATGCAAATACATCTGATGTATATTCGTTACCAGTGACGAACAAATCGAATTGTTGAAGCGCCTTCCCGCAGACGAATGTCATGGGCACATATTTTTTGTGCTGCAGGTCTTTGGAAATCAGGATGGAGCCTTGACGATATTCTATAATCAGGCGTTGATATCCTGTTGTGGATACGTTTTCGTTATAAATGACTCGAAAACCGCCCGGAGTAGTAGCAATCGTATCGTTATACGCCTTATGCACAACTTCAGGTCCACTGGGCACCTGATGGATTGTATAATAAAATACATTAGACTGCTTTGGCAGCCATTTTGTCGGTATCGTAGTCGACAGCACACTGTAGTATGAAGATTCTCCAAATCGTAAGAATGGAGTGACATCGTTTTCGCAATTTATAGACAACGTTGTCCCCACGTGTATTGTAATATCCTTCTTGGATATGTTATTTAGCATAAGCAACATTGGTGATGTGAGCCCTTGACCTGATAATCCCATCTCATTCAAAGGCATTAACAGGTAAGGAAACAGTGTGTCAGACGCCTCTTCTTGGCGCACTGTGTAGGTGTATCTAACTTGGCGGTTGGACTCTAAAATAAGCCTCGACCTTTCGTACCCACGTTGGTCAACACATATACAAGCATAACTGATGGAGCTAGATTTGCGAAAGCCAAAATAGAAGACCTGAAATCCCATCATTGGGTGAAGTGTTGAATTACGCACAGATCCAGGAAATGGCATAACCTGATTAGACTGGAGATCGTAACCCATGGACTCACAATTAGTTGGCATGAGCATCTCGTCTGGCCTGCAGTGGATGCCAGCCTGTTTTGCATCCATCATGTCACGGTAAATACATTCATAAATATCCCCTATACCATTCGCCATAGACTTTACTGAGCAGTGTTTCTGGTTAAAAGCTGCGTCGAATACGCTTTCTGCCCCGTTGTCGCAACCGACAATCTGGTAACTATGAGTAAACGCAAAGGATACCTGTACCATGGCGCGTATGTTATCCGGAATATTCTCTTTTCTCGATTTCAATGCCCAGTGATAAAAGAACGAGTTTTCCCCATCTCGTAATGCGAGCGGTTTGCCCAGATGGTATGTCAGTTTCACCTCTCCTCGGTGCATTTGAGAAACGTCCAACTCAAGGGCATCACCAACAAGTGCTTCGTCGTAGCAGATTTCGTCGTAAATATCAAAGCTATGGACGCTTGCCAATTGTATGAGCGTAGTCAAGTCATTCGGATAGAATCCAGTATCGAATTCATAGGTAGATGGTAGTTGAGAGAACGTGACACTGGAAACATCTTCGTCTATATCCATATATAAATCCTCATAAGAAGGCTCCTTTATAGAAGCCGAGTTGACATCCGCTGTTGGCACTCTTATTGTCAATGTGCTCCCGGGATGTAGAACGACAGAACACCAGGGGCCACGAATTGGGTGGTAACCGTCGCGGAAGACCCTACTGGCAATGTCACAAATGTAATCAGTTTTAGAGCGGATCTCTATTTTAGCCTTCACTTCACCTGTCTCGCGATCTACGCATTTGCATTCGCCATTAAACGGCGGCAATCCTAATTCCCAAGAATACGCCGCTACCACCCAGGGCCAATGGACACTGGAGGTCCTATCATAACTTGGCGTAGGAGCGGTCACAACTCCTCCATTCTCATCCAAGAGAACTTTCATACACTGCTGAGGTTCAATTCGGCCTTCGCACAAAAAACCTATGGGCGATTTTGACATGGGATCCGCCACACATGAACGCGTACCAGTCACAGGGTCCACATTTACCTCAATATCCGGATCAAACAGTGGTGAAGGTCGGCTGCCGCAGCCCTGCAGCGGTAGATGCACAGTTCCTCTGTACAAGAAAAAACACCTAAACCGTGCCCCATCTTGGCTATTTCTCGAGCCAATAACGTCGTATCCCAAGGAAGCGTATCTGGTTGAGTAACATTGTAATGGTAGATGTGACGCTGCAAGGCATCGCTCAAAATAAGATTTCGTGGACCACAGATGAATATCAAACGGTTTTCAGTAATCGCAATCATCCCACTATGTGGCGTTATGAACCTAATATCCGTTCGCGAAACATTCGATTCCAACCAGATAAATGTATTTTTGTTTTCAGTACGTGTTACATCCGAAATATCAACGGAGACAAGGTTGCCATTTTCACCAACGTACGTCTTGAGATGAGTGCGATGACTAACGGTTGGTTGAGGGTGCCAGACATACTCGGTACCGTTGACTTGGTTTGGGCACATCGCAGATCCGTTGCAGGAGACTTGGAGATTTTTGTGACACGCGATTAACGCATTGCTGCTTAGCAAGCCATTCGGGTAGGCAAAATAACAACGGGATGCTACTATACTTATAGTGGAACACAGCATTATTGCACAGAATGCCCAAAGAGCTTTTATGAATCTAAATTCGGTCATAGTGTTTGATTTTGCATTATTCTGTGCATACATATCACTACAAAAAGAATGTGCTTTCAGCCAAGATACGATTCATGGGTAGGTGAAGTGACAAATATTTCTAGCTAGCAATTGTTTGTGATTAGGTAGGGGCGAGGTAACCCTATAGCCGCAGCTAGACAAACATATATAGGAATCTTCCTCGAGAAAAGTCGACGGGGATAACAAAAATTGAGGTAGACATATCGGATGGCGGGCTTTATTTTCTAATATAGGTAAAAACATTTATCTATACTATAACAAAAATAATTTGAACATATAGGCATCGTCAGTATGCCTAACAAGGAGTTTGCTTTCACCAAACCAATGAGCACAATTGACCAGACATACTCGTCGCGGATCGGCGCAATAATATAGTCGCAATCGTGTATATAGGGGATAACCAATCAGGATCGAAGGATATAAGACGATTTCGACAGGAAAAATCAGCGTTGCAAAGTAACCCATCAAGCCTCCGTTCTGGGACGGATGCTATAGACATCAGAGATGCAGCGTGCATTATGTGCGTATAGCGTGCTGGGCACAAGCCTCTGGCAAACACGAAGAGCGGTCAATCTCACACCTAACCGCATATACTGCAATAGATAAAGGAAAACAAGGTTAAGACAAACAGTGGAGTGAAATCTAGAAACACGTACATACAACTCCTGAACCCCCCAAACGCTTTGAACCCCCAATGTACTCATAATCACCCCGGTCCTCCCAGAATACCAGCGTCCGTAGAGGCAAACACAATGACCACGTAAAACACTACAAAGATGCTTCATTACGATTACATTACTATTGGGTTCATGCTAAGATTGTGTGCTTTCAACAGGTGTGACTGTGCCTCCGCAAAAAATTGCATCTGAAGGGGGCGATTGAGTTCACCTACAAATGAGGCGGTGATGTTAACGGCTTCACGCAGAGACACGCTTATAAACACCTGCAAAACATCGAGATGCCCCTTACGAGACAGTTGCACGACGGCTCTTAGCAGTGTAGCGTAGACAAGAGTGCAAATCACCATGGTGATCGCATGAGACGTGAGATCTGCCTCTGATTTGCATAGTTTTGCAGACTTCAGTCGCGGCAGACAACAAATATCTTCGTTGCAAGCAACGTTACATAGCATTCCAATGTCGAAGTTTTTGAAAAACTTCGCACGACAGCTTACGCATACGCGTCGCAGTTGAAAAGGCGTGATGGGGCACCGGTTATCACAATGTTCATCCGATCTTGATCGCTCACCGTTAGCGCTACTAGTATTGGATGCCTCGCATAAATCCGTATCGGCATTGTTATGCGGCGCGTAATCGCATCCATTACCTGGTGGCCCATTCTCACCCCTTTCGTGACAAGGCTTTGATGATTTCTCGATGACCACTTCTGCACAATTAGATTGAATGCCATCTTCCTCGTTGATGGCACCCACTTCATTGTTTGTGGTAGGCAGCATCGGGTCATTAGTGTTTGTTATATCGGCGTTTGAGGTTTCGGTCACATTACCGTCTTCACCTAAAACCGTCGCATAGTTGGCAAATATTTCACGATAGAATGCTACAACACCGCTGTACATGGACCACGCACTCCGTATGGCTGTCAGCCTTTGTTCGATTATCTTGCTGCTTGCAGCGCATACCCAGACGTTGGATAAACTTGGCGTGATTGGTATGATTTCAACAACTTTCTTACGAGGCAGCTTCACAACTTTGGCTCTATCGTCGGCTTCTTTGCTGGAAGCACCGCCTGTAGACAGGCTGTGACACAGCCTATTCTTGCATTTGGAATCAGACGGAGTGGACCCAGATAGGAATTCGTGCATTGTTAGTTGTCTACCATAGCTGCATCTCGATCGCTTCCTCTTAACGGGTGTTCTCATTGGGCGTGGCGACACGTGCAGGTACCTCAGTATTGATTCTTTGTGTTCGCTGTTGCTGTCATTCAGCGATTCAGGTTTGCGGACCCCCAGCCCATTTCTTTGGGGCGTGCTTATACGCGATGGAGTGTCTCGGTAAACGGGGTAAGTGCCAACGGGCGAAGGTGACGACGTTACTGCCACCAGGAATCGGTCAATTGTATTATACTCCGCAACAGACCCCCTTTTAATACGACATATAGATAGTGCTATCCCCCTCAAATCTTCCAGTGGTATGGTTTGTTTCGCAGTAAGCTTCTTCCAACATGCCTTTAGACTCGCTAGGACACTCTTTTGAGACAAGAGGTCACCAGCCACGGATGCAGTGAACTCATCACATAATCCACACCCCATATACTTTGCGGGCTCAATGCTAGCTTCTGGACTCCTCACACGTACCTTTAGCGTAATTTGCGCTTGAGGGACTCCGGCAGTGCTGCTGGCGGCTCCCTGCCCCCGAAGGTTTTCGGACGCAATTTCAACACGTTCCCAGGTTTGACTGATAAGCTGGCGCATGTATTCGTGGACCTGCTCCATGTCTGTGACGCGCACACCATAGTTGATGGCAGCCGATATGGTTTTGTTTTTAACGATGTGAGAGCGCTTTTCTGCGGTGTTGATATTACGGTAGTCCAGTCCCTGACAGAATTGATATACGGTGCTTCCCAACTTGTCACCAAGCAGCCCTTTAAGTTCCTCTTTATCGTGCACATCGCTGCAAGACACGTATCCGCACGATTGTAACAAAGCCATGGCACGGTATCCCACACCTGGAAGCTCACGCAGTGACACTGACGCCATGAAAGCGTCCACATCAACAACCGCACAAACACTTTGCTGTATGTAGCACCCAGGGGTAGATTCCTTTCCTCCGTGTTTGAGCGATTTGCATCTCTGCGACGCCAATTTCGAAAGCATCATGTTCGCACCGATGCCAACACTGAGCGGACACCCCGTCTCCCTTTCAATCATTTGCGCAATGTTATGGGCGAAATTGATGTAATTTGCGATATCCGTGGCGCTGTCTCCCATATAGCACTCCACATATAATTCATCGCAACTAGCGGAGTAAACCCTTTTTGTCAACCCGGCTACTATCCTCAGGATCTTCAAGGCGGTGTCCGTTATTGCATCGAAGTCGTACGGAACAAACTTCAACAGCGGGCAACGCTTGACGGCGTCTCTGACCCACATCCCTTTGCGCACGCCAAATGCTCTTGCTTCGTAGTTACACGTTGATATTTCGCTAGCGCTGTTTCGGCCGGTGCCATGACTAATGGCTAACGGCATATTCCGGAGATGAGGCCTGCTTCTAAGCGCAACTGACACAAAAAAGGCATCCATATCGATATGTAAGATTCTACCGTTTGGAAGCATCCCTTCTTTGAGCTCCGTAAACGGTTCGAAGTCGAATTCCTTTTCGACGTTGGTCTTCCACGTACCCAACAAATGCAACCGTGACCTTTTGTAATATTCGTCAACGGCGATGGTGTTTACGGCACCCTTGTCTTCGGGGTTAACCAAACGGTCGGCATCGTTTGCCGACGCATCTTCATCCTTATCAACGGTTGGCGATGTCGGCACGGCTTCACTAACTGGCCGTTTGACATCAACACCATCGCCTGTGAGAGGCGATATCTGCGGAATTTCGTCTACAGATAACGTGCCGAAATGCTTAGTTACAGACGCCTGTATTAAATTGTTTAGATCCACCCCGCTTGCGTTGCTTTTCGCCCCCTCTCCCTCCTTTGCCAAAGTTGCTTCCACGTAATTTTCGCTATTACGAGCACCGGCAGGTAGCGTACCATCATAGTGATCACGATCACTGCATTTAGTTGATGGGCCGTCTATAGGCACCTCAGTGTCACTATCGGTATCGCACTTGGGTTTGATGTTCTTATCGGATGTTTTCAGGTCCACACGGTGAGATCGGCACCCATCACTCGGCAGACAACCTCCACCATTGTCGGCTTCATCAATGATTTTATTAGGCGTCTTCTTTACTTCTGCTTTCCCCCATGTTTGCGTTAGTGTGATGGTATCACGCTTAGACCGGAGCGACGCCGGGAGGAATTTGCGCTCGGGAAGCCTCGTATCCTGAAGGTGACACTCGAATATATATGCGGGCGTCACAACTGCGTAGTGGCGATACTTGCCTCCACGCTCTCTCATGTTCCACCATTTGCTGCACCCTAGAGCCACGCGCTCCACCACGTAGTGCGTTACGTACTCCGAGAGGTGTATTTCAACGTGCCCACCGCGCTGAACTATAAGTTCGATCAATTTCTCATGAGCATGTACAGCGGATGTTGCAGCATTCTCGTTCTCCCCCAACCGGCTGTAGGGATACACTACCCCATCTATGTAGAAATGGCAGTCCTTGAACAGGGGCGATAAGGCACGAGCTGGGGAATCATTTACTTGCCTGCTGCTTGCGCCGGGATTTCTGGATAGGCTGTTTACCATATCTTGCCCCATGGGCGAATGCTCGGGATCTCCATCATAATCCCCATCGGAATCGTTTATGCTACTACAGTCAACGATTCCATCCGACAGTGGGCTCCATTGCCGCCCTTCGTGCTCAACCAAATAACATTGACACTCCTCTCCAACATGTTGACATGGTACAGCCTCATTTTCAGGCACTACTTGCTCATCTACGTTGACGTCACCTGCATACTTACGCTTGTAGTGAGCTGCCACACCGCGCCGCCGCCTTTCCATATAGGACGAAAACGACCCTCCTCCACCGAATTTTACCGGGAGCGCCATCCTGCACGTGCATGTATCAAGGATGGCGCTCCGATGCCACTCGTGGTCACATAAATACGCAGCACGATCGCCGTTTCAGTTTGCGACTTTTGGAAAAAACGTTCTTCGTACGCGTGGAGAGGTCCTTGCTTTGGGTAACGAGTGCCTCCAGAGTTTCCTCGTTCTGAAGCATGTCGGCCAGCGTCTTGTGGACGACGCTTATGGTGTTCTGCAGCTTGTCGGCAACGTTGGTGTAGGCGTCAACAAGTTTAGGATCCCGGTATTTATCGAATAAGGCCTTAATTTGGGGCACGTTGAGCTTTACGTCAGTGTTGTACTGCACACCTGCATCGGGATATTGCGCGATAAACTCAAAGAACGCCAGTTGCAGAAGAGAGAAGGCCACACGCTCCGGGTATCCGTGGCCGCAGACGCATACAGCACAGACATCCGAGTCCCAACGATGGGCTAATATGTCGAATTTATCTTCATGAACTATCACGTTCTCCCCTGAACCTATCCTGCTGGCGATTTCCCGAGCAGCGAAAACGGCTATGCTTTTCGCCGTGCCGCGGGCAAGGAACTTCAGGTCCGAAAGCTTGTAGTGCTGTAGAAGGAACGTCGGGGGGTCGTTGCAACGCAGAAGGGCGATGTAGATGACCTTGGCTTCGACCATGTTAATTCGGCGATTTGCGCGTCGCCGCGCGGCAGTTTAGGAAGGTTGGAACGTCGTATGGCTTGAGTATGAAATGTGTACACACCTGTGTTGCCTTCGACCCAGGTTACATAGCGGTATTAGGCAGGGTCATTGGAGCAGGCATGTGTTAAGTGACGGAAGCGTAAGGTGTCACCATATGCGTGGCAGACCACTCGACACCCATAACAGCAGTTGCGACAAACTTCAACGCTGTCTTTGAAGCTACACCGAAATAAGTGGGATATAATTCCATATGTGTTTTATGAAACGGAGTTTTACTTTTTTTGCCTTGGAGTACTCACTACGTTGCATCGACAACAGTGCGCCGATTTGAATCAAATTGCATCATGTATGCAAGCTAAGCAGTCATCGAAGTACCGGATACTTCTAGACACGTGTTAAAGTACACCCACCGCGGGAGACAGCATGAAACACATAAATCCCTCCTCCTGAGTTATGACCACGCTCCCAGAAATAATTTTACCGAACACTCGGCAGGCTCGTACCACCGTCTTCAACCGATATATTGGCGCTCTAAGGACTCGTCAGAGAGGACCTCGCGCAGAGCACACGTCAGGTAGCACGATTTAGGCAGGGCGCAGCTCACCACCAGAGTGCTGCGTGTTGCCAGTTTTTGGTTCGTGTAGTCCGCATGTGAATCTCCGTTGAACAATATATCTTGGTTCTGCAAGGGGCACTGAGCCGCAACAGCTTGTTTGAGTTGGTTTCGGAGGCATACGTATGGCGATAGGCCTTGCTTGAGTGTGCCGCCGTTTGGTGACTGCTCTGGCACCACGTGGTACTGCAGACCGTGAGCCCGAGCCACTATGTGCCTGTAACCACCACCAACTCCAACTAAGCAGCGTTCTCTACCTTTGAATTGCGGAGGGAGGTTGCCAATAACGGTAGCAAACATGTCGAGCGACATCCCAAACTGTTCACTTACAACACGTTGGTACACCGGCCTTAAGAACTCCGGGTAGTCCACATTGTCACCTGGCAGCGGTAGCACGACGTCGTAAAGTGACCACTTGTCCGTGTCGTCTTGACAGACCACATAGGCCTGAGGTTGCACATCGCCGAAAGATGCAGCAGGTGAGTCGGACTTTTCGGTTCCCGTTTCCGAGCTCTCACCCTCTACGCTGGTTGTCAACGGAAGTTGAGATGACCTGATTATGAAATCACCCGGCACTGGTTTTGTCCCGTATTTCTTTAGGCGTTCCGTTAGCACGTGGTTAAACACCAGACTCTGTGCCGCATGCACATATATGCTAAGCACATTTGTAGGGATGCGCTTCAGCACCTCTTCTATAGGCTTGTTCCTCTCCATGCCATTCATGAGTTCTCGCTCGATGAAGGAGTGGTGTGATGTTGGCTTCATCAGTGCATCTGCCTCATGGGATGCACCCATTTCAGAAGATGACGCCAGAATTTCATCTGAAGCCTGCCGGTCTGCTCCAAATTCTTCATTGCCTTCAACGCCCTCAGCCTGGACACCATTTGTACGGTGGTCATCAGAATGTACCGGGTATTTATTTCCCCCGCCCTCACTTTCTGCGGCGTTGCCTTTAACATTTCTCCCTCTGCGCCTCTTTCCTGTGTGCTTTCCATGTGTTGGCATCTGCAGTGATTCCGCATCCTGGTTCGGTTCTTCGATCAGGTTCTCAGACGATCCCTCCTCCGTGTTTGCCCCCTCGCCACCAGCAGTACTTTCGGCCCTCTTACTCAGATATCTCTCCATAGCAGATTCATTGTTGATGATAAGCCTCGCTACATCTTCGTAATCGCGCCTCAGCATTGCCGCGCCGACCATGTGGGTTCCTACCGTCATGCTACCGAACCTCTGCAGGCCAAAGTAGTTGAGAAATCCATTGAAACGCAACGACTCAAGGTTCAGCAGAGCCTGTTGAACGTCTGATACACCACGTATAGTTACCCAGAATGAATTACCCCGAAGGTCTCCCAGTCTTATGCGCTCATCGCTGTAACGGAAATCCGCCACCACCACGGTATCCAACCACTTGGGATGAGCCATGGCAGCAACGAAATCTTCGATTTTGGCGCGCCTCATACAGAACCGCTGTGTTGTGATTGCCCGCCTGTCCTTATTACCGGCAGTGAAAATATCGTACGATGATCTGTGCATCGTCCGGCACAGCATGTGGGTGATCTCGTGCGTGCTTCGATCCCTTTTCTGAATGTTGAAGTGTAGGTACTGTTTCATCTTTTGTCTCTCCTTAAAATCCCCAGGGATTTTGTCATACTCGGTGAGATCTAAGTGCTTTACAACACCCTTCAACGTTGGCATCCCAGATGTTGGCATATCCTTCAGCACTTCATCCGCAGTATCTGTCGCGCTCCCCCGAGCACGCTGAACAAAACGAATACAATCGGGTCTGGGGAACACCTTTATAACAAGTTTGGAACTGTTTGATGCTTCATCAGCGCTAAAGCTGTTGCCGACATTGACCAGATTTTTTTCATTGCCTATTTTGTTCAGCGGGCGAGCTTCAGAGTCCAAAAATGGCAAATTCTCTCTTATAAATGTGTGTGCCAATGTACGCAATTCTTTAGCATTCTCATTTTCCTGTAATACCAATAGGCAGAAAGGCGGGTTCTTCATCGAAATGCCTGTCGATTGCTCCTCGCTCATGCGCACTATGAGATCATCAAGCAACGCATCTATGCACCTGCCATCATCCTCTGTAAATATATTAGACGGATACTTCATGGTGCCCATGACGTTGCCAGCTTTACGCAGTTTCAGGAACATTTCCCCTGAGGTGCGGTTGCGTTCGTGCTCTAGTGCCATCTTTGCGACCTCTGTATGCGCTGTGCGCCTTGCAACCACGATGCGACCATTAGGATCTATTTCATTGACCACGAAGTCTTCGGGTATATATTTGATGAATCCTTCGATGCGTTCCGTGTAAACGTTTGGCATCATCAGTTCCACCATGGTGGTGCCCATTCCCAAAAGCCTGCTTTTGCCTAACAGCGGCAAAGCAGCACCGTCCATATCACCCATGCTATCCATTTTGTTAACTTCTGGTTCACTTATTTCCGGTCCACGAGAGATGGTTGCTGCGAGACGTTGCTGGTGATTTTCCGATGTGCCTTGGTCTTTATAAGTGCTCTGTATGCACGTTTTCTGACGCCGAGTTACTCCACCACTGTTTGTATGCGATTCTATAGAAGTAAAACCAGCGGTAGAGTCGGTATACGCGCGGAAGGTGCTTAGAGAGCGATATCGGTAGCAATCGCACAAACCCAAGAGAAGCAGAACCAACAAGGCATGTGGTATCATAAACGTCTCTCAAAATTTTTAGTGGAGCATTTAATGAGTACGAATTGTAACTGCGTTCTAAATGACCCGTTAGATCTTCTGCTGGCGATATATGCTTGACGAATGAACTTCAGCTCCTGTGCGATACTTTTGGGGTTGCGCCTACATGGGCTATCCACGTAGAAGTGCTAAACCAATATAACTTTCAGTTTACTTAACCTTCTTCTTTCGAGCAAGTAACGATGCCTGTTTCTGACGTGAGATGGCTTTCTTTTCCTCTAGCCAGAAGAGCCCTGGCTGTCGCGCTTTAACGTCGAGGTAGGGGAACCTCAGATACATAAGAAGCCTGTAAGCGTCTAGCTTATCAATTTCGAAATCCGAAAGTTCGCTTTCCACCAGCTGAGTACGAAATGCGTGCTGGAATGTGAGAGCTTCGGGCATGTGCTCGCTCTCTGAGCGCACAGCCTCGTCGTACAGGTGTTCTGGAAGGTTGTGGATGGCCTCTAGCACGTTGTCCCGTATCTTTAGTTCACGCTCCAGATAGCGTTCGTTTAGTGCTTCCTGATATGACCTGTAAGCCTCTGCAACTCTCTGGAACAGTGCTCTGTCCTCACTACTTTCGGCTGGGGCCACGGGACTGCAGACCAGATCCAGAACCGCTGCCAGTGATTCACGATCCTTCAGTGCCCCCACAGTATCACTCACGAGTGAAGGTGGTATGTACGGGACGTATCGCGTGATTCCTACAGTTTGCTGTGTCTTCTTCCTGTCTTTGTCCTTGTTAGGTTTGGCTGGCTTCCGCATAGGCACGCTGCAGCTAGCGGGTGATATGCGGGTAATGGCGGCTAGAAATGGTATCGAGCAGCTTGATAGCATCGCTTCGTAACGATGCGCTCCCACACTTTTTTGTGACTTCCGTTTTTCAGGGCGGTAGGCTCACCCGAGGCTGCAACAGGGCCGTATCCTAGATATGACCGCTAGACATTAACCAAAGATTTTCATAGTGCGATAATTTGATTAATTGCCCGACTAAAATTCTTTGAATTATTGGAAGTAGACTGGGGTTGCGGCTGCGTTCTTCTACACATGGAATCTTCACCGCCTCCTTCGGTGTCGCTGGATTGCTCCACACAGGCGTTCAAGAATTCGAAAAATGTTACACATTGATGCATTGTTGTCACCCATGTGGGATTGAAGAACGGTCGACGAGGCAACAACGGTATGGACCGGTGGCAGGTCTACTACGACGAACAACTCATAAGCTTGGCGACGGCCCGTGGCCAGCTGCCAACCAGATCCATACAATACATATCTAGTGATGTCATTTAAAAGTATGCACTCAACGTAAGGCACCATTCCTTGGTTCCGCAGCAGTAAACAAACGATAAAAGGAGCATCGCGTCAACATACAGAGCGTGTCAATTCACCAATGTTACAAAATGATTCCCACTTGACTTTTGAAGTGGCCGTAACTCGCCACACTTGTGGCGAAGATTCCGTTACGGAGTACAAAGGCGATGCCTTATCTTCAGAACGTGGCACGTGATTCAGATTTCTCTTCTTTCTTGCTCTCCTTCTTGGATAGGATTTTTACGATCTTCAGGAATATGTGTAGTATGTCGCCATAGAGCATGATAGCGTGCGCAACATAATCACGTGAGCCGTAGTTGAAGTCGCGGAGAGTAACTTGCGTGTCGAATATGATGAACCTACAATTAGCGTAACCACACTATAGCGGCCACAACCCACCCGCAAAACGCTAGCAGCATAACAATGTCGCTGACGTCGTCCGCGAACTTAGAGCGGATGAAGATGTTGGTCAGTCGCACCATTGAGACGTAAAACGACAGGGAGAATGCCAGCCCACCGAGGTAAAGTGCAGTTCTGGAGGTCATGCATAGCGAGCCCAAAGAGAAGCAAGCGAAGACGGCGATCGTGGCGAACAGTGCAGTTGTGAGAATTTCTGCGGAATTTAGACGTGCCACAACATGCGCGTACCTGGGTTAAGGAAGTGCAGATATATGACCATATCGCGCAACAAAAGTCCTTGTGCGAACGCCATCACAGACAGAGCAGCGCATCTTTTAACACTGAGAGGCTGCGTCAAAATGATTTGGTACAGTGCTGCAAATTCCTACCTGACGCTGGTGGTCAGCGCTGGAACCGACGTACACGACGTAAAGCGTCGCGCCCAAGCAGGCAAGAGCTGTCAGTGCCCGGTTAAAGTTCAAGTATCTTAACGGCAGGACTGCCCCTGCGAACGTAATAACGGAGCACAGGGCCAGGGTGGCGTACACCTTAGTAAGGTGTTCCTTTTGAGCCTTCGACAGGGGCGTGAAGTCTAGCAGAGTAGACGCCTGCCACAGGCTGCTTCGCTGAAAAAACTGGGTGTCAAACATCTTTACTGAAAAATGAAATGAGTGCCGCCGTACGGGCGCGCGCGCGGGTGACAGTTTGCGACACACATCACCCCAGTGTAATTCGGGGTCTAATGGCCACACAACTTTACGTACGGTCTCAAACCATTATTTCTATACGCCATTCGGCGCGCTCAGTTGTAGCTGGTGAACGATGACGTAGACTGGCACAGCGGACACTTGGCCTTCTGCGCGTTGCGGAACCACCTATATCAAATGAAATTCGCACATAATTAACCCACTTGTAGAGGCATTCGGTGTGGAACTTGTGCTTGCAGACCTTGCACGTCTTGCTGGGGATGCTGTTGAACTGCAGGTGCACTATGGAGTAGCAAATTGGACACTCCTCTATTCCGTCGAAGAACTTCGTGATATTATCGCTCCACAACAGCAATCCCTGGGAGATACCGCCCCTATTTGCTGCGCTCTGTGCCATCATCAACCACCTCAGATGTTTGTTTTTAAACGTCGCTGCGTCCTCCGTGGATGTGAACGACAACGGTTCCAGTGGAAATGCCCCTGGTATCTTGACGGTCAGCTTTATAGACACCTCAGCCTTTGTATCTAGAGAAGCGTACAGATTGCGATAATCAGCGTCGTGAGTGATGTGCAGCGCACTAGACTTGCATGCTTTTAGAGCACGCAATTCATCGGTAATAAGGCGCTGGGTGATCTCGGTTTTCGTGAACTTCTTGATCTGTTTCTTCACATACCCACTTTTGCATTGGTTCCATACGTGGTTCACTTCCTCTGGGAAGACCTTAGACACCTTGTAGTAGAGTGTTTTGACGAGGTGTCGATATCGTTCCTCCTGCAGGTACAGGTTCTCCAGGCACAGTATTAGCACATTCAGCAGAACATGCAATGCCGATTCGTCGGCGTATTCAGGCACTACAGGTACGTCTGCTAACCACCATGCGTTGACGTATTCCTTGTCATCTTCGGCGACACCTTTAGTGACCTGTGCCTTGATGGTTTCGTACATGGCACCCCCTGCCTCCGATGGGCTGGCAGTCAGTACCTTAAGGATTGCGTTCTTTAATGTCAATTGCTTCGATTCCACAAGATGCTGCAACAACATGAACGCACTAAGCCACGCAGTCAGGCAGAGCTCTAGGTCCCGATGGTCGCATGAATGAATGAAGATGTCATAGGTTTTGAACAGGACTCCCGTGATGTGTGGCCCAAAGAGTACGTTGAAATAGAAAGAAATCGCCTTACGACCGAAGTATTCGTTCTGCTCGGGTGCTGGTGATACAGACTCTTCCTCAGGGTTGTCAGCGGGTGTTTCATCCACGCCTACCGGGTGGTTTTCCTCTGGATCCTGCAGTGCATTCAACAGCAGCTGGGAGAGGTCTATAGGGACGTCCTCTCGGTTAACTGCATTGTTTACATCCGGGTGTATTTCCACAGCGGCGAATTTGCCGGGTATCAACAGATAAATGCTGTTGTGCTCAAGGTCCACGTTACACAAGGCGCCACTGTAGTCTGCGATATTTGAGAAAAGGAACGAGCAGCACCAGAGCCTTGAAACAAAAGACAGGCTGTATATGTAACAGGATTGCGATTTTGATAAAAAGCTCACAAATTCGTAGGTCGCCGCCTTTAAGGTCTTTAATGCCCTCTGTAGGTCGCAGTCGTCCTGGTCTACAGATGTTGCTTGAGAGTCAACGGACTCCACAAAGTGAACTACCATTGATGCAAAATAATGCGGGTCAATTGATTCCATCGTTGTGCCAAACGGACCCTCAGCCAAAGCTTGAGCCACGTTCTCGGCTGACAGAGCCTCCATCACGTCCGTATATTCCCTCAAGCTATCCAGAGAAAAATCATAAGCATCACGGTCCACGCGCATTCCTTTAAATGATACGATTTCATTTGACAAATAGAAGTGCATAATTTCCGCGAATAAGTTGATAACACGGTGGGAGGGTGCTGACAGGTTACGGCAGCAGAAACTCAACGCACTCATAATCCACCCACCTTCCATAAACTTTAAGAAAGCTAATGAATCCAATGATAACGCCTTTACCAAGCATGAACAGGTATAGAAGAAGTCCAAGAGGGCGCTATGAAGCCAGTAGGCCGTACAAGCATCTTTGTACTTCAATATCTGTAGTTTCCCCAAAACGGCTAGGGGCACGGCTGCCATTTTTTCCGAAAGGTAAGACGCATCGCATCCCTCTTTCAAAGTCAAGTTGCCATCTGCAATTACAAAACCATCGGCAAAGACTGGAGTCAGCTCGAGCAGACAGTTTGTCATGAGCACTAAATCGTCATCACCACATGACTCAATAGCTGACAAGATGTCATCCGTCGTCGCTACTGGCACATTCCCCGTGCGTTTCACGGAAGCAACAAATCCTCCAACGAATTGGTTTGAAGTGTATTGTTGCTTGAAGAGAGTGATCAATGACTCATCGTAGGCATCCAACTTAAGAAGGTAGCTGTCGAACAATTGGATCTTACTTGCGTATTCAAACTTGGATGTCCACGTCTTAGAACATATATATTTAGCTAAGGTGGTAGTTATTGCATCCAAACATATACGACTTTTGACCACTTTGTCAACCAGCTTTTCGAACAACGGATAATTGAAGCCATCGTTCACCAACGTCGGTACCAACACCGAAGCAAAGTTCTCTACGTCCACTTTATCACCACGAATTTCTGATACAACAACGTCATTGCCTTCTGCCTTATCGCCATCCGAATGATCTGCCGTCTCATTAACTGCTTCAGCATCCCTGCGCAGTTTACCAGTTTCATCGGCGCCGAATAGGTAGGATTCACAGTTCATATACCACAAATGGGCAAATAGAACTGCATTCCTATGGTATATCACCGTATATAATAGGTCTGACGATTTCGTGAGTGCCGATATCGTACGACTTATCGACATAGTACACCTGCATGGCGTAGATTGCAGAGACATCATTGCGTACACAAGATCCTTGTTGAGCACAACTTCACTGCTCGTATCATGGGAGTACTTAAACGTTTCCTTTCCCTGCTGTAGCAGTTGCAGAAATGAGTTAAGGCGAGCGCTGTCGGCAGTTGACTGACCCTGTTTCCAACACGGCATAAGTGTTAGGCTGAATTTAAGAAGGGTGTCTATTCTAACCAACAAGTTTGCATAATACCCGACCAAGTAAAATGCAACAACATCGTCAACCATCAAATGCTCCTTCGGCTTGTAGCCCTTAATGGCTGTTTTCCTTTCGAACTGCAGTGCAGTGTGGAGCAGCTCATAACTAAGCACACCCTCTGCATCCAACGACGAGACATCAACGGCACTGTATATGGCCTCACAAGTTGCGACATTAATATGTTCTGCCTGCATCAACCACTTGAGCATCGATTGAGACAGGCGATGCGAAAAACGTTGTGACGCGCTGACGAATTTGAGGAAAACCGCCAAGCAATTGCCATCAGAAAGTTCAGTCCTACAGCTATATATCTTGTTTGCTAGGTTGACTGCTTTGTCTTCGGAGCCTGAATTTTGCAATGCCACCAAAGATATTAGCAGTACGCTTTTTGCATCCGTTTCCTCAGGATAATATTTTTCAGGTTCATTCAGCAATGGTTCAAGCAGTTTCAATACGCGTGACAACTTTGCAAACGCAGCCTCAAATTCCCAACTGTCATGGTATTTTTGTTCCATAAAGAAGCGCGGAGCCTCTAAAATTTGCGAGTCCGTGGACAGCGTGGCAATGCCGTCGGCAACACTCAACAGCTCGTCGATACGCTCCACGCACGACGGAGATTGTGGTTCGGCCAAAAATTCCATAAGAACTGACGGCAACTCGTCTTCCATGATACGCGACTTCAGGCCCTTTTGTGCATCACGGACGTAAGACTTTATGCTCTCATGGTGTTCCACATCTCCTACATCTTTATGCCCACCTTTTGACAGGGAGTCAAATATACGTGTAATGAGTACTCCGTCGACTTGCTTCTCATCTACTTTTCTTAACGTCGTCAGGATAATATTGACGGCCTCTGGCGCTTTCATAGCCTCCGCTTCCTCTATGAACTCGGTAAATATCCGCGGAAGTTGCGATAGGAAATGTTTAGCGAGTGACGTGCTCTCGTATGGCAGCTCCAATATAGGCGCAATGGCGTGTCGTGCGATTGTTTCGCAATTACCTTCTATAAGCATAAGTATGCGGTAGTAGCAATATAGCATACTGCTGCCCACCTGGCTCAACATTTTGACATCACATGCATATGATCTCTCATAATTCGCTTGTAACTTCTCACTCAACAGCTGGAGGATGTGTTTAATGACTTCAAGGACAGCTTGTTCCCCGGAGGGCGACCTTAACCATTCCTGCGGCAAATACGAGACCAGGCAGGGACACAGGGAATACAGCTCCGTAGTCACTGCAGAGTCTTCTGAGTGTCTTTCGAGGAGCCTCTTGACAAATGACGCATAATTCCCCAACACTGCGGGTTCCCAACATGCACTATTGTACCTAGCACAAGCACAAATCAGACGTACATGTTGGTACGTAATGTGCGCTTCTTCGTCCTCTTGGGCTCGTTTCCTCCCTATTTCGAAGAGCCTCTTTGCGATGGGCAGATTATCTGCCGGCAAGACTTTGACCAATTCAACAAGTAGCCTAGCGCCTGCTAGACGCTGCCTGAAGGTGCCGTTGAGGCACAGCGAACCAATTCTGTTGACGAACTCATTGTTCACAAATACTGCAGCAGGGAACTTATCTCCATCTAGTTCATTGGCGAATTGTCTTTGCTGCATCATAAGATCCACAATACCTTGTAACAGCGAACAGACGAGCCTATTGTGCATGTCCGAAATGGTGGCGGAATTGTCGCAAGTCTTGCCAAAAGTATCCATCCAATCGCGTTTATATTCATCGATATCACGACTTAGGAGCATTAGGCTGGTATTCGCGATTGTCTGGATAAAATGTGTAAGCACGCGGAATGTCTTGCGATCAAGTTCAGCTTTTTCGGCGTCGGGTGCCGAAAAGAGACTGTGAAAGGCGTCAATATATGCGCTAGCCACATCCGGTGCTTCGTCATGCATGGCCATCCACCAGTAGGTCACTATTCCGTCCATGTGAACCTGCATACGCTTTTTGAGTGTTTTGGCTATGCGGAAGAGGGCCTGTCCAAGGTGGAGACGTATTTTCTTGGAGGGCTCTACCACTGCTATACGCTTGAAAAGATGGATGAAATCTGGTACCAAGCCCTCCAAAACATAGTCTTGGGTGTCATCAAGCAGCGAAAGGAGGGTTTCGATGGCCTTCAATTTGGTGGTGCCATCTTTCTTCGTGAGCTTCTCCAGCGCCTTGAGAAGTTCTGCCTGTGACTGTGAAAAGGCGCACGATGTGTCATCAGAGCGCCCATTTCGTGATTGATCGGCCGCTCCGTATGCCGTTGTGTCGTGATAAAACGAGTCGAAGATGTGATGTAATCCCGTTGGTCTGGAATTCGCGGTCTGGTACATGGCGAAGTCCGAAGACCGCACCTTTCGTTCTTCCTGCTTTTTTCCTTTGCGAGTCATCTTTGACAAATGAGTCAGAGAACACACATTCCTTCCTGATCGCGAGACCGGAGGGCAGTCACGCCAGACAGCAATGTGCGGAGAATGAGGGTGTTAGAATCACGCTTTACTAGCAACAAATATTATCGTATCTATCGTAGATCTAAATTCGAATAAATCCTCTTACATAGGTAACATTCTGTTATTAATGAAGTCGATAGATGTGTGCCATCGTTTCGCACAGTACCAGCAACGAACCAATACACATATCGTTTATAACGACTATAAATTCAGACATTTGTCTCTGCTTGTGATTCTATAACGACCGCTTCTCGTTTGGGAGCGTACAAAATAAAGAGCGGCAGTCCGATAACAAACGAGCCGGCGATATAGTTTCCTATAAGCGTCGGAACAAAGTTGTATGCATATACGGAGACAAACGACGTATCCTTGCACGACATGAGCGCCGCGTGGAGCGTGTAAAAGTTCGCGACGATGTGCTCGTATCCTGCAACGGCGAAGCTTGCAATGAGCAACACTATGGCCAAGACTGTTCCTGCCGAATCCAGAGCAGCGTAGGAGCACCAAACTGCCATGCACACGTAGCAATTGCAACCGATAGCACTAAATATAACGCGCCAGAATGGCAGCGCAACCTTGGCGTCGTATACAGCCTTCATGTATTTCGAACCAGACCCTACCCCTTCCATAAAGAAACCGGTGCCGGCGCTAAGCATTGCCGCACCAATTGTCGCTCCCGAGTAGTTGCCGACGAGGGACGTGGTCATTCTAATGACGTAATCGAGAGCGCTGACTTTCCTGGTGTATACCAACAAGGCGAAGGTCATGCAGTTGCTTGTCACCAGGTCCGTACCAGTGAAGATGATGCAGACGAGCGCGCTCGTAAAAATGAGACCGAACGCTACCTTGGACGCACCGACCTGCTGTTCTGCGTAAAAGTACGACGCCAAAACGAAAGCGGCGTGGCCTCCCAGGGCAGCAAAGAAGCCACCCATCACTGCCTTCAAGAACAAGACATACACCGGACAGGTGACTTTCGCCTCACCTCCGGCCACAGCCACCTCGAGAGTTTCTGCCGGCTTACGAACTTGACATACATACTCCATTGTTGAAGAAATGTGTCACAAATCCGGACGGCTAGCCGTTGGCTAAATAGGGTAGTCCTGGAAATGGCCTACAGGGGAAAAAGCCAAGTTCGTCAACACATATGATTATAACACCACAGCTACTGTGCGAATTATAATCAAAACCGCTTTTAAAATGGAACGGTGGAGATCAACACGATATTTTTATATGTGAGATAGAGTGTAGTCGTGCAGCACAAAAATCTCAGGCAACGTCGACCCACAACATCGCATGTATTTCTACGCTCGGAGCAAATGCCTATTACAATGGAATCTACAAAACAAAATTTTCTTTCTTAATCTGCCATGGCTGCGGTGTGTACGTACGCAGGTCTCAGAATCCTGTTGCTATCTTTATTTTTTTCTTAATTTTTACAGCTCCCCCGCAACTGCCTAAATGGGCTACACAATTTTAGTTGTGTCCACGCTTGTGCTGTTATGTCTACGCCCCAATGAGAGACACGTCTACAATTGCGTAAGTACACACACAGCGCTGGCTGTGATCGGCCGCTATATGCTTACCTCTATAATTACCCTTACACATGGCACTAATCACACCTCCTAGTTGTATTTTAGATACTTTGACACTCTGTGTAGCGATGCTTTGCAGCCGCCTTTTGTCAGCCGGTTGCCTCCCAGGTGTCTAGTCACGTGGCGCGGTCATGTGTAGACACTTCCCGGCTGATAACTCGATAAAATTATTGAACGGCCATAAAATCGTTGATGTGTATACATTTGAGTTGAGCATAACGCCTAACGGTGTCGACCATACGTCGCATCGTGTTATAGCCAGGTTCTCTTCTTTTGGGCTTAGACGGTTGCATTGAGGGATGGAAAATGTTGCAATAAAGGTATGTTTTGTGTTTCTGAATGTATTGTCAATTGCGATCAGCTCGCTGCGGCTGCTGCCAAGGAGCGTATTCCAGTGGAATACGCAGCTAGATACACGGATTTATTGCTGGAAGAATCGCGAGATCGCGATGACTGCAATGCCGATAGCTACCATTTAGATACCATACACGACACCGTTAACGAATTCATACTGCAGTTTGAGGAGAAGATCGCTTTAAATATCGACGCCACCATCACTGAGCTTAGACGTGATTTGTCCAATGTGCAGCAAAGGAGGAATCGGTACACGAGCATATACGACTGCAGCGCATCTGAATCGGCAGTGCCGAGTGCCGCTTCGTCGATTACAGGCAGTAGGAGGCAACGCCTGAAAAACTTTTTCGATGGGAAATCCTTTGTGGGGAGTATTCCGCTGAAAAATGCCTCCCGGCGGTATATATCAGGAGAGATAGAATTGGAAGCCGCCCGTAATAGCGCTAGGTTGTCAGGTTCGCGACTCAGGCAAATTCGTATCGCCTCTACGGGCAATGCCGTGGGCACGCAAAACGGGACTGTTTCATCGCCGGCCACAGCTGCATCTTCCGCGGCACCCGTAAGCCGCGCTGCACCCAACAATGTTGCCACGGCGTCCCAACCCACGTCTAAGTTGGCGGATTCGCAAGGTTCAGAAGCCGGGGCTTCCAGTGCCGCACCGCCGGAGGCAGCGCCAACCATTTCCAAGCCGGAGGTCAAGCCGTCCCCTAAGGCGACCCAACCGGAAAAGAAACCAACACAAGATCCGCCTGTGTCTTCGAGCACAAAGAAATGCGTATCTGAGTCGTCTAGTGCTCCTAAGGACGACGAACCGAATTCTAGTGGCGCTGTCAAACGGCAATGGGAAGCTGGCGCCACTAAAACAACAGACGGTGCGCGTTCTTCTGGTAAGAACACTAAAAAGGCGACTGGTGCCGATGCTGGATTCAAAAGCGGTATGGATGTACTGGTCAATAACTCTGAGGAAAAGAAGAAACCGCTAGATATCGACGTGGATAAGCCACGCCAATCGTGTGGTCTTAGTTACCCATCCAAGACACATTTGAACAATCTCGCATCTTCGGGGAATTCAAACCAAAACTCCAAGGAGAAACCGCCAGTGGATGAGCGATACGTACCTCTGGTAGGTGCTGACCTCACTCCCGAGATCATCAACCTTGTGCTAAACATGAAGTTGGACGCAAGTTTGTACAATATCTGCGAGGCGGACATTGCGGGTTTAGCTGAGGTTAAGAAAACACTCAAGGACAAAGTCGTCCAGCCGATTATGCGCCCCGATTTGCACACTGGATTGCTGAGGGCGCCCAAAGGTGTGCTACTTTTTGGCCCACCCGGAACGGGGAAGACAACGCTTGCCAAATGGATCGCAAATGTGTCTCGCGCCAATTGTTTTGAGGTGTCCCCCAGTTCTATAACGAGCAAATTCCATGGTGAAAGTGAGTCTATCATCAAGGCACTTTTCAAGGTGGCCCATTTCGACAGTCCGTCTATTATTTTCATCGACGAGGTGGACGCAGTGCTCGGCAAACGCAGCACGAACGAGGCCGACCTTTCCATACGCATGAAGAACCAGCTGTTGCAAATGATGGACGGTTTGCATTGCGGCACCAGCGAGGGAACAGTTGTCGTCATTGCCGCTACCAATCGCCCCATGATGTTGGATGACGCCGCGCTTCGACGATTCGGAAAGCGTGTTCTGATCCCATTGCCCGACTTGGAAACTCGCAAGGCATTCTTATATGAGACCCTGCGCAAGAATTGCAACGGAAAGTGTGAACTCAGCAGTGAGGAGTTGGATCAGATTGCTGCGTCTACGGAGGGATGGAACGGCAGTGATCTTCTGGCATTGTGTACAAAAGCTGCAGAATATTCATACGATGATACCGTTGAAGCATACGGTGGAATAGAAAACATCCCGGACGCTAGCGTATTTAGGGGTCTAGTCATCGACGACTTCATCCGCGCTCTGCGGCGGGTGCGCCCTTCGAACGCAGCCAACGGCGATTTCTCTTTCGAGGAGTGGCAGAGGCTCTATGGCTCACACTAACCGTACATACATTTGTGACGCTATAACTCAGATATTATTGTATCCGCATCGGTGTTGCCAGTGTGCTATGTGCCTACGTGTGGCTTGGGCCGATTTTCGTGTCTACCGGGCTAGCGCTTCACGCTGCTGGTGTCGGTTGAGGGGTCCATGTCGTCCTGTTGTAGAGCCTATTTGGTTCCCGCTCATGATGTTGTACATTGTGTTTGGGCGCGATGGTCGTTCTCAGAGTCGTCATGATCCCCGTCTCCACCAGGTTGTCCTGATTGGTTATTCCTATTTCCACGATGGTGGTGACGTTCCTCACGCACCCAGATGGCCATTCACACATTTTTACTGTCTGCTGAGATGATGGGCTCACGGCACTGACTCCTTTATCTTGGCCACTGCGACACTATCGTGTCAAGGCATCTACGTTATCCACTAGGTTGCTTCAATGTAGCTCGCTTAGCATGTTTACAACAGTGATCAAAGGACACTACGGATGGGACTTATACATCAACAACAATAAGTAAACGTGTTGAAACAATCTCCTTTGACCAGACGAATAAACAAGACGATAACACCTATTAAAGCGATATAGCATCGCCCACATCCGCCACTGCTGGCACTCCAGGATAATACATGTTGTTAGATCGGAGAGCGTTACCTGTTTTGAGTGGCTTACTAGAATTCTTGGCATTCCAGGCATGTAACAAACCCATGTCTACGCCACTGTGACACCCTGCCACCAGATGGGATCCATTCTTGCCAGTGCAGTACTTGAGATCTTCTATAGCGTCTGCGGTTTTCATGGGTTTCGAAAGTTTTACGGGTTTCACGGGTGCTGCAGGTTGTTCCACAGGATCTACAGCTTTCACAGGCTCTGCGCATTTCACACCTCTAAGTCATGCAGTTTTCACAGGCTCCTCAAATTGTTCACTTCCAAGCTCGACAGCCTTTGCGGCTTCCACAGGTTACACAGCTTGTTATGCTTGAATAGGTTCTTCAACTCTCCCAAATTATTCTCCTTGAACTGGTTCTACAGATTCCACAGCTCCAAATTCTCCAGGTTCTGCAGCCAGCGCTCCATAAGTTGTCCAAAATGTGGCGAAGTCGCAGAATATATCCAATACATCTGTGTTCATACTCCTCAACGCCTTAAGTGTGTCCGAACCACTTATACCATCGCGGCATACCGACTCATCGTAACCAACGGCTTTCAATACATCTCTGAAACGCATTTCTGCATCCTCATCCGCCCATGTAGCTGCTGCGGACCTGCTGGCGTCCAATAAGAATAGTACGCCAGCGTATAACATAGACGTACTCCCCACGAAAACCGCTGCACAATCTTCCGGGTTTTTTGCGCATGATGCATCCCACGTCGCTTCTGAGCTGTAAGCAGACTCATACTGGTGAGGGATTTGTATATCTTTCAGGAACTTCTCGGTACCACGCACGATCTTACCTAACTTATTTGCCATGGTTTCAGCAGTGACGCCCCTGGCCTCTATGACTCGCTTATAATCGCTTTCGTAGATATCTCTGGAGATATGCACTTCCTTGTCGAGGTTTGGATTCACGGGTGGCTCGTACCGTTCCAGCAGCTCATTCGCGGGCCACAGATCCTTCAGCTCCTCTTGCTGCACGAACTTTTTAGAAATGCGCTTCATTTCCTTTAACGCTGGCAACTGCTTCCAGGCAACAGGCTTGTTTGAGAGGAATTTGTAGACTGCTGCGCCCATAGCCGCCAAGTTCTTTTTACCATCCTTCCCCCTCAGGGCTATCAACCAGTCAATGCCCTCCTTGAGGTTGTGAGGGAAGTCAGTCAACGAATTGTATACCATTTTGTAATGGGTCGTTAGATTGGGGACTGATATAAACGTGTGGATGTTTGTGTAATTACAGGCCGAGCCTTTAGGCACCTGTGTCTCAACCCTGCAAAAGCACACGTGCTGTTGCCTTATAATGTAGAGGCGCCTAATTGAAATATGCAAAGTCGTCTATACACCAAATAGGCAAATTTTGGGAGGCGCGATTATGACCAAGCTGCCGTATCACAGCCAGATCCACAAAATTAACCGAGCATGCAGCACACATAACGCATGTTATTAGCGTATCCAAGTTTCGGACAATTATGCACATACTGATCCTTGAAGTGGTACTACGTTTGCAACTATGTGTCAAACTTTGAGATTCTAGGATGGGTTACGAGCAGTATACTACAATCGACGCTGTCCTGTGTTTCACACGTCCATCTACAGTCATAGCACATTTTCTAGCCCATAATCAGGACACTTCACAACACAGAATGTAATCGCATTGTGTTGCGTTACACTTGCCTATAAGGCGACTCCCTAGCTTCTCTATGATGGCACCTCTTTTCCGCTAACTTGGATGATCACCCACTCCTCTTGAGCATTCTTTTGCCATCCCGCTGTTGCACTTTAATGCCGTTATGGTAGTCATATATTTAGCTTCTCGGACCCTTTAGAACACTTACCTCCACAGAGATGGGAGCTACAGGCAACATGGGCGTCTAATTCCGGTGTGATCCGATTATTTCGCAGATAATTGCAAAGATGTCATCATGATCATGCCAAATATTGGTTACCGATGATTAGTTTGCGCAACTATGTTATTAGTATATTAAAGCATCGTATGAGGTGGAGTGATCAAATTTATACTGGCTCCCCCCAGCGATGAAATATACAACATGATCCACATTGAAACGACAGACATCAGATGGATGAGCAGTAGTGACTCCCCAACTGAGACGTGTGATTCAAAGTGTGGATGTGATAATGTCTGGTGAAAATTGCTTCAAGCAATGTTGCCGTTGCAGCTGTGGCAAAACCCCGACTTAGAATGCAATTGGTGTATTAAATGGCTGAAGTAAATAGGTAGTACCTCACTTCTAATGTTTAGAAATGATAAATGGTGATGTTTTTCGAAAGGCATCGTAGCAGTGTCCCGCCTGCGGCCACGGTATCCCGACTAGGGGGATTGATTTCAGCGCAGTGAAAACCACTGGTTAAAACATTAGAAGCATAAAAGATGCGTTATCTGCTGATACCTTCTGAGGTCATCGACTGCCATAGCTAGTTTGGTTTGTGCTGCTTGCAACAGCGAAAACTAGCTGGTAATGCATGGATTAAAATTGTGATGGCAACTCAAGAGAATATTACGATCAACCCCTCAAAGAGGAACAAATGGGCCCAAAGTGGGAGTATGCGGTATATAATTGTATCGGAGCTTTTCTTTTAGAACGGAAATCCTGAACGTATGTTGTAAGTACAGTTCGCCAGGCACTCTTGTATTGCTACGACTGGTAAGGGGGTTACACATCGCACAACGCAGCAATATGAGATAAGTATGATTGTTCAGTAAGCCTATGCTGCTATAATTGCGGGATTCAATAGAGTAGCTACGTCGGTATTTCAGTCATGCAGATTGTACCTTCTACACCCCGCGTCCAGCTTGTGACCTTCTGCAACGAAAACTACGTTATCAGGCTATCATGAAAATACAATGATATGAGCTACTGTGTGAAGTAAATGACTGATGTGTATTGGATGCAGAAGAGTGTGTTAGAGGTCCATGCTCACCCGGTGTGCCATGCATCAACATATGATCCTGAGAGGCGTTTTATTTTCTGCAAAACATTAGATAGCAAACACTGGTAAGGAACATCTTAATACACGTAAATGGTGCCGTAAGGAAGGTGAGGAATCTTCCGATTGCTACCCACCATCCGGGTACGTCGTTAGTCGTTGAGCAGGGTTGGCTGCTTTAGTAACGTCATGTCATCGGGGCTGCTGCATGATTCGGCCTGATGGTTGCGGTATAATCTTCAATTCCGTGCGGGATCCATTGATGTGACGGATGAGGGGGAAATGGGAGCAGAGGAGGCAAGATTAGACAATCCTTGTAAATGTTATGTCAAAAAATGTAAACGAAGCGTAGCAGGAGATGCGTGCCGTAATGAATTTTGTGAAGAGTGTAACAGGGTGAACTGTAATCCTGGTTGTAAGACTTGCAAGGACTGCAGTGAGGCGAAAAACGGTAGAGACTGCAATTGTCAGTGTACGGTTTGTGACTGCGGATGTGAGAAAAAATGCGGTGAACGTGACAAAAAGGAATGTGCTAATTCCGGCTGCTCACTATGCAGGGTAAAATGCAAAGGTCGGCCAGCAGGTGCTATGTGTATTTGTCGCACATGTGAATGTAAATGTGGTCTCGGGCTTTGCAACTGTTGTGAGTGGTGTCCGCGTAGTTCATGTAAGGGTAAAGGCACATGTGATGGTTTCGTGCTTAACAAAGATGATAAAGACAAATGCAACGAAGGCAAATGCCATGGCCACGGGACTAAGAAAGAAAATAGCGTAATATGCAAAGAAGGCGAATGCCCAGGGCACGGGGAGAACAAATTTGAGTGCTTCTTCGCGGAATTTTATAGAGACGGGTATTGCATCAGGAAATGCAAAACCTGCGGCACGTACTGTTTTGAAGGTCTATATTACATCGTCGGGTCTCCAGTTGTCGCCCTTTTGATAATTCTAGTAATTATCTTTATTTTCTGGGCCATGTTTCCCGAAAAATTCCATAGGATTAAGTCTACAATACGTGCTGCATTTGCTAACTCGTTTAAAAGTTCCGGCGCATCCACGAATCTCGCCGGTGGAAGGATTACCGAGGAAATAGACATTGATCGATACTCCGCCTTCCCATATAAGGGACTAACGTAGTATCACGTAGTGGACGTATATTCTTAATATCGCAACATCACTTCAATGTGGTTACATGCGCTATTTAATGTTACGTTGCCCGGCGTTAATAGCCCCCTTGTACCATTTTACCAAATATCGACCTAGCAATGCAAAGGGTTCCAGCGCGCGATCAACGCTTAGCGCCAAAGAGAAACATCAGTATTATATGGAGTTCATGTAGTCAGGCAACAAGTAAGATGTCCAGCAATGCCCACTGACGATAATCGTCCGATGGCATACGGAGACATTCGCTAACCAACACGAAAAAGACTGTACAATTTAATACACACAAATACATTATTGACTTGTTTTAGTTTTGATTCGGTTTATGTATGTCTAGTGTATTACTCCTGCCCATTCACGTCAAATGAGGCGTGATAACGACCTGGTTGACTTTGGGCCAACAGCCTTCCCTGTAATGTCCAGCATGCCGGCAGATAACCTCTTTAAATGAAGGCAGCTCGGCTCATTCTTGTTCGCATCCACACAAGAAATGTCATAATGCGCGTTAGTGTGAAGTCCCGTTGTCCTCTAAATATACGGAGGGCAAAGATGCACGGTATCCGCACTCGATGGTATTGTACATGCGTCAACCCGTCATTAAATTATCTGCCGCTTAGATATCAGCGCCATATTTGGAGTAGGAGTCTTCGGGTGATGTTCTTCATACCGACGGTAAAGCTGCCTTGTTAACTGTGGAAAGACCTTCTCAGTTACTTCGCTGTGCCCCTTGAACTTCTCCAGGAACAATTTACGCATTTTGGCTATATCAACTAGCAGCTCATCGTATGTGTACTGCTCTGAGGTGAGCTTTTCGTCCAAACTCTTGGCACACCTGTCAAACATGGCCACCGCGGCGTCGTTTGCGATTTTGTCGTTTTTGGCTTCCAGTTTCTCTATTAGGCCGTCGAGTGACTTTTCAAGATACTCGTACTGCTCGCGGTATAGCGCCTTATCGCCTAAAACACGTGTCTGGAACTCGTGCAGGCTTTTTTGCTTCAGACGCATACAGCGTGACAGCAGCACTCTCGGCTCTATCGGCAGTTGCATAACCACGTGATGTTTCAGACCCTTGAAGAACTGCACAATAACGTCTCTACTAATGTTTACATTCTCCTTTACACGCACATCCCGTACGATTGCCTTGGCATCCCTGAGCTTGATCATACCATGCATGTTGAAGTGGGCAATCAGTTGCTTCAAGTAGTTTACGAACATGCCGCCATTCAGTTGCATACAGGATTGCACATGTGATAATGTGTCTTGATAAACGCATGCCTTTACTTCATCCAGTCGCTCACAAAAATGTGGATTCAGCAGGTGGTTGGGTATGCTGCTAATATTTGGTTGGCCGGTCGGTGCATTAGCTCCGATGAGGCGCGTCTTAGATCCCACCGCCACATCCGCCGACATTATGTCCGCGTTTGCAGGCGCGAGCAGTGTGGCAAATATGCGTTTTAGGGCATGCTTCGCGTTTAGCGCGGCGGAGTGATCCGGCATGCTCAATGATTTTGGAGCAACAACGGGGCACGGCAGAGAGGTGTATTTCCTATTCGTGAAGATTTCAAATGCGTCCAACATGTCATTTTTGAAATCCATGCCCCTATCTCTACGAGCACAGTTGAAGATATTGGCATAGTGCTCGAATATTCCCTGCTCCACCAGCGTCTCCGGGGTGTAAAGGCGTTCATCCATGCATTTCACGTGACCCTCACTGTCCCTGAAAACGAAATGGACAATGGGAGCTTTCCAAAGGTTGGCTTCACCCGCGTCGGAACGCACCTCTTCATTGGCATCGATGGTTTCGTGCTCTTTTGAATCGAACGATTTAGACAGAATGTTTTGTTCGTTCAGTAAAAACGACGTCTTCTTCCTGAATTCCTCTATTGTTTCCTGCATTTCTATTGAACCTATATCTTCTTCAAAGCTCATTCGGTCATGTTTGACAACGTCTATCATTGCACGCACCATATCGTAAATCCCCGTCCTCGGCGGATTAGCAACGTTGCATATCACACAGTTACTCAACAATAGCACAAACTTGATCATGTCAATGCGCTGAGCTTGGTGGTTTTCAAACCCGTCGATATCAAGATATATGTACGCATACTTTTCCTGATAAACACCCACATATGCCCATACAGCTCCCTCTGGCGGTTGGTGCATTTGGTTCATGGCTTCCTTAGCGGAATAAGCCTCCGAGCACCGGAACGATTTGGTAGGCTTGTTTACCAGCATGCTAGCCAGGTAACTCTTTCCAGTTCGCGCATCTCCACATACGCCAATTGTCACAACTTGCAAATCTTTAACTTGAGTCTGTATAATTTTGGCCGCTGATTTTACCAGGCTACATAGTGTACGGTCTCCTTTCTTGGTAAAGTGGAGAAGCTTCACCGCACGTGCCGTGTGTACTTTTGAGAAGCCCTTGAATGGGTCAATGATCCGTGACATGGAACAGACGTTCAGCGGGACTTCAAATAGCCCGGTACGTTGGAACGACGCTGACGTGCCGTCGTTAGAGTCGGAGTCCGAAGATTGCGCGCATTCGGAGGCTGGAGATGTGTTTCGTACTGCCCTGCGATGAACATTACGCGTCCGGGATCTGGTACTTCGAACGCCAGTGCCGGGCGATACGGGGCTATTGCTCCCATCATCCATGTACCTCTCGCATACTGCGGGGTCGTCTTCATCGTTGCTGTACCTGCTATGCGTGGATGTGGTAGTGTCCCCGCCCATGTTGCCCATTGTGTATGTCGCCCTCCTCTCGCTGTCCCCATATAACGGCGTGTCACGGCGGTGCTTCTGAGGTGAGGGCATGTAGTAATTCACCGCCTCTATTACTTCAGGGTACGGCGCGGCGAAATGTTGTGTCTCGTCGTAGCCGAAGCTTAGGGTTGCATCCCTCGCGTCCTGCCTGATATTCCTAACCACCATATTGTTGTTCGACAAGTTCGCGAATGGTTGGGGGTGACTCCACTCATCGTCATATGATCTGCCCATGAACCTGTCCGAATCGCCAAATGTTGGCGGTCCCCTCGACGAAAGATCAGTAGAGTCATATCGCCGGGTATCTGGCGGGATGATATAAATATCGTGCTCGCCAGAATCTGCTGCCTTTTCTGCATTGTTCACATGTTTATCATTCTCGATAATGCTACATTCATCTTCAGCGTTTACGTTTTGCACATTAGCGGTGGTCCCTTCCTCGGCGTTAACACGTGCCTCATCTTCCGCGTCATTTATGTTTTCTGGAGCAGAATTCGAATCGTGTGGCTGCTGTATCAAGTCGTCGTACATAGTAGCCAACTCTTCGGTGGAAACGCTGGCGTAATGTTGGCGGTTGGCTACCACAACTCCCTCCTCCGGCGAGGAGTCCGCCATTATGTACAGCGCAAGTTTATGCGGCACCCAGTAGCTCTGCTATTTCCAATTCGATCACATATGCCAATGAAAGCATATTTGCGAAGTTGGACCGTGCCACTACGACGATTTCCGCAATGTGTACTGTACCCTTACGGCAAGGCGTATGGGGAAGCAAGTGTGTGTGGACGTACAGTGGCATTTGATTGCACATTGGCATATATACAGCCATGCTAGCGCTCTCCACTAATAGATCTACTCATGTGTATATGAAACCGTCGCCGACGAGCCAGTGTGTGCCTGGTGTCTGACTGGTAGCCACTGACTCCGCGACGGGTCACACCTATCGCCATTTACACCCTAAAACATGAATATCTATTATTCAAAGGTAAATGTTAGTCCCGCATTTGCGATGCTTGTAGATGAGGAATTCGTCTCCATCCGAAATGCACGTACAATACCGGGTCTGCGGTACGCAGTGGGTGATCCGGATTCTCGGGGTCTCGTGGTATACGGTAGTCTCTACCACGGGCCTGGTTTCGATGACTTGGGCGGCCTTGGCCCAGGTGGAGTGGCATAAATGGTAGACAGCCATGATGGTTGGTGAGTATTGGTTGAGGTGTACAAAATATCAACTGTGAATGTTGTGAGCTTATGCCTGGGCGGCGAGCCAGGAGCTTTTAGCATGTGAAGCACATGCGTTGAGGCATTGTACTTGTACAATTATGATCTCCTGCGCCTTGTTACCGTTAAACGGTACGGTGCGGACCAATCACGTAGCGTCTCTCGCGCATTCATCGCATTCCATACGACTCGGCGATGCGCACGCACATCTAACAGCGAGTCCAGCCATCCGTCACCAGCATGTGTTGATGTGCAGCGTTTATTGAGTGGCTTGCCGGTGCGTGTTGCCGCGGAGACATGCGGGGTACAGCACGAACAATCACGAGTATTTTACCTGTTAAACGCTTGATCCTATGCGCTAGTAAACGCTACTAAAAAGTGATACCGTTTGCGCGAAAAACCGTAACTGGAAAATTTTAGCCGCACAGCAGACTAGGGCAAACGCGGCACTTGCGTTGCCGTGAACTCTGTTACAATTGAAATGGGAAAGAATCTTGGCGATTGGGTGTGCCCTGTTATAACGTGAGTATCTACGTGTTTTATAAGGTCTCCGCGTGACGCTTGGCGTGTGCAAGCCTCCCTGTGCTGTCGTTCACCAGAATTCAGGTGTTCAAATCTAAATTTTTCAAAGCGCGAATTTTGCAATCGTTGTGGATTTAATCGTTCGCAAGGTATGTTGTGGATTCCGTTGTTGCCGATAATGAATCAGGCGGCGGCGCGGACGCACCCCTTTTTAGACACCGCAAGTTCAACGACTGGGTTTGCGAGCAGTAAGTTCCCATTGATCCGCTCTGATGTGTGTCAGTTGTGGAAACGCAAACTGGTCCCGTAGAAGGCAGTGTAACATTTGCAAGCAAGAAAGACCGACTTGTAATAAGTGTGTTGTCGTTTTTACCTTTACACACCTTCTCAGCGACGGTCCGGTGCAGTGTGCCACGTAAGGAATTTCGTACACGAATTTCGGGACTTCGTAGTCACCCCGGTGTGTGTTCGGAGTGCTGTTGCAGACTTATTTGTCTATAAATCGAGCTAATGGGTATTAAGGGACTCATCGGGTTTCTCAGTGAATCAGCTCCGGGGTCCTTGAGCGAAGTCACCTTGGACAGCCTATCCGGATGCACTGTCGCCATTGATGCATCCACTGCTCTGTACCAGTTCACTATCGCCATCAGGGAGAACAGCTACTTTTCGTCGCTAACAAATTCCAAAGGCGAACCCACGTCGCACCTCGCTGGTTTGATGACCAGATGTATCCGGTTGCTTGAGTGTGGCATAAAACCTATTTTCGTTTTCGACTCCACTCCCCCCGAGGCCAAGCTCCAGACCCTCGCGAAACGCAAGGAATTGCGTCAGGAGGCGGAGGCATCACTTGAGATAGCAAAGGAGAATGATGACAAGGAAAACATTAAAAAGTTCGTAGGGCGTACAGTTCACATTTCTAAGGTCGAGAACGAGAGCGCCAAAGAGCTGCTCCGGTTGATGGGAATACCAGTCGTTGAGGCGAAAGAGGAAGCAGAAGCACAGTGCGCGTACCTTGTGAAGCAAGGTCTGGCTGATGCCGTGGGTACTGAGGACGCCGACGCACTGGTATTTGGCTGTGTCACTCTGTTGAAAAACCTAACTGCCAGCAACAAGAAGATTTTGAAAGTCGAGTTGGCCAAAGTGCTAGAGCTGCTCGACCTGACTCACACCGAGTTCACTGATTTTTGTATTCTTTGTGGCTGCGACTACTGCGGTACGATAAAGGGAGTAGGCCCTAAGACGGCGTACAACTTGATTCGTAAGTACAAGAGCATCCAACGTATTTTGGAAGTAAAATCGGAGTCCCTCGAGGGGTACGAGGTAGCGCAGGAGTACTTCCGTAATCCCCAGGTCAATCCCGTTGTTGAAATTCCTCGTGTTGAGCCCGACGTCACGGGGTTGAAGGAGTTTTTGGTCGACAAGAACGATTTTGCCGAAGACCGTGTCAACAAGTTCCTGGAACGCCTTCTAAAAGCAAAGACCAAAAAGGTACAACTGTCTCTCCGGACGTTCTTCGTGAAGCCTTCTGTGCCTAAAACCGTCTCCCTGAGCACCAGCGGTAGCATCGACGATAACGAGAGCACCCCTAAGGTACAAGAAGCGCCCGAAAGTGTACCGTCACCCACCTCTTCCCGAATCGAAGATAACGGGAACAGCCCTGTGACAAAGGAGGAACCCAAAGAACACGACAAAAATGGTAGGTCACGTTTTCTAACATTCATATCGTGCCAGTTAAACGCGTCGAGAAGCCTTCGATTGGCCTACTCAGCGTGTGCCCGTCGCATGTGCGCGTTGTCAAGAAGCGAAACGTTCGGTGTTAGCCTAACCTGTCCACAACGCTCTTTTAGCACAGAAAAGGTTGCCAGACGTTTTGAAAAACCTGTTCCGATTGATGTTGACGAGGAAGATGTACCCGAGCACCTCAAAAAGTTTATCTGCGTGAGCCACTTTGAGCCTAGGGTGACGATAAAACGCACCAGTCCAAGGGAGATCGATGCCGAATCGGTTGAGTCGCTCGTGTCACACCTCTGCGGTGTGCACCGGGTTTCGCGTAAAGATTCTGTCACCCCAGAGGAAGAGTGTGCCATCAGCGGCGAAGGCCTCCTCTGGCCTAATCCGCTGCTGCAGAACTTTAGGGCTTCCACCAACAATTTAAGCAACCCTCGTCTGCGTGACCTCTGGCAATCAAGCTCCAGTCATGGCATATCTTGGGACGCTTTGGACAAGCTGTACATGACATTCCGCGAAGCCCGCGACTCCAGCATTGCAGACTGGGATAAGCACGCGCCGGAAGTAGCGGAGTTCGCCAGCAAGGTTGCGCGGGAAAAGATCAAGCGATGGATCAAGGATAGCAACGCATGCCCACCTCGTCTGCTACGGACGTGGACGCACCTGCTCTACACTAGGTGGCGTGAGCGCTACCTTCACATTTACAGCACTCGCATGCTTTCACGCTTTTTGAAGGGCGAGATCACCGATCGTGTTCTGATTCGGGAGTTAAACGAGTGCACGGGCTCTGATACACACTGCTCAGAGTTACCGTTTTCCACCGAGGCGTCGGAGCACAACCCTCACTTCGTGCACCGCGTCGCTAAGGGCGTTTCGGGCGACTAGACCGATACGCTAGTGTTATAGGCTTAAATTCAGAAAACGTGTTGATAAAGCCACTAGATGATTTTATATCAGATTCATGAGCGCTGCAGAGTGTACAGCAGTGAGCACGTTTCGCACGTGTAGGACTTTACGCCCAGGGCGATTGCGATGGTGGAGACTTCGACGAGTTCGCCGCATCGGCATTGGAAGAAGTAGGCGTTCTCCTGCTCGCTGAACACCATATCGTGGTCGTACACGGGTTGTCCGAAGGAGCGTTGGTGCTGCTCCCGGTATGCGGCTTGCTCGTCTCTCTCGTCGAAGTAGCGATTGAGTTTGTGGTATGCAGACATGACCTCGTTGAACGCGTTAACCGACCCAGCACCCTTGTCGGGGTGACTAGCCCTTACGGCTTGCCTGAAGGAGCATCGCAGATCCTGTCGTTCTATTTTACTCGTGGTGTCTAGCTTCAATACACGCGCCGCCCGTGCGAGCTCCCGCAATGCATCAGGGCCCATCAAAAGTGAGACGACTGCCTACATCATATGCTCAATACCACGATCTCGTAACTGTTCATTGCTAATGGTGACGATTAAGGCTTCCTGCTGTCGAGTAGCTAACACATCAGTGCTCCCGCGCCACTCTGTCACAGCGCTATGAAGATACCGTCGGGCTATTATAGAACGCCATCGAATCCGATATCTTGTATCGCACTAAATCGGAGATGTGTAACGTGCAGGTGGTATTTGTAGTCTTCCTTAACGTGGAAGGTAGACTGAGTTGGCTGCCTTATATTACACTAAGGAACGACATCACTGCAGTATTAAAATTGTGCTTCTACGTTTAATACCATACATACCACGGCATATTTGCCTTAACCAAGCGATACACAGGCGATTCCTGTCTTGATGTTTAAAAAACAACAATTTGTCGTGACCGCTGACGCATGCCCGTACGGGGGCACAACATCGAACGCAAGGCTCTGCTACATTTGAGGCGGAAATTACACTTTAACCACCGTGCAATAGCACTTGTTGTGCAGTGTCTACTGCTGCAGCGATTGACCTAAGGCTGTCACAGAGTGCCCTTTGCATACGCAGCAACACGCCAATGCTTGATCTGAAATTGTGCAATAACTGCATTTGCCTTTTGATTACCCAGCATTTGGTATAATAGGTGTGGTATAGCTCCCGATTTAAGCGCTGTCCTGTTGTACAAAGGATTCTAGCACCGGGTGGTTGAAGTGGAGCGCTCTCTGCGGAACATCATACATCTGCTTTAATAAAACTCACGCATGATTCCACCACGGAAAGAATTTGTGAAGGCGTCGCCGTGCCCTTGTTGTGCACGTGTCGCACCAACATCTCCAGAAGCGCTGCATTGTGGTAAGAAAGTGTCCTGAAGCGCTGGAGTAGATCCACCACCCTTGTCATATCCGGAAGCTGGTGCGAACGCTGCAAAAATGCATCTCCCACTGCGTCTAGAGCAGCCTGATGCTGCAACTCCAGCTCGCTACAGGTGACCACTATGCGATAAAGTTGCTCGTTACCTAGGTCACTCAGGTCACGGGTGGCAATCACGTCCAGCAGCTTCTTGGCGGTAGAATTTCCAACGTCGAATGCCACCTGTTAATAGTATAAAGCACATGGGATTACCAACCTTTGTTGGGTCGAGCATGCCGAATGTTCGAACCAGGGTCTCCACGTTACTGATACATCGAACATCGATTGCACCAAAAACCTTCCAGTAAGCAGCCGTGACTGCAGCCGTCGGGTAACCGAAAGCCATTAGTTCTTCTATGACGGGGAGACTGAATCCGATGTATGGCTCATACGCCTCTTCAACAGGTGGGTCGCGCATTTGTGCGGGCGATTGTGCTTTGTACGCAGCTACCTCATCGGAGCAAGAGTGAAGAACCCTCTCTAGCAAATGTGCGTGAGATTCGCATAGTTGTTGCAAATAGGCGCCGTTTTCTTTGTTCGACTCGCTACTTGTGAGGCGGTGTACGATTCTGCCCAGGCAAATAAACCCGGTGCACAGTTTTGCGTAGTGTTCGGGTGGAAGGCGCTTCTGCAGTGGTTCTGTGGTGGCGGAGATGCATTTGTTGCCGTCCTCTATCCAGTGAATCAATGCGGGTTGCAATGTCTTTACTATGGCTCTCAACTGCACATCGTCAAACTCACGGCGTGAGAAACGGTTTATGCAGGACGCAACGACCACTAGATTTTCCAGATCCAGCGGTGGCAAAGATGGCGCTGCCGCAATCTCTCGATCAAACGCATCTTTTCCCGAAGTGTCGCAGATGGTAGACAACCTGGAGCATAGTGAGCGTATTGTAGGCACGGCCCTGGACGAAGACCGCGTCGCCGCGAATAGAAGCACTGATATGTGGTCGGGTTTGAGGTCCCAATAGTGGTTAGGGAGCGACCGCTCAAGGTCTTGCAGGAAGGTGGTGGTGTTAGAACCCTGAAATCCGATAGCACTTAAGCGGAGACTAACACATACCGCCAATGTCTTCCTCCCGCGCACCAAGAGATTGGCAATGAGCTTGTACGATGCAGCCGTACACTCTGCGAGAGAGTTAGGCGGCATTAGGTGGATTGTTTGTTGCCGCTGCGCGGGGAGAATCCTCTTCGACAAAATCCACAAAGGGCTCCAGCGCCGCCATAATGCACTGAGCGGGTCGCCGTGCCGTATAGTGCTATAATTCCAGGTTAACTTAGTACTTATGCTAGAATTTTGGCGGTCAGGTGGCGTACGTGTTATCGTGTGGGTGTTGAGCTCACTAGCCTTCTGAGGGGAAGGTAGTGTTACACCTTTCATTTTAAACAACTCTGACGTATTCTTCGAACTGTATACAAACAATAAAATTCGTGTGTGTGTGATGGCGACGTGTTTTCAACTGGAAGGACACCGCTGTTGTGTCTGAGAGCCGAGGTACATATAAATAGTCGACAACCATGGGTCAAAATACAAGCTTCCGTCTACCGACGTGTACTAGAAAGAGTACATTTAAGTATTTCGTACTGTGCACTCTGGAAAGAAAGCTAAGTTGCAGGATTCTACTGGCATTCCGAGTACCGGCGTCGTCAACCTTTGTAGATTACACCATTAGCGACGCCCAATTGCTACATCAACACGGGATTCGCGTTCAGGATGGTTCGATGGGTGAGCCGCGCACTGCGGATCAGCGGCGTGAAGTCATCCCCGTTGATTCTGAGGCAGCCCGTGCTCTAGATCACTATTGCGACCGTCAAATGCTCTGCGTGCTCAAGCGTTATCATTACCCTGCTGGTCGGAAGATAGTAAACTTGAAGAAACGCTCGAAAAACGAGGCGGTCGCTCTTCGCAGGCTGAGACGTTGCAAGGGCATTGTTACGCTGTAAGTCCTGCACCACCCCATATGCATGCCGCACTCAGACTTGACACTTTCGAGTTCGATGGCGGCACTTATTATGCCATGGAGTATCTATGGCGTGGCACGCTATGGAGTTTGATACGGCGGAACAAAGGGCTTGACGTTAGCACCACAAAGGTGTACGCACTCCAAGTGGCGCTGGCAATAGAAGCTATGCACCGCCAAGGTGTCACTCATCGAGACATCACAGCCAGCAATATCATGATTTCTTCAACTGGGAATCTAAACGTTATAGACTTCAATCTGTGCAGACTACTTGATCACAAGGAGACGCGGATGAACTCTTTCTTGGGCACCTACAGTAGCATGCCTCCGGAGGTCCTGCACTGCAACGTCAATTCATCCCTCGTTTCGGGTGACCCCACTTACACAAAAGAGGTGGACTGGTGGTATTTCGGCTCGCTGGTCTACGAAATGCTGGCTGGGTAGGTCCTGACTTCCGAGGCACGTCATTGTTTTCCAGAGAGCCGCCATTCGCCGTGGATAGCAAGGACAACGATGAGGAATTCTACAATAGGGTTATCAGGAGCCCGAATACGATCGACTTTACTCCAATAACCGATGTAGATGCGGCGGACCTAATCAAGCAACTCATGCAGGGGGTCCCATCCGAGCGGCTGGGTGCTGTGGGAGGTTCGGCATGCGTGCTTAAGCACAAGTTTTTTGCCGGCACTAGAGAGAGCTTGGCGGCAGGCACCATACCAACGAACTATATTGAAGCGCGAATTTTCGATTGCATAAAGGTGTGTTTATGCGGCACAGATCGAACTGCCTGCAGGTCATGATCACAGATGAAGATGACTGAGTCGTGCGTGTTCAACTGGGATTGAGCGATGTGAATCTCTTCCCCAAAGGTTCATCTGCCATGTGAACTAGTATACCCGTGCCATAAGTGCGCCTGGCCGCCCCCTTTGCGATACATCCTTTGGGCGCGGCCGTGATACAGGCGCTGGCGTCGCAGGGTTCACCAGTTGCGCTTGAAATAAGCTCGCTGCACATCCCTATGAACGTGGGCGGGTCAACTACATTTGTTGGATCCAAATTACCCGGCGAAAGTACAAGCCGCTTCAGTGGAATGTAGTGTAGAACGGAAGTGAAGTGCGCGCGGAAAATCCTGGCGCGATCTTTGACGTCCACGCTCATCACCTCATCCTGATGCCCCAGGTGATCCATCGTGGCCATGGTTACTTCGAAGTAGCACCCACGGTGTAGCGCCGCGGTCACCATACCGCGCTTCACTTTGAACGTTGCATAATGACAAAAATAGTCCAGATTTATCAGGTCACAGTTGAGTGTCTCACATGCGGTTTGAAATGTCTTCTGCGTGGTTGGCATTACTGCCACTACGTCATAATCACGCCCTTCTGCGATCTTGTTGAACGAATTGGGCTGGAATCCATCGTTCAGCATTATCGTAACGCGCCGTATGAAAGTTGCGCTACCGGGTGACTGTCTACCCAGCGTTGTCACTATCTTTCCCTCAGTCCCATGCTCTGGCACCTTCAAATCGCACGAGGGCAAATTGAGTGGTATATCCTGGACACTTGTCTTGTCAGCACGGCAGTAAACGTTAAAACCCAAAGACGACCACCCGCGTAGCTGTGCTGCAGACAACCACGTGCTGGCATCGCTGGCTGCAGTCCACGGGACATTGAGGTCTATCATGTTTCGATATCCAACACTCGCACTATATCCTTCTGTTGTTCAATCTTAATTAATGACCATGCAGTTTAACGCAGGTCTGTTTCGAAGTTGTTACAATGCACGCAGGAATCATCCAACGGAAGAACGTATAGCTTACCGTTGACAAGGTTATCCGTCTAAACAATACATGACGCCAATTTTGTATACCCTAACACGCACATATGCATCCCAGTAGAGTATGTGTTCTGTTGCAACCATCTTACCGTGATTTAGACGGGTAAAATGGTAATTAATGAACAACGACCGCGTGATCAGAATCTCCACACATTGTGCTTCACGGAGTCGAATATATAGCCTATTTGGAAGCTTATATCATTTTATAGCCATTGTGATTAACTTATACATTTATTCGTAAGTTGATACAGCGAATAAAGCGCCATTAAATGTCTTGCGTGATCGTGGTATATCAAGACACGACATGTTACACGGGTAAAAAGTTGAACTGTGGGTCATATTCTTCCGATATTTCAAATAAGGGAAACATATTTAGTCGATGTGTGCGTGGAAGGTAATAAAACTTTGCTTGGTTTAACCCAAGTGTCTGGAATACACATGACAATACAGTTGTATGTGACGCTTCTGAAACTTACAATTCGTTTCCTTCCGTGATGGTGCACATTCCGAGTTCTCTAATATATTTGGATTGAATTGGCCAACGTAATAGCCGGGGATTCTGTATGATCTGGGCGAAGGATCTAATGTCTTTATGATTCCATTTCATGAATCACGTATGGAATGCGACGTCTCTGGGTGGAACTTAAACATGGGATCTTACACATGTGATCCTTATGCATAATATTGTCATCCTTGAAATATCGGTGTGGTTGCTATAAACCTAGCGCCAGACAGAAAAGTTAACCGTAAGCACTGGAGAGGAATCGCGATGCATAACTTTGACAATGACTCAGCAAGGCAACGATAAAATTGTCTTTAGGGTGTTATCACACCTCCATCTTCTTGCGTGCTCAATTCTTCTCCTGTTTGGCTTGGCCGCAGCGGCATACAGGGATGTGTCGACGTGCTGCTTTGCGTTACTCAGCGCAGCGCTGATTGCATCAGTGTGCGTTACTTCAAACTATTTCACGGTTATATGCAACTGTGTTGGTCAGGTAAGTGTCGAATATTAGTGTTGAGATTTTAATAATTTTTTCAGGTGCTTATTGACATCGGGTTTGTGTACTTCAATTACCACTCTTTGCACCAGGCACACCGATGGATAACTCTAGTGAACTATTCCACCGTCATATTGGTTTTTGTGGCAATCTCTTTCACCTCTGTAGTTTGTTCGGTGGCCTTGCTACGTTTAAGTGCAGTCAAGCAGCCGTCACTGGAAGAAAATCTTTTCAAAGGTGCATCTTCAGCTTTTGTAACTTTTGAAGAATATAGAGCGGAAACCTATGTGGACGATGAGGAGCCACTTTTGGACTCGGGAACAAGCATCGAAATACACACAGACAACGAGTTTACTCCTAATGGAGCTGATCGGGAAGATGACCAACTGCGCAAAGGCCCTGAGATGGCATTCTCGAGAGAAGTTAACACCAACATGTGGGATTGGGTAACTGTGGAAGAAAGTAATGTAGATGAGAATGATGTGTCGCAGCAAACTCAGGTTATGAACGCCAGTCCGGTGCTTCCTCACACCGATGGCAGTGGTCCAATATTTTCATCCGTTAATGCTACATTCACCATCAGGGAGCCATTATTAGCACCGGATCTAAGTTTGCAGCAGAGTGTAGTAGAGTATAGTGTTGAGAACAAACATCTACACGTACTAGGCAATACATCGCCAAACAATTCCAGTGTCGCCGATTTCTGGCTACCGAACGTACAGGACTCACATGACAATAACGCAGAAATTTATGCGGTTGGGAAAGATGAGGGACTGATAGATAACGGGGTGGCGTCTCTGGATGCAGTTGTGAGATCGCCACTGCGTGATGAAAAATGGAATCCATCACCTCGCAATATGCATTCAAGAATAGTCTGGGACGGTTCGATTGCGTCTCTTGGTAATTATGCGGATATTGCAACCTCGAATGATTCGTCTATGAGTCACATTTTAAATAGCCCTAACCGTCACCTGAGGCGTGCCGACGATACAGCTATTACCGGACAATCAATTATTACGTCGTCCGAGGAGGCACATATTCCAACTGCAGGGCTGCAATGTATACCCGTTTCACGTGACAGATCTATGCTTGTGTTGCATAGGAAAGAACTTGTCAGCAGTAGCGAGGAGTCCAATGTCTCACAGACGAATGAAAACGCCACTACATATCACAGTATGAGTGGCGGAGATGGTATGCTATTCGAACGCGTGGCGGAGAAACAAGCTTTCCACGGCATCACCGATGTTATATCCGATTCGCGGCGAAACGAGGTGTAAAATAGTGAATCATATTGCAAAAGTATGTACGACACTATCTGATCAGTGTACGTTGGAAGTCAGCGTATGCTAATCTACCAACTCGCAACATTTTCACAAAAGTAAAATGCCGCTAATTAATCGATTTAAGTATTACCTGTGCCTGTTAGTTATTTTGTATATAATTTAATACCCCATCGCACTATGCAGTATGTGGTAAATACGGCGCATAACCATTCCATTAGTACGTCACAGCTGGTATAATGCGGCACTTGATACGTGAAATACTGCTGTCAAGGGATAACACGTCAAAAGGTAATGACGTGGGACTGAAAATTAAAAAGGGTCGCATGCGTAGCATTCGCAGATGCGGAACGCGTACCACTTGAATTCAACACTCAGGGGGTGATGGAGTTTAAATAGCGCATTGCCAGCCGTTATTTTGTGGTACTCCCAGTCTATATGATTCTGATAAAAGTGCATAACCAACGAGTATCTCTGTGACGCTAGAACATGAATGGCCAGCTTGTGCCACGAGCGAGATTAAAAAGAAGTTCAGAACTATGCTTGGCGTCGACTGACAGTAGCAGCATTGTAGAAGAAGATTGTATGCATAAATATGGCTATTAATAAACTTCACAATTCCAAAATATTTCGTGACGGTTCCAATGATGTGCGTTCACTCGGGAATTATACTTGCAATCTGCGCTTGTTGATCTGCCTCTACAACTCCACCGATCCGTACTCAATAGAAAGCCCAGAAACCAGAGAGGTCGTATATTGTCGCCAACGCTTGTTTATTCGCGTAGTCCAACGACCATAGCAAGTCTGAAGCACTAATGTTATCGTGGCGTTCAGCAGCGTCGTAACCCGCTGCCTCTAATGCACTTTCATAACGCTTCTCATCGAAAGAACCCGGCCCACCCAATTTTGCACGTATGCACGCATGTTGCAGATAATATAATCCTGTATATAACATAGGCGCAATCCCCACGAAGACCACTGCGCAAGCTTCCGGATCTTCCGTGCACGATGCATCCCACGTAGCTTCCGAGCTGTACGCAGAGTTATAAGAGTCAGGGTTCTTTATATGTTCCAGGAACACATCACAACCAGCCACAACTTTACCTAACTTCTTCGCAATAGTTTCAGGCTTGGCCTTATGGGTCTGTACGACGTTCTTGTGATCGCTTTCACGCACGTATTCTAACACCTTAGCGAGCTTTTCGGGTTCTTTCACCATAGGCGCCCCATACATTTTTAGAAATCTTTTTGTGAACCACTGGCCTTTAATATTTCTGTGCTCCAGGAACTGCTTAGTGATAACTTTCACTTTCTCGAGAGCTGGCACTTCCATCTTGCCAACAGGCTTGTCTGCGAGAAATTTGTAAACTGCATCACCGAAAGCCTTCATGTTGTTTTCAGCATCTGTTCCCTTCAGGGCCATCAACCAGTCAATGGCCTCCTTGAGGTTACGAGGGGCTTCAGTCAACGAATTGTATGCCATTTTGCAATGATTGAGCAGATCAGACGACTTCTATACACGTATGAACTGTTTGATCTATTTATGCGACACTTTGCTAGCAGCAGTCTCCTTATCGCGGATAAGTACAATTGGTGTTGACACCTAATAAATTCGCATTTGATATAGATCTAGTATGTTGTGGATTCGCCAAACACACGTGCGATAAAGGCGTGGACTCTAACATACGACCCGCATCACTTGTTAAATTTTCAAACGTCGATGTTTTTCGCTGCAAATCTAATGATATTGCAACTTCTGTATGTATCATTCCTGCCTGGACCTCGCACACGTCAATGACATGCGTTGTGGATAATGCATGTCATGTCAATGATATTAACTTGGCTTTGATAGGCAAGGTTGCCAATCCTAGAGCAGTCACGTTCCGCCTATTTGTTGTATCGTCGGTGTTGTATATAACACATATACTCGTCTTTATTTTAGGGCAACGGCACTTGTGTTGGCCGACCGGCAGTTGAGATACAGCTGTATACAGGCTTGGCCTTTAAGCAGACGGAAATCTCATACCTTCGTGGTAACCATTTAATTCAATGACCCATTGCAAAATGGCCTACACTTCGTTGACAGAGGCTCCTCGCAACCTCAAGGAGTGCTTTGATTGGCTGGTGGCCTTGAAGGGAACGGATCCTTCAACAAATTTGAAGGCCATGGGCGCCGCAGTTTACAAATTTCTCGCAAACAAGCCTGTAGGGTACACTAAGGTGCCAGCTCTCGAGGATGTTAAACTTATCACTAAGCAGTTCCTGGAGCAAAAGGAGATTAGAGATAACTCATTCGTAAAAAAACTGTTGGGTAGGTTCAAAGAGCGTTTGAAGAAGGATTCCTTCTACTTCCGTAGATTCCTGTATAACACCAACGAAGCTGATTTAAAAAACATGATGCAGTACAGATGGGCCGACGCTAATGACATCGCGAGGGTCATACTTAAGGTTGTAGATGCTTGTGAGACGTTCGTGGAAACTATCAAGAACCCTGACTCTTATAGCCCTGCATACAGCTCGGAAGCTACGTGGGAGGCGTCGTGCACGGAAGATCCGGAAGCTTGCGCAGTGGTCTTCGTGGGGATTGCGCCTATGTTGTACGCGGGTCTACACGCTTTGCAGGCCTCTACGAAAGTTGCCATTCGAAACGGACCAACGTCTGACGCAGCGAAGGACTTGAAAGATGTATTGAAAGCAGTGGGTTACGAGGAGCCGGAGTGTCGTGCCACCTTAGGCAGTTCAGATATATCCTGGGCTCTGACAGATGTGGATCGGGAATTATTTACCATGCTCTACGACCTCGCTGGTTTCTGGGCTTTCTATTGAGTGAGAAATATGGACACTGCAAGAAAAAATCGACAGGTAGAGATTCTGAACCCGGGTCCCCAGTCACCTGACATCACTATATCCCGCTGGGCATTTTTTAATTTTTTAAATGTATTTATGCGTCGCTTGATCTATGCACCCTTAATGTACTATACTACCCACGTCAAGTGAGGCAAATTACAGTTCAAAACGGCTCTTGAATTGTATTAAGGACGCTAACTAGCGGTATGTTGTTGCAACGTCACCAGCTTCAATGTACATGTACCTCACAGACGTTGTGGAGATCCGCAGTTTATGCATCACGCTTTACACTGCTTGACGCCTTCTCAGGTGGATGAATGATCTCTGCTGCCTTGCCGTAGCTTGGCAGTATAGCAGTTGTGGGAATGCAGGGCGCCAGCCAAGTGCGAGGCGTGTTGACCCCAGTAGTTTGCATCACGTAACTTAATGTTTCATCATACGCGCTTTATGTACAGGCATTCTATTATTTGGTCCCAAGTGCATAAATATGGGGGTGCTCCGCATTGGTGTGGGTCGTGCATTTGTAGCTCTTATTAAGCACCTATTATTCCCCGTAAAGCGGGGCTAGACAGCAGTCGACCGGTGCAAACGTGTCTTCAATGCAGCGCCGCCAGTGGCAGACAAGAACAAAAATTGTGGCAGCATCGCTGTGCTGCCACTCATCCTCATTTTTTGCGTTATTTTCCCTGAGAAAGCGGGGGAAGCGATCCAAAAGATGCACCATTGCGAGATACTTGTGAGATCACGATACATCTTTCTTCAACCGTCTAATCCGTCGTTTTGAAACTCGGTTTAGGCATCGCCACATGGCTGGCACAGCAAGCTCCGAAATGGCACCCGGGATTGTAGTATGAGCGCTTTCAACGCGTACCCCAGTGACAGATGATTAATGTTTCATTGTGTGGCGTTCGTCGGTGAACTCTTCCTCATATTGTTGAAAACTTCGTCGCTGGGCTGGTGCCGATGCCCAGGTGTTCTCAATGCAGTTAGTAAGCAGATCTGTCTCATTTTTGTTTTGGTTTTATTTAGTGTGCTATGTAGCTACGTGGCTTAGGGCCGATTTTCGTGTTTATCAGGCAGGCGCCTTAGGCTGCTGGTGTCGATTGCGGGATCCATGTCGAATTATCACGCACTACAAGTACCGTCCATTGTGGCATCCATCCTGTTTGGGCGAGAGGGTCATTCACAGGGTCATAATCTTCTCCGGGTTTTATGTCCCTCATAACGTAGGGTATTGCCCTGAACTTTGTGTGCTGGTTGAATTGCCGCGCCTTCGGGTTTGTTCTGTGGAAGTGCGTGATGTCCATGGGGATCATGCCGCTGCAGCAGTTCATTAAGCTGAAGGTGTACTGGATAGTAACCAATACTAGGATTTTGCTGATGGGTACGTATTAACCATTATCTCAATTATAAACGGTGTTCTGCAGGGGGTTGTACCTGTTATGCCTGCCGAAAAAGATTACCATCCTGAGGGAGTGAAGTTATTAACGAACTACGGCAGATAGGCGTGGTTTATCGAGTCGTGGGCCTTCAACACGTATTCTCATCAAACGCATCGTATACAGCGGTGCCCTTTGAATGTAATAGTGGAGCACTTACACAGGCTAGGCACACAGGTAATTTATGGTGCGCAGCAGGCGGAATGTTGTCGACAATAATGAAAAGGCAGGTCATCCCGAGGTAGAACCAGTATTGCCGCGGCCTGATATTGGTGCATACCTTATTGGTGGCTCTATATGTGACTACGTGGTGGCATCAACTACTGGATGGAGTTGCTGTAGATACCGCTATAAATAAATACAAAATTGGGTTGTTTTGAATGCAAAATACCACGTGCCGTAGGGTAGGTGACAAAGCAAATAGTAACGAGCAGTTCAACTTCTTAATTACAAAATAAAGATATTTATAACACATTTACAGAGCGGCATAAGGCGCCTTGAATGTAACATAGGTTGCGGACCCCTAAGCCATGGCCTGAACGTATAACAATTTAAATCTATAACAGGGCATACGACAATTCAGTCATCCTTTCTGACAACGACCGCCGCAGTTCGTAAACCCGGTGGTTGAGCACCTGAGTTGCGCTAAAATATACCAAGCATACGAAAGAGAACAACCGAAATGGGTAAAACTAAACAATACGGGCAGGATAATGATACTACTTTACCCTATATAACTGATGCGTTAAATAACTGTCCGAAACAGTGTGCCGCGTCTATGACGTTGTTTGTAAAATTATTCGGCATACAAAAAAGGCCGCAACGCACGACACTAGAAGTAAAGTGCGCAACATCAAAAGCTTTGGAAAACAGTAATATTGGTGTAAAATTACGCCTCAGGACAAATTTGGCAGTGATACGCGTCTAAGAAGATTCTAGAATTGGCAGACTCAATGGCGCGCTACACATACCGCCATGAACGAAACGGGTAGCAAAAAGGTATACAGATTCCAACACATTAGTCGATAACTGCTAATCCAAGACCAAAAGGCAGAGATACAATGATTGACTGTGAACAACTAAGACGACAAAAACATCGAAAAGTAACCTTGCGGAAACTTAAGGCCGACCAATAGAACTATTACAAAGTTCCTTCATTATAATCACCATAAATATTTCTACCTATGTTAAAATATGAAATTTCCTCGCCTATATATATAGATGCATCTGGTGCATATCGTGGTGCGCACGTTCGCACGGTAGGCCGCCGCGTATAGACCCGAAACGGAGCCGGCCTTCGTCAACCACACTTTACGCATACATTCGGTGGAAAGTCACTGTTTTGAACTGTGACGGGTCCGTTAGAGTGGACGTCGGTTGTCGGCGTTTTGCGTTCTGCATTTCCTTCGAGTTGCAGTCTATGTCATAAAGCCGAAAAAAGGCTTATTGCTGAGCGCCAGCGTTAATGACTAATTATTTATTTTAAGTTTGAACTGTGAAACGGATGTCGACTCATTCTTCTCAGGTTGCGCCGCTCGCGGAGCATCAGGGCACCTCTAGGTCGTGTAATGGCAATGTGTCCGTACCGTTGGTGAAATCCTGCTGTGTGCCTGGAGATGGCGCTGTTCCGATTACCATTCCGGTTTACAGCCCATTCTACCAAGGTACTCAGCTACTCTCGGGGTCTGCCGGTATTATACCTCAACAGCAATACGTGTTCGCGTCGCCGACCAGCATGAACAAAGTGGTATATCATGGACAACCCGTGCAGCAACAGCAGCCGTCGTATCAAATTCAAACCGACGTTTTCAGGAATCAACAGCAGCATGACATTCCTTCCGATGAACCAATAAACGTTACGCATTATATTTGGAAGCAAACGGAGGAACAAACTCGTCCAATAAAGCAACAAGGAACGTTTGCTAAGCTGAGGACGCTCTTTAACTGGCAGGAGTCGAATTCTGTTTTTGGTGATGATGCGCAAAACGAGCAAGCAAAGGTGGCGGATGAGCTTGGGGCCCAGCAGGGTGAAGGCAACCAGCAAGGCGGTGACAATGACCAATTGCAAAAAGGCAAGAAGCAGCAGCCCATTGGCTTCTTCAATTCGTGTTGCATGAACGTTGCGGAGCTTCCAACTTTTGAAAACTGCGCCGGCGGTGTTTGCAACATGAATAGATATGGCAAGTCCAACACTGCGCAATGTGAAGACGGGTATGGCGAAGAGATGGCGAATACTACCAGGGAAAATTCGATTACAAGCACGACCAGTTTGGCAGGCAAACAGGCCGGTTCGATTGTAACACAGCAGAGCACCGAGTCTCAGCATACAGTTGTTGCACAGGAAAACACGAACTTGCAGAACGCTTTTCAGCAGTGCGCTAATGGGCAGGCTCATGGATCGTTTCAACAGGCTAGTATCTACTCGCAACATGGTATGATTCCACAATCTAGCATTCACTCGAATCATGATGTGGTTAACCACGTTGTCGTCTCACCGCTTAACGCTCTCTCGCAGCAACCTTCAATTCAGGTGGGCTCATCTAATGTCAGCAACATTGGCTCCGTTCGTCGTGACAGCGTTGTGGAAAACATGTAAGTTTGGGGTTTTTAGTTAATATTTTGCTTCAGGCACACTCCTTATTGTTTCAGTATGTGCTACCCGAGAACCGTATCCAATCACTTCGAATCTGTTGTGCCGATGAACTCCATCCAGACCCAGTCGTCGATACCGGTGAACAGCGCTGCTGTAGGTTGCTTTGGTGCATGCTGCGGTGCAGGTGCCGTTAACAACTTCACAACGCTGGCCAGCCAAGGAACTATGGGCTTGCGCAATCTGTTTACCATGAACCCGGTTTCGCAGAGAAGCATCATCTCCAATCAATCAGTGCCGATGGAGCAGCTTTCAAGACAGTTGTCTGCCATGAGCGTGAACCCTGCACAGGAAATGGTTTCAGGTGTTGCACAAAATCAAATTGTGGTTAACGACACAGTGGTGGTTGACAGAAATGGACGAACCGTGAGGAAGAGCGCCATGAAACCGACGACCTTTAAGCTCCATGCAATCGAAGTTCATCAATTTGTCCCCGTTCAGAACGCTCCTGTTTCGCCATTCGTTGAAACTCTATCCGGCATGAATCATGCCGGTACTCCCATATTCCATCACGGTTACGGTATTCAGCACCCCAACTCTTTCTTCAATCCAAACACGACTGGCCATATCGCCCCTGTTATAAAAGACGTGATGCAAGGTGTGACAAACCCCAAAATCCCCCACATGTACTCCGTGGACTCCAGCCATTCTTGTCAAGCCATTAGACTGCCGACTGAAGAGTCGCAGATAACTCCGAGGGAGGAAGTAAAGGAAACCCCGGCGGAGCAGGAGCAAGCAGCCGAATCCCAGAGGGAGTAGAACACGTCTGAGGAGTTACAATGTTTTATTAGCTAGAATTCAACTGGTTTAAATAAGATTTTATTTTAATATCTATATCTTCCGTTGTTGGCCACCAATCAAATATGTGCGCGTCAGGCCGTAGCAGCAGCACCGAATCGCTGATGTCGAATTGTCTGGTTAGGAGGGATTTCGAAAAGTTGTCCAAACTGCCTTTAAAACTAAATATATGCTTTGTCAGTATCTTTCCCTTTGATTCCATTCTTAGCGTCATGTCGCCGATCAGCTTTTGTATGTCATCTGTATTTTTCAGCGTTGGGAAAACGAAGTGGGTTGAGCCTCCCAAAACATCGTGTCTATTAGTATGTTGGCTCGGCTCACTCGTTTCAAGTTCCACCCCAATTCTATTGATCTCCGAACTTTTCATCACAAAAGGCTGGTCATCTATCTCGACTACGGCGCTCTCAGAGGCGATCATCTGGTCAACGTTCCATACACAGATATATGACAGACTCTCATTTTGTGGGTCCATTTCAGACAACAGTCTATGCAATTTAATAGCCCTGGAAAACAGTAATGACCTTGATCAACTGCACCTACATTTGAGGCGAAAACACCATCAAGCAGAAGTAAATAGATGGTTGTACGAAAGATGGTAGGTCTACTGTCGAGAATTTGAACACTGCTGATTATGTTTGACAGTAGCAGACCTCAAACCTGAGTCTCGAAGTGTAGAGTAGACATAACAGTGGGGAATTCTCCGCCCTTTCACAGAGGTCGGTTTATATTCACGGTGAGAGGAAGACACCGAAACTCCACCCAAACCTGATGCAAATTATAGGGTCATAATAATACCATACCACCGTATGCGTACGCCATATCGGATCCTGGAAAAGCGAGGCCAAGAGTATCACCTTCAGCCAGCGCAGCGCCTGGCCCATTCCTAATGGAATGCATAACTTTTGGCGTAGAGTACGCGTGTTTCATCTGCACACAGCTCTCACTCATTTCAATGTCGTACTTACCGCAGTTTTGACTAAATCAAAAGCATTGCAAGCAACTTTCGATGCTACAGGTCCAAGCGTTGGCAACCAACCCATGAGCTCATGTAACATGGCGTGGTCATAGTGAAGGTAAGTGGCAAACTTGGAGCCATTTGCAATCTCTGCCAGGCACACTTCTCTTGTGTACTGCACGCATTGGAAAGACTTCTATATAAGGCGAACCTCTGCAACGGCTCGTCTTTCGCTGTCATACTCAAGTATTGACCGTTTCTCCTCCTCTGACAGTTGTTCTCCTACGATGTCAGACGTAGACGCTTGCGTCGCAGATGTGCGAGCTACATACTGATGTTATGATTCATTTGATCCCAACCTTTCAGAATTCTTCGGTAGAAGAGTCGCCCAAGGCGCCACGCCAAGTTGTACGTATCCGCTATTCCCATATTCATTCCCTGACCCCCCGCCGGGGCGACAATATGAGCAGCATCACCAGCTACCATCACCCGGCAGCTGTCTCGGTCTACAAACGATTTTGCGATCTCCGTAGATACGGTCCACTTTTTGATATTCTGTCTGGTGTAAGGTACTGACTTTGTTAACTCACAATGATGCGTATGTCTTTCAAAGTTACTCCAACAGCTTCATTTATATGCGATATACAAGTAGATTCGTCGTACACAGCCGGATCCTCCATTTCAGAAAAAAAAGGCAGCTGCACCACGAACTCCGCAGGTCTGCCACCTTGACAAACGAGGACGCTTATGGACTGAGAAAATGTTAGCGATTGAAAGGGTCATATTAGCTATCAGCACCCCACATACCCTGGAAAATATGAAGTAAATCATTGCGGGGTTCGATTCTACGAGGCTTCCAAGGTGAGAGGAACTGAAGTAGATGCTCATAACGTCCCTTAACAGGTTGCTTTCACATTTGCTGGAAGTTGAGTCACGACGCTTGCCGTCAATATAACGACGCACTTTGCTGTGAATGCCATCTGCGCCGACGACGAACGCACTTCTGATGTGTATCTTTTTGTCGTCCTTTGCGGAGGTCAGCTCGGAGACGACACCCGAGGTCATGTCATCATCCAGAAACCTATCAAACCTAAGGCCCCCATCAATGAATGGAACACCAGTCTCCGTAAACTGCTTATTACCTGGCATGCTATGAATGTCTAGGGGAAGTACAGTAGGGCCCCGCACTTCGGATAGCTTTCGCAACTTTGCGTCATCGAATTTGCTCGTTTTCATCACATAGTCGTACTGATTTTTAACCCATGATAAATATGCGCTGTCAGAAATTGTCGGAAAGACCTGGGATCTACTAAGTGCTATCGTCTTCAGAAGAAAAAGGAGCTTGTGCTGCGGCATGTTGGTTATCCTACTGGGGCTAAGCTCTTCAAAGTATGTATCCTTGTATGTATACGCATCTGCAAAGCCTTTTAGTGTACAAGTTCAAACTCTCACCTCTAAAATGATCAACAGTTCCGTAGAGGTTGACATGTGGATCTGTTATGTGTCGGCAATACTTAAAGTAGCGCCAACATTCCAGAGGCTCGCTCACAGACTCTATCGCTTTGTCGAAATGCCCCAGCTGTCTCCAAACTGCATGATATGTCGATTAATATACTCGTATGAAGGTAACGTAGACGGACGTATAAATGCATTTTCATAACTGGTCGGCCAACTAACCTTCCATTGAACGATTGCTGACATAGTGAGCTCGCGGATGACGGCGAGGAAGCACGTTGCGCTCGGCCAATACACATGGTACTCCCAAACGAGAAAGAAGCAGTTGCAGTGTTACTCCTACAGGGCCGGCGCCTACTACGAGGACGCACGTGTCTAATTTGGCGCTCGGCATCACATAAAGGTACCTATGCTTCGTATACCGAAATCTTATCAGTTATTTATAGCTACAGAATCGTAGCTAATAACATTTTATACCATCCAACAATCCACAGCAACGTGACAGTGTTCTATTCAATGGCATCACAGGTTCCGTATATCGGAACCACCAGAGTAAGCGTTGGCAACCCCGCGCTAATGGATATGCGATTTTAAGGGACACCCATACGATAAAATAACCGCTATTTGAGGTTAATGATAAAAATAGGGAGATGTGTAAACAGCGCCCGCGTGAACGTTATTTCGAAGCCGTCGTCACCAATGTTATGTCGTTGGATTCCTCTGTGTTAAATGTGCACCGACATAACCAACGTTCATCCGTCAAAATATATAAACTGGAAGCACAAATTTCACTTTGGACGTGGCGCGCTTATCTCTCAGTGCCGTACGCCAGTTGCCAGAAAAGGAAGTAAAGAAGTCGTTTGATCTGTTACGTAAAACACAAGTAACACGCATCTGCCTTATGAATAATCATCTTTGTATAATAATGGCGAAACGTTTGTGATAAAGCAAGTGCGCTGCAGGCACGGGTAAATGCGCCATCCCCAACTATTGTGCGCTCTCCGCTCTCCACTACTGGTGAAGTTGTAAGCTAGGCGTTGCATTGCCTATTTGGCTCGTTTTCTACCATGTATTCAATATATGGATGTGGTTTTTAACCCTGCTCAAAACGCATTCTAAAGTATTTATTGAAGCTATATAAGCAATCTTGGCCGCAATGCCCGTTTCCGATTACGCTTGCTGCGCCACCGTGTTATACGACGTGAACGGTAATACCATTAGCGATGTGTCCAATGAAAATCACTAAAGACTCAAAGTCGTTTATTGCACAAAGAGAAACATTTAACACGGTAGCCGGTACATCTTATCCGATTCGGTAAAATATGCGTTCATCAACGTAGAACAAAGGTAATAGGGGAGATGAATAGAGAGCGTATATTCAGCTCAAAGCGCCATGGTGTATCATCGTTACAGGACCGAGGGCCCATGTAATGTACATACTTAAAATCCTCAGTAACTGGCAATCCAATGGAATGCGGTGCTCCAAAAATGATTGCTCGCCGTTAGCACACTCAGTGTGCTACCATATCCTAGTAATCAGTGAGGTGATGGGAAATTTCAAAGCAGTAGGAATCCACGGCCAGAACTACTGTAATGCCGCAGTTGACGGACATGGAGATTAGATGGCTCCGCCTTGGACAGAGGGAGCCCATGCCTAACACTGAGGATGGCTATAACTAGAAAAAGTGCTTGGCAATTTACACACCGTAGCTTTAATGACCCTATTCTCACGTCACGCCAAAGATTGCATCAAGCGACAACGTAGTGACGGAAGGCGATACATGGGATTACAGAAGACGCAGCTCATAACAACGATGAACAGAAACTCATCCGTAATAACGAATAAGAGATATAGAAATAAAGCCGGCAACATTCATTTGGTACATATGGTCCGGCGGGGCAAATACGCTGCACGAATAGTACGGATAATGAGATTGTTAAAAACCCATATCCATGGCAGAAAACTAAAGATTCCATATTTGCACCCAAAAAAAGCGGGAATAACGATTCGTCTACCGTATTTTTGCGTGTCGCGACGAATTGGAATGGCCACGCGACAATGGAGTAAACAATACTGCGCTCTCAACGCGCGAAACCCGGTCCGCGACGACTTGCGCGTATCCCATTGCAATACAGTTAATAATTTTAAGTATATTAGCCAATCCCGGCGACCACTTGGCCCCCTGCCGCTTAGATTTGCTGATGCAACCATTCCAGAGCCCCACGGCTCAGGTGTAACCAGCCTACCACATGTACTATTTCCGTGGTACTTCATAAGGTCTCCCTTTATATTTAATATTAGAATCACCATTTTGTGGTTCTGTTGTTGCGTCTACGGTTACAGGTAGGTGAGAATATCCACCCTCTCCCATGCACTGAAATCGGCCATGTGTACGTGTGGTCTCTATGTGCCGATTGGACTGTTGGCGTTGTTTTGCGGTCGCTTTTAATTGCCTAGTTGCTGTTTTGTGCTATTGCACCGACGGCATTGGCGGAGTGCAGTGTATGCTGTCGCCTGGAGACAGCCTAGGCACGCACGTACGTGATGACCTGCTCCACGTGATCCATATGCACGCCATCGCAACGTGTTAGAATCGTCGTGCACTCTGCTCAAGTGTTTTGGTTTTGCGGAGAATTCTATTGCATGCCATTTATTTCAGTTCATAATTCGCAGGAGTAAAATTTCGCCAAGATGTCTGACGAAGAGCCCACTGCGTTGGTCATCGACAATGGTTCCGGTAATGTGAAGGCCGGTGTTGCCGGTGATGATGCGCCTCGTTGTGTTTTCCCCAGCATTGTGGGTCGCCCTAAAAACCCGGCGCTCATGGTTGGCATGGACGAGAAGGACACCTACGTCGGAGATGAAGCTCAGGCCAAGCGTGGTATCCTCACCCTCAAATACCCCATCGAGCACGGTATTGTCACCAACTGGGAAGACATGGAGAAGATCTGGCATCACACCTTCTACAACGAGCTTCGCATAGCCCCCGAAGAGCACCCTGTTCTTTTGACTGAGGCCCCTATGAACCCCAAGGCAAACCGTGAGAAGATGACGACCATCATGTTCGAGACCCACAACGTACCTGCCATGTACGTCGCTATCCAGGCCGTTCTTTCCCTGTACTCTTCTGGTCGTACCACTGGTATTGTGCTCGACTCCGGTGACGGTGTCACACACACGGTCCCCATCTACGAAGGTTACGCTCTCCCCCATGCTATTATGCGTTTGGATTTGGCCGGACGTGACCTTACTGAGTTCATGCAGAAGATTTTGGCCGAGCGTGGATTTGCCTTCACTACCACCGCTGAAAAGGAAATTGTGCGTGACATCAAGGAGAAGCTTTGCTACATTGCCCTTGACTTCGAGGAGGAAATGAACTCCGCGGCTTCATCGAGCGAGATTGAGAAGTCGTACGAACTTCCTGACGGCAACATCATCACTGTCGGAAACGAGCGTTTCAGGTGCCCTGAGGTCCTCTTCCAGCCTTCTTTCATCGGCCAGGAGGCCGCCGGTATTCACACCACAACCTTCAACTCCATTGCCCGCTGTGACGTCGACATCCGCAAGGACCTATACGCCAACGTCGTTCTTTCCGGAGGTACCACCATGTACGAGGGTATTGGTCAGCGTATGACGAAGGAGTTGAACGCACTTGTTCCCAGCACCATGAAAATCAAGGTCGTAGCACCACCGGAGAGAAAATACTCCGTGTGGATCGGTGGATCCATCCTTTCCTCCCTTTCCACCTTCCAGCAGATGTGGATCACCAAGGAGGAGTTCGACGAGTCCGGACCTAACATTGTCCACAGGAAGTGCTTCTAAAACAGAACAACCGATTTGTGTTAAATGTGTCAATGCCATAATTAGCTGATAAATTCATTGCGTTTGTTGCGAAAGGTGCGATTCGACGCCTGGTCGAGGTCTACACCTTCAGTAGGTACTTTACAGAGTTCGTCACCAGTGGGAAGAGGAACGGAAAGGCGTCGCACATCACCGACGCGAAACCGTGCTCCGTAGACACGACGTCCTTGGCGTAGGTTTCGTCGTCGCCCATGGCCTCAAGTGATTGCTTGAACGCTGTCCTGGCCAAGGCCAAAGCCTCGATATTCTTTATTGCCTTCCCATTGCAGGAGCCGCTGAAGAGGCAGCTTAGTGCCGAATATGACTCCTAAATAGAATTTACGTAATGCTGCACATAGTACGTACCTTAACGCTGTTTGCCGCTGCGGGGGAAACTTTAGTCATGAAGCTCACTGATGACAAGGGCTTGACAACCTTTTGAAGCGTGTCGATAGCCGCCTTTACATAAAGGCTGTATAGCGATGTTGCGATCTTGGATACTTCAAAGCCATAGAAAGCGACAAGCCCTGGGGCATGCACCCTGACGCTGAAGGTGAGGCGGGGTGATTCAACCGAGTAATGACCATCTTCCAATACTGTAATTACCTCATCACCCTGCATACTATCTGCAACCATTTCCGTCAAGCTTGGTGGTAAGTTGTGTATCTTTCTGATATACGTGACCCAGGAAGCCGTTAGGGACCGGATGTCATCGCCTGTTAACGCATATCCAGCAGAGCAATCACCTATCGGATCCATCAACGATATTACACCCACGCCTTTTAACATCACAGATTCAGTTTCCCGTTGAAGGGCGCGATCGTAAAAGCGAAGCATTTTGTGAGGTGCGTGGCAGACGAATGCGATTGAGTGGCGATAAATTGAAGAATCCCTCGTTGGCACTTCCACGGCAGTGATGCGTTCTATGAAGTGGAACATTTCCACATCTTGCTCCTGTAGGTCAACGATGTGCTCACCTTTAATCTTCATGACGCCTGTAAGATTCGCGCCGGAAACAACACGGCTGTGGATGCTGATATCGTAAAACAACGATATGACATTGGCAATGGGATGAAAATAGGGGGCGATGACATCTTCCTTTACATTCCATCCTATCTTGCAGTTGTCGCTAGTTAAAACCAGATTTAAATCCAGCAATGGTGTTATGTTGGTCGAAGGCATCCCTTCATAACCAAAAAACATACTCTGAGTGAGATCGTAGATCCTTCGTCCCGTGTACAGTGATTTAAAAGCGGAGCTTGCCAGGGTGAATACTAGGCATTTACCTCCATGTACAACCATTTCAAAGTCCCCTTTAAAGGAAGGTTCGGCGACGTACTTCAACACCACCGCAAAGGGCGCTGACATGTCCAGCATATCTGCAACGAATTAGTTTTGTAAAACAGAACAAACTCCTTACCATTCATAGATTCAACAATAACTGAGCCTTCTGCGATTTTGCCGACGTGCTTGTAACGGGCTAGGTCTAGGATTTCGGAAGAGACACCAGCTGCATCGAAACGTCGATAAACTGACTCTGCCATGCTCCTTATTGCAACCTCCCCGTTGGGTTCGTAGAATACCTGACATCGTTGCACGAAAGGCGTGGGAGACTTTCCTACAAAATCATCTACGTTGTAGCTCGAAAGAGAGACGCGGCCTCCACGAACGATGTAGTAATACACCGAATAAAATGCGGTCAGTACTACACCGAAGTAGAACAACAGGAGCCGTTGTTGAGCTCTCATTCTGCTAAAATTTCACCAAAAACGTATTACCAGTCCATATCAGATATACCTACACATCTACACATAGGACAGCCGCGACACTTCCTTTAAGTCCACATCCATGAAGTTATTTAGAGTATACGATGATTAGGGGTTTGGTAAACGTGCTATCCTCCGGACAATATAAATTAGCCACACCTCCAGACAGACGATGTCGACCCACGTCATCATTCACGATTGTGTCCACCCGTAATATACGTCATCCGGCATCAGTGCAAATTGGAGATAACGTATTAAGTGTGTAATATAGAACAACGTTTATAGGATTTTACGTATTCTACGTAACCTTCCTTTCACAGCGGTGATTCTGCCATCGGTTGGTCGCGCCAAGTTCAAGAAGATTCGGAAATTCCAAAGCGATACCTTAAATCGCGTCATTAGAGTGGAGACGTATTCGACCGTAATTCAAAATGTCTAACTCAATAGACTTAACCGGCGATGCTGGTGTTGTTAAAACGATACTGCAAGAAGCGCATTCCGATGACATGTATGTTTGACCGTTTCCATTATAAGTTCGACATCATGACAGACCGGAAAACGGGCACGAAGTCGAGGTGCACTACACTGGCAAACTGGAATCTGGGACTGAATTCGACTCTTCCTGTAAGTGCATAATTCCAGTTCCTCAATGATGGATATATACAGACCGCCGCAGTTCGACATTTAAGTTTGTCTTGGGAGCTGGAAACGTTATCAAAGGATGGGAAGTTGGCGTAGCGTCAATGAAAATTGGTGAAAAGTCTCTTTTCGTAATACAGCCAGAATATGGTTACGGAGATGTCGGCGCCGGATCGTCAATACCGCCAAAAGCAGTCCTACATGTAAGTCATACCCGAAATATATTTTACGATACGTAGTTCGAAATTGAACTCATCAACTCGCGCCCCAAGCCCAAAGATTGTAATGACATGACCACTGACGAAAAGATCCAGGAGGCTGCCAACTCTAAGGCAATGGGAAACAGCCACTTTTTGAAGGGTAAATACAAGTCAGCAATTGACATGTACGAGGATGCGCTGCGATACCTTTCGGAAAGGGATGAGTGGCCCGAGGAAGCACGTAAGGTATCCGATGTGACCAAGCTGCAGTGCCACCTAAACCTGGCCAATTGTTTTCTAAAAACCGAGGAATACAACAGAGCGGAGCGCAACGCAACCCAGGCGCTGGCTATTGAACCGGAAAACGTCAAGGGGTTGTATCGCCGTGCATTGGCACGAACAAAAATGGGATCGTTCGGTGAAGCACTGAATGACCTGACGCAGATTCTCAAGCATGACAGCAAAAATGCTGACGCAGTGAATCTTTACAGGGTGGCAAAGGTAAAACACCAGGAGCAGAATGAGCGATCGAAAAAGCAATACCAGAGTATATTTAAGAACTTGACATTGTATACCGAGAAATCCGGGATAAGAAGCTTAGACACTATGCCCAAGGTGTTTTTGGACCTTGCATTCGGCGAAGAACGCCGGAGACTTGTTATTGCGCTATTTGAGGACACCGTACCCCGAACAGCTAAGAACTTCAAGCAGCTGTGCGATGAGAACTCCGAGATCAACTACAAGGGGAACAAGTTCCATCGCCTCATCAAAGGATTTATGATACAGGGAGGAGATGTGACTAAGGGTGACGGCACAGGAGGGGTGAGCATATACGGCGAGCAGTTCGATGATGAGGCTTTTGTGGACCATCACACAGAACGCGGCCTACTGAGCATGGCAAACTGCGGGCCAAACACAAACAATTCACAGTTCTTCATTACCTTCCGCGCCACACCGCACCTAGATGGCAAGCATGTTGTATTCGGGAAATTGGTAGAAGGAGAGGAAGCGCTTGACCTGTTGGAGGAATTGGAAACTGGGCCAAATGATCGCCCCAAAGTTGATGTTACAATAGAGCACTGCGGTACATTGTAAGTGCCCATGAGACATTTACCATATCCATGAAACCGTATTGCATAGGGTGTAGTTTAGATCTAGTCAGCTTTAGTGTACCTTGTCACTCCCGAGAAGACGTATATTGCTTGCTGAGATCGGGTTCCAAAGTAAAGTTGGTGTCAAGCCTGCCAAGCTTCAAAATAGCTTGCTTCTTGCCCGCAATTGGCACTATAACCATGTGCCCGTGTGACCAGGCGGTGGATACGTGAATGCCGAGGACGTCGCCAGGTTGCAGCAACCATTTTAGAGATTCTTCGTTTTGGTCCTCACTCCAACCACTCCAGTCTGAATCTTCTGCGAATTCGGACCCGATGTTTCGAAGTTCGCCACGGACAAAGTTCATTGTCACGCCCTCCGACTCCTTGACGGAGAACCCTTGACCTGCACCCCTAAATACCCGGTTTCCGCCATCATCCTACCAGCTAATATTCACATAAAGCTCAACTGACTGATGGGAAAACAACTTGGTCAACCAGCTCGACGTTGTGACCGGCCGCGACGCTAAGTGTGTTGAAGTTCTTGCTCACCAGATCCTGTAGGATTCCGTGTGGCACTGCTAGTTCTACAGAAGCAGTCGTATCGGCAAAGCGATAGTGGTATCGGTGGTCACGTATATGCGTCGCACTTTGAGGAGGATCGTCCACAAGCTCAACGACAACGCCTTTAACGGCAGCGCGCCGTGTACCGGGCTTAATATCGGCCAGAGAAGTGTATTTTATGTCAACATCATTCAAGATATCACACATTGCGATTAACTTTTTTTCTATGTCACATACTGCATTGTGCCCCGTCAGCCTGCAGTCCCTCCATATGCCGAACCTTGGCCATGAAAGAGGTACCGATACAGCTGCGCGACAGCGCCAGCCAGTCGATCAGAATCGGAAAAGGCGTACATGTTGAATGAAGTAGGCTCGTTAGCTGCTTCAATCATAATCAGCACCTTGAAACTGCTGGCACCTTCGCTCTTCTCATCCTGGTACATACACTGGCGGAAGGACGCCAGCATAAATGTACTGCCAGGCTGGCCTTCAATCTTGAAACTCGGCAGATGGTTGTTCAATGTAACAAGTTGAAGGGCCCTATCGAAGGGTACGGTGTTGCGCGCCAAAAAATATGACCTAGATTGCCGCCGCAACGTCTCAAGCACATCCAAATCTTCACTAGACTCCGAACACAGAAAACTGGTTATCGGCAATGGGAGGAAAAGTGTGTAACTCCTTTCTACACGCTCAGATCCAATAGAAATCGTTACGGTAACCTTGGGGAGACCAATGAAGGGGGCCAATGGGTACACCTTGAAGTGAATATCCACAGAGCTCAGCGGCGAAATTTCCATAGATCCTTCATCTATAGGTGATAATACTAGGCGGACGGGGAAGTGTTCGAAGTTCAAAAAATCGAATCGCAAATCATGCATAGTCTCAACTCCTCGGTTTTCCAGAGTGAGGTGGCAATCGGCCACTACCCCATCTCCTTCTACTTCAAGCCGTTGAACCAATGATACTTTTAAATCACTGTCACTGTAAATGCCTGAATCACGGAAGACAATGTTGTTGCGTATTCCTCGCAAATTCGTGTACATACTGTCATTTACATCGTAGTGACTGGTATCATCATCAGTGTCGACTTCCTCATTAACCACGCCAATATTGGAAACTTGATTCAGTGGCGCATGATTCAGACGTGCATCGTCATGGGCGCATTGCACGTCAGTATCAGCAGCCTGAGTTGATTGCGTGCACGGGAATTTGGTACCGGTGGTGCCTGCAAAACGGAGATTCTGCCCACTTGGCAATTCAATGGTGGAAGTTTCAACGTCTTGATTTTGTCTACCTTCATGACCCTCATTGACACCATCCCGTACCATGCGAAGCTCGTTTGTAGACGAATACACAACATCGCCCACGTCGTTCATTCTGGCGAGTTGTTTGCCTTCGTTTTCCGCTGCTTTAGATTGTATAGAACCATTCTTTAAACCACTGGGCAGTACCTCATTAGAACCGTGAAGAGGACATGATTCTCCGGTTATGGCGGGCACATTTGATTGGGCATACATCTGTGTTGCACCTGTTACAGGCGGTTCATGAGTTGTTCCATTGGTGTGAAATGCCGCATCTGGCGACTCTACTGACTCTTCAGCCTTCGCACCGCCGAGCCGCTTGTCGTCGTTTGTGGCGTCTGTCATGCTATTACCCGACGTACCATTCGGTGACGCGTTTGCTCCACTGATGCTGGATATTGCGTCATTGGTCACACTTACAACATCCCGGTTCACATGTATATTGCATTTATCTCTTTCGGCATCATTCAACTCTATTGATGCAAAAGCAGAGTCCAATCCCGTTTTATCATCCCTATGACAGTGTACTGTGTGGGGCATTTCCTTAGCTGATCTATTCTCATTTGCCACTATCTCCGCTGCCCAGTGGTCCCGTGAAATGACATCATTAATGGCTGTCTTGAAAGAATACGTTGACATACAATCATCCCTTGTTACATCAGGTATTTCCAAAGCTTCCCTGCCTGTATGAAAGCCTCCCGCAACGCCACTACGGTCACTTTTCAAAGCGTTGAATGTTATATTCAATGCAGCAAGATCGTTATACTCCCCCTCTCCCGTATAAACACCAGAGCAGTGGGTTTCCAATATCTTTATGTGGTTGATTAGGTCCGTGACGTTAGTGCGCATACAGCCATAGTCAGCGTCTATCATCTCATTCAAAAGGCTACTGCACTCCCCCCTGAGATAACACAAGTTGCTAACCAGCTCCATTATTTTAGCATCCGATCTGGGTGACACACCCGCACGTTTTTGTTGTGTAGTCGCATCGGCGGTCGCAGTCACTCCAAGTTCCTCCATCTCGTCCTCTATTTGAGATACACGATACTCAAGTTCCTTCGCACGCGTGCGATATGATTTTGAAGTAACGGATTCAACCGCATCCCGGACGGAGCTCGCGTACGACGATGTTCCAGGTATTTTAACGTTGCTTGTTGCGTTGGTCAGGGAAGTAGAACCTGTTGCAAGTTGCTTGAGCCTTAAGCTGTTGCACTTGTGCAACAAACATCTAACGCCGAAAGGTAAGCATTGATGAAGAGTCAGATCAAAAGCCTCCACCTTTGAAAGTGTCTCTATGACGCTGTTGGCGTATTTTGCGCATTTTAAAAGCTGAGACTTGTTGACGCATTCTCCGAACAGGGTAAGACGACTTCTACCGGAATTGGCACCCCCGAGGCGTGCTATAATGTTTAGGACAGGTGAAGACGCGACTTTGTATGCGTTGTGGTCGTTAGAAAGTGCAACGATCACCACGAACTGCATGGCATTAATCTTGCCAAGTGGAGACACCCCCTTATCTTTCAGGCTGCGCGAACACATTCTGAGGGACTGTTTGACATTCTTGTCGCTGCAAACATTAATCAGGTCGGACGCCAGGATCTTCGAAGCTTCACCCCCGCAGTCAGACAATATGGCCCCAAACTTCATTTCAAGTGTCTTGTTGTCGTAATGTATAGCATTCAAAGAATGGGGAGATCGGTAGAACAGATACCGAAGGTGTTGCAATAGTGTTGCAAACAGGTCAGCGCCTACAATCGTATCCATCATGTCAAGACGTTAAACATGAACTTTATTCAGAATCAAAGTTGGAGTAACTGCTGGATGCAGATCTCATACGTGCATATCTCAACAATTTTTAATCGTTAATCATATGTTTGTTAATCCGTGGAAGGTTGCGCTTGGCAAAGCGGTAGACGGAATCGGCCGCCTTATCACGCGATATACAAAGCTTACACACTAAGAATTATGTTTAATACATTATACCCATAAAATATCTTCGGGTTTTACGGAAGCGTTACCCACCCCTGGACATATAAGGTACTATGTTCGTGAGTGGGCAACAGTTTGCACTCCACACGTCCCAGAGTATCTGCGCCGCTATTCAGCGCGATTCGACATGGAAGTAAAAGTAAAAACCAGTAATTAGTGAAAAGAAAATGGACTTGGTGCGCCGTTATAATTCAAAGGTGTGCAACATTCAATACTCAATGGTTGCGACAACTCAAGGCCGTTTAGTTTTGTTATGCACCAATGTGAGTTCATATGCATTGGTATCGTACAACCAATGGTTTGTAACAATACTATAAGGAGTGTGTATTTAATGTACCGTCGAGGCTTTTTCGCCGCATTGGCATATGCAGATGTGGACGCCTATATAAGATTCTACACTTCTTGGCCACCTGGCGGTAGTTTGTCTACAGTTGTGTAATTATATGTGACGTTAATGGATGAATATAGGTGTTAATTTCGTGTGTACATCACAGCAGCACGGCTGCTGTTATTGAAAACAACAGATTTGCCCCTTAGCATAGTGACTACCTCAGTTAACACAAAATCTACACATACATCAGCAATAGCCAATAAATGACGAGCACTGTTGGAAATAGGGATGGTACACGTGCTTGTGTATGATCTGGATGCTATCACGCATCTCAACCGAACTGAAACCGGAAAGGTTGGAAACCTTGATGTACACCGCATTTACCGCAGAGGCACCTTATTGAGTCACATGTACATATTATTATCGGGTAACTTTTACGGGGTGTAGTCTTTTGGCGCCGTTTATCGGCGCGACCGAACGGCTGTGTGTCCGCCAGCTACGTTTTCACGTTCATCACAGGGCTGAATAGAAGGCTAAACAAGACCCCGGCTCTCGCCGGATAGCGGAATCCCCGCTGAAAGAATTACAATGGTCAAGCTAGTCCCAGGGTTCTTGAAAAAAATCATTGTACATAAGGGCACATCACCGGATCCTGAAGGCTGCAAAAGAGATTCGACTAGCGAAGCAACTATCTCACATATTGGACGATGCTCGATAGAAAGTGGTGCTTCAGTGAAATCGTCAAGGACAACAGCTGAGCAAGGGGTGCCTTGCACCCTGGCAACAGAGGAAGGTATTGCCAAAGGCGATTTATTACAACGCGGCATCACATCCAATATCGCAACCATAGCGCTTGGGGAGTGGGGATATCCGGTGTATGAGGACTGTCGTGACGATTCCTTCTTCTCGGGAAAATATTTTACCGGCTTTTTGCGCAACTACGTCACTAGCAGTGACCCGCTTGAGGACTTCATATCTGCTTCAAGGACCAAACTTATACCTAAGGTTGAAGAATCAGATTTTGCAGAATATATCCGCCAAATATCCGTATTTTATGCGACGATGAACGAAGACGCCCCTAGCTGCGAAGGCGCTGAGGGTGCTAACCGCCAATCAACGCCATCAGAAGTGCATGTGCCAAGGGAGTATTACAGTGAAGGATACGTGTTATCTAAGAATGTGGTATTCAAAGAGGAAGTTGAACGTATACCGGAGATCATGTCAACATTGGAGGCACAGCTCGAGGCGGTCAACTGCGAACTGCAGGAAATGCTAGAAAGGCGATACGTACACGTTCACGAGGCATGTACAAGCGTAGAAGAGCTGCACAACCGCTTCCTAGATGTCACCAAACAAATAAATCGCATACGAATGGATCTGGAGGGGGAAACGACCAGGGGTAGTATTATGAAAAGCCTATCAACCACGCCAATCAAAAAGGAAGAGTTGGATGCCATACTTCAGAAAGGTATATCGCGCAAGAAAGAGCTGCAGACAATGCTGGAATACCTGCAAATGTTTAGGGCTATAATCGCGTTGCCGGAATATATACAGGGTATCGCAGACTCCAATGGAATTGCCGTCGCTAACTTCCTCAGTCAGTCCGTGGTGAACTATCTATGCGATGAATTGGGCAAGTTCAAACTTGCGCACTCGGTGGCTGGTGTAGTAAGCGAATCTATACTCAACCTCAAGCGTGTAGCCGAGACCAAATTTATTAATATTGCATTAGTTGCCCTAATAGATCTCGGGGATACGTCGGATGTGAAGGGTTCCATTGATTCGTTAAAAACGATGCTTGACCAAATGCATCAACCTTTAATCGCACTGTTGGATGCCTCCATGCTGAGGGATGCAATGGAAACCTTAACTCTGGCATGTAAGGGTGCCAAAGCGACCATCGGTTACGAAAAATATGAGACCTGGCCCGAGCTTATGAAAGCTTTCGAGGGACATAAATGTACACTCTTGTCATACTTCTTTTTATCGCAAGTTTGGGGATGCATGGTTTTGCGGCGGATGCTGTGCGTGGAGAGGATGCGACAAGACAAAACCCTTTCGAGGAAATCCAACGAATCCGTGAAGTTGGCCGAAAAGGTTCTATCCGTGGTACAGGATCGTATGTCGTCGACCACCCCTGTTGGTAACATGACCACAGTATCCACTATTTCTGCATTAGTCAGCAAAACGGTCGTGTTACCGCCTCTGTGCATTGATGAAATTGACTACTGGTCAGTGTACCAGTCAGGGATTCGCATAGATTCCAATTCAGACAAATCAAAGGGGCCTGATTCTGTTGATGCTGATTTAACAGATGCTTTGGCGAGCTACGTTGCATCCATAAAGCACATCGTCGACACAGCGTCCAAAAATTCGTTCGATGACTTTGCTAATCATGTGGTATTAACGTCCAACTTCAAGGCGGAATTCGATGCTGGCGACTTCGTAAACTTTGTAGAAAGTTGTAAGGCTTTAAAAACGCAGTATGAACGACTTCAGGTTGACATAAAAGCTATGTACATGTTTCCCTCAATGATATTACACACTTTAGACAGCGAGTGGCGTTCCGACGAGCATTCAAAACTGAATACAAGTCCTGGGATAACGGCTATTAAATCTATACTACCAAATCTGGATTGTGATATCACCTATGAATTCCGGGCAATAGTGGATCGAGTCATCAAATCGCTTGGTGTATCATGCCTAGAGGTGCTTAAGTCGAATAATGTAACGTGCGTGCAATCTGCGCTGGCAGAAGAAACTTGGGATGAACCTTATACTTACAGCTACCCCACTGCTGAGGGTGACATGCCATTTGTGTTGATGAAATCATGTGCAAGCCTCGACGAAAGGCTTAATCTGTATTTACTTCTTGCGGAGGCGTTGCCGTGCACCGGAGAGTGCGCATCGCAGGATTGCACACAACTCATGGAGGTCTATCATTCAATGATAGATGCAGAGGCATCGATGCTGCACTTCCAAGAAGCTGACATCGACAGTTCTACCATGCGCAAGGCATGTCTAATGGCTGAAGCTTTGAGATATTTCTCACCCAGGATAACCGATGTCGTAAAAAACACGATTAATGCCATGTCAGCTGCAGTTGTAGCACACGCATATGAGGCAACTGCGTGCCCAGCAGATTTGGACGCTAAGTGTAAAGATCTCCATGAAGCGGCAGGACAATGTTCGGACAATTTGAAATCATTGAAACACAGAATGCTTCAAACTATTTCAAATGAAATAAGTAGTAAGATGGCGCGTCAAATGACTATTTGGGTCTTACAGCCCCCGGATTCCTGCTATGATGACAAAGCACTGCATGATATGATACAAATTGTACAAAATAGCGTTGATGTAGTGTCAGAAGTGTTGAGGGACGTAGCCGATGTACAATTTGTATTTGCAAATGCTTTCAAGCAGCTGCACACAGTTATACCCTGTGAAGATATAAATGAGCAGCTAAAGGAAGACTTCCGCGACAGTTGTGCTGAGTTAATAACAAAGCTGTCACACAATACCTGTATAAAACTCGAGATATTCTCATTGGCAGATACGCTCTCTAATGAACTTTTCAGCTAAGGCGAAACTGATAGTTGTAACAACCTGCGGGAGGGTATGTAAGCCTATTTCATGAATTATTGGGGTGGTATAATCCATTAATGCGTTGTACATTGTATCTCGCATAGTATTAAAATTGGCGTGATTATATCTAAGGTGACGGAGTACTATAGTACACTATACGATGTAAATCATTTCATAGGAAATTTCATTGTATAACTGTGCACCATAGTGGTGAGGAGGCACTGATACTTGGAGTCACGTTGTGCCCAGTACAGCCTTCCCCTTCGCATCTTCGAACACGTTGCCTTGGGTCATTTATAATTAAATTATCACACCTCAATACGTAAGAGTAGCTCTCAAAAGCCAGCGAACGTAATCTCTTGCATACTTAAATGTTGATCGAACTCATCTGTATAACGCCTGTTTCAAGTTGTCTAATGCGCCGGCTGCCTACGCCTGATATGGGTAGTGATCGCCCATGCTAGATACTCAGTCCCTGCACGTTGCTGGCGTTGGTTGCCAGAAATTTGGGACACTCCTCCAATTAACATGCCCGCTACATTCTACCTCCGCTTCTCAGGGCAGAGCAAGTCAACGATTCACAGCGTCTGTAGGTCCTCAATCCACACCGACAAAATGCACCTACGTATTCGTGTGATTTACGAGAAGTAATAAGATGTGCATTCAGGGGAGTTCCTACGATCAACGAAGGCTTTGTAAAGTCGTTCAATCTATACGTGTTAATACGTCTTGCAGTAAAGACGCGCTATGCATTCCTACGACTGCTACGCTACCGCGTTACGCCAAGGCGTCGCGGGCCGCTAACACACCTTAGAAAGCATGTATTGCTTTGCACCGTGGCATTTAAACTGCGGATCTCCACAATGTTCGTTGGGAATACGAAGATGAATGCGTGTCACACGGGAACAACATCAATCGCCCGAATTGTTTCACAGACACCTTCAAAGAGGCATTTAGAACTGTGTTTGACCTCATTTGACAGCAGCACCACAGTAGATGGATAACGCAGACACAAAGTTTACTACAATTAAATTGAATCAATTATAAATGTTTCGTGAGAATTCGTATGCCAACTCACTGGGGATCCGGGATCGGATTCTTTTTTTGTCGAGCCTTTTTGGCAAGCTTTTTTGCAGCCTTTTTCGCAGCTTTTACAGTTTTTGCTGCTTTTACCGCTTTTACAGGTTCTTCAGCTATCACAGGTTCTTCAACTCCTGCAGGTTGTTCAGCTGCTTCACCGCCTTTACCTTCTGCAGCGTCTACACCTTCAGCTGCTACAGATTTTGCGACTCCTTCAGGTCCTGCAGAATCTTTAGGTTCTTCACCTCCTTCAATTTCAACTCCTTCATCTTCAAATCCTTTCTCACGTTTTTCCGGTCTTTCACGTTCTCCGAGTCCTTCGGGTTCCACGGTTCCTTCAGGTCCCCCGGATTGTGCAACACCTGTAGATTGTTCAACTTCCAGATTGCCTACGACATTAGTGTCATATAAGGCCCAAAATCCGGCGAGGTCGTAGAGTGTAGTCAATATGTGTACATCCACGGCTTCCATCGCCTTGAGTATATCGGAAATACTCACGCTAGAGTTTAGTTTGAGTTTGTCGTAACCTACGGCCTTCAATATATCTCCGAGACGCTTCTCAGCCACAGAATTCGATCCTTTACGAACTGCAATCTCGCTCGCAATCTGCAATGAACTTAAACCCGCGTACAACATTGGCGCAATCCCCACGAGGACCACCGCGCAAGCTTCTGGGTCCTTCGCGCATGATGCATCCCACGTCGCCTTCGAACTGTAGGAAGATCCATACCGGCCAGAGGTTTTGATACCATCCACGAACTTCTCACAACTATCCACAACTTTACCTAAGCACTTGGCGATGTTTTCAGGCCTGACACCTCTGGCCTCTACGACATTCTCATAATCACTTTCTTCGACAAATGCTAAGGTCTCAGCCAATACGACGGGCCTTTTATTCAAAGGCCGGTCTAGGCGTTGCAGCAGCTCTTTTACAAACCACTGGTCCTTAAAACCCTGCCCCTTCAAGAATTTCTTAGATGTGCGTTTTATTTTCTTTAGAGTTGCCACGACTTTCGAACCAACAGTATCGCCGTCAAACAGACGGTAAATCGCGTCACCCATAGCACCCAAGTTCTTTTCAGCATCCGTTCCCTTCAGGGCCATCAACCAGTCAATACCCTCCCTGAGGTTACTGGGAACGTCAGTCAACGAATTGTACACCATTTTTTAGAAATTCGTTAAATTAGGCGACTCCTATATACGTAATGATTTTGGTTCGATTTACGGGCGAACTTACAAACTAACGTGTACTCAAACAGCTGCTTATTTATTCAAAAATAAGTACCAGTGCTGTTTGTGTGTAATAAAGACGTTCTTAAGTGTCACGTATAACGCTGTCGGTGGAGCGCGTGTGGATACGACGAGGACCTAGGTATCCCGTCGCAGACAGCTCCATACCATACACGTGGCATGCAGTATGCAAAACGCATGTCACTGTCGCATCCGAGTCTCAGTCAATGTCACATGCTGCAAGTCGATATATTAGTATATTCTCAGCGATGCATGAATGTTTGCAATGTTACAAAGGGCTGCGAACAGCGTATCGGATTACATGCTGTCCCGCGGTAATTGCGTTGGACATTATCCTGGCGTCAGCCAGCATATCTAGCATAATCACGTATCTCTTAGTCGCATATCCTGCCACTAGTATCGTTTATGACTACCTACAAAAGATAGGCTGACATCCGTCAGCCGCTGACATAGATGCCCGTAGTACTCTAAGCTTCATGGTTTATTGTCATCATGGTATGAGATCCCCGGGACATCCCCTGTCGGCGTTCTGTGACCATACGGGTGTCCTCCACCTAGCTCAGCGGCAGGGATACCAGAGCCGCGAGTCTAGCACCACATAGATGCCACGTCCAGCGGATTCGGCTGCCAAGCATACCCCATGATTCGATGGCCAATTTTCCTGGAGGTTGTCGTCATAACGGTGGATTAATGTGCCCTGATAGTTATCAGAAATATTGTTTGACCCGAATCACAATGCCCCAATATTGAAGCCTGTCTCACCCCTGTTCGCTCCACTCCCACATTTTATGGCGCGAGCCCATGCCCATCACCACATCGCATCGCAACATACTTGACTACCGAGATCTCTCAATCACTGCACACAATGCCATGTAATGTAATAATTCCCCATGTCTTTACGATGTTAACATGGAACCACGTATGCTGACATTACGCCTCACATCCCAGCCCTAAAGAGATTGGAGTTCTTGTCTCGTTAAGGGTTGCCGAACGTGTTTCACCCATATGTAGTTTCAAAATAACCACCAACACGTTGATAACCTTCCTGGTGCTCAACGTCTCGGTTAGGCATTGGAGGTAATGTGATCATCCATTCCATCACGCAGCTAGCCATCCGGCTGAGCACAGTGACACGTCGAAGTTCACACTCATCAGACGTCAATAGGAGTCATTTCAGCGTTTTATATCACATGATGGGGTGGCCTGTGAACACTTTATGACCAAATGGAGCCATCCCTGCTTCCATTCCCACCGGTGGTCTATTGTTGTCCGACACTGACACATCACTTGGATACCACGGTTATTCGAGTTGCTGATGCACAATTTTGCGTAACATATGCTATTCACTTTGCGTATTAAGCACATTGCCTGTGTTTGAATTAGTGAGCAGACTTTCAAACGGCCACATTGCACTTTCCTCATTCCGGCAGCACGAGACACGCAGCAAACGTGTCGCTATGCCCAATTGCGTTTCATGTTGTTGACCAGACCTATTAGCGTCAATACAGGTCATTAAAAAGATATGGTAGCACTAAGAAATGCCAATGATTGACTACCGAAATTACTACTTTGTATCCTAAGGCACATTGCCACTGAAATACCCAACTCAACGTAGGCACAAATATGAACAATGAAAACAAATTAGTTTCCATAATTCACCGACAAGTTACCACATGTGAAATAATCACTGCTTGGCGTAATAGTTCACGATCTGTATACTGGAGAGAACGATACCCTTGACGGTGACGCAACGACACTCCAGTGGCGACGTCTGGCGCAGCGTCTCCCCAGACCTCAAGAGTGAGCTGTGTAAATGCAAAATGACGAAGTGATTGGATCGTGACGCCCTCAAAGATTTGCTGACATCGGCCAAGTTAGTGATGCTACCGTCCACTAATACTTGGCTGAAGCAGTTGGGTGGGTCCAGGACATACGGCGCCGGGCAGTAGAACGCCGCTTCTTTGGCAGCCTGAAGATCTATCTTGCAACCGAACTGAGGTTGCCCGTCAGCGTCGTAGAGTTGGGGTGTCTCAGGCTTGAACAACTCATCCGACGCGTACGTAACGCCGCAGCCTTGCATGTAGGGATCCGTCGTCTCGACGGCAACCTTAACGATAATCCACGCGTATCGTGACGATTCAGGAGTTCGGCGAATGGGTATGGTAGATGCGTTACCAGTGACAATGGAGAAATCCGATGGTTCGGGCGTCTTACCGCAGACGAACCTCATGGGCAGGTATTTTGTGTGAAGTGGATCTTTAGATATAAGAATGGCTCCTCTATGAGATGTGATCGTCAACTTATCATATGCTGGTAACTCTGTGTCATTATGGTGAACGACTTCCAATCCCGCAGGCGTACCAGCCATAGCATCTCCGTGCAATCTCCTAATAAGCTCACGCCCGTGTGATGTATGGGAGTAAATATAATGGAATTCATCAAATTGCTTTGGAAGCCACGTGGTTGTCACATTTCCATTGTTTGCAATGTTTTGATCGTCGGGATCTATATCACATGTGATGGACAACCTTGTACCCACTTCAAGTTTGATGGATTTTTTGTATGTGTTCCTTAGTATAATCAGATCTGTTGATCTAGCTTCTTCACGCAATAGTACAACCTTGTGCCAAGGCAACGGGATGTAGGAAAGCAACGTGTTAGACGTGCCTTCATGGCACACTTTGTAGATGTAAGTTGCTGTATGGATATGCTCTAAAACAAGTTTCGAAGTCTCGTAACCACGGCTGTCGACACAGAAGCAGGCGTAGCTGACAGGGGCCCTTGGCACACCGATATCGAACACCTGGAATCCTCCAATAGGGTAAGGCGTACCACTTCGTACAGACACAGGAAAACGCGTAATATGATTGGAATAGTTATCGTATCCTGTAGATTTGCAGTTGCCCGGCAATAACTCCTCACCGGACCTGCAATAAATACCAGCCTTCCAGGCGTCCCTCCAAAGATGCACCGTGCATTCGTACGTATCCCCTATACTGTTTGCCATCCGTTTAGTTGCGCAATACTTCCTGCTCGAATATTGATCAAACACATGCCTTTGGTCTCGATCACAACCAACCTTCGTGTAGTCATGGTTAAATGCAAAGGACACGTTAACGGTGGCTCTTATCTTATCGGGAACGTTCTCGTTCCTAGATATCAGAGTCCAATGATAAAAGAACGAGTTGGATCCTTTTCGTAACGCAAGAGGTTTGTCCAGATGGTACTTCAGTTTTACCTCACCCTGGGATATCGTGGAAGCATCCAACTCGAAAGCATCGCCAGCAAGAGCTCTATGGTACAACACTTCGTCGTAAATATCAAAGTCGTAGACGCTTGCCAATTGTCTCAGCGTAGTCGTGTCTTTCGGCAAGAATTCAGTTTCATATTCATAGATAGACAGCAATTGCGAGAACGGGACGGTAGGAGAAACCTCGTCGGAAGACTGCAGATAAACACCCTGTATTGGCACTCTTATGGTCAACGTGCTGCCGGGATGAAGCACCACCGAACACCAAGGACCACGGATAGGACGCACACGGTTGCGGAATATTTTACTAGTGATATCACATACGTAATCTGTTTTAGGACGAATACCCATCCTCGCCTTCATGTGACCTGTTTCGAAATCTATGCACCGGCATTCGCCATTGAATGGTGGTAATGCCAAGTCATCAAAATATCGCGCCACCACCCAAGGCTTATAATTTTCGATATTCCAATACGGATATGGTTCAGGAGTAGTCACAACGCTGCCATCCTGATCTACGAGGAATCTCATACAATCCTTAGGTTCAATTCGGCCCTCGCACAAGAATCCGATAGGTGATTTTGACATGGGATCCGCCACACATGATCGGGTTCCGGTGAAGGGGTCCACAGTCACCTCATTATCCGCAGCAAACAGTGGCGAGGGGCGACTGCCACAGCCTTGAAGTGGTAGATGAGTATCTCCTCTGTGTATGTATAAAACACCCAATCCATTTCCTATTTCTGATAATTGCTCCGTCAATGGCGTGGCTGGAGTCCAAGGAGATTTCTCCATGAAACGTGTGATATTATTGATACGGTCAAGGTAACGTTGCAATGTATCACTCAGAACCAAATCTCGCGGGCCACAGAGGAAGATCAAACGGCGTTCGGTTATGGCGAACAATTCGTGAATTGGAAAGTTAAAATGCAACTCCGTTTGCGACTCTTTGGACTCCAACCATATGATATTGCTCCCGGATTCAGCTCTTATTACATCCGAAAGGGTGACGGAACGAAACGTACCTTCATCACTCACGTATGCGTTGAGATGAGCGGTATCATACGATGTTGGTTGAGGATGCAAGACGTAATCGCTGTCGTTGATTCGGCGAGGGCATATCAAAATTATGGACGCAATGTTGTCGATATCCATGTAACACCTGGCAAGAGCATTGTTGCTTAGCAATTCATGTGGATCTCCAAAATCACAAGACACCGCGCCAATCGGTATCATCAAATAAAGGTTTATTGAGCAAAATACCAATGCATATCCCGTCAGTCGATATATACCCATTATGGTTAATGGCGTTGGCTGCAATGGCCAACAGGCCCCCTATATTTGCAATTGCCTTGGAAAGTCGCGCAGTTCAAACAAGCCAAATGTAATCGAAGCTTAACACAAGTTTATAAAAATTTATAGACATTTGGCTGTGAACGAAAAGAAAATTGCCAGGTTGACAGCAGCTGTCTGGATGCTCACCAAAGAATTTTCCATCACCTTTCAAACGGAACTAATCAACAAATGTGACAAACGGATGCTATTAGAGACATCGCAATATAATTTTGATAAATATTATACGTGATTTATCGTTGACATTCGATTCATGGAGGAAGCATCGCATCAGCATGCCGACTATAACTGACCGGATGCTATCCTTGGAGGAACACCAACACAATAGCGGATATCGAGCACACGAATGGAGATAACTTAGTGGAGGCAGAGGCTTACAAGAGGAGGATGCATGTACACCTAGTGAAGGAGATGAAATGGATGGCACTGGGATGGTAAACATTCAAAGTGAACTCATGTAATGATATTCATGGTGCCCAATGTTTATTGCCATTCTGTGGCTTATCCTGGTCACCAGACCGGAATGACACCATCATGGATGACACATGTAGTGTTCAGCAACAATACGGAATGGAGCCCGCAACCATTATCAATAGTGTTTCGTTAATAAGCTATGAGAATTGCGAAAAGCCGCACTAGCCGAGCGTGACCACATTGCACTATATACAAAACAAAAGCAAGGATAACAATGTACTTTTGTGTGTGAAATGTAATCAAGCCTCACCAAACTTGTTGTTCATGTTTTATTGCTCAAGTGGATAGGGTGTGATATTTCCATTTGTTCATATCCTCCCAGGTTGAAAAATTGGCAATGCCCTTAACACATAACAAAGGGCAATGTCGCACACAATATAGTGGACACCAGTAGATCCACTAATGTTAATGAGTAATAACTGCATCACCGATTGTCCACGTTAGCCCACCGGTAGGAATGGAACCAGGGCAGCCTCATCTGATTGTAATCTTTTTACGTCAGCAATAATAAGATGCTCCTTAATGCTACAGTGGGACATGTTGGGAATAGCGAAGTCCGATTTTCAAAATCTCATTAGACTTAGCCAAATACCACACAGCTTGATGGGCTGGGTGAGGAAAAAGAAGCAAATACCCCTCAATGAGATTATAGACATCAAGTAGTTTATAACAATCACATGAATTAGATTAATTTCACAAGTGGTCGAATCCACGCTCGCAAACGATGTTCGATAATGTGGATTTAAAATCATTGTTACTACGTCAATTGGTCTCCAACGTGGGTTGCAAGGTAACGTAGGACAGTTGCTTGACTGCATATCCGACGTCAGGTGCGTTGTGAGTTGCCAATTGCACCACACCTCTGTTCGTTACTTGAGCTTCGGGAAAGATTACGGACAAATCGCCGTGCCAGTGCTACCAAGGTGGTGCAATGCTATGCGAAAGTGATTTTACGAATGTCGGGGGTGTATGGAAGTGCGGCTGGCATTGCTCTCCTTATACCGGATTGGGTTACGCATTTCGGCGGTTCCTTGTGCGTAGCCCCGCCATCTACATGCTGTTCGATGGTGGATAAAAATTATCCGTGCGAAAACATAAGCTGCTGCCTGGTTGCTCAGGTATCCCCAAGATGGCCCATCGTTCCGTCCAAGAACATTGCGTGGCCTCACTGACTGGACGTAAACTGCAACATATTGTGCAATATAGTTTCGTATGTTCATCTGGTGTTGCAGTGGCCAAGTTGCAATTGTCATCGGTATCGTCCAATAGTAGAAGAGGACGGAGATCGAGTCGGTCACCCAAACCAGCAGCGTGGGAGGGGCGTTGGTTCATCCGCCAGGTGAGTGGGTGGCTGTAGAATGTGAAATTATGTGCATATGTGCGACATTCTGTGAATAGTCGGTCTTGTATAAGAGAAAGCCACAGTGGAGTTGCATCTATGGTCAACATCGTTGTAGGCCCTGATGTCGTCACCCCGGACTACCCCAGCGGCCACTTAGTGGGGTGCCCGCAAACCTAGTTACCCAGATGTCTATCACCCCGAATGCCTTGCACCGCGCGTGAGCAGTGGCGTTCTGAGTGGAGCATATGCATTCTCGGATCGAATTCAAAAGTATGTAATTTGAGTCAAATTATACTGACGCAATAACCACCAGCTACATCTGTTACCCGTGGATATTAACGGTGTGTCAGAGCTGAGAGATCTCGAACTACGCCTAGCTGAGCACACCTGGACGACAGCCTAGATGCGTATTTCGTTTAAGACTAGTTTATGCTCTCAAGGCACGTTGGCAATTACTTCAACTTACTGCGTTTGAGCCCTTCGTGTGCAAGATGGGAAGAGTTGACGGAGCAGCTCGGGAACGGTACCTGTCAAGACGTCCTGCATGGTTTACGTACCAGGATGGAAAATGGCCGCCGAACTGGTGGAATGACCCATTGATAAGGCAACGATTGCCGTATCGTATCATTGCTATTTTGGTAACGATAATAACGATTGCCGGTGATGATACGCTACGACAAATTCCGCCGTTCAGTTACGGTCTTAACCGAGCTGTGGCTACGAAAGGCCTTATCGGTTTCTTAACCGATCGTCTCGTCGTTGGTACCGTCATTACTATCATCAGCCGAATCATCAATGCTATCATCGTTGGTATCATGGATTTAATCGCTTTTTGGCACGGCGAATAAGCAGGTATTCAAGGCGTTACGGATACTAAAGGAGCAGATGGTAATCCGGAGGCTTACGATAGTGAAGATGAGTTCCGGTTCCCAGACGAATGATTCCAAAGAAGAATAACCGTTGTGAAGAGTTTTAGAACCACGGGAATCGTTAGGTCGTGGTGGTGGCGTGGGCACTCACTTTGACCAAGTCTATCTAGAAGAAATACAGTGGTACAACATTTGCGAATACTACCTCAACACCTGTGTACGCGTAACCCATAGTCGACTCATCCTTGCAGTAATAACAGCTGCCGAGCCCATCTAACTGACAACCAGAAAACAACGAAATAAACATGTTCGTTACATACTGCACTTTGGGTTCAGTGTGGGTGACCAAAGTCGGCAGCGTGGGAGCGCCACCCCAGGCAGTGAGCCACCTGTTATGTCAGCAAGTGACATGTTAGTAATTGTGGAGGAGCACCAGTGGGCGTGAACCCGAGTGGTTGGCCATCCCATATCCGTATTGGAGAAGTATCATCCGAGGTAAGGTGGTGATTCACGTGTATATATGAGTGAATGACGTGCTGACAAGTGGGTGTGTAGTTGTATTTCGTGTATATAACGTACAAATGGAAAACATGTTGAGTGATTGGAGCGTATTGTCCTACGTGACGGCCGCGCTACGGCGTACGCTCTGTGACATCCGAACTGCAACTCTCTGTGACGTTACAAACGTCGACGCTTCGCTGTGAACAAACTGATATCTGAGGCTCTAGCATATGCCATATTGTCTGAAACTTACGTACCACAGTCACATGCGCTGTGGAAACTGCATGCCACCCGGATGGTACGGATCTGTCTGCGGTGGGGCAGTTGGGATGTTACCGTACCTTTATCGTACGCATAATTGGCACATCCACATATTCTTAGGCCTCAATCAGAACCGTCTATATCAGGTGTAAACTGTACCTGTGTTCTGCTGATCCGCGATTAGGACATAGCCGGCGTTGTACGCTGCTGATTATATACGCGGGCCTTTTGCACACCGTCCTATAGATAGAATTCAAACCCTTATCATTTACCCAATCTAACGAATCATCACAGAATGGTATACACTTCGTTGACAGAGGCTCCTCGCAACCTCAAGGAGGCCATTGACTGGTTGATGGCCCTGAAGGGAACGGATCCTTCAACTAACTTGAAGGCCATGGGTGCCGCACTCTACGATTTTCTCGTGCAGCAGCCTGTTGTCCCCAGGCGGTTGCCAGCCCTCGAGGATCTAAAACGCATTTCCAAGAGATTCATGGGGCAAAAGGAGCTTAGGGACCACCCATCCGTAAGCTTAATTCTGGGAAGATTTAACAACCCTGTGGATAGAAAACCTGGCGTGTTCGCTAAAACAATGGGTTCAAATCCTGAAAAAGTCGCAGACAACATAGGTAAATTTGTTTATGGTACCGGGAAGTTATTGCATGATATAAGACATCCCAAACATTACAAGTCTGCTTACAGTTCGGAAGCGACGTGGGCTAAATCATGTTCGAAAAACCCGGAAACTTGTGCGGTGATCTTCGTGGGGATTGCGCCAATGTTATACACAGGCCTACTTTCTTTGAGGGACGAGACTAGCGCTGTTGACAGTATCTTTGTAGATTTCAATTCTGTGCAGAAGCGTATTAGAAACGTCTTGAACGCCCTAGGTTACGCTGATCAGCAAAGGCGCCACGTCATGAGGCCTTCCGATATACTGAAAGCGTTGAGCGATATGGATAAGGATTTGTTGGCCATACTCCACAACCTCGCCGGAGTATTGGCCTTTTATTGAATTGGGATCGGAGCTGAACGGTATAATCAGCTTGACAAACAACGAATCTTATTCTGGTTCCCCAGCGAGTTGGCATCATTCGAACTCTCACAAAACATTTATACATTATGAGATGTAGTTGTCGCCATTATTATGTACATAATGTTCACCTACTATACTGCTGCGGTGAAAGGAGTGCTAAACAATTCTCTCTATAATCGCACTCAATACGTAGTTTGGGGCGTTATTTCAGCGCCTCTTTCATGTTGGTACACTCGACGGAGGTTTCATGTATACCCGCAGTTTGTAGGTCGCGGTGTACACTGCTTTACGCCTTTTCAAGTGTATGGGAGATCGCTGTCGTTCGGCGTACGCGGGAGCATAGCAGTCGTAGGAGTGCATGGCGTGTCTTTACCGCGAGGCGTATTAACCCCAGTAGATTTCATCACATGACAGCTTAATCTTCTATAGTTGTTAGTGTTTGAGAGTAGACAATGTTGTTGTGCCCAGCACAGGCACAACATGGGCACTTCTTGTCGGTGTGGATTGTGCGCTTATGGGCCTCATGGATCGGTGAATTGTTCTGCCCGAAAAAACTCCCCAATCCAAACGTAGCCACATAGAACGCTAAACAAAATCGAAACAAAGATAGGAATGTATCTCCTGGAAGGCATGTTGGGCAACAGCCTTCTACCGGTGACAACCAAGACACACGTGGGAGGCAGATGACTTCAAAGACGCCACATGTTAAATAAGGATACGCGTGGCGTATATAATCCGTTTCACAATTCGTCGCATCCCTTCGCAGCCGAACGGATGTCACTGTTGTCATCACGGTTTCTGATATGCTGGAAGGCGCCGCGAATCTTGCGTTTGCCTGGATGCACAATACGCTCCGTTACGTATGAGGCGCAGTGTGGGATTTTGTTGGCCTCTTTTAAGCTTTACAGCTTTTTACTACGTACATTGTTACGCATGAGTCGTACCACCGCTACACAGCTTACATTGGTTGATATCCACAAACACTTTCTCACCACCGTGGTCCACATTGACACTTTTACAGTTACTAGCGATACGATTATGCGGAGGTTCGACTCACTGCGTTTGGTCAGGTGATTTGTCGCATTGGATGCAGTAGCTGCTGTTTTTGGTTCTTCGCTTACTAACATAACAAGACAGGGATCAGGGCAGTCCCCTACGTTATGATGTGGAAGGGCATAGTGGCGAAACAACACACCGAGTATAGGTGGGACCTGGGTATATCGGATCGCATGGAAGCCCACATACAACGGGCAGTGATCTAGGAAACACAGAACCTAGTGTTGAGGAACATGTAACTCAGAGATGATTATTACTCTGCTGACGGCCACCATTCCTAGACAGGTGGATGCCACCTGTATCGTTCGGCGAAAACACAGAGTGTAACCCCAAGCCAACACTAATGGCGCGCAGTGTAGGCCTCCGGAAAACGCGAAGGCGGGGACGTGATAAACATAGGCACATAGCACGTTAGACAATGTGAAACGTAGAGATCTGTAACACAGATAATGCAATTAACGCTATACGTAAAATCGAGTCAACACCAAGTGATGCATCCACGGTTTATAGTCATTCAATTATTACACAACCTTACAAAGGTTCCCTTCTAGTGAAGCAAAAGATCACATTGATGCCCACCTCAGCGTATTAGAATATTAAACGCAGTTTTATTACATGGCAATAAGGAATGTATTAAACCCGATCGTACACCTAGATATATCGTTTACTTCCACAGTTTTGTGAAGCTGATATTTTTGTCAGCATCTTTTTTCATGACTTTTGCAACTGCCATAAGAAAATCTTCCTGTGTCACGTGTACCCTACGTTCCCTAAGTGCGAACATGCCTGCCTCAGTACAAACGGCCTTAACTTCAGCTCCACTGACATTTACCATTTCCCGGGCGATCATTTCTAAGTCAATGCCCCTCACCAGATTCATACGCCTGCTGTGTATGGCAAGGATCTGAGCCCGTGCCTCGGCATTCGGGTTGGGGAATTCTATCTTGCGGTCTATCCTCCCGGGCCTGAGCAGTGCCTCGTCCAATATATCAATGCGATTGGTACACATTATGACCTTGATATTTTGGTAAGGCTCGAAACCGTCCAATTGATTAAGCAATTCAAGCATGGTTCGTTGTACCTCCGAGTCGCCATGACCGCTATCCGTCCTTTGCGATCCTATGGAGTCGATCTCATCCATGAAAATAATGGAGGGAGCGTGTGCCCGAGCCATAACGAAAAGCTCTCTGACCATACGACTACCCTCTCCAATGTATTTCTGAACGAGTTCCGATCCACTAACCCTTATGAACGTGCAGTCCGTGTGGTGCGCTACTGCCCTAGCTAAAAGCGTCTTCCCAGTTCCTGAACGATATTTATGGTGCATGAGTGCGGCGCTTACCTGGCGGGCCGTATAGTAGCACCCCCTTGGGCTGCGATATTCCGAGCGATTCGAAAATTTCGGGGTGTTTTATTGGGAGTTCAATTACTTCTTTGACTTCTTTCACCTGCTGCTCTAAGCCTCCCACCATCTCGTAGGTAGAATCTGGAACCTTCTCTACTTTCATTAGCGCAACCAATGGGTCAACTTTGGTCGGTAGTATCTTGTGTAATTTGTAAGAATCACTCATGAGAGCAACGCGTGTGCTCGGTGTGCACTTCGAAATGTCAATGTCCTTGCTGACGTCAACGACGTATTTTCCTTCGAGACTAATTTTGACAAGCACTTTATCCTGGCACATTTGCTTAACTACTTCGCCCACGAAGCTTCCAGATTCCAGGAGACCATGAAGTTCATCCTTCAATTCTCTCACTTTTGCATTTAGTTCGTTTCTTTGCGCAACTAGCCTACGCCGAGTCTGTTCCTTCTGGCGGAGAAGCGCCTCACAATCCTCAATACGATACCTATAATAATGTATAAGCCCATTTTCAGCCTCATGGCTTCGTAGAGCATCATGTTGTACCCTTGGTGCCGCCATGTTGTTAAAGGGCAATATTTTCCTGTCAAAGAACAAACAATAGAGCACGCTATAGGGCGCTCCGTTATGTTGCTGCACTACGAAATGCAATTAATAATCTGCATGACTTTTCATGAAATATATGCCACAAACGATAACATATACAGCACACCTGCTGTCTGCTTCGCTGTGCTTCGGATCGTAGGACGGCTAAGGAAAACAGATATCCACACCAAAGAAACCACCTCGAACTATTTGTTGTTTCTAATCGGCATCAAATAAATAATGTTACACCCATCATTCCAATGGCCTTATAACGCACTGTTTTTGGAACACATATATAGTTTTGTAACAACCATATCAAAACAACACGACAAATGCCCGAAAACACCGCATATATAAATAATTGGTGGATAAACTGGTCTGCTGTGCAATTATCCGATGATGTGTAGGAAGATTGCTTCTGTCCCCATTTGGTTCCGCGGTATCGCTTAGAGGACTGAATTGTGAACGATTCTCGCTACACACTCATAGATTCTTTCTATGAGACACCTTAAAATATCTATCTGCGTATCTTAGATTATATACGAGTTACTAGGATGGGCGCATCATTTCGCTCTTACAGAAACGACTGTCTCCCGCACGCTACAGTGTATAACGAGGGTTACTCGCGGCAGCATTCTTATTAGGTCATAAACCCAGGGGTTCTTCTTATTTGTTTGTGGAACACCGGTAAACTCTGTTGTGCTAAAGCGGATGCATTGTCACCGAACGTATTGCCTCTATCGTGGCATCCAGTAAACGTAAATCTACCGCGGGATGAAGGTTTTCAAGTTAAATAGCCCATATCCATCTAAAATGAAATAGTGAGGCATCTTTTATCCTATTTTATACCTGTCGGAATGCCCAAATGGTTATGTAGTACGTTTAGAACCCCTTTTATGTTATCGTCACACCCACTTTTGCTTCTACACAAGGTGATTGTCAGAGTCTGATATAATATATTGTTCTGCGATGCATGTTATGAGGCGTCAGGTTTGACGGGATGAACCGGGGCCTTATAGATGTGATGAACATAGCAAGCTCAAACCCTGCCTTTTGTGATGCTGAGAGGGTTGCGTGACCAAATAGGGGTTTTAAGTAAGACGCAAATAAGTCAAGTTGGCTGTAGTTCGTGTTATACATAGCGTTTCCTGTGACTGTTGCCCTGTTGTGCCTGGCTACGTTTATTGAATACAGATGGAGTATTGGTTCCAAAGATGCACTACAGCTGATTATTCCTTTGTAAATCCTTTTGACTCGCATGTCTATTACGTTACATCATATTTCTTGTGTGTGCTATCTTACCATGTGTACCGCTTACATTAGAGCATCTTATGGGATTCATTTTCGTGATGTTGCTTTCCACTGCTACAAACCTAACAGATTTAGCAAGAATGTGTTATGTGGCGTAAATAATTATTCAATGACCCCCAAGAGCTTGAATGCGCGGATGTTGGCCAAATTAGGAGCCACTTTTTCGTTGGAGCATGATGTGATGAATTTCGTGGACTGTATACCCCTATAATTGCTAATGAGGTCAACCGCGTAAATCACGCCTATCACACGTGGAAGAAGGGCCCATAAGTGTGTACGCATGCGTAGCATATACAGCAAGGTTTCAGCTGTATGGCCTCCATCCAGCATATACATTACCTAGTTCCGTAGACCACAAACACATCAGTTGACCTTACCTTTGTTGGATGTATCTTTAATCACTGTGTTCATAACCTATCGGTATCTCATAATCGACCCTAAATGACACCGGCGATTCGTTTCAGTGCGATTGAAATCTGATTATGACCTCTACTAATTCGGCGCAATACATTACGTAATGAGGAGCGATATTATAACTAGCATTAAACCCGTTTACATAACGTTGAAGTTCATGCAGACAACCGCGAATATAATGTCTCTTTATTTTGATGCGATAGATGTCCCGTGGAATGTTGAGACTTCTGAGAAAGGCAGACACGTAGCAACCACTAGATTATCGCATCGAAGAATCCAGTCAGGGTGATAAAGACACCACTGTAATCGTGCAAGCATGTGAATAGATGTTGCAATGTAAAGTTGCATAAGAAATATTGACAAGCGGTCTGCCCGCTGCACTACACGTGCTTATTAAAACCACCGGCACCACACATCGAACCCCGAATTAATTTTTCAAAACCTAATAGGAAATATGAGCGAAAAGAGGCGAAATACGTCTGGAAATGGCCGCCCGCCAGCTTGGAAGGTTGGCTCATGTCTACGGTGGAACATAGTTTGCAGCGTAGAATTGAGGATACAGGAAAGCTGACGATAGGATCTCGAGGTTTGCTTATAACAAATGCCGTATCGCGAAAGCACAAAGAAGCCATGCAGGAGTGTCTAACCATATTGCGTGAGGTGTGTGTGTATTTGGGCGTTACGACAATTGCAGCATTGCGAGAGCGTGGATCCGTCTTTCGGCGAAGGTAACAACGGACACGACACATCATCGGATGCTGTAAATGTAGAAGATGCCATAAAAGCTGAGTTGGAGGAAAACAAGAGATTCTTCGACCGCTTTGTACCCGGTCCCTGCCTATCGCAAAACTTGAATGTGGTCCATTTCAAGAACGAAATTGACGTCCCTTCTACATATGTGCGAGACATATTCCATGCCATGTTGAACGAACGTATTTATAAGCCACGATTCCTGTGTCGGATGGTGCCGTACGATGTCGTTTGCAAGGCCGAGGGTGAACCCTTTACAGAGGCCCTAACAGCGCTCGTGGCACGCGAATTTCCATATTCCCAAGCTAATGGTATTTTGGAGAAAGGTATGTTACACATTTAACGTTTAATTACGTTTAATAGACGATGAAAGTGAGCCTTCCACCTGGTCCGTCAGCTATGCGTGCCGTAACTCAAATGCTTTGAAAAGACAGGATGTGCTGGACTTGGCGGCGCAGTTAGTCGGTAGAAACTATCGTGTAGACCTTCGTGCACCGGATAAATTGATTATTGTCGAGGTCGTTAAGGTAGGTGTGCGGAATATACACCATAAAACGACGCAGGGCTACTGCGGGCTGGCTGTAATATCAAACTACAAGCCGATAGCTCATTTCAAGCTCAACATATCACGTATGCATTAATGTGGTGTTTGGAGTGGTGGCTTGCACCTATTTAACGTCTTCGCGGCGCGTGTCTACCGTACCAATGGTGTTGGAGGATTCCACGAACGCGGAGGTATGTCGAATGGTTCTTTTGTAACATCAAGCAGAGTCCGACTGACCTAGTGATTCCGGTGGAAGGTGCCTGGTTGGAACATGAGGGTCAGGGAGACGGTGATTGGTACATCCACGAAGGGTCCCAGTGGATGTACAACGCACGTGAAGGGATATATTTCCATGTTGACTCGGAGACTGTAGTCTCATCTGAGGGAAAGGTTCCCATGAACCTTGTTTCCGCACCCTTGGTAGAAGGAAGTTCGGATGCAGATGGTAATGAGGATTCCGCACTTGACGAGGTTGGTGCAATTAGCACCAATGCAGACCCCAATGTTACTGATGAAGAGGCTGGAGATAGGGACATTTCAATTGACTTCGAGAACGATCTTATTGCTGCCACCGTGTGCCGTGAGGTGAGTAAATTTGCCTCTTGAATGATCAATTCCTAGGGTCGATCCGACCGCAAAGAAGGACGTGAGGATTACTATGTGACGAGGGAATGTATGGCAATACATCTAGTAAGCAATTCAGAGGCTTTGTGTTACTACAGTGGCGTCTTTGATGGTCACTGCGGATACAAGTAAGTTTATATATTTACTGAGTTAACTGTCTGGCAGGTGCGCGGAGTATCTAACCAAGCACCTAAAAAACAATATTTTGAGTGTATATCGTCAGGCAGTGCGTTCGCTTAAGTCAAAAGTTGCACAAAAACACTCCCATCCGATTGAATCTCTGGAGGTTCGGGCGCTGTTGCAGGGTTGCACGAAGGGTTTCGAGATGACTGACAACAACTTCTGCAATGTAGCCAAGCAGTACAACATATCCGATGGTTCTACCGCCACTATATCATTGATATATGGCCCTGACGTTGATGGATGTCTGAAGTTGATTACCGCACATACGGGTGACTCGAGGGCAATATTATGCAGCATGGCCGACGATTCCCGATGCTTTGCACAGGCTTTGACCACCGACCACAAGCCTAACGACGACAAAGAACGAAAGTACATCGAAAAGAATGGAGGCACAGTAGAGTTTGCTCAAGGAACATGGAGGTGTGTTGCCCGTTCGCGTGATGGAAGGCCATCTTGTGCCCTTGCTACCTCTCGGGCAATCGGAGATTACCCGTTGAAGTATCCGAATCGTATCGTCTCATCCGAACCGGATGTGTCTGTGTACACTATAAATTTCGACAACGACCTATTTTTGGTACTAGTGACGGATGGCATAACAGCTGTTTTGACGAATCAGGTATCTTCAATCAAAACTTTGTAACGTTTGTCTAGGAAATCATCGATATCGTATGCGAGGCGATAGATGACGAATGTACTGCTGAAGCAGCTGCAGAAAGAGTCGTTTTAACCGCTGAAAAATGTGGTTCGCTTGACGACAAGACGTGTACAGTTATATACTTCGGTTGGCATAAGGACCTGTTTGACAAATGCATACATGACAGGGAGGAAGATTCCTACCGTGAGGTAATTTCTGAATTATGATTTTCATACGTTTCAGTTGTCAAAAATGGACAAATCGGGGCAGGAGTGCGGAGGAGTGGAAAATGACGACATGTTCCTTTCGTGAGGTGTGTGCCTTATCAAAAGCCAACTGGGGGCTCACCTCTGTATAACGGCACAACTAATGTTCTTTCTACATAAATAAGCACGTTAAATGTGACGCCTGGTGATACGTCACGCAATAGCAGTAATCTATCGGATGACAACGACAGCATGGGCCGTTCGGTAGAGCCCGGCGCTGTCGCAAATAAAAGGCGTAGAACGTCCAATACGCCGCAGAATATTGATGAAGACCATGTAGCAGTGTCTGCAGACCGAGATTCCATATCGAATCAGGATGTCGCACAGGTCAATCGTGGATTGAAGGGCAGATCGGATTTCGACGCGCACGGAGATCATGGCGACCGTCTGTTTGGCATTGTACGCAATGTGGCAAACGGGGATGTGCCACCTGCATCCGCAGCAGATGTTTTGCGGAACAAATACCCGGATGCAGCCCCCAACTCGCCCGTGTCTTTTCGCATTCTTGACTGTATTGGATACCTGTTGGAATACTCGGGGTTTCGTCACAATCTAGAGGCATTTCTTGCAGCACTTGAGAGCGTTGGCCTCCTCACGGCGCGTTCAATCGTTGCGGCAATAGACGCCTATAAGTTAGATGGCTGTGGCTACTCTGCAGGATTGACGACAATAGCAATTCGAGAGCGTACTCGCAACCAATTCGTATTGAAGTCGTACGCATTATGGCGCGAGTCTACAGTCGGATTCGATCTTTTGCAGCAGCTCTTGTACCATCAGGAATGGGATGCCGGGGACTTACTGGAGATGGGCCGATTGCGCAATTCGGTTAGGTACATCGCTGGAGAGTATTCATTATGTCCAACTCGCGTGTTGTATGAACTGATTGCGTGGTGTTCGTGGCATGATGGTGAAGCGCTGCTGTTGCTTCTGCAACCGTACCCGAAAGGTCGTGTGGACGAGGTGGTCCGGCTTATGCTCACGCAGAAGTGCATGCTAAAGCAGGAGTACCAAACAGTGAAAAAGCAGCATTGGAGAATTCCTAGTACGTTGGGATTATATTTCCCCAAGTTATGTGCTCGTTTGCTAGTGGAAGGCATCCTGGATCTAAGTACTTTGTACCCTTATCTGGAGCCTGGCGACGCCGATTTGTATAATTTGGGTTCCCACTTCGTATCTGTTTCCAAGCGCATGCCGAGCAAACTGGAGCGAAACGAAACGCCAGTAACGTACTTGATACCGCTGGCCAATTGCAGCCATGGTGATAATGCACTACGCCAAATGTTGGATACCGCATCTGTCGGGAAACTATGCACATCTGCTTTGTTGGATCCTACCACCATAACCAGTGCCCGCGAGCTGATACACATGCGTCATGCGAAAGTGATGGAGCACATTCGTACCTCATCTGCAGCCGCTTCACAGAACACCTTCGGAATGGCATCGTGGAATATGTCGGGCAAATTCCGCAGAAGTGGCCCCGCGAGCAACTCAATATCTTCCAGTGGGGTATCGAATTCATTATACAAATTAGAACAAATGCAGTCCGTACCGGGAACCATTGACGTTGTGAAGTACAATCTGCTTGATTCTGACGGATATGCTTACGTGAAGGATCACATATTCGCCTTGGAATGCGACAAACTGTCTGTGTTATCGCACTTAGTTGATTTCTCCTGCGACCTTGAATCTCCTGCTTGGATCCTGGGAAAACAGATGTTGGGCCATATTCAGTTGACTGCTAAATTCCCGATAGTACTGCATGGTGGCATTTGTAAGGCTATGTGCAACATGCTATTGCGTTTAATTGCGAAGCACAAAGCAGCGAATAATTGGGATAGAGGTATGGACCAAATTGAGAGGGTCATGAGGATCATTGGCCCCGGACTGCATGTGAACCTTATATGCTTTTCCGCCACGATAAAATTTCTTCAACAGTGTTTAGAAAGGCATGTTGATCGTGTTTGTAGGATTGTGTGGCGTTATTTGTTACCTGCGCTATGCATGGTAGTGGAGGGTAACTGCCAAGTCGCAGATAGGCTGTGGAATCTTTTATCAAAGATACCGGCATCAAAGCGTTATAGGATATATAGTCTATACCTTTCTAGGGTTTTGGATTCTAGATCGACTGCGGGTGATGCCTGGGCGTGTATGGTCAGAACGTCCTATAATTGCGCCTTGGTAAAGACAAGGGCCATCTTCAAACGTGTTACCGCCACAATGCTGAAAACTACAAAAAGCGCATCTGTGCGTGGTAATGTATCGACAGTTTGCGGGTTGTCTGCGGTAGATCCTTTTGCTGTAGCTCATACGATAGTGTCGCAGTGTGAAATGTTCGAGAATCTGGTGCTTCCGCTGTCTGAGGTAGGAAAGTACTTTGGGCATCTGGCATGCGATGTGTTTTTCTTCAAGTTGACTGCAAACCAGAACCAGGTTTGTTTCAGATGCACCGCCGAGGTGGACGACGTGGGCCGCAGTAAAAGATTGTTGGTTAACGCGCAATTGGCTTCTCGTTTCTTCAGACGCCACATGGATGTAGATTTAGCGCCCATACTTGTAGGTGCGCTGACAATTTTACAGCGCAGCATGATGATTAATCAGTTTGATATCGTTCCTAGGTCTTCTGAAGAAGGTGGCGATATTCCGATGGCGTTCTCAAAACGTTCGATAAAGCTTAAGCCTATAGATACGGGTTCTCGTCTGGCGTACCCGCATGAACTTTCCCACGGTTGGCTTGCGTTGGAATATGTAAGCAAACTTCTGGAATTGGTAGGCGGTGTGCCTCAGCTCGCTGAAGCTCATGCATTGACCATTGACCAACTGAATGCACAAGGTGGTGGTGTGTTTTTGCGCAGTGAGATTATGACCCAAGATCCGGATGACGAAACGTGTGGTATGTCGTCTCGTGAGAATTTGGCGAAGATTATGTTAAGACCATTCTTTTCCCATTCCTTACTCTTCCTGTGTGGCAAAATGCGCCAAGAGGTCATGTACGATTCCGAGTTCCGTGCTGGTGTTGTATATCTTTGTGCCACTGTGGACCACCTACAGAAGATGGCACTACAGTTTGTTGAGTTTAGAGAAGCTGTGGATACGATCGTAAATCGTGGGTTAGGGTCGGATTCCTTTGCGCTGAAATTTAGCTTCCCGTCATTCGATGATCTCCGTCGCTTCTGGGATGAGGCCAATGCACTGTATTTCTCACATAGCTGTGCCAATCCTCCAGCGTCACATTCCAACGCTCTGTCGCACACGGCTTTTAAGCCCGAGTTTCTGGAATTTGTTACGAACATTCATCTACGTGATATTTGGGTGCCTATAGAGCAGTACCAGAAGACCTTACAAAGGTTGGAAGGTTGGATAAAGGATATTGGGTCGCCTCACTCTAGCGGCTCACACCGTCGCCTTAAGAAGCTTCGGTCGCGTTACCAGGCCTTGGAACGTGAGGTAAAACAGCAAGAAGAACACGTTGCAAACACCAAAGTGCGATTCGAAGAGGCCGTATCCGCAGGATGGCTTACTGCTGACGCACAGATAGGTCCAGGCGTCACCATTGCCTTTTTGAAGCATTGCATTGTGCCCCGTGTATTTGTGAACGAAGCAGAGGCTGCATTTTGCGGGCGTTTGGTTGATCTGATGCTTTCGTACCGTTTGGAATGCTTTAACTTCTTCGATTTCAGTAATTGTTGGACAAAGATGCTTATGTCTATGGTACGGTGCTGCACTGAGAGGGAAGCCCCTTTGTTGGCTATATTCGTAAACCACATGTTCGGCGTAATTAGAGAGTGGAGCAGCAATGCAGCACTCTTTGAAGGCATGACAAGAGGACACCCATGCTTCTGTACGACTTTCAAGTATGTCCCCGACAAGGCATTGACGCACCAGCAGCTATTGGGCGGCATTCGTAAATGGGAAGGGCGTATAATACGCGCACTGAGCTATGCGTTGACGCTCCACATACCTGAATCAGACGGTGGCTCATCCAAATCGGATACCCAGGTATCCGCACCTACGTGGGTTGACCAAAAAGGAGCCGTAGTGTTTCTAGCACGCTGTCACGAGAGTTTTCCCATTACTTCTACAGCAGGAAAACGTGTGCTAACTGGTTTGAGATGTGTTGTTGAGAGTGCACAGAGGCAGGGGTGGAAGGACGTTGTGGCCGCCGCAAGCACACTATTAAAAACGTTTGAGAAGTACGAAAGAAACAACAAATGGCTGTAATGCGTCACTTTGGCACGTACGCTTTCTCCACTTCTATCCCGCTGTGGGACAGCTTTATCGCAAACGAATAGGTATTAGGTGTAATAAGGCAGCATTTGCCCGGTAGTTCATCCATAATATTTGTTACGGCGCCATCTCTAGACTAGCTGCGATACTACAACTTGTCACAGTATCCAGCACTTTGTGACTTGTGGGTTGGAAATGGCACGGTTACCTCCCGTGTTGTGCTACGTTGGAATCTGTCCACGCTGCAGCACGAACGATCGTTAATCTGATCATATAATATTGTCGTACGTCACTACATGATGTTGCAGCTGTTCGTTGAACGGATAGGGTTAAATGCAAATTGCAATTTTGCTCTCCATTTTATAGTAAACAGCATACAAATTTTCTACGCTTCATTAAGCATTATGTAATTTGGTTTATTTACCGTAAGTGCGCAGAGTGGGTCGACAACCCAGTCAATTGGACACACTCTTAAGTTTGTTTCGCTGCCTTTTATACCACCCTTTCGATCCAGATGTCTTCTCTGCTTGTATTTCTCTGTATTTCTTCCTTGTCCAGGTCTGGTCAGATGCCAGCGTCTCGGAAAGCACAGAAACACCCCTGCTTCGCCTGGAGTTTGCCGCACCAACGGCCTGCGATTCTTCTCCGGCCCCAGCCTTCACCCCTGACGATCTTGTTAGGATCCCCACCTGGTAACGCCGCGGGAGGGGTTCCAGCTTTCCACTCTTGTTACCCTTATAGAATTTTTTAGGGTCCATGAATCCCCTTAACTGTATTGCCCGCCATTCACGTTCATCCTGAACAGTTGGTTCACGTTCAGTTAGAGGGTCCCACTTTTGTTCCAGCTCCTTACGTAATTCGCCGTGGGTTTTCGACTTTTCTGTCACTGGCTCTGCTGACAATGCGTCACCCGGCGCCAGGGCATTTGAGAGACTCAAATTTGTGTCCTCATCTTGTGTTACATCTTCCGTAGCACTCGTTGGCTGGAGTTTGCGCACTATGCTTGAAAACGCACCAGCATAAGTGCTAAGAGCAATTTCATCGTCATCGGCCATGTTTTACAGACCCGTGATCGCAAATTGCAGACACTAACGCACATATAATCCGTGGCTTGCCCACATTATAGGTATATCGCCAATTTTACAACTGATATAGGAACGTCTTTCTTACTTCTGTACCAGATATAAATATCAAAACGCTTAACGGCATCGAAGCACCTGCTTTATTTTGCGGGACTCACCACAACCTTGGCGCGAGTGGGAAATGTCTTGACGAACGAGAGTCTTCTGTATACGTGCCTTCGTACGGCTGATATAAGAATATCAAACCATCGATTCATATATTTAGAATTGTAATCCAATGCGGGTGTGTAGATGAAGTGTAGAACAGCAATGACATACGTCTTACATATTCTCTGCCTATAGTACACAGCCTGACAAAACGACATCGCAGGAGTGTGTACCGCTGTTCATCTTACAAAGACAACACATCGCAATGTACCAGGTGAAATTATGGCCTTTTAGATGCGTATTCTTGACATGTTTTGCCTATATAACAGCATCAGTTCTTTTGGCGGAGGCGGATCTTCCTATACACGCACTGACTGTAAGTTGAATGCGAACTGATGGAGCGCCATTCGTGCACATGTACTACTTATATAGCCATTACTAATCGATGTGTATGTATGGTTAAGTACACATTTGACGCAGAGCGATGTTCTAGGCGTATGGCGTATCTTAGAAACTGAAACGTTTCACGATAAGCCTCAAACATGTGGCGGATCGTTACCTAATCGCAATTGGGATAATTTAAAACTTGGAGATTATCGGCGTTATCTCCAGCGTGGATATGGCAGCCTTCGTGAGACTGTGGTCGAGCTGGTTGATGAGCGCCATTACCGAAGGAGTGAACTTCCTCCTAGGAATCAATGGCGTTACTTGGGTGTTCGCGATCCCAAATCCGGGCACGGCTTTATAGGACAATGGTGTGTTGTTTACTTTTTGATGTGCACTTCTTTTCAGGACGTTGGTCTATGACGAAGGTCTCGACATAGACATTGGTCCAACCCGTTACTTTGGATTTTTCAAGTACGCAAAGATCGACACTAAGGATTGTCCTATGGTGTTAGAAGGTACGATAAGGGCACAATTAATCACATAGATGCCAGGAAGCCAAGAGGATTCCCACGGCAATGTGCAGTGTTACAGGACAACCGCGTCGGAAATCGGGATTGGTTGGGCCACTAGGAAGGTCTTTAAGAACGGGAAACCGAATTATACGTATGGTTGCTTCTACGCCGAAAAGATCAAAGACGACAAACGCCATTCATACGTGCTGGATGAATCCTCCAGTGCAGTGTTACGAAAAGGGAAACCCAGGTAACGTCTCCTATATTATACGAAACAATTAACACAGTTTCAACCAATGGTTGAAAAGGGATTATTTGGAGTTTAGAGATTTGTCTCCTTTCCGATTCTTGCAACTGCACAAGGGTACTTGCTTCAAGAGCATACATCACTCTCATTTATCGGAATGTTCTACAGCCGAGGGCCATTTAGCCAATCGATTTATGCAAAAAGGTATGTTGATACCATAACTATTCACATTGAATCTAAGATGCACATCACAAATACGCATGCAAAGTTGTAACTGAGGCTGCCGAATACTATGGTGAGATTGATCTACCACGGCACTGGTCCTGGGGGGACGCTTTCTCTGGTGAAACAGATACCATCCAACCTTTCAGCCAAGGTGAGTTATATGAACTATTCACATATGCCTGTCAATAGGTCAATGTGGCAGCTGTTATGCAATGGCATCCATTTATGTGCTGGCTAGGCGCTTTGAAATTATACTCCGAAAGCTCTACCCGGAAAGCAATTGGGAACATACTGAGCGACCCTCGGTTCGCGATATTGTGGAATGCTCTCCGTTTAATCAGGGATGCCTCGGTGGATTCCCATTTTTGGTAGGCAAGCATCTTACAGAATTAGGTGTTTTGAGTGAGTCGGATTCCCCCTATACGATAAACCTAGAGAGCGGCACGTCGAGCTGCCCGGTTAAACAAAGCAACGCCGACGACAGATGGTTTGCAGCATCATATGGGTATATTGGTGGCTGCTACGAATGCACAACTGAGTTTGAGATTATGAAAGAAGTATACCACCACGGACCTGTCGCCGTGGCTATCGACGCTCCACAAAGTCTTTTCAACTACTATAACGGTTAGAACTTCATCATACAATATGCACATTGTGTAGGAGTCTACGATGATGAGCCAGCCAACCATGGATCCAATTGCGACCTGCCGCTTTCCGGTTTGAACGGTTTGTCTGAAACGCATACGACCCATATTTTTCAGGTTGGGAGTATACGAACCATGCTATTATTATAGTTGGATGGGGTGAGGAAGATGTGGCTGGCATTCCTACCAAGTTTTGGGTCTGCAGAAATACGTGGGGCAGCGATTGGGGAGTTGGAGGTTTTTTCAAAATGAAGCGCGGCGTAAACTTATGTGGCGTTGAGTCACAAGCTGTGTACATCGACCCGGACCTCACCCGCGGCGTTGCTGCGCGACTAGTGAAGAGCCTGACTTAAAGAATATGACGTCGCTATATCATCTATCGCATGCACAAAAACGACCTTGCAATCATGTCTACTGCAGGGTTACACGTTATATAACTAATTTAAGATCGGCGATAAGTCTGCTTTTATACTAATAGGTTTAAAAGGCCTGTAATACGTATTGAATTATTTCGTTGCTACCCTTAACGAAAGGTTGCTTTTATGTCGTTAAAGTTAAACACGCCAAGTCTGGTTTTGTGCATCAAACATATCACACGAAACCTTTGGCGTCGCTTAATATTCTTCCGCTGTTGAGCTCGAAAGCACCCCAGTCAATTGCCCCATTTTCGTCGTCGTCGAGTAAGCTGAATATGATGTCGACCATCTTGCAATTTTTCGAATTGACGATAAACATAAAGTCTGATTTGGAAACTGAGAAATCAATGCCGTTCTCGTTTTTCTTTCTTTTCAGCGTGAGGTCAAAGAACCGCCTGCGCATATGCTCGTATTCGTCGATTGACGCATTGTGGAAGGAGTCATACTCCCTTAGAGAATCATCCAAATCATGTTGTATAGAACTGAGCTTGTTAATTAAGTGATAGGTAATCGTTTTAACGGCGTCCGTTAACTTAGATCTTTGGGGAAGCTTCAATCCGTTCAATATTTCCACCACGGACTCCTTGTCGATGTTGTGTTCTTTGACCATCTGCATGGTTAACTCATCAACATTATGTATTCCTTTTGCGATTATTTTTATGTTGAACTGCTCACCATCAGTGAGACAGCTTTTAACAAAAGCTTCACGGGCTTTCAGCTGAATCACTTGCCTATCGAGTCTGAATAACCCCTCAAATATACTTGCCAACCTGTTCAGTGAGTCATTTGACTCTGCACTAACTTTTGTCACAGTCATTCCTGCATTAATTTTTTCTTGATATTCGTCCGTCGGCCTTTCTTTGCGATTCAGGCATGTGAAAGGCGTACATAGACCCAACCAATTCTCAGCATACTCCTTTTTTTCGGCAGACATTATGCGCTTCGGGATTTACATCACAAAGAGCTAGTTTGTATCATAGACCACCGAATTCGTTACATTGGGCTTTTAAGTCGACGCAGGTTCCACAAAATACGTTGGTGTGTACATGGCCTATGTGTTCACAATTAGCGATCCATATCCTGAATCAAACTCCGTAATCATGCTCGTCGGTTACCGATGTATTTTGTGTGCCTATGTAAGTAGTTGGAACCTGATTTCAACTTCTATAATGCGTGTCCAAGATGCAGAAAGTACATGGCGTTGATTCTGTTGAGCGCCTATTAAAACTGCCGTTATTTAAAAAATGATTTCCGTTAGATGGCACGCTGCCCGAAATCTAAATACTTATCGAGTTTATTCGTATGATCTTGTCCCTACGGGAAGCTGTACCGTACCCAGGGTTAACATTCAAAACGTGGCATATGGATCCGGTGCACATTGGCAAACGATTCAAAGTCACTTATACGCCTCTTTTATTAGATGCAGTGCCACAATGTGATGTGTAATGGACACGTATATGTGAAAAGTTATAACATCTTCGGCCGCGATGTTTTTTGCACGTCTGAAACACGACCCATAGACGCCTCTTTTATCTCAAAAATCACCCCTCTCAGTTTATATCCACTGCAGGCACGTTTCCTGCCATTTTCTCACCAAGCACACAATGGTTTTTCGATGGGCGGAAGTTAAGAAGAGGCTTATTTTTCCTTCAAGGTGTACGCTCTTATGCAGCAAACATCATAGATATAATCGCATTTGTCGTCACCATGGCATATCATTTTATAATGTGCAAAAATGATATCTTCCGTGTAAAAATTGACTGCTCCTTCTGGGCATGGAATTTACACATCACGCTGTCTATAGTGCAGCTCTAGGAAGAAGCGTCGATTGAAGCCCACGTTGAACCATGAACATTAACAACTTTATGCAACTGTACTAGGTATTTGAGCGTGTCAATTGTGCTACTTCGTACTTACCTTTTATCAATGCAGTTGGCGGCCGCCTCTATCTCGCGTCGCATCCTCCACTGATGTTACGTATATGGCGCCTTCCGTCATTTTAATGCTATTATTATAGATTGTAATAGGTTATATAATCTCCAGCTTGGTTTTAGAGCGACGTTTAATCGCTGACTTGTCCAACGCCGCAAGCCCTGCAATGGGCCATTGAAATAAGTCTTCGTCCGTTTTTGGCGATGGATGTCAGCGGATTCGGAATCGCCCGTGACGTTCGCAAGCAAACATCTGAAAGCTCGGAATTTCCCACGCTATGTGAGACCTGCCTTGGGCCAAATCCGCTTATACGGATGTTGAAGGAACGTTGCGCAAAGGAATGCAAAATCTGTGAACGGCCCTTTACAATGTTCAGATGGAAACCGGGTCCGAAGGCACGTTACAAGCAGACAATAATTTGTCAAAATTGTTCTAAAATAAAGAACGTATGCCAGACATGTCTCTTCGACCTCGAATACGGTTTGCCAGTACAAGTGCGCGACGAGTTTTTGAAAAACGGTATCGAACTTGCAGAAGCCAAAGCCAATCTAAACCACCAGCTTAGCAAGCTAGAAAATGGTACACTTGAGTTGCCTCGGTCTGAGACGAACCCTATGTTGGAGAAGCTGGCGCGGGTTGCGCCTTACTATCGCAGAAACAAGCCACGAGTATGCACATTCTGGTTACGCAATGCATGTAACCGAGGCGAAGAGTGCCCGTATTCGCACGACAATGAAGATCTGCATTATCACGATGCGGCGCTTGCAAAACAAAACATTAAAGAACGTTTCCACGGCAAAAACGATCCTGTCGCTGCCAAAATTTTGAAGCGTATAGACGATTCAAAGAAGGAACCGAGTGAAGAACCAAACACGCAGGTTAAAGATGGCATTTACCCATCGATGCTTCCTCACGAGGCGCAGCGGCGGCGTTGATTCAGTGTCAATCCAGGAGCACATATGGCCATGACAGATGTTAAATGTAACTACAGTACGTTAAATTGCTTTTCATTAGCGTCGACATTGCCAGTTGTTATCAACACTCCGAGTAGCGTGGTGGCCCTGCTGTGTTGTACGCGTAGATCTCATTTCTTTGCACCGGATGTCCGGTGACAGCCCCTTAGTGTACAGATGGGGTTTCATCATCAATTTGTTTATCCGGCTACCATATCTTGCGCAGCTCCGCTGTCCCCAATTTGCCGAATCTTCGAAGAAACATGCCCTTGTTGACTAGCGAATATTGATCACACGGCAATGGGAACATATCAAGCCGAATGACGTTTACAATTTTGCACGATTTAGAGTTCATCCTTGTCGCCGTTATTTCCGCAGGGTAGTTGGCTTGTATGATGTACGCTACGATAGAAAATCTCGGTGGACGGCATGGTCGCCTGCAATCCACGAACTATCATCGACCAAATACACACTGTATATAGTGCTACATACGATGCCGGAAATCCCAATATCCAGCAGCTTGAGGCGCACTGCGCCAAAACCGCGACATAGAAGAGCTTGGAAGGGCCGTAAAAGACGTGAAAATCTGTATAGCCTATGTAGACGACGAACACGGCGACACTGAAGATCAGACTGTATACGTTTAAGTGATGTGCGAATACGGCTATTGATTTTGCCAACTTCATGGTTAAATTATGTCTAGTGTGTTGCGCCTTCGATGATCCTCCTGTGGCTCCATAGAACTGCTTAGAATCACAATATCATCACCGATATGAAGCGGAATAAACGTGCGTTCAATGCTACTATAATCGATAATGATGAACTGAATATTATATCGGGAAAACGCGGCGATGTGTCGGACATTGATCAGACGGAATATCTCGCTCCCCTGGATGAATCTGACGCCGATGATGGGCCTGTTGTTGTTAACGCAGCGGAAGTTTTGGCTGGTATGCTATTTATCGATGGAATCATCACGTTTTCAGGCATATCAAACAGGGTAGAGGAACGCAGACGTTCACCAACGCCTCCACGTCGCACACTACTGTAAGTGCTTGCTGCTTCATTATGGAAAACGTAGAAACGATGATGACGATGTAATATATCGTGACAAGAGCGGAAGGCGGATCACCCGCGAACAATGGCTGCTGCTTCATGAGAAACGCAAAGCTAAGACAGGGCGTGCAGAATCGACTCAGGAGCTTTCCTGGGGAAAGGGGCTTGTGCAGAAGGTGAACCACGAAGCACAGGAGGCTGAGGAGCGTAGACTGGCGCAACAGCCCTTAAATCGCTATGACATCGACGAAGAGTACGATAGGGAACTCAAGGCTCGAAGCCGTTGGAGCGACCCTATGTTTTCCTCAGAGTTGCCGCATTCAGGTATTCCGTTACTGAAAGGGGTTCATTTTGTGTCAGATGGCGACGCTCCTAAGTGCCGATTCGTCGGCGTTCCAAACAGATTCAACATCGAGCCCGGCTACCGTTGGGACGGCGTTATCCGAGGTAAGGGATACGAGGAACGTTGGTTTAAGGTACGTATTTGTCACGTTTTACGGACTTCACAAGCAAATAGGCGGAAGCTAGCAGAAAGGCGAAACAGCAGGAGAGATACTTGAACAATATTGCGGACATGTAGCCGCCTTTCACTTCTCCATCGAGTAGCTATTAGCGCATGCCGGGCACACACATCGGACAATTATATCGTAAATTACTAAAATGTTTGGCGTTCGGCTTCTCTACTAGTGTATTGTCCAGCCTTGCGCGTTGGTGGTGGTGCTTCCGCTTCTACACGCTACCTCATTTCACTGAAGCTAGCCAGTAAGACACCATGTTTACGCCTTATTACTATGACTAGAAGTTCCGGTGCCCGCTATTTGCAATGGCCGTGGGCGTGTGTTAGACCCATCTTATTTGCGCGTAGCTCGGCTGCCATAGGCCTTCATCGAGGGGTAGCCAATACGCAATCGCTGTCGTGGAGCAACGTTTTGAAGCATAAGCGCCAATTTTCTGGCTCCGTGAAGGAAGTGAACCCCGTTGTGCAAATAGACGCTGAGGGAAGTAGGAAATTCGTGTATGACAACTTCGGAAGGTTACGTGTATTCATCAAGTTTCTCATCTTCCAGAGCGTACCTCTTGCGATATTTGCTTACTGCTATCGTAGGTTCGAGCGGGAACGCCAGGGTCTATATTCAGTCCCTCTTGAATCAGTGGATGAAGCGCTGCGTCATTTGTGGTCTATTACACGGAACGCGAACTGTTTTCTCCACGTAGGCGGCAATTTTTATATAGTTAATTACTCCGCGGGGTCTGATCCGGATTTTCATGCTGTAAATACGGTTGAAGGGTTTATAAGCAGATTTCAGCGGGACCACCGTGACGCACTGCGGAACATATACGTGTCGTACCCCAATGATAGTAACATTGAAAATAGCCTAGAATCGGAAAACAGCGTTGAACTCTTGTTTTACAACCAATCGTTGGATTCCTTCGCCTCAGTAAAAGCCGCGGTGCATGTAATTACGGATCCAGATCATAGAAAGCTGGCCTGGAATCCCAAACTGGGGCCTGACACGAACAACCTACTGCTTCTCAACACGAAATCTGTACGTATAGGATTCGGAAACAACAACAACAAGTTTATTTCATTTGAAAACAAAGGCGACTGGATCTTGTCAAAATGATGGAGGACTTTTTGAAGATAGTTGTGCTTATAGCACTATTCGTATGTCCGGCGCTTTGGCTTATGTCAGCATTCCGCGCCAGTAAAACGGGTCCTACTGTGGTTATGTGCGGACCAAGTGACGCTGGCAAAACCGCATTAATGGTATATTTGGCCAGGGGTAAACATGTTGAATCGCAAACATCGCAAGCCGTCAATACGATTTCGTTGACTACGAAGAGGGGTGCCGTTACCGTGATAGACACTCCAGGTAACTTTAGGTTGCTGCCAGAAGCAATGAAGTACATCGAGCGTGCCACGTCATTAATATTCGTAGTTGATTCTGCGGATAAGCACAGTTTCAAAATGGCGGCACAGCAACTGGTGGATATTCTGCTGAACGCAAAGGTTGCGGCTAACGACCCATCCTTGCTTTTCGTGGCAAATAAGACAGATGTATTGGGATCCAGAGACCCTGAGACTGTCCTCCATTTTGTTCAATTAGAAGCAGAACGCATTTTGAAGGCCTACAAAAGCGAAGCACATATGAAAAACATCCCACCGGACTCTATGCATATTTTAAACCGTCTGTCGCAGGAAAATTTCTCAATATATAACACAACTCTGCAAGTTGCTTTGTGTGGAGTATCCGTGAAAGCAGGCGACGTAACTGATGTCCTCTCGTTTGTCGAAAAACACTGACGGAGACTCTCAATCCTGTATAGAACAACTGAGATAATTAAGACATCCTCTGCAAAATATATTTCACTCTAATATGCTGGATGCTGCACTGTTTTTTAATGTATAGGAGTGAATGTACTTGTGCGTGCGTGGCATGAGTATCGTGGTTGAATGTATAGTGGGCTCACATTTGTCGCTCTAACATATTGAATTTCTTGTCCCGTTGAGCCCTTTTAGTGTCAATTAACCTGCACGTAGTCCTCCTAGCTGAGGATAATAACTAAGCACATCTTCACAGTAAGGTACCACCAATTTAGGGGTAATCGATGTCACCTTGTATTGGTACCAGAATATATGCTGTTTTAAGCTCCCGAATTCGGGGAATAGAAACGACCGTGTATATGTGAACGTCTGAAGGTCTCACGGTATGTTAAAAGTTAGTTGTCAGATGGATGAAGAAGTTTAGATAACTGATCGCACGGCGCGGCCATTACATCAGATTTTGTGCCGAATTGACTTATCTTCCCCTCATGCATCACCTTCACCCTATTAGATTGCATTGCTGGGAACGTACCATAATGTAGTCAGCCAGTGATATCAGCTTGGGGCGATGAGTGATGACTATGGCAGTTTTTTGCCTCAAAAACTGAACTCAGGTGTCCATTCATTTCATATATCTTACTTTTGCAAGGCTTCGGTTTAGTTGCTGCTCCGATTCGACATCCAAGGCTGATGTCACCTCATCGAGAAGTACAAGTTTGGGATGGCGTGCGAATATCCTTGCTATGGAAACTCTCTGTCGTTGTCCTCCTGTACGTGGGTTTAATTCGAGTGAACACACGTAAACGAACCGCTCAGACCCTTCCCCATCTGCCCCACTACGGTTTTGTCACCGTCTGGCATAGAGTTCACGACCTCCATGAGGCCAGACCGATTGTATGAGTCTTCTAGATCCACCTCTTCACGATCATTCCCGTACAAAACATTGTTTCTGATGGTTTCGTTGAAAAGCGCCCCCTGTTGTTCGACCCATCCACACTGAGCACATATTTTTAAGAACAGATGTCAAACACCGACATACCAGCGATCTGAATTCCTTGATGTCAATGTCGCTAAGAGGCACGCCATTTACACATATGCTACCGGCATTCGGTGCATATAAGCCAAGCAAGACTTGGATTATCGAGCTCTTCCCGCAACCGCTTTCCCCCAAAACAACCATTGTTTTACCAGATGGTAACACGAATGAAATTTCACGTAGGATTGCAGAGTCCGGCCTCGACGGATATGAGAAAGATACGTTCTTGAATTCAATTTCCGGAGATATCGAACTGAGGGGATACTTCGACTTCGATGGAACATCTTCCCCATCCATATGAGAAGCCAACGTCACACCTGCTCCTATGCACTTGCGGATTTCAGCGATGCTAGAAGTGCAGCTTTGTAAAGAACCGCCGACCAGTGCAGTGTACATAAGCAACGACGTGACATCACCGATTTGCATGGTGCCATCCAATATAAGCGAAGCGCTTTTGTTAACCGTGAGAATTATCAACGATCCCACTGCACCAACCGCAACAAAATTCATGCTCGCATTATAGAATGCAACTTTGACGGAGGCATTGAAAAGGTTGCGCATCTAAGAGGGGTTTCAGAAGATAATTTAGGTAAACACACCTTCTCTGCGAATGCCGTTTGCTCGATCGGCTCTGCATTGAAAGCTTTCACTGTTTTCATATGTGAAATTTTTTCCTCTGTATGCGATATCAAGGTTGCGAGGCGCCGCATTTGTATAGCAGTCTGCCTCTGAACACACCTCGAAAGTGGCAGAATCATTAACATAAGTGCTATAATTGGCAGCATGGTTTGCACCATTAAAGACACTGGAGCTAATTTCAGCGAGAAGTATGTTCCGACGACGAAACTGGCGGAAGCCCGAACCATTTGGCAGAGGTGATCTATTATTCCGGCTGCCACTGCTGTATCAGTAGAGATCACTGAGGACAGTTTCCCAGAAGAATGTTTGTCAAAAAACCCGACGTCTCTACGAAGCATAGATGCATACAAGTCTTCACGCATTCTCCTAGCCATTCTTAGGCTTGCTAAACCTGACAACAGACACTTCATAAAGGATGCTACAGCCGCGCCTATAACAAAACACGAGCCTTGCATCATGCTAGGTACGTTATCCGTCGAAAAACTGTTAATATAAGTACCAACCACGGAAGGGAATACCGTTATGAGTGCACTTGAGGCAAGGAGTGCAACGAATGTTGGCACCACGAATGGCCATTCTTTTACCATACAATCAAAAATACATCTCATGCCACGTCTGTTCTCCACGTTATTTATTAATCCTATTCGTTTCCGTTGCTTGTCATCGGGTCCTTGTTCCTTACGTGTCGCGGTAGATAAGGTACGTAGGCTTAATATGCTCCTGCTTAAGAGAATTTGATTTCGTGCATTGGACCACTGGAATGATGCAATAGTTGGTACAGGAGTCTTCAATACACCATGCAGCTGAAATTTTCCTGTTCTGTAGCAGGGTGATAAGATATTGGCGCAAGAGACAGTAACAGGGCGATACGTACGACAGGTATGATTTTTCGTTGCGTTTATCGAACTCCTGTCACAAAACAGTTTGCCAGCGATGGAATTACGCAGTTTCCACCAACAAATGAATGTCTTAGTAGCCATCGTAATAAGCCCATTAGTATGTTGTAAATGCTACAGCAGGTGCGTCAATTTCAATGTAGGCAGGCCATACTAAACCCTTTAAATACCTAACCATGTTCCAAATTAAGTCCAGTGGCATTTTTGAGAGACTATATGGCATCCACAGATACACAACCCATCCTACGTAAATAAAATTATGGATTCTAATTTGATGCCGCCTAAAAGACGTTTACATTCTGCATTTATTTGACATTACATTCAACATCTACACCGTAATAAACAATGTGTGCCTTCTGGCGTACATGGGAATCACTTTCATTGATTGGATCACAGAGGTAAACTTTTAGCCAGTAAGCGACCACGTAGCACTGTCTCTCGCCCCCTGATCTTACCATGAACTATTCCTAATTTGCTCATTGTCACGGTTTATAGTATGTGTCAGCGTCAACCGGCATTAATTCACATATCTGGTTTGCCATGCAGGCCTGCGGATGTGTATCCATCAGGGGTCAATCAGACATCGGGGATATAATCGTATAAATTTTCGTTTTAACCTTACATTTAAAATCACCGTTAAACTACTGCTTTGGATTTTATGGTAATGTGCAGTTCGTTTTAGTTATTGTCGGATGCGTTTATTATACGCCCGTTTTCCACACACTTCATCAATTATACGCGAAACTGAGTCTCCAGTAACAAGGGATACTATAAATATAGGTCATAAACGTCGTACGAGGTTTTTGTAATTCGATATTTCGGAGGCTGGCCACGCGGGGCAGCAAACAGAATGTGTCTCGCTGCGTTATGTCATATGGCAGGTGCTTCGCTACCTTGAAATGTGTAACCTGCTAATCGTCCACACCGTAATCTTGTATGGTGTGAAAGCAATGTGTAATTGGCAGATACATTGAAGCTAATTATTAGGGTCAATGTCGAAGATGGTGGAGTCCGTTCCAAAGGAGCCGGTTTATAGGCAACCGAATGTGGCCGAACTGCTGGCAAATCTCACTGAACAGCAGACGCATCTGATGGAAACGTACAAAGGATTTCTAGATTCCATGCGCCTGGAAACCAACCTACAAGAAGCTGAGGGGAAACTCAGCGGACTCAAAAAAGCTGGTGCAGAACTGATAGCGCTTCAGAAGGAACATATAACGAAACTGTTGATCATGCTATACCCTATATTCCGAGTTGTGATGCCCCCATCGCAATTTGAGGAGGATGCATGTATTCAGATGTTAGGCAATAGAACGCAGCTCGAATCATACGATTTAGTAGAGTTGTCATGTGTCTTACGGTGTTACTTCGCCAAGCTTGCTATATATGTTCATCACATGGCAACATTTGTGAAAGATTGGGGTGCATACGAACATGCAGTATCGACAGATCCTAACTTGCACCATGGCGCTGACTTCCGAACTAGGGATAGTCCTGAATCAACGAAACCTTCCAGGACACCATTTAACGCAAAACAGCCGTATTCAGGCAACACCCACAACACGGAAGAAACAAGGGTTTGTAGGCATGGCATGTCAGATGCCGGTGTATGGGCAACTTCACCACGAGATCTCTCAAACCTGCCAATTGTAACTAATGTGAAGCGAGGCGAAAGCATAAACTGTCACGAAACTTCGGAATTCTCATGCGAAAGACTTTTGTCCGATTTGCATTATAATGATGAGATTACCCATCACCTTCCCGTCGAATACCCGGAGGCTCAAAACCATGCTCCTTTGTATGATGTCACCGATTCACGACGTGTATATTACAACCGCAAACCCTATGGACTGATGGATTTTCACGACGGTGGTGATATGGAGTACGTAGAGGACCATTTACACCGCCTTAATCACACAGAGGCTGCACTGTACACTGACTCTGATCGTCTTGAAGATTGCCTAGAAAAGCGTCTTGCTCACGAACTTGGCATACCTGATATTGTGGGCGAATATTTGTATTCTCAACGTGAATCGTCGGACGTCGAAACTGGAACTTTACCCGATGTTACCGCCCGGAAGCTACCTTTGAGGGTATCGCATTGTATTCACGATGGCGTAACAAGGGATGGGGGGTGTATTGGAGATTCGCGTTTATCTATAGATATGAGTAAACAGGAAAGCGAAGCGATTCAGCCTGTAACAATGCGTTCTGCCCTTGGTCCTCCGGATCAGGTATCACAACATGATGAATTGGAATGGGAAAATAAACACCTGCAAGCTAATGCAATGAAAAATGGCGCACCTAGATTTGGGAACGAAGACTATCGCACCCCTGGATCACCGTCTAAAAATCCTCTTCTAATATCGCAGCACGGCAAGTCGCCGTTGCCCCCATCCGGCGACGTGTATACAGGTACCCCGTTGCACATGAGGCAAGAGGGCTCAAATTCGCGTGATATGGATGGGATTGTATCGTTTGACAATGTTGTTTCCAGGGATTGTGACGTGCTCTGTTGTGGCGTCGGGTGTCAAGGCAAAGAGATAAAACATGGGCAAACTGATGTGCCGATTTTAGCATCAGAAGCGTATCACCCGAGTTTCTATGCTCAAAGAGCTCCACTCGGTCAGCACGTTCACGTCAAAGGTAGTAGTTGGAACAATAAGGATGTAACGTACCTGTTCTATCAGACTCCCATGCCTGTTTTTGACCGTGAAAGTGTGACAGAATCTAACGGCTCATTCCAACCAGCTCCCACGAATAATTCGTTGAGTTCCATGGGTGACAAAACACAACAGACGAACATCAAAAGTACTGTTGCCGATAGTGCGCAATATAAAAAAGGGGGCTACTTGGCTTCGAACGTATTTGGCAAGTTGGATTCTGGTAAAAACGGACGACGCATCAACAAATCAGTTACCGCTTCATCTCAAGTCGCGAATATCGATGATGCTTCTAAACAGTCTGACGGCGTCTGGGACAGTAATACGGAACAGTGTTTGGGGTATGATGTGCCTAGGTACATGCCATTTGTGCAAAATAATGAACAAGTGAGCTACGTTACTCGATTTGGTCTATTTGATCGCAATGAATCGGATATTGTCATCCATGATTCAAAGGCGCACATCCGAAGAGTTCACGCGCCCTCGAACGACATGTTTATGGATGGAGTAGAACACTCTCATAGATCCTATAGCGACGACAGAGGTGTAAAAAGTTCTTTAGCGTCAAATTTTGGTCACGCCACCCAGTCTACAAAGCAATTGGGATTGCGCCATTTACAGTTGAATGTTCGCCTTAGTCAACAAGACAAATTGGCCAGTGAAACCTTTGAAACGAGTGATCTGGAGGGTAGTAGTTGTAGGGATTCTTTTGACATCCTGCAGAATCAGTATGGAGCTACGCCATCCTCTGCACGAGATAGTTGTGTCATATCTCATGATGTTGAAGCAAAAAGCGAAAGATGCGGCGTAGGAGAGGACCAGCAAGCGACGTGCGCTAGATTTGCCGTCACTAAACCACGAGAAATTCAGTGCGTTGCGATTCCATTTCCAAGGCAGTCAGAGCGCAAAGTGAAGCATGATCTGCCTATTGCCGATGTAGAGGATCCCGCCTGTGATGCTAAAGATGAGACTGCCAATCAACCGATGCATGCACCGAAAATGATAGAGCACTCGGTGCAACCTCTACTTTCGCCGACGCGTGATATGCACGAAGACAACCTGTCTAGCACTCGTATACATATTCCGCCGCTGGACATGAGCAAGCTACGCGCTATGATTGGTCACTGAGTGTATGTGTAAACGTCAAGCCTAGCATCTCCCCATATTTCTGAGCATTTTATGTCATGACGAGCAAGCTAACTCACTTCAAGTTTGAGAACACGCGCCGCATCGGAATTCATGGTCATTGCTTTTTCGGCGATGCGTTCCAATATCGACATGTATCCGCCGTCTCTAAACCCCATCTTTGTTAACAGGAGCAGGAACTGCGGCACCCGTTCCGTGTCCAGGTGTTGAGCATTCACACATATACACTTTGCCAGACGTATAGCATCTACGTGGCTCTTCTTGACACAAACACTCAGCAACTGTAATGAGTTGTTGCAGTGGAGGCGAACAGTGGATGCATCCTCCGTTGCTGAACTCATGCGTTCTACAGAGCATTCAATCATTACATCTAATACCTTCTCAGCGTGTATATTCTCCACCCGATCCAGGACGCCAATAAGCGTAGCAAATGCGGTCGGAGAGAGCATGTTAATAGCTTTTTTGTTTCCCAGTAGTGAGAGCATGCTGGAGTGTAGCATTTTTATAGCTTCCGGGGTGCATCCATTTGTATGGCATAGCAGTATCGTTTTATTCAACATAGCGGGAACTACTTCCGTTTCCAGTTCACCTGGTGTTCCGTTCAATAGTGGCGGTGAGAGATGACAAACATAGTCGACAGATGTCGCGTGACATATCCCTAGCGCATATTCAAGGGGTGTCGCAGAGCTACATGCGATTTCTATGTAAGACAACGAATCCTGTATAATATTCGAATCTTCACTTGTAAGGTAGCCTTCAAACTGCTTGGTCACCTGGTAAGAGTACAACAGGTTACGCTCCGAATTGGATGGGGGTGCATTCGACTTCATTTTCAGACCAATACGTAACGGTGTGGCACATGTGCCCCTCACTGTTAACTTTTCTATTGGATCTACATGTTCCATACAGTCATTTTGTGTGTCTGTAACACCTGAGAAAGATCTATGTTACTATTCTAACACATACCCAGCGGCTTGAAATGCTGTAACAGCAATTCACGGCATTTTATTGCCATTGCCCCACTAATATTTCTACGGTTCACTGCGATTGATTTCACACATGTATATATGCCTTTCAAGTATTCGAGATTGGTAAATAAAAATAGCAAATCCATAAACTCCTCATTAGTGACGGAGGGGTCAATCACGAAATTCTGTGGTGTATCTGCATCAGCAACTTTCTACAACCGCATGAAGGTCTATAGTGAAACTGTTACCTCCAAGGAGTTCAGTACTGCATCATAGAGGTAGACCAACGGTAGTGGATAGTTCTTGCACGAGTGTAGTAAATCAATTTTATCCTTTGTTTTCAGAGTATCGCAACAAATTTCTTTTAGGCGTATACACAATTCATCCAAATATACATCTGAATATTCAATGGATTCAAGGGCTGCTTTTGCCTATTAATGGTTATGAGCATGCTATGAAGTATTTCACTAACTCCAAATATGACTTTCCAATCCGAATTTTCTTGATATCGTGACAATAACCTTACTATCGCTTGATAGATATTTTGTTCCACTTCGGTGTGATGATGAACCCAAAGCAACACATCCAAAAGCTGGGGGGTATCGTTGACGTGGATGACGGGGGCATTATCGTGGACGAATCCACGAATTATTTTTACAACATTTTCCTACATGATTGTATTTCAGGCGTGTAAGAAGCGTACATCAAGATAATCAAGCTTTTTCATTGCCGTGATAAACGGATAGAAGCCATGGGAATGATAACTCCCTCCGGCAACGTGGTCCGCGATTAGCTGCAGCAGCGCGACATTGCGATACCTCAGGTGCGCCAGCGCATTCACTATAAGAACTAGATTCTACACATAATGTTTGAATGAGTTTCAATATCTACCTGAAGGGAAAAGTTTGATATCTTGGTGAAAATTGGCGATACGAGGCCATCCAAGATTTGGCCATAAGGTGCCGTATTAGGCGTTACTGTAAGGCTGTGAAGAGTCAAAGTCAAACCATCGGCACCAATCAACTCCAAGTTGTTCCGTATGCTGAGCAGCGCCCTATCGAATAGCTGCTCATCAAAAACGGAGCATGCCCTGAAAGCGCTAAGAAGGTGCGGTATATCATTCAATCGCCAAGATTCATAGCATTGAAGTAATCTAGCTGCAATTTCTCTGAAAAGTGGGGGATCCTGGTGTTTTACTTGACCAAAAGAAGTGGCAATCTTAATCAGTTCTGTGGCACTAAAGTGGTTGCTGTGATGGAGCACAGCATTCGCACATCTCAGCCAAAAGTTACGATTCACAACCATACAACTGCTCCCTGCAATTATGACACTAAAGAACGCAAACCGTACCTTACCTCTCACAACGGTTTTTAATAAATCCTCAGGTGACTGGTGATGAATTGGAATCTTCGCAAGTTTCTCGACCATAAGACTTCGTTTTGGCTTCAGTTTCGAGCTTTGATAACACCTTTTATGCTGCAACGAAAATTTTAGGGGAACAGTCTTGCCGACGATTAGGCCGGGAATAAACATGACAATCTCATAATGTTTGCACCCATTCACATAGAAGATGTCACACCAGTGAAATTCACAATGGAAATTATTCTATTTGCCTCATGACATCGTGCAAAAAAACAAGACGTGAAGCGCAAGTACTGCTACACAACCACGCTAGTAACACAAGTTCAACAAAATGTGTTGAACTCTTTTTGCACATGTATGGCTCTATAACTATAAATAATAAATATATCGTGGATGCACATCGTTTTATCCATCCTTGAGCTACGTTGTGTCTGCCATGTCTGTGAACGTTATGATGTGCAGCTGTCCTTTGGTCTCACTAATTGATACGTCGAAACAGCGATTTGCCATAATTGACGAATCAGAACCCCATTCACGATCTTAAGAAATGGCGCGGAAAAGTGGGTAAAACGTATGAGTCGAGAAAGTTTTGAATTACCGTTGGTTGGAGTGAACAATCGGTCTAACAAATGGCTAGCAAAGATTTATTCTCAAGAATTACATGTGTCTTTGGTCACTGGGACGTTATCTGTAAGTCACGTAGATTTATGAGTTTTATGTATCCCGTGCCGCGTGTCCTAAATGAGGTCGCAAAGGTGCCTTTGCTCATGCGATGCGACCCTCAAACCATCGCTAGTATATGGGCACAACAATTCGAACAGCGGGATAACGTGGTAGTAACGACACTTGAAGGTGATGTGTTTCAACAGCTATCGATCAATGCAAGACGCAGCCCCATGTTTGTGCTACCGGTTCAAGTTGGAACACTTGGCTCTTACAACATGATACTACAATACGTTGACACAAAAAGTGTTCTATTCACGTCAGTCCATTCATTCAAGTCCCATGGGATGGAGAAATCACCGCCGTACTTCATTCTTACATTTTACGGCGAATTACTGAAACAAAAGAACATTGTTCTTGTGCGAGGTGATATTGTGAATCCAAAAGACGTCTCAAAGGTTAATGCAAATAAACTTATGGAACATACCGTTAAGTTCTACTCAGACATAAATCTTTACAAGTGGGTTGACCGTTTTAATAACCGACCGCGCGAGTTCGAATTCGAAGACTTCAAACGGAAATGCAAACACGTGTTGGAAGAGTGAGAATTGCTGCCGTCGATGGAGCAAGTTCTCCAATCGCAATTCATCAATTTGAAAATAGTTTTGGTTTTATGGGTACGTTAAGCTATGGTGAGTTCATCTGTCGCGCATAGTTGTTGAATATGGGCCATTGTGTTGTGCTTCGCTAAAATACATGTATGACATTTTGCGGGCTTCGTCCATAAGTGATCAAAACTTCAGCGTATCGCGTGCAATGTACTTTGTTTATTTTTAATTTTGCCTGCTGCGTCACACAGATGCACAATATCAAATGCAATGTCGTCATATGCCAACGTGGTTCTCGCCGTATTGAATGTGTTCGAGGTGCTCAATTCGTCTTCAGTACACTGATGCTTTGAAATGGCCTAACATTTTAAATATAACTAAAATGAAGGCATTGATTTGCTTTTCGTTATTGTCCCCTTAGTCGTGCGAATTCTCCCTTCGTATGTCGTCCCATGTCTTGTATGGGCCTTCGTTAATCATAACAAGGTGCCAGTGGTTGCTAACCTGCAGTTGGAGATGTTCTTGATGTATTCACGAACGCCTTGTTAAGATTGTCACTAAAAATTGTCGGAAGATAGCATATAACGGCTTACTCATTTGAATGGGGATCTAAGACCTCCATGCGACCTGGGTGTACTTTCTCGGGAGGTTCATAATCGCCGATGCGGTCCAATACGGACGATTTATTTGCAAATAGATCCTCCGTACGTGTTTTGGTTTCAGCGGGCGTTGCTAAGTGGTCTTGTGTTTCGATAAGAATATGGCGGGCTGCATTTCCTAAACGGCCCGGCGAATTTAGCAACTGCGAAAATTCAGTGGCACATTCAACGTATAAAACTCACTTCAGTATATACAGATCTGCGCTTACGATTTATGCATATAGCGGTAGAGTACAAAGCAACGAATGCGGATAATACTCGGCGAGTGGCCACGCGGCTGATCACCTTTGACCTGTTCAGAGCCAAACTCGTGACAATGCCGCCGCATAATCCCGCCCCGAAACAGGTGTACGTTGCGCTCTTAAATAGTTTTCCTTCTTCAGCAGATATCGTATAAGCGTTGTCCTTTAGCCAACGTCCATACTGACGCTCGAATAGACGCCATTCCCGTTCTGTCGACGGAGCTGTTTTTTCTCCGGAGGGCTCCGATAGATCTCTATCGTATGCCATGATACACTACCACGTATAGAGGGTCCAACGCTGCAGTGCGGAATATCATATATGTTGCCACCTTACGCAAAGCTTGCACCATAGGGAGCTCCCACAGCACATGTATTCCTCCAAAACGAATTGCTATGGTTCCTAAACGCGCATTAGATCGTACAGAGGACGCATTTCTATGTACGAAGGCTCCCAAAGTCGCGAACGTATTGGACGTTGAGGGTGACACACAGCCTCGCGTGCCACCAGCAAGGCTAATGAGCCAAGACAACACGAAGATGCCAATGAAATTTACGGACGCTATAAGATTCGTGCCGATGCAAGTTCGTCTGAGGGTGTCAAACTCTCCTTCTGAACGGCGATATCAGGCACCTTAGCCGATGCGTCTCACTATTTCTTTGTTAGCTATTGCAGCGTTCGTGCGAGGGTACAATGTCACAAATGTTACCTTACCACTGGATTCCGCGATTGTTTTGTTGAAAAAGGATGTGTTGCTTCCCCGAGGTATAAGCCATCGTACGTCGCGCTTAAGAAACCCAGGCGCAACCAGCACGGAAGAGACCAAGTCAGCCCTACTAGAACGCAAATCTGTTTTGATATCTCGGAATTACACCTCTCGTGTTAATGGCTCTCCTCAGATTCTACGTTTGGAACTCACCAACACCGTCATTGTAGAATCTATCAACAACCTTGCCACCTTCCCCGTGCTCAGCATTGATTACGGTTCTAGGTACATCGGCCTTTCTATACATCATATGGGTAAATCGAAGCTAGTTAGATCGATATATAACACTGGTGATCTGGAACACCTCTGTGGCGCCATATATTCTGTAGTAACAGACAACATTCACCCGCCCTCAAGGTTCATCGTCCTCATCGGTTTACCGTACTCTAGGGAAGAGATAACGGGTGCCGAATGCATTTCTCAAACCCTTTACAATCTTGATTTTGCTACACGGCTTTCAAGGTATATGCACCGTAGACATCTGGAAGCGTACGGGAATTGGGAGCATAATTTTAATCACAAGAACGGCAAACCAATGTCAAAACGGCATTTATTACATAATCGCTGTATTGTCTGCTCGCTAGGTTTGGGATGTTGTGCATATAATAAGGCTTGTGAGGAAGTGTTTGTAATCGAACCATCAGATTACAGTTCCACAGCTGTAATTGGAGTGTCTGAAGAATCGTCCACCTACCAAACGCAAATATTTGGTGAGGAAAATCGTAGAAAGCTTGATTGTCTTGCTAGTGATATAATTTTTAGGAATTTACAAGAGGCCTTGAACAGCGACACAAACCACAGGAAACCATTCCTTGTACTCCCCAGTGGCAACAACTTGCTCCGTACTCACTCGAGAAGGGACTGTTTGTTACTCAGCAAAACTATATTCGAGAAATGCGTTACGTCCTTGAACTAACCAGTAAAATACAGCTCAAGTCGTCCTGTCTGCTGCGAATGCGTGAACCGTCAAGTCGTTGATATACAAGGATGACAACTACTTTCAATTCACATCCGTTTTACGAAGTTTTTGAAAGTCTCATCAGAAATGGGGAACTAACCACCCTCCGCAGGCTTCTTGGGGTTGTGGCAACACAGGAAACACGCCTTATGGCTGCATTGTTGAAGAAAAGCAATACAATAGTGCCCCTGGATTACATGAGTCTGTACTCAATGCAGTTTGTGCGAGCATTGCAGAGTGATCATCTGCCGGCGGCTTCGAATGTGTCTTTATTTATCATGTACGCTCAGGTATTCAATGAAATATATAGGCACATAGAAGAAGTCGATGGTGCGGAACGTGACAAGCTCCGTGTGTATATTCTTAACCTGTTTGACGAAATGTGCACGCGCTTCCTCGATGAACGGATTATCGAAAATCAATTAACCTTGTGTCGAATCAGTGCTAAGAATACGTGTTATGATTTATCAGGGTCATGCACCATGAGAATACTATTAAACCTAGTAGGGTACAAACTCTTAATACCAAAAAGCAGAAGTTCAAGCATAGGTGAAGTGGTCTTTTCCTGTGTTACTGGTCATATGAATATTATAACTGATGAAACAATGTATTATGGTCCTCAATTGGCAGGATTCGTAACACCACCGCATTCTCCATTTAATACGTTTCACCATGAAGGCGACAATATCTTGCAAGAACTATTGACGCCATTTGAATCAAAATCGCAGAAGAGCTGGAGTCCACGGTGGAGCCACGTATCGCAACCAGAAAACGTCCTAAATGATAGCATGCAGTCATTGCTAAAGTTTGTCACGCACGCAATTATGGGAATTGTCGCCGTACATGGGCAGCCGAGTAAAACTGAAGAATTAACAAGAGTCTTCACTGGATTCATTAGATGTGTAAATAACATAACACTACATTGGACGCATAAAAATTTTTTTTGGGACAAAGTTCGTTGCATATGTTCTCAATCCCAGATGAGTGAAGAGTGGGACGCAATTGAAACCTACTTAAATTAACGTGTGCAAATGTTGGTCACAGTATTGACTTTATTTAACCTTTTAAAACATTCACGCGTCTCTACAACCTTTTTCATGCTTGTACTGGTGAGCGATCACAGATGACGTTAATCGTGAAACGAAGGTTGGCAGCAACTGCGCATCCTGCTTGATCAGATGCATGGCAGCAGTTAGGACACGTAATCGAATGTTACATGGGGGCGGGGGAACATAAATTAAGCCCTCTTAATACACCCTTGGAGGGCTGCCACTTAAATATTGATGACACAATGTCACTTGTATAGAGTTCTAAGCAAATATTAGCATGGGTGCAGGAAGAGTAATTCAAATCAATCCAATGGATTGCTGCGGCGAAATGAGCTCCAAATGTCTCCCCCTGACTTGGCAATTGGCGCCTTATCATCAGAGGTGAAACCTGATCCCAGAGCATTAGATGAGTAATCAAATATCGGTGAAGCATTCTGCGTGTCATTTGCCTGGAAGTTGCCTGAAGTGAAACCCATGATCCCTGTGAAGCTTGGCATAGCACCAGTTAATGGCCGTTCACCGAACGATTGGTTTGGTTCTTTCTGAATGTCATTGGTCATTGATTTCCCTGCGCTTTTAGACAGGGCCAAGTCAGCAAAAGATAACGGAGAGTTCGTAGCAAAATGCGCAAATGGCGCGGGTCCACTAGGAGCTGCAGCGGGCGCAAAACACGCGCCGCTTAGCGTGCCTGTTGCCAGATCCCCACTATCACCAAACGTATACGTTTGCAGCTGAAGTATGGCATCGCCAGGCATGGACGAGATCGTAGGTACAGTAGTGCCTATTCCCACTCTTGTGGTGTCCGGTATGCTGCTGGGGGAAGCATCCAATGATGAAACGTCCGCGACAGTATTGTCACCTCCGACAGACATGCATTCAATGTTGCCGTTGGCGATCATTTTTGATGACTGAACCGTCGGCTGCATTGCATCTGTATAAATCCCATCATTTGAATGCGCGCCTGCTGCGGAGGAAGTGGTACGATCACTATGGTAACAGTTTCCTTCTTTCCGAAAGTCCGATGTTGTGGTTTCCATAGGTGCTCCTACCGTTTTATTAGTCGCAGAGAAAGGATGTAATCCAAAACGTTCCGTTTCAAGGTCGTTTTTGCTGTACAGCAGATCACAGCCTCGAACGTGTTCCTTGTCGGTGAATAGGGTTGATGTTGCGCAGATGTTTTCATTTGACTTCAGTTTGGACAAAGCGTCATATTCATTAAATTTCATTTTCACTTCCTTGTATTCCATATCCGGATTTGGAGCATGCTTGATTTTAACATCTTTCAAATTTTTTATCAAATCATTTATATCGGTCATCTTACTTTCACTGGTAGGCTGCCTAACGCCGGAATCTCGGCACGTCTCGGTTTCAGCTTTATGGTTAATAAGCCGATTATTTTCGGCTACCGATATTTCGTTTTCGTAAGCATCCAATTTGTCGTTGATTGAAATTAATACCTCTTTGGTAGCATTCAAGTGGTGCTCCATATCTTTCAAATCTACTTCTGCGCCATGAATGCGAAATTTCGACGCATATGACTGCATCGTCTCTTCGTACATACTTTTGATCTCATCTGGTACCACAGCGGTGCTGCTATGGATATAATTATGCGTAGCACCGCTAACATTCCTTACGATTTCGTTGTATATGTCATTCACATCCTCAAGGCTAGAAGCCCAATCATCCATTTGTACACTAAGTGGTGTTGCAACTTCACTGCAGGTAGTAGACTCTAAGTCGCCTAGACGACTCTCAAATACATGAAAGCAGTTGCACAGCATCTCTAAGAGGCGTATACGTTCGAGATTTGTCTCGTTTTCATCCGGCATCTGTGCGTAGGCCTTGACCGATGAATGATAAAGCTCATCTACCGCGGATAAAGGTCCACATACTTGTGTTTGTCTACCATGTCCAATTTGGGATGATGCAACGTTCGGCGAAATGCTCGAATCCGTGAATCTGCATAAGCCGCCGTCAGCTGGATTTTTATATAACCCATCCGACTTCCTGAAGTTGTTTGTATCTTGAGGATGTGCTAACGCCGTAATACCCGTACGTGAGTTCTGACCACAGGAACTGTCTGTGTGTTCTACCTTCGTACATGCAAACATGTCATCCAAGTGTTCATCCTCGGGTATCTCCGATGTATGGTGTATGGTTGATTTTGTATTTGCGAGATTTTTACCATCACTTCGGCTGGAAACAAATGAACTAAACAAAGATCCATCAGTGTCCCTGCTCAATCGGGGAAGTTGTTCCACCTCCTTGAGATCTTTGTCGATCAACCAAGTGTCTGCGTAATGCAGAGCGATTTTACTACCCCCTTGCGCCAACACAAAAACGGTTGGGTCAGTCAACAGAGGTGCATCTGCAGATGCATTCTTACGGTACAGCTTGTCTCTATAAGAGGTACATACAACGAGGTCAGTGGGACAGCAATCTATATCAACGGATTCAAGACAGTACCCCTCTTTCATGTTTACCACATGCCATTTACCGTCTCCGACAAGCTTAACATGCCGTGATAGCACTACAACCATAGTGGCAGCATTGGACCATGCAAACAAACACTGCCACTCATTTACCCAGACGAACTCAATTTGGGGGCATATGTCGTCCACATTAAGGAACAATTCGTTAAAAGCCCAATGGACTACAGTAGCTTCGCTGCTCGTGTAGTGGCAAAGTAATATTAGCGAGTCTTGAATGTCAATAACCAGGCCTATAGCTACCAATTCTCCAGATATGACGTACGAACCAACCACATCCGTTATCTGTGATGCTTCAAAAAAAGACGGTAACTGGAGAGTTATGAAATTTAATGGGTCTGGAAAGTCTTTGAAGACCTGAAGCGAAAGAGTGTCATTACATCGGCAAATGACATGAAATCCGTCCGATCCAGCCGGTGAAATGCTCTTGCAATCTTTCAGTATGGTCTTCTTGTTCCCATCCATCGAAATCATGTGAAGGACAGCGTCTGAGTCACGTACAAGAAGGCGCTGACCGCTCCAATATACGCACTCGGGTCCAACGGCAAATTCAGACTCGAACCTCTTGTGACCCATTGAAAAGTCATACACCACCACTTTATGTGGTAACTGGCAAGCGATGAGGTGCAACTCGCACAGTATGCGGATGCGTTTAATAGCATCCTCGAATGTTATGCGATCCAGCAGATGTGCATCATAAGGTTCGTTGGCTACCACACTAGACACGAAATCAGTCAACCGGTATATACAAACAGTTTTGCTCTGTGCAACGAATAACAAGTTGTGCGCATTTGACACTTCTATGTGGATGCTGTGCCCACTTTTTGCATCGGAGATGAACTCTACCTGGGGACCATGCTGGAACATGAGACCATCGCAGTCATCCAGCGCTACCAACTCTGACATGGCTGAATCTCGAGTCTCGAATGAACAGATCAAGTATGTCGTCTTCTACCGGGAAGTCGAAATTCAGGGATGCGACAATTCTAGACAATTGCACTGTCGCCGCCAGGGTGGCAGACAAATCACCCTGCCCATTAGTAGCGAACCAACCGCAACCAAAAATGCGCTTCAAGTCAACGCTTCTCAGCAGCACATCTGAATCTTCGCTTCTCTGAAATCCAACGCATTTGATTAGCATATCTGACTTTAGGCGAGTTTGTTTACCGGTGATTTGTGCGTTTAAACAATCATCCAGCGTGTTATCGTCCAAAACTAACGCATTAATGGCTGAATCGTTTCCTCCCTCAATCGAATTAACCGTATTAAAAAATTTGAATTGCAGAATTCGTGGTGAGGACACTGATTCAATGGTGTCGCGCGCAATACCATTGAAGAATTCAAGTCTTCTACGCATTCGGCGATCAAGGACAGGGGGCTGATAAACCAAAGAACGTTCTACCGAATCGTGACACGTGACGGGGGAAAAAAAGTTCGTTTGTGCGATCTTGCGCAACTCTGGATTTGTGAATGAGGACTGAAATATGCCACGACGGCCAATGATAGCCACAGCACCTATGTCAACGCTGCGTAAATTGTGCAGGAATGTTTTGTCTATTTCTGTATTTTCCAAAAAACTGACAGGGGTAAGAAGAATGCGAGCGACATCCAGAGCAACATTACCATTGCCAATTACACCAACAGTCACTCGTCTTCCCAATTTTGCCAGCCTGCGGAAATAGGACTGTACACATCCAGGGGCGTCGGGGTGACTGTTATACGAACGAATGATGTCTAACGAATCAAATACTCCTTCACAATTATCCCCTGGTATAGGGAATGGGCGTGGAGACTCGGCGCCACATGAAAGCAGACATACATGATAATATCGCATCAACTCATCGATGCCGAGGTCTGTGCCCTGCAGCAGATCCTTTTTTCTGTAATTCTAAAGTACACACAAAATAAGCAAATTACGCAGTCATATGTCAGTATAAATCAAATTTCAGTCGCATATACGAAGACATCCACTTACCACACGCACGTTGAAGAAGAATCGCTCCTTCGTCTTCGCCAACAAAGGGGTAGCGCTGCGGCGGATAGACAACGAATCCGGTGCAACTCCAAATCGTAAGAGGCCTAAAGCTTGCGGTAATCGGTCGAAAAGGTCCACACGCGCACCCGGCAAAACGTGTCCCCTCAGGTTATTGGCCAAGTACAAACCACATGGACCTGCTCCAACTATCGCTATACGTGGGTGCATAATACAGTTACGTGTTATTGTTGTTTAACAAAAATATTTCTTTGTGGACGAGGGGAGCGCGCAGCCGCCAGAAGCGGATGGAAGGCAGCCGTATGATGCCGCATCCCGCGCCTTCTACGGCCATCATCTTAAAACGCAATTGCAAACTATCGATAGGTCGCAATACTTGATTCTTGCCTCTTACAGGACCTTCCACAAACCAATTGTCGTTGGATTCCAGCTCATATTCAAACGAAACCTCCTTGGCAGAGCGAATGGTTACACATGCTTCGAATAGCATACCGATGAAGCAAAACGGCGGTGTATTGTACTCAACCGTAACATCACTTCCACTGAGTTGTGGAAGACTAAAGTGGTATTCCAATACATTCGAAAGAGCCTCTAGCTCACATCCAACGTTCGTGCGATGATGTATACACTTGTGCCTCAATATGCGATAGCTCACAATTACTTTGTGCCCTCTTGAAATTGGTGCAATGCATCCTCCGTTCGAAGATGTATCATGTTGTGTCCCTCTTTGGTTATCGCTAGAGAAATCACGCTCTTCGGGGCCAGCGGTTGTGTGCTGTAGTACACTAGGCATCTGCACGTCTCTGACGCTGTGGACTTTTCCTGTTGGCAGTGTCGCATGGCTGTTGTATGCAGTGGATCTATAACTTGTGCCTGTTGTTCCACCATTTTCATCAATTGATATACAAAAATCGGACCCCCTTTCCAACAAAGTTGGATCCTTAACCATTGGGCAACCATTTATAACCACACTCTCTACCTCTGTGTAGAATGGTGCTGTGGGCCCCAAAACTACCTGCAGCAATGCATTATCTGATGCTACAACTTCCCTGCAGAAGGGTGGTATAATTGTAAATTCAAGATTGAAATCAAGTCGACGGCCATTATATACCGACACCACCTGAAGAATCTTGTCTTCCTTAAACTTCGAATCTACTGTTACTGACGCACATATGAGGTGACTCGACGCTCTTCCCTTTGTAAGATTCAAAACAATTCCATCCTCGGTGTTAGTAATATCGCACGATACTTTTATCTCATCTGAATACAAAGAAAAACGTTCGATGTCATAGCGTAGGGAGGATTTATGAAAGCATATACGTCCCACTGTAAACCCAAAAAGGTAAAATGCAATATAGTTCTTCACGCCTGTCAAAAGTACGGAGTCAGAACACGTGATGGCATCCGAACACGGGCGAGCTGTGAGAGTTACTGTGTCCTCCCTATCAGACCTTATGAAGGATGGGGGTAGCACGAGAGACGAGAGTTTGTAACTCGAAACCATACTATGTGCCTTTAAAGCGCGTACTACACCGCTAAGCACCGCAAGCGGAATCGGTGTGCAAGGTCTTTGCACAACCTTAAAAGTCTCACCAGATATGATGACCGAGTCTAGCGTATAATTGCATGCCTTGCTGAAACGATGTTTTAACACATAAAAGTTCACTCCACGATGTAGAGTGACGTCGGACAATGTCAATTCTTCGCACTCATGGAACAGTGTAGGTGGATGTTCATCTATCATTTGCTCCTGATCCTCTCGCAGACGAACACGAATATTAACTTCTAAACGATCATCGGTGCTGTAGACATTAAGTCTAATCTTGCATATATCAGTTTTATGTTTCAAGAACTGGCCATAAGTTTGCATATATCCCCTGGTGCTGTCTATTGCCAACTTTGCATCCGACAATACTCGGAGGTAGTCATTAACTGCTTCATCCTCAATTTGAGTGGGGGTCAGACACATGTTTGGATGGTTATGTAAGCAATCCAAATTTGCTTGTAGAACCGTTTTTACGCCATCCAAAGGATCGCTAAGATGCACATTTGGTTCATGGGGTCCAAACCATGCAAAAACATGTTTGCGATCACCCTTATCAAAAGCCCGCAAGTACCAACCCAGCTGACTAGCATCCTTCTCAATGGAGCATACAGCTGATTCTCTGTCGTATAAGCTTGCCATTACGTTAGAAAAACGGGGCAGATCACCATGTGAAAAGTTTAATGCGCCGTTCTCCATTGCGTCTGCCATCATGCGGTGCCTACCGTCAGGTAACTTCACAGTCTCCCACATTTCTGACACCATAATGCGATAAAGTTTATATGGTGATTCATCATTTGGGGCGTGTGCAATTTCCGGTATGTCGTCGATTAAGGGTGTACTGTCCAGGGTTTTCAGGGTTTTATACAAAAATGTGTACAACAGCCCTATACATCGTCTTACGCATTTTGAATTGTTAATGTTATACGCACATTCGACGCCAACTCGTGAATTTGATGGTTGGTAATGTTTTTTTTGTGCATCATTCGTATCCGGTGCAATCAAATTTGCTGTGAAGTGACCCGAATGCTCTACTGGCTCATCATTTTGAAGCTTCCGCCCTTTTTTTCTTTTGATCGCTGATCTTAACTTCGCTAATTTTGATGTTTTGGAGAACGTGGGCTCATTGTTGGACGAAATGGTAACTTTTTCAATGATGCCGAGTTGGTCCGACGTTGATATCACAGAATCCTGCAGGTAGGATAGTGATCTATTAATTAATGCTAACAACCACAACAGGTGTTTTGTTCGCAAATCCCGGCGTACTGCCATAAACATTAACATGCAGCAATCCACGAAAATGCGGCAGACGCGGGACAAACTCGCAACACCTTTAATAGGCTCTAACAAGCGTATTGCAGTGCAGCAGAGGTATTGGTATATATCGAATTGGCTCGCTTCGTTTCCTACGCTATAACCGGTTTCCATGTAGAAAACAAAAGGTGCGCATAAAAAGTCTTTTGGAGTTGTCGTCTTTTTGAGATCAGCTTCTACGATACGCATTAGTTCCACGTAACCATCTACTGCGTCCAGTGTGAATCCACATTTGCCATAAATCCTTAACACCGACTCGTAGAGCAAAATTCTGTCGCACGTAATATGAGCATTTGTCTTGTAAATAACTGCCGCGATGTCTGACAATCTGGCAGCGACGGTTTCTGATATACACTCGCTCATCATCATCCCCACGTTCTCCCAGTTCTTGGTCCCAAAGGTTTCTTCGTTGCGTTCCGGGTCCTCTTCTGCCATCGATGTTCTCTGGACGTTAAGCATTGGTAATTCCAGCATCGGAACCAAGCACAAACGATTCTGACGTAAAGATAACGATTGAAACATATGACGTATTTTGTATATAGTCTTGCAGTTGGCTTTTTGCTGGTCTCCATTTTCTTTATTGCATATCCCATAAATGATAAGGCATTTAGTCTTCAAGGGCGATATAAAAGACTTAAGTTGTGCTTTGACGTTGCGTTTAAAAAATTCAACATCCATCGGAGGCAATATATATAGGTGCAAAAAAGGATCGTCGTGCAGATGGATATTGGCATTCCGGAAATCATTAGGATGCGTATCATCTGCCTTCACATACCTACAATAGAATGTCCCATTTTCACCGAGTTCTTTGTCCAGACCAGGAAATCTAATATCGTGCCTATTCCAGTTTGAACCGTTTATTTTCTTTACGTTTACAGGTAACGGCAAGATGTGGTGCATGTTCGGCTTTATTTCTTCCCAAACATTGAAAGGGTCTACAACACAGTATAATGGATATCGATCGCCACTTACCGCTGTAGGATACTATTACATCGTTTAGGCGATGGTCCTCCATCTTCAGATGCAACTTATGTCCAAACTACAAGGCGGCTTGATAACGGTTTTATGTCTAACATTTCCTCAAACATAGCACTTCAATGATGACACTTTCCAACTGATATCCTTTTACACATGACTAAAGAAATTTGTAGCGCTAACTATCGTTGTAAAATGAGCCATATGTGCGGACAAAATCTAACCTCTGTGTCAGGTGTGTAGAGTATGCCAGCGCGCAATGCTCTACACAGAGTGCCAAACCCAAATAAAAGAAGAAAGTAGTTGCCTCATGTGTATCATATTCGTGCAATACGAGTTATGAGTGGAAGGTTGATGTGTCTCTGTGTCTTTAACAGAACAATCATCGCGTATGCGTTAAGCAGGAGCTGAAGCGATTTATTGAATCTTATGCCCTTCAACGGTTACATGAATTGCTCAGTTTTCACGAAACATTTTAACAGGGTGGTCATATTTTGGCTGTACGTCGCAGTTTATAAACCGCTTATGGACTTGCGTAACGGGTTCGGGTACGCATTCGTTTACCGTTGCAACAAGCACAGTATCACTAGAGAAAACACATTGTGTCCAAGAAGCATTTGTACGTCTTCAAATGCCTATAGTGATGTTATCCCGCCGTTCAATCTAGACCCCGAAAAGATCAAGGCGCAAGTGCTGCACTATGGTCCTGAAATTCCCGAGGGTACATGGAGTAAACCGTATAGACCACCTGGGTTCTGTGGATACAAAGGAAGTATGTCTATCTATTTTGCATCCAATATGGGCGCGCAGTGGCATCCGACTTCAGGTTTTGTAAGCCAGACAGCGCCGTGATGTCTAGAATGATGAGACGCAAATACAAACATGTGAGTTCTATAAAAACGCTGAATATACGGACACAATCTACTAAGCGAATATACAACATATCTATCGAATAGCGCTGACATGAAGCGTTCTTTCTGACCGAAAACCTCACATAATGTCAGGTAATCTACAAACACGTCAGAGCAAGGTACAAGCAATATATCAAAGACGCGCGCAATATAGCTGAACTCATGTATTGGCGCGCTAAGCTCGACTCGTTACCCCGCGATTCAGCAAAAACAAGATACAAACGCATATGTATGATCACAGGTAGGCATTATAACGCACCCAACTGATAGTCACCAAAACCTATGCAGGCCGTACAAGAAGCGTCAGCCGGGTAATGGGCCTCACACGGCACAAATTTAGAGAATTTGCAAACCGATGTCTCATACCCGGTATAAGAAGAGCGAATTGGTGATTTCTAAACTTAGATAAGTTTCTAGAGGTATGCGTCAACTTGCTTCCCGTAAAGTGTGATGGGCTGAGCTGAGGATGTGGCCTTTTCAACCAAGTGTTTACTAAGCTGCACTATGACGACAGTCATGTTGTCGCAACCGACGCCTTCGCTCTCGCTGGGATTGCTGGACAGGCATTCGTCGCACAATTCCTCACATATTTTGGCCAGAGTCCCGGGGTTATTAGCGGTGGCATCTGAGTCAGAAGCGTCATTGTTGGTGTTCTCTGCGCTCACCAAGCGGCTACGCACGAAGTCCACAACTTGCTGGTTGCTTTTGCAGTCCCAAATGCCGTCGCATGCTAGTACAATGAATTCATCTTGCGGTGTCAATGGGCATATTCTCACATCAGGCATAGCAGAAATGCGTTGCTCAGCTGGAGGCAACGATTGGTCACGCTTAAAGGCCAAATCACCCAGAGAACGGCTAAGATTCAAATTGCCGTCTACCCTTCCGTTCGTTACGGACCCACCGGCTCGTCGGATCCGTTCCCCTTCTTCACGTAATTGAGGTTTATGATCATGAGACAACGCCACCGCTTGCCCACCTCGGCTTAAAACAGCCCTGGAGTCGCCGGCGTTAGCTACTAGTATAGCTGGTGTCTCTCCACCTACAACCACCACAACCACAGAAGTTGAACCACATCCATAAGCTAAACTAGGACCATCCCCGTCTCCAATTGTGTCCGTCTCTACTTCGTATTCGTCCTCTGGAATGCAGTCCCCAGATCTCATAGATTCATCGTCGTGTACGGCGCGAGTCACCATCTGGTCTTGGGAAGTTTTGCTTTCATGGTTTTTCGGGCTCACATCATTCAGACCTATGGACCCACCCTCGTTCGATACATCTACCGAATGTGCTTCGGTAGATGTATTTCTATAAACCTCATCGTCATTTATATCTTCGTCAAGGTCATCTGGCGACTTCTGCTGATAATCTTCATCGTCTTCGCTATACCTTGTTAAATCTTCAGTGGTTTGAGCATCCGATTGATTGGAATTATGAAAATTAAATGACTCGCGCAATAGTCGCTCGGTGTGTTGTTCAATAAGACGGATTGTGTGCTGTCGATTTGGCGCACGATCCGGCATAAGCACCTTAAAAAGTGATGATCCGTCGACGAAAGATTCGTTTGAATTGTCACTCCTCGGTCTTTCGTTGAGTTTCTGCAACGCTTGCTCCGTTTCTGCCCTCTGTAATTCTTCATCCACCTTTAAGAAAGCAGACTGCAATGACTCAGCAAGCACTGCCTGTGTCTCCGAAATCGCATCCAAACTTTTCAGCTCAATGTTTTGGTTATTTTTCAACTCACTGAGACGTGCGATCTCTCCTTTTAGAAGGTTTGCGAAATTCTCTGATACCCATTGGCTAACACAACTGCCACCATGACCATCGAAGACGCCGTATACACCAACCAAGGAGCTGTTAATATTCCCTGTCGCGTTGGAATTGTTCGGTGCACTTGTAGTAGCACCTGCTTGCGTTTGGTGTCCATTATCTGCTTCTTTTTCCCCACCGTTGCTCCCATGCTGATAAAGATCAGGCACTGCAAGGTGGGAATCTTCCATTGAAACGCGCCATCCTTGCATTGATGATGATCCATACCTGGTGGTGTGAGAAGAAAAGTCTCCGCCACTGAACGAAACCTTATCCGTCTTAGGACTACTTAAATGAGCCCCCATCGATAAGATGTGTGAATACAGACTCAAAAATGACAACGCCGGACGAAAACGATAGAGCAACATACAATTGACGAATTGCATATGAATTTGCCCCAAGCATGCCTTACATACTATGCGTTCTCAATTGACGAACACAAGCAATCAGAACAAATAATGAAGATGTGACGCCCACTCGCTATCTCCCTGAGCAGCAACTGAACTTCATTTGAAGCGTAGCACGTGATGTCAACAATAAATACGCTGCGTTGCTTATCACACGGAATCAATAAACGCCAACACTGGTTGATGTAACTGATCAACCCACCACAAACAACATCAAGAGGTCCATTCAAACGCGGAATGATGTACCAGAAGATTAGAACGTCAAAGCATATAATTCTCTAAGTGGATTGCGCTCTAATGTTTTCGCAAAGCATAGGGGCAAGTTAAATACAGAAGTAGTGGATACCATACGATAAACCGCCAGCCTCCCCGAGATGTTTGACCACAATCCCCTGTTTTTTATGTAACTTGTTATATATTTCAATTAGAAAGTATATCCCTGCTCTACGAAAATGTAACCGCGATGTTTTTAATCGCGACAATGACATGGGGCACGACGAGTCCAGCCTATAACGTATACCGTGATGCCATCCGATGGAGGCACTTTGACGGTAGTGGACCGGCCCAAATAATACAATATAGGTGAAGTATACCTCAAGTGGTTCAGCAAAACCCTTTTTATCGGCTAGTCGTGGAGACAGTGTGAGTAACGTAAAGGTTGTGGCCTGCGGTATTGGTAGCCTTCAGATAACGTCGAAAGAGTAGTCTTTAACAGTGCTGTGTGTCATATCCGCTGGTTCTTTTTGATAGGTAGCTGTCTTGCGATCGCACTCATGGAATGTTACCAATCAAATCCTCACGCTATATGCGGACTGTGCATACGCAGTTGCCTTGTTCGTGCTAACTGTTAATCGGCTTTGTTGGGGGGTGTCTCGGTTCCGATTTTGCAGCACGCCGTTCTGGCGACCGTCCGTACCGCGGTAAAGGCCCAGATGTCATCCGCTCATACAGTTGTACGCCGGAATTTGATATCGCGCCTATACCTCTATGTTGTTGTCCGTTGTATGAACATGCGCTTGATGCGAAGGGAAGCGTTTTATTGTATATTGGCCACTGGCTAGGGGCCGAGGCGCGCCCTAGTCCTGGCTTCTTCACGTCGTTTAGCTGGCTTTTATCAGGAAGGCTATACGATACTGTATTGACACGGTTTTACCGTAAATGTGAGGAGCAGGTTCAGCACATCGATTGGAGTCTCGTTCAGATGTGTCGGCCGTAAAACTCAATTATACGGGTTCGTGAAACCAAACGTCACATATCCATACCACAGCTGAACGTGTGCGGATGAGTACTTACTTGTAAACTGTATTTACTCCAGACACCTCCTAGCAATGCGCTAGCCACTTTATTTAGACAGACGCCAGCTTTTTGCACCATTGAGCGGATCTAAACAACGGTATGAGTGACACGCGGTTTGTGTGACGTTAATATGCTGCCTCTACAAACGAATCCTGATAAATTGTCCCAGTACGCTGCCAGCTGTCCTTTTATCTGTATAGCACAAAGGGACCCAATATATTGTTCGCGCGTACACCACGCATAATGTAATAGAATCGGTATAATCTGTATGACCGGAAATACGATTGAACAGACGTGTTTTGTTGTCTTAGCCAGGTATTAAGGGGATTTTATGGCATGTTCTACCCAGAGACAACATACAGGTGTATTTAGACAAGTTCTGGTAATTGTGTAAAACCTGCGTTGCAAGCTAATTTACGTGTAAAAAGGTCGTGGTTCGCTGTAAAAAAACTGCTGTCTTGTGTAATCAAATCGTGTCTTTGTAGTTGCTGGCAACATTGTTAACCAAGGGGATTATTCTGTCAATGTGCTATGTAGACATGTACACCTATTCAGCATTAGAGGATCACATATGTGACGCGTAATAATGAGCATTTCACAACTTTCTTCGATTCGTTAGAGGCAAATAGCAACTATTTCTAATCGGGTAGCCGATACACCTCATCCAGTGGGAATGTGAGTTTATTAATAGTCGTAAGCGCCCATAGAGTGGTTGGACTCATATCCAAATACAAGACATAAAATTGTACACATGCCCGTCTCTGAGGTATTAGCGTGAGCTTGTAGTTGAATGTCTCCTTGGAAAGTTGTGGCTGTAGATTCGGCGTGCACTTCGAACGTTTCCATGTTTAAGTGTTTGGAACCTATAATTGCGTAGTTCCGTGTGTCGGGAAATTTTTCAGCATATCTAATCGTTACATAAAAGGGTCCAATAGGCTGGCCGTCCTAATAGAAATATAGTCGGAACCTATTCACCTGTGTGCAGCTCTCATGATGCCATGGAAGATTACAAACGTCGCTGCATAAAGCGACACCAATATTGTGATTTGGTATCTGCTATACTTGACGGATATATCGTATATTACATTGTACGCCAGGTAGACATCACCGGTCGGTCAAAGGCAATGATAGAATTGTTCGCAATATGGTTCAGGATCATCTTTGTTGTGAAAGTTGTTTTGCACATATTTGTCATACCCTTGTTTGTTTTTGCTGGATCTGTAAGCAAGGTTCGCTCAACCATCATTCCCTACGAAACTGAGAGTATTATGCCCATAGTGTTGTCAGATACAAAGTCTTTGAGTGGTGAAACCCCAACCACGCCGAATGCCAGGGCGATATTGACATACAAGTATGCTGAAAAGGCGAAGCTGCTTTTTCAAACCTTCGGAATTGTCTACTTCACTGCAGTATTGCTTACTCTCGACCACCACCTTCACAGGTTGCTGGACATCACGCTCATGGCTATGTGGTTTTGTGCGGTATCGTCCGCGACCCAGTTGCATTTTATATATTTCCAAGGTGACGCTCCACACTGCATGAACAAACAGGGCGGGTCAACAATTTTTTATCCGAGAAAAAATTGTACGTGGATGTTATACATCATTGCACTGATTGCCGGGTGGTCATTTGGCAATTTTTTGGCATTGTTGGACTGGGACGAGCCTTATATATTCTTTCCCAATGCCAATTTTATCGGCATGTGCCTGGGCCACCTGGCTGCTGCAATATTGACTCCAATATGTTCTAACGTATAGCTAATATATTGTTCGTGCCAGTAATTAGGAACCCATCCATATTTTTTACCCTTTCCACATGTGTATTAGAACACGTTAAAGCATCAACACGTAAAGGGAGTCCTAAATATGAAATAATTTGAAAATAATTCCCCGTGTGTGCGGTCGTCGCTTAAGATGTCTAAGCTTCAAAATCCCTCTGAAAACGGATACACATCTTGAAACCATTTGTTGATATATTCATGAGTGCAAGTTTTGTCTATATTCAAACGATATTTGGTGCGAGTTGTGAGAGGAAAAACATTAGACAGCACAAATAGCGAAGGGGTGTCCGTCGACACACTCGTGGTATATGCCCACCGGTGCGTCATTGTCAATGAACGAATTCCGCATAGGTGAACTACACAACACATCGCAATATTATAGTCGCTATATTTGTTATGAGCAATCCAACTTGTAAATATGTCACTGTCGTTGGAGACAAGCGCCGGATATATAGACTCAGAATACAGCGACTTTGAACATGTGGATCCCTTGTCTACAATCGGGAGATCTTCACCTAAATTTGGCAGAGATGACATGAAGTACCTCGCCGATCGCAATGTCACACCGGGATTACTACGCGACACAGAGACCATTTCCGAGAAGCAACCGCAAAACTCCGAACGTGACGGTTTTACATTAAGCCATTGCTATGTAGAGCATCAAAGATCCAATCCTTTCAATTCCGAACTGCGCCTCTCAAGGAGAGATGGTAGCATTTCGTCTAACAGAGAGACGAACGTGGAGTTTTGTTCGGACGAATCGTGTAGAGCTGACACAGTCAACAATGAGTTCAAGTGGTGGTGTGATGAACAGGAAGCATCAGACTTTTCGCTGGCAAACACGGGCGAAGATGTAACACCCATAAAATTCGAACCAGTTACCCCAATTGAGGAACGTAAAATACTAAATGCGCTTCAGGCAGTACAACTGGGCAATCCACAACAGATGAGTGACAGGACTCGGTGTGGTTCCACTTCGTCAGACGATTGCGAATCTAATGAAAGTCTCTGTTCTGCCATCAGTTCGCCGAGGGGAATACCTGAGGCTCAAGAGGAGGAATGGTCCAGTTTTATGAAACCTGCGGACTCCGATCTGGAGATAGATTTGCTTAAAGAGCAAATTTTACATAGGTTGGGTCTCAAACTTACGAATGTCAGAAGTCAGGGGCCCTTGGAAAAGCAAGCGAACAGAAAATGTGACGCCGGGTCACAAACGAGTGAGGACGGATATGCGTTTGCTTATAAAGATTACGAAATTGTTTGGTTAAGGAATGTTAATGGGATGCTTACGAAACAGTTTATCGAGCTCATTAGCGGAGGTAAGCTTATGGCGTACAAGACAGATCAGAGATTCATTGAATGCCTACAGTCCCATTTAAGTAAATCGCAGACTGAAATTGACCGTCTGCTGCGCATCAAGCCCGACCAAACCAATTGTAAAGAGGAGTGCCACAATGATAACGGTCTAATTGATGAATTGGCTGCGATAAGAGCACAAAACCTCGATCTGAAAAAAGAGGTCGAAGCCTTGAAAGCCCAGCTACAGCAGGCAAATGAAACGGACGCGTTCACGGAACGTATTAAGGCGCTAGAGCAGAAGTTGGGGGAGGAAAAGTTGTCTAAAATGGCGCTCATGGAGGACTTTAACAAAACCTTGGGGTACATGAGGCTCATGAAAGACAGGCTTAAAATACTCTCTGAAGAGAAGTGTGCCCGCTTAGTGGCGCCTAGCTACGCGGTGAAAGACTCTTCCAGGCGAGGCAGCGTCGGAGACTACACAAACAAATCCACCGTTAAGCCTAACACACTGAAAGGTTGTGTGAAGCGTTCAAACACAACTAACTGTGCCCCCAGTAAACAGGATAGAGTCAAATTTGCCGAAACATCGGATGTCTATTATCTACCTAAAAGGTCAAATTCCGAATTAGGGCCATTTCTGGTCGATAGTAAGAGACAAATGCCCATCCTCCCTTGTAAGATAAGACCAGTGGATCCAAAGGCCACACCCGAGAACAGTAGTGGATTAATGGGCTTCATAAAGAGCATAAAGCAAACTTTTACCAATAAGTCGGATCATACTTCACCGAGGGCGAACGTGCTGAAAATACCTAATAGTCAGGAATCACAGACGCAACAGAAACTGGCAATGTACAAAAGGCACCTGCTTTCCAGAGGTCTTTCATAAATTACCCTTTATTTCTAATAACTAGTTAATGTATGTGAGGTCCTCTAGTAAGTAGTCGTGGTTCCTTTCCTTCTTCTCTGGCGGCTCCCGTCGAGGAGAAGGGTCGAATTGCAAACTAATCGCCAGTGAATTTCATGATCACAAACCTACAAGGTGAAACGCATCCTCTCGTCTATCTCCATTATGGCGGCCTGGTTCTGGCAACGATAACAGTAATTTGGTGCCGAGAAGATTGTTACGACGTTGCGATCTTGTGACCATTGGTACCCCTCCATTATTAGCTGATGTGCGCGTGCAATTAGTTCTAAACCATTTGTGCGGTTGAATGCCTTCGAAATGTCGTAGCCAAAAGTGAAACCTGCCCCCCGTGGGCTCAGACCCCAGCCCGTACGCTCCTCCGGGTCCGACCACAGCAAATCACACATGGCGCCTTCGTGCGGTACCTCCTGGACCCTACACTCTTGTGTGTTACATTGTGGAGTGTGGGACTGTACGTTTGGTCATTCAACTGAACGCCAAAATCTCGTATAACTAACAAACCTGTTTAGATCTCGCACTTGGTCTAAGGAGTCAAATGAGGGTGACAAACCAGCATGAGGACAAAAGATTCTCCCATCAATCAAGGCGCCCAGAGGCAGATAATCAAATATATCTATCATGCATTAAAAGGTAGAAGCTATATACATACTCGTAAGCGCTATCCATACATCGGCGTTGCCATACTTCCGCAAGCATTCGTCGTAAAAGCCATACACCTGCGTGATTTGGCGACACTCGTGATTGCCACGGATTATAAACACTGCGTACATTCTTTAGAAATGTGACAGTACCTTACCTCTCTCTTTATAGCGCACTTTCAGTGCTAAAATTAATGAAACGCTTTCCACTGAATAGTATCCTCGGTCGACGTAATCTCCCAGAAAAAGGAAATTTGTATTGGGCGACGTACCGGCAATACGGAACAGCTCCTTCAGATCATACAGCTGTCCATGAATGTCTCCAACTACCGTAACAGGTGCCGTTACAGGTATGATGTTGCTTTCGGTCGCTAAAATTTCTTTCGCTTGGTTGCATAGCTTGACTACGGTCTGTGCAGAGATTGCCTCGCTATTGAATATTCGATCAATCGTGACCTCCAATTCACCGATATCAACTTCTGATAGATAGTAATCTACATCGCGCTCCATGAATGAGAAGATTGCCCATTAAAAATTATCATGGCACACTGCTAAACGCACTGTAAATCAATGTAACAATAATGTATACGTCGCGAATTGAAAGTGGCGCCTCGTGAATTTTTCAGTTAGCTGTGTAGTGATTGATTTCTATGGTACATTCTTGACGGGGTTTACACATGTAGACGGTACGCGTTGACCTTCATACGTTGCATATCGGCCCAGCAAAATGTGCTGATCACTCTGTTTCATTGGGGTTTTTTGATGAAATATTTTGACTTCTGAATGTGTGCAATTTGCTTCATGTTTCTATACGGATATGATAGGTGTTGATCATGTCTGTGAAATATTTGTGGAATTTGCGGGAGGGCTAAATGCGTTTACCGTAAATCAGAAAAGGCAGTTAAAACTTGAAATACAGACTGAATCGATTACTGTATCTCAACTGGTCGCATATCTGCGCAAAGCTGCCTTCGCTGCAAAGAGGGACATTTTCGCTTATCCGCCAAAATTGGAGGCCTTAAGATGTTCAGAAATTGACGTCCGAGGGGATTTGCCAGGCATTTTTAATACGGGCGAAACTTCCAAAGTCAGACCCGGTGTTATTGTGCTGATTGATGATGTGGATTTGGAACTCCTTGGCGGCAGTGGTCATATCCTGAAGGGAAAACACGATATTTCTTTTATTTCATCTTTACATGGAGGGTGAAATTGAATGGGCATGCTCTTTTGGAATAATTAATACACCTTATCGATACCGAGACGTTACATTGTTAAATGGCATGCCGTATGCAGAAATGTCTGGGTAGAGACCTTCGTATTCTATGATAATTAAGGTGGATCGTGTTACCATATATGGCTATATGTGGATTTTTTTGTGTCCTATGAAGCCAACATTGAGATTTTGGGGAAGGAGGCACGCCGGGGGAGGCCCCGTCCCCCTTCTGAGGAACCCCGTGAAGCGTTGGTTACACCTTTTGATATTCCTACATCTTGTCCTCTTACTCCTATCTTGCTGCACAATTAGTTTTCCATTTATATACGATCTGCATTGCTCTATCCTCTTTAATTCGTTGGCTCACATCATCGCTTCAGCTGTAGGGTCGTTTGTCATGGCTGCTTACTATACGGCCATTGCCGCGAGGGACTGGGGCACAGAAGTGGAATGGGCGACAACTGCAATAATAACGTGCTCTATGGTTGTAGTCGACATAATCATCAGCGGTTGGGGAATATACGCTCTCAGCAATGCCTCCCTTAAAATATATCGGGCTCTATACAATGATCTGGAGCTAGAGCCTGAGTGTTTGCAGACAAAAGCGGCTTCTGTTTTCGTTGTCGCATTTGCTGTCATATGTGCGCATCTTTTTGTAGCGGGCATCTGTGCCGTAGTGTCCGTATTGCTAAGCAAAGGGATAAAACGACAACTGCTGGAACTCAGAGATATCTACTGAAACAATAATAATGTTCTGTTGTCACTTCTTTCGCTGAACTTCAAGCGTAGCGTGGTAGGTAGCCGTGATTATCGTGGCCGCTCTGTTTTGTCAACATTAAGACCTCGCAACGATGCATGGTCTGTGCCAAGGATTATTCCATCTTGTTCACCAACGTGAATAATTATTGGTTCCAAACTGCGTATATCGTCTCATTCTTATTTGATGTTTAAAAGGCGTCTGCTTATCCCGCAGTGTTTCTTGGCTGTGATGCCATATTCACTGATGCGGCATAGCGTGGAAGGCGGATAGTGGTCACCATCACAGTATTTAGGTGAATGCAAACCACGCACCCAGTAACTGGACGATCTTTCCCTGCCGTGCATACCTTAAAAGCCTGGGTTAACGGTAACCTCCAAAACGCAACCTAACCGTCTATACAGTTAGTAAGGCGTGCCATGTTTGACAATAGGGCGACGTTTGCAAACCTGCCAGCAACGTATGATCTTTTTAAAGACGTTGTAGCAGAGATGTCCGAAAAGACGTGGATAGGGTGCGGGAACGGTGTGTTGCGACGCGCCACCTCGAGGCGGTAATTTGAGAGTTTCGACCTCAATGTCCAGACAAGATCGTCTGATGCATATTAAATGTCACACACACAGACATTACCCAGCTCTTTACTGCACAACTTGTTTATTTCTTCGGCCAGTTTCAGTACTTTGCTCGGCATCGTGCTCGGGGTGGTAGCACAGGCGATCCAAAAGTGGATACAGGCACCCACACAGCAATCCGGCGATATTGTGTTGCGAGTTCAATCTAATATTAAAATGCTGAACTGTCACTTGAGTCAGTCGTTAGAATGTAACTTCTGACACATCGATCTATGACCTGTATGTCGTTGTTGAAAGTGAAGTCGAAACGGTTGGGGAAATTTGTCATCAATATAAGTTTCAACCTTTCAGAAACGCATACTTTGCCTGGAATGCCATTGCTTTCCATGGCATTTGCAGTGTGGATGTCCATGCCCCAGAGGTCGTAACGGAGCCTCCCCGAACCAACTACCCCACCCACCGAACTGCCATAATGCAATCCGATCCTCATATTCAGACCAGGAATGTTAAAGGCTTCTCTGACGTCTTGAATAGTTCTAATCATGGAGTATGCCATTTGAAGAATGCCCTCGATATTGGCAATTGCCTCTTGATCTGACGGCACCTCAATAGCCGGCTCACTAACAGCTACATAAGCGTCACCAATGGTGCAAAGTTTGTATAACCCAAACTTTGTGCTGTTTCTGTCAAAACGTGCAAACAGCCTTTGTAAAAGCGCAATCACCTCAGACGCATCCACAGAATTAGCCCATAACGTGAAACCAACAATGTCGGAAAATAAAAACGACATCTTTTCGTGACAATACGACATCTTTAACTTGTCGCTCTTGAATTCTTCCAAAACACTCTTAGGCAGCATGTCGTTGAGCATCTGCCCAACACGGGCCTCTATCATTCGAGCCTTCTCGTTAGAATAAAATGCGCGTCTATCTATGGCTTCCTTGCAATGTGCAGATATCAAATTGAAGACTATGTAACAAGGAATACTGCACAGTGTGATAGACGTTGTTGCAGTTTGAACAACACTGGAGGAAATAAAAGTCATGGATATTATCACGAATAATGCATCCACTAATAAACATGTCTGAAAGAGCATCCCACTACTGTGGTGCAGCACCACAATGTAAAAATAAAATTCAATGCTGTCCGACGGGAGCCATAAATTGAGATATTGGGAATACACTCCGCTTCTTGCGACCGCCCAAGAATTGGATAGAGCGAAAATGCACGCTGCACTAACGAAGAGCAAGTTCAGAAAAAATGTTAGCCACATTGTTGTATTGGATTCTGAGCGCCGAGAGAATGAGTTAAAATGGAACATGAGCCACATGATGAACACAAGGGTTATATACACAGATCTCACCGTCCAATATTGAGCGTATTTGATAAAAAGGAGCCTTTCCATATTAGTGTCGTCTTCGAAACTTCGGGGAATTGCGATCTCAAGAATGCTCTGGGCCACAAAAGTTATAAGGAAAATCACTAACGTCTGCTCAATCGTGTTTATGTGCGCCCTATTATGGTAGAAGTGTGATCTGTAACGGTCTTCTTGTAATTTATCCGTAAACTTTAACATTATCCATTCCCTGGTTTTCATCCTCATATCGCTACCATCTATCCCACTGTTACTTTCGTCGTCCTCATCTTGAGCGTTGTGCCTTGTAAAACTCGTGGAATGCATCGTGCTCGACGCGCTCGTAGTATTGTGACGCAAAGCCATTGTATTTGTCCTGCGCAGAAAATTAAGACACCTAGACGCACGTGTTTGAGCCGAATTCGTAGAAGCTGCGCCAGTACTATACATGCTGCAATGACGCAAAAGCACAGATTGGTCTTTTAAGAATACGCCATCATCTTCTTCCGTTAGAGCTCCTACAGCAGCTGATATTCGTATTTTTCGCGAACATGAACGTTCATAATCATTGGAATATCCAGCAGCTGTGAGTGCTGTGTCGACGCTGCTACGCAGGTCAATGCGATCAGAGATGTTCAATGAATGGCTTTTGTCTAGGCATTCAAACAGTATGTTGGTGGATTCGGGCGGTTTGTTGCGTGCACCTCGGTCAGAGTCAGCTATTCCCTCGCCTATCTTCCCAAGGGGCATGTCTCGCGTACACGTTTCATCGTTAGTATTAGCTCGAAAAACATCTGAAGTGCCACACATATCCACGCTGTCGAAGTTTGGATATGCCGATCCCTCGGCAGAAAGCAACAAATGTGTTTTCATCACACCCTTGCCCTTAACGAAGGTCTCACGGTGACTAAATGTCAACGTAGAATCAGCCTTCACCAAATTGAATGTATCGTCCGTTATATGGATATGGCCTACCTCACCCATTGTTTTCATCCGGCTAGCAGTATTTACTGTGTCCCCGAAAAGAGCATACTGTGGTTTCTTCGCACCTACCAATCCAGATATGACCTTGCCCGAATTAATGCCTATTTTCACAAGTACGGATTCATTCTGTTCCATATAAGACCCGTCACGACATTCACTTATATAAGAGTAATGTATTTGCTTGGATGCTTCCATCATAGCCAATGCCATGTCAATAGCATTCGCTGCTGATTCATACGGGCACGGCGCAATACCTCGCGACAAGCCACAAGCGGCCAAATATGTTTCAAAAACTGTTTCAATTTTTGTTGCTCCAAACTGTTCAGCGCATCTATCGAATGCCAGAAACAACGAATCCAAAAGTTCCACAAGAGTAGTTGGTTCCACGGTAGCTACCAAGTTCTGAAAGTTATAGACATCACAAAACAAGACCGACACAACCGCATGTTCCTCAGCTTCGAAACCTATAGGTATTCCGTCTTCATTTAATCGTGCATTTATCATTCTAGATACAACAAAATTTGGTAGCATTGTGTTCAACAACTCGCTCTGCTTTTTGCGTGCGTTCCGTGCAGAAAACTCGAATAAGAAATTCTTCCTGTTATTATATTCCAACCGATATCCAACAAAGGCGACAAACACATTTACTCCTATAAATAGAGGCACAGTGTGAATGGAGTTGTCTATACTCCTTATGGTGGAAATGACGAAAATTGCGTTAGCCAACAAGGCATAAATGAATGTTATATGCAATATCACGAATGTGAAAATTGGGAATAATATAGGTTGCAGGGAACTCAGTGGCTCCATCAAACTCAGGGTAACAACATACTGCAATATCATGCATGATACAAGAGCTCCCAGAACCTTGTTAATATGATGCATGAAATGCGTTGGATGGAATGTTAAAATCGCACAACCAAATGACAACCCTGTAACGAATATTGGTGGCAAAATAGTATATATTGCTGTCTCTTGGTTGTAATTCAGTTTTATAAGGTAATCCAATATCCAACCAAAAATATAATAAACACCTATGGCTAGAAAAACGGTTCTATACCAGATTCGATTTGTCCTATAATGGTTGCGGCGTTTGTGAAGTCTGTAGTCAGCCTCTAGTTGCATATCTTTAAAACGCAGCGTAAAGCGATCAATTAAATACGAAGCACGCTGATTTTGGACGTTAACATCGCTATGCTGTTTATGCAAGTCATCCTCCTCAATGTTGTCCTTCGAGAAGCTCGATGAAGACGCTATTGCAACTGGTTGCGTAACTGATAAATCACCTTCGCGTACTCTAAATGGCCGTGCAGCAGGTATCATGCGGACCCAAGAATCCATTCCATGGATATTGAATTCCTTTCTCACCCGTTGCAGCATGTGATCACACCACCTGTGAGTGTGCCGCACGTTCTGAGCCGTTCCATCTACGACGGAGCGACTGGTGCCTACAGATCTGGATGTTTCCGTGTTGGTTAGATTGTCGGGGTGGGTCGCACAATAACATATTTGTGTAGAGGCCCAATGCTTCACATAGTTGGCCACATTCGGGGAAACTAAAGCCTGGGTCAAAGCAGATGCCACATGAAATACTGCCCCTATTCCCAACCAAACAGGAATTAAAAAATACACGGGTTGCCATAGCGCAACTTGAAAAGTAGCATTTTTGAGAGTTTTGCCTCCAAACAAAAAACAAAGGCCTAGAAATGAGGGGGGCATCGCAAAAATGAATACCAAGGTGAATACAATGCCGAAGGCGTTGTTCCTAGTGAATGCTTCCATAAGCAGACGAGTGTTAGACATCTGAAGGGTGCCTAAGGAACATAACAATCCAAAAGTCCGCGCACTAATGGTACCTCCACCGCTGAAGATTGGAGATTCCAAGGTGGTAGTCTGGATGCTAAGATAACAAAATATGGACGACAATATGCCTTCCAATATCCAAAACCCTAAACGCAGTAGGTTAACATGGAAACGACGCCTGCATAAAGTATAAAGTATTGGCAAATTTGTTGACATCGGTTCAGATAACGGTCTATCGAACAAGGCACAGAAAGTAACCGGAAATGCAGTAAATAGAAGATGGAAAAGTAGCTGAACAAAAGAACCATATAAATCTAATCCTACCCAATCCGTATGGCCCTGATAGTAAAAAATCGGCATAACTAAACAAATGCTCTTGAAGAAACTCCAGTATATAGCTATCGCTATTATCTGAAGAGCGTTGTTACCCTGGTAAAACAATAAAGTTCTCAATCCTGCGAAATGCGTAGTTACGAAATCGGCATAAGCTACGGCATCAGGTGTGGATCCCAACACGGCAACACCAACATGCGCTTCTTGCATCATTTTGACATCATTGAGCCCATCACCTATTGCTAACGTCACTGGCGTAGGGGTCAAACGAATCCTAACCAACCTTACAAATTCCGCTTTCTGGCACGGCGTCAAACTACACGCCAAAACCACGTCTGCGAAACACAGCATGTTGACGAAGTATGTTTGCATCGTGCTATTAGTCATAAAATCCTTTAAATCCTTCCCCTCTACGACTAGACAAATCTGTTCCGATGGTGCCTTCTCGGCTCTCTGCTGTAAAAAAGCCTCGTAAAGAGCTCCACAATCCTTATGTGGCAACTCATCCAGTTTATTGGTAGACATCTTACAATCAAATATACGGCACGGGTGTACCAGCAATTTCGAAAGGTACGCTGCCTCAATTGCAGCATGCCGATTATCTCCAGTTGTCATCCATATGCGAATTCCCGCCTCCATTAGTAAATCGAGTGTTTCCGGGACTCCGGCCTGCAGCTCATCCTTAAAAGCAATAAATCCAAGATATGTTAAACGTCGTTCAACCATTATTGCAGCTTCTTCGTGAAGTGTATCTGCACTGTAAACAGAATCTTCTGCATTCGTAAAGTGTCTCTGGTACAACTGTGTTTCCTCCCGAGATAGATCTCTGTACGCGCAAAGCATAACACGGAAGCCTGCAGTTGTAAGCTTCTCAATTCGTATTGACAAGGCCGACATATCGCGGTGTTCATCTTCCGTCGTTAGTTTAATGAGATTCATCATGGTGTCAGCTGAACCTTTAACGAATATTGTAGAACCGTCTTGGTCAGGTCTGGAAACTACTATTGACATTCGGCGTCGTTGAGGACTGAAATTGTTGAAACCAACAATATTCCACTCCTGTAATAACCCTCGCGCCTCAAGATTAATATGTGACTTTGAGCGATGTGTCAACTTATAACCAAACTCTCGACATATATCCATCATACATTCATCTTCTTTATGTGGTGACCGGTAATATATCTGATTGGATCGGGTTGGTCTATGAGGAAACGCATTTGTTGCATAAGTCTCCTCACTATCTCCCTCATTATCCGCCGTTTCACCACCAAACTCCATTGAATTGTTCATCGAATCCATATCCTTAAGACCGAAATTCAGTGAGTTTAATGGTTCTATATATGATACATTTCCAAAATGAATTCTACTCTTGGATGGGCGCAAAGGGTATTGGTTGTTGCTGGAAAGTCCAACCGAGATATCAGAATTTCCTGAACCACTGTGTTTCAGTCCTTGGGAACTAGATGTGGCCATGCGTATCGGAGACGTAAATATTTCAAGGCTCGGCGTACTAGTGACAGGCACACTGGCGTTACATAGACACATCAACTTCATTAGTGTGTCTAATTTAGGGTTGTGTTCTAATTCATTCTCTAGTTTGCTGTGTATGCTTGTCCTGTCGCCTGATGTATCGAAGGTTTTGTTTCCTACAGTTATGAGAGATGCCTTAAGATCATTTGAAGTCAACGTCCCAGTTTTGTCACAAAAAATTATGTCAACCAAACCCAATTCATCCAACAATCCAGAGGTCATAGGCCACGTAACAGGGAACACCGTTGTCGTATCTGCTGCGTGTTGAAGCGGTTGGGGTGTTACATTAACATCGCTGAGAAACGAGTAGTCCGTATGTCCGTCATAAAATGTGCTAAAGGCGTAGCGCAATACGTCTACAATTGCTGGTAGTGTCACCGGTATTAGCCCTCCATATAATAAAAAAAATCTTATTAGAACGAAAATAAGAGATTCGATGACAAGTGCGTTTCCTTTTTTTCGCCTATCAGAAGCCAAGAGCATGGACCACCTAGTACCCATACTTACCACGAGACATAAAACGTATATGCAACCTATTATCACTGTGAAATGATTAATCAAATCTTCTACCGAACCAGATTTTATGCATTGATTCTCCTTTTTAATGTTTTGTGCGATTTTTGTATCCGGACCTGTATGAGTTATAACACCATACACAGTCCCAGTGTTCCTAATTATGCTACCCTTCATCACAAAATTATCTATGGACAAGTTTTTAGGACGTGGATGGCCTTTCAATCTAAGCGCGCCAACGAAGCTGTCGAGGTCGGCGGATGGCCTATCGCAGACGATTTGACCACGTATGTTGGCGAACGAATGTACAGATGCTTCAACTTTTGCATCTTTAGTACACACCTTCACCTTAAAATCCCTTTTGCCATCAACAAACGTTGTATCTATGTGTACTTGACCATCTGGGTTGCTACATGCCAAGATTATCATATCTGCTGGTACCTGTTCATCACAGGTTAGTTTTACTATATTCCCAACAACTAAATCACACACCCGAACTTTCTTCAGACGAGGTTTCCCTGCTTGTAGTACGTGACATCTTTTGAAATCGATGCATTTCCCAACCATGAACCGTTTCATTGCATCAAAACCGCTGGTGAGAAACGAAATAGAAAAGGACGTTATCAAAACGGCTCCATGACTGTACCAGGATAGCTTCGGCGAACCCTTGCGCAGCAACACAGGCGACACGATGTTAAGGATTATACTTATCGCTCCCCATATGTATGGAACGCGTTTCGCGTTGCTACAAAGTATTAAAAGCCCATGCTTAGCTAACGCCCAACGCTGAGTATGCTGCTCGTTACCCATAAAACGGTGTACGTCATCCGAAAGTACGGGATTTATCTTCAGACATCTAGATTCCCACTCCGGTTGTAGTTTTGTGCCGAAACATAAATTCTGCCGTTTAGTAATCAGTTCATCTTTGTTAGCGCTCGTAATTATGTGCCTGCCATCATATCTTGGCCCTGAGCGACGCTTGTTGCCACCTCTATGAAACGGGGCCTGTGTAACACCGCCGTTTGCAGGAAAATTACGTATGTCATTATTACCGTCCATCATTTGTATAATTAACCTGTAAGGGTGGCTTTCCTGGTCAAGAATATGACGTTGAAATGCGAAAGAATATCTATCGTAATACAATAGTATTTACAAAGTTAGGCATGGTGTAAAAAGCCACTCTGAAACGCTTACCAGTTTATTCTTTATAGACAGCCATAATTGTCAACATATGCAGCAACCTTGCGGACTCACAAGAAAAGGTCCAATGCGATGCCTGGTCAACACATGTAAGGCTCACAGTCAATTGACGTGAAGATATTTCCCCTCACGGCCTGTGGTAATTGAATAACGTGTCCAACGCTTCAAATCTACGTAGAAATGGGCATTAGGAAGGATCTGCCACATCACAATAGGTCATCCACAAACTTCCACGCCATAGGGCCATAAATCTCCAACAAGTGACAAAGTAGTAAAATAGTAGAATGAGGCGCATACGTATACCTGACGATTACCACTAGTTGGTACTACATTTCGAAAAATATCACTAGATACAGCCCGTAATATCTCATGATGATGGCAAAAGTGTAGCCACAAAAGTAGGAAGTGTGTATCCCGGAAACTTTGAAACACAATATTTAGACAGCGAGTACATGTGTTGTTCGCGGTAACATAAAGGTATATATTTATACGTTGTGAAAATGTGTATCAGAATCGAACAAGTGCGTAAACGCGGACGCCACATCGCACATGCCAGTAGTTACTACACAGCGATCCTAGCATAGGTTTATCCACACACATTTGTTGACTCTGTTGCGCATAACAGCATATGTGTCATGTGATTGCGTTCCGCGTTGATTCCGATAGATATCTTCTCAATGTATTTAGAAGACGCTACGCTGTTCACCGTTTTTCGTTCTTTAGTACATGAATATCCCACACGCCGCATAAAGACATCCAGGCGTTGTTTACTTGTTCTTGTGACTTAATTAAACGGTACGCCCGCATTTTTGCCTATTAAGACGTTTCACGCCGTCATAGTCGGATGGACATACGTAAAACTTGAAATCAAATTGGCAAAATATGTCGCAAGGTTTGAATGCCAGTGTGTGTATGCTATTTATAGAAACGCTTATCTTGTAAGTTGCCTTGGTAGACACGCCGGTCCTTAGTATCAGCTGATGTCTTGCTAACCGTGTGTAACCGACCCTTAAGTGACATTGAGGGATTCCGTCGGTTTAAATATGCTCTCAGGTAATAAAACGGGGGGTTATGACGTTTACATGCGCGATTATTCAACGGTAATAGTAACGACCGCCTGTATGGGCGAACCGTCTATAGGGTCGTCCCAGGGCGTTGGACGCGCGTGCAGTGATTTGTCATCTGTGATGTCTATCGGATATATTATTACACAACGTAGTAATGCATCTCTTCATCACAACCATCGACCGTTAGCTGGCAGATGACGTTGGTAGGCTGCATTGGGGATCATGCTGTAGGACTAATCTTTAAAGCTCAGTCTCTGACGCGTCAAAACGTAGAAATTGTTGCGCCCAATATCATGCTTGTGGCACCTATACACTTTGGTGGCAATTATGGCGGTGGCTAAATATCATTAACTGGTGTATAGGTTTGCTTACTTTTCAGCATACCAGGAAACTCGCATCCCATGACTCTTTTGCTTAATTCGGCATTGTTTAAGCACACTATATGCCATGTAGTGTCTTTATATGGTCCAGGTATTATTATTGCTACGCCATACTATATTGATTCAGCGCTATGGATATTCAGCAGCACTTAAACAATATATTCCAACGTCTATTGTCACTGGTCATTAAAACATCGCGTGCTGAACGAATCTTGCTCAACTATGGCGTTCTGGATCACCTGTGGGCTCTGATTAGTACACCGTCTGGTTTAGAATTTGGCATGTGCAATCCAGAAGCCGTTGTAGCATTTGAAGACCAGTACGGCGAGCTGCTGGTATCCATGGTAAGTTAGAATCACTGCATAAAACAATGCCCTGCAAGGGAATCACCGATCCGCTTAAACAGTGGGAGTCTATTGATAGTTTGGTAGACAGGGTTATGGTGCAATTGGAAATAGACGTCAGATGCAGAGATCATCTGACAGATGCTCTTTCACAAATTCTCAAAAAGAACCGAGACGTCAGTGAGATGGTCTCTCTCGCTGCTATAAAAGTAGATCAAAAAAATGAGGAACACTGCCGGGTATGTCTTCGTCGATTCACTGAAAGTAGCACTAGGTATCGTGGATAGTTGTATTTCACAATATAGCGCTTATCACATTTGTTATTAGCATCTGTGACGTGCGTACCATGGTGCATTCTGTATAGGTATTATCTGTATGCTTCAAACTAATGTATCATCAGCTCTTGCATGAGTCGTGGGCAGCACTAGACGATCGTCCGGTTCCAGAATCATTTGACGTTACTAAATCAGTAGGCAAGGGTGATGATAATCTATCAAGTTGGGGCGATTTGGGATTTCAAACACCACTCACCGATTTTAGAATGACAGGAGTTCTCGGACTTCAAAGCCTTCATTTTGTAGTTACAAGGTATAAAAAGCGGTCGAGAGAAACTCTTCAGGTCTCTAGAAGTTTGCAAGCGTGGTTTCCGTTTGCTCTCACAAGTATAAATGTTACTGCGTGGGTTCTTGAAGATTTCAGGCACAATAAGCTTGGTCCCTTCTCTTACCACAATGATCTGCCACCTGTTGAATTGTTTTATATATTGCACGCATATTATTTTTTCTCGTTTGTGAATTATTGGAGGAAGCATGCAATAAGCATATTTGACTTCAAATCAGTATGTCCGAATGATCGATTTCACAATATATCAGATTTCCGTCGAATTCAGGAGGAAAATTGTCGAAGAAACAGCTGCCATAATCAGACGTATCATAAACGATAAAAATTTGGGCGAAAGTAGATACTACGGGTCTACGTTGTTAAAGGCCATTGGCGAGACATTTTTAGGTGAATCTTGAAACTGTAGACTACTATATATTACATCTGCGTTTCAAGTTGTATACTGTGCGATGTGGCCAAGTTTGGCTTGGGAGCCCTGTCCTACATCTTCATGGCTCACAACCTGCAAGCTGCTGGTGTGGATTGTGGGTTCCTCGTAGTACCAGTTACGGGCATAGTGGACGTCTTACCGTAGACGCTGGTAACTGCCACATGCCTGCGCTTCGCTGCGCATAGCAAGTAAACAATTCAAAAAGGCGTATGAATGCAAATCCGGCATCAACGTATACCACCGCCATGCCTGAGTGTTTTGTGCGGGAAATGGCATGTATATTCAGGAGTGTTAGTATGAATAAAGATGTTGCTAAGTGATACGACCTACACGCGCTAATACACACTGCACTAGGCAGGCGCTCAGCATTCCTACAACTGCTATGCGCCCAGCTACGTATGTTTGCATGGATAGCTCATACACCTGAGGTCTAAAGCAGTGTATACCGTGGCATTTAAACTGCGGATCTCCACAATGTTCGTTGGGAATACGAAGATGAATGCGTGTCGCACGGGAACATCAATCGCCCGAATTGTTTCAGACACCCTCAAAGAGGCAGTTAGAACTGTGTTTGACCTCATTTGACAGCAGCACCACAGCAGATGGATAACGAAGACACAAAGTTTACTACAATTAGATTGAATCAATTATAAATGTTTCGTGAGAATTCGTATGCCAACTCACTGGGGATCCGGGATCGGATTCTTTTTTTGTTTTGCCTTTTTTGCAGCCTTTTTCGCAGCTTTTACTGCCTTTATAGGTTCTTCGACTCCTGCAAATTATTCCTCTTTAACAGGTTCAACGGGTTCCATAGACTGCTCCTCTTCTTCACCTTCCGCAGATTGCACAGGCTTTACCGGTTCTACAGAATCTTCATGTTCTTCACCTTCAAATCTTTCATCTTCAAACCTTTCATCTTCAAATCCTCTTCCACGTTTTTCCGGTCTTTCACGTTTTCCGGGGCCTACAGGTTCCACGGGGCCTTCAGGTCCCCCGGATTGTGCAACACCTGTAGATTGTTCAACTTCCAGATTGCCTGCGATATTAGTGCCATATAAGGCCCAAAATCCGGCGAGGTCGTAGAGCGTAGTCAATATGTGTACATCCACGGCTTCCATCGCCTTGAGTATATCGGAAATACTCACGCTAGAGTTTAGTTTGAGTTTGTCGTAACCTACGGCCTTCAATATATCTCCGAGACGCTTCTCAGCCACAGAATTCGATCCTTTACGAACTGCAATCTCGCTCGCAATCTGCAATGAACTTAAACCCGCGTACAACATTGGCGCAATCCCCACGAGGACCACCGCGCAAGCTTCTGGGTCCTTCGCGCATGATGCATCCCACGTCGCCTTCGAACTGTAGGAAGATCCATACCGGCCAGAGGTTTTGATACCATCCACGAACTTCTCACAACTATCCACAACTTTACCTAAGCACTTGGCGATGTTTTCAGGCCTGACACCTCTGGCCTCTACGACATTCTCATAATCACTTTCTTCGACAAATCCTAAGGTCTCAGCCAGTACGACGGGCTTTTTATTCAAAGGCTGGTCTAGGCGTTGCAGCAGCTCTTTTACAAACCACTGGTCCTTAAGACCCTGCCCCTTCAAGAATTTCTTAGATGTGCGTTTTATTTTTTTTAGAGTTGCCACGACATTCGACCCAACAGTATCGCCGTCAAACAGACGGTAAATCGCGTCACCCATAGCACCCAAGTTCTTTTCAGCATCCGTTCCCTTCAGGGCCATCAACCAGTCAATACCCTCCCTGAGGTTACTGGGAACGTCAGTCAACGAAGTGTATACCATTTTCTAAAGGTTGATTAAAATGGGCAGTTGCTGTAAATGTATGTATTTCTAGCCTATTTCCAGGCAGGTTTTGCAAACAGCAACGTGAATGCCAGCTGTCTCAATCCCAGAGGAGCGCAAGTGTTATTCAGCCCTAACAAAGAGGTGCCTTATCGCAATTTGCAAATCCGTTTACACACCAAACAAGCAGAATTGGGGGCGCAATGACTACTAGGGTGTCATGTCGCAGCCAGCTCCATACCATACACGTGGCATGCAGTATGCAAAACGCATGTCACTGTCGCATTCGAGTCTCAGTCAATGTCACATGCTGCAAGTCCATATATTAGTATATTCTCAGCGATGCATTAATGTTTGCAATGTTACAAAGGGCTGCGAACAGCGTATCGGATTACATGCTGTCCCGCGGTAATTGCGTTGGACATTATCCTGGCGTCAGCCAGCATATCTAACATAATCACGTATCTCTTAGCCGCATATCCTGCCACTAGTATCGTTTATGACTACCTACAAAAGATAGGCTGACATCCGTCAGCCGCTGACATAGATGCCCGTAGTACTCTAAGCTTCATGGTTTATTGTCATCATGGTATGAGATCCCCGGGACATCCCCTGTCGGCGTTCTGTGACCGTATAGGTGTCCTCCACCCAACCCACCGCCAGGGATACCACAGGTGCGCGCCTCTCACCACCTAGATACCACGTCCAGCGGATTCGGCTGCCAAGCATACCCCATAATTCGATGGCCAATTTTCCTGGAGGTTGTCGTCATAACGGTGGATTAATGTGCCCTGATAGTTATCAGAAATATTGTTTGACCCGAATCACAATGCCCCAATATTTAAGCCTGTCTCACCCCTGTTCGCTCCACTCCCACATTTTATGGCGCGAGCCCATGCCCCTCACCGCATCGCATCGCAACATACTTGACTACCGAGATCTCTCAATCACTGCACGCAATGCCATGTAATGTAATAATTCCCCATGTCTTTACGATGTTAACATGGAACCACGTATGCTGACATTACGCCTCACATCCCAGCCCTGACGAGATTGGAGTTCTTGTCTCGTTAAGGGTTGCCGAACGTTTTTCACCCATATGTAGTTTCAAAATAACCACCAACACGTTGATAACCTTCCTGGTGCTCAACGTCTCGGTTAGGCATTGGAGGTAATGTGATCATCCATTCCATCACGCAGCTAGCCATCCGGCTGAGCACGGTGACACGTCGAAGTTCACACTCATCAGACGTCAATATGAGTCATTTCAGCGTTTTATATCACATGATGGGGTGGCCTGTGAACACTTTATGACCAAATGGAGCCATCCCTGCTTCCATTCCCACCGGTGGTCTATTGCTGTCCAACACTGACACAGCACTTGGATACCACGGTTATTCGAGTTGCTGATGCACAATTTTGCGTAACATATGCTATTCACTTTGCGTATTAAGCACATAGCCTGTGTTTGAATTAGTGAGCAGACTTTCAAACGGCCACATTGCACTTTCCTCATTCCGGCAGCACGAGACACGCAGCAAACGTGTCGCTATGCCCAATTGCGTTTCATGTTGTTGACCAGACCTATTAGCGTCAATACAGGTCATTAAAAAGATATGGTAGCACTAAGAAATGCCAATGATTGACTACCGAAATTACTACTTTGTATCCTAAGGCACATTGCCACTGAAATACCCAACTCAACGTAGGCACAAATATGAACAATGAAAACAAATTAGTTTCCATAATTCACCGACAAGTTACCACATGTGAAATAATCACTGCTTGGCGTAATAGTTCACGATCTGTATACTGGAGAGAACGATACCCTTGACGGTGACGCAACGACACTCCAGTGGCGACGTCTGGCGCAGCTTCTCCCCTGGTCCTACGAGTGAATCGTCGAACTGCAGGATGACGAAGTGGTTGGAATGCGAAGAAACCAACGACATGCTTAGGTCACCTGTGTTGTTAACTTCACCGTCCATGTAGACCTGGCTGAAGCAGTTGGGTGGGTCCAGGACATACGGCGCCGGGCAGTAGAACGCCGCTTCTTTGGCAGCATGAAGGTCAATCTTGCAGCCGAACTGCGACTGCCCATCACCGTTGTAAAGTTGTGCCGTCTCAGGCTTGAACAACTTATCCGACGAGTATGTGACGCCGCAGCCTTGCATGTAGAGGTCCGTCCTCTCGACGTTAACATGAACAGCAAGGAGCATGCAACCAACATCATCAGAGTGAGGACCTAGCCTGGAAAACGCGAAAAGTGGCCCAAGTCACATCTAGCCGCACGGCACACTAAATAAAACCAAAACAGAGACAAGGACGCCCCTCCAAATCATAACTATATACCAGGCACAACAAATGTAGTGAGGAAGTGTGATACGACCATTATTGAAAGATTGTGGTCCATCCGTGAGTGAGCGCGTCGTCGTCGAAGTAGTCGATGTCGTAGAGTGAGGGCATCTGCGTGCCGTGAGTGGGTAATGCCTTGACATCGATGACGTGGGAGCCCTTGGAGCTCATGCAGTGAGAACGTGTGCGCATAATCTCCAGGCGGTAGAGGATGGTGTGGGCGACGTAGCAAATTGCCAGAGAGCCGAGCGTGAAGACGACAATGATGAAGGGTTTGCGCATTCTATAGAGGTTGTCGTCCACGTGGCACATAAGTTTTGTTATAGTCCCATCGGCGACCACCTCCTCCAGCTTGTCGATGACCTCGGAACACGTGAGTGAAGGCCGCAGTGTACCGTCCGGCGAGGTGATGCGGTGATAGTAGAGGGGAGCAGGGCCTTGTCACAATGGTGGAGGGGCTTGGAATCGTAACATCGAAGGTCCTCGAGATCACAGTACAACTTGAGCAGTGACTCATGAAGTCTGTCGGTCAGGTATACCGTCCAGCCGAGGTAGTTGTGGGCGAAACTCGGTGAGTACAGGGCGTAGGCCCGGTAGGTGATGGGCGTGAAGTGTTGTGGGCAGTTGACATTATCGATACCGCAGCCAAGTATTGTGGACAGGGTATTGGGATGGTTCTTGTCGTAAATGGAGGAGGCGCCTCGGGGGACCCAGACTACCAACACCGCTAACCGCGGGAAATGTACCCAGGCACACCTACTAACGCGGTCTGGCTACTGTATGAGCCTCGTAGCCCTGGTACCCGGAGGCCCTTGACCCCTCCCGGGACCCGCGGCAGCGGCACGGCTGGTGGCTGGGAGACGGCTACCAGAGATACGGAGTTACGAAGCACACGGTCACAGCCGGTGTCACAATACCGTCCTACGGGTGTAGTAACGTTGGTGGTTCCCACCCTAGCCGCGATTTCGGTGACTCCACCCCGCCACCTCGGGGCGCCCGTGGCTGCTGCCTGTGGGAGGGGTGCTGGGAGGGTGACAATCTGCAGGTGACGTAGCATCACGGTTTCGGCAGACGCCGTCAGAGGATATGTTAGACGCAACTGCTGCCTGGGTACGCCCTGGTTCCACATTTTACTCTAGGGCTGTACTAGCCCCGCCACCACCGCCGTGACGGCAGGGGACGGGTGACGCCATATGAGAAACCGGGTACGGCACCTTCAGGGAAGTAACCAGACGACGTAATGTGACTACATCATCAGCCGAAGTCGCCTGGAAGCGTGATCTCAGTGACCCCGTGTCCCCGCTGCCACCCTGTGACAGGCCGCTGCCGGAGGAGGCGCCTCGGGGGAGGTAGGTGACCACCACCGCTAACCGCGGGAAACGTACCCAGGCACACCTACTAACTTGGTCTGGCTACTGTGTGAGCCTCGGGGCCCTGGTACCCGGACGGCCATCCCACCCTCCCGGGACCCGCGGCAGCGGCACGGCTGGTGGCTGGGAGACGGCTACCAGGGATACTGAGTTACGAAGCACACGGTCACTGCCAGTGTCACAACACCGTCACATGGGTGTGGTAACGTCAGTGCTTTCCACCATAGCCGCGATTTCTGCCATGCCACCCCCGCCACCTCGGGGCGCCGTGGCTGCTGCCGGCGGGAGGGGTGATGGGAGGGTGATGATCTACAGATGACGTAGCGTCATAGTTTTGGCAGATGCCTTCACAGGATGTGCCAGACGCAACTGCTGCCTGGGTACGCCCTGGTTCCACATTTTACTCTAGGGCTGTACGAGCCCCGCCACCACCGCTACTGCGACAGCCCGGCAACCGAGCCCCCAGTGGCCTTGCGGCTGAGGCAGGGAACGGCAGTTCCGGGGGTCGGCGGGTGATGCACAGTGTACGTTACGGCATCTGAGGCAACTTTGGCAGGTACAAACCCCCACCTCCCAGAGTCAGTCGGCCAGCCTCCCACCGCCGCCACCGCCGTGACCGCAGGGGAGGGGTGACGTCATATGAGCAACCGGGTACGGCGCCTTCAGGACAGTCATAAGGTGACGTAACGTGACCATGTTGTCAGCCGAAGTCGCCTGGAAGCGTGATGACAGTTACCCCGTGTCCCCGCTGCCACCCTGTGACAGGCTGCTGCCGGAGGAGGCGCCTCGGGGGACCTAGACTACCAACATCCATTACCGCGGGAAGCGTACCCAGGCACACCTACTGACATGGCCTGGCCACTCTATGAGCCTCGGGGCCCTGGTTCCTGGATGGCCATCCCACCCTCCCGGGACCCGCGGCAGCGGCACCGATGCAGGGCGGAGGACGGCTACCAGGGATACGGAGTTACGAAGCACACGGTCACAGCCAGTGTCACAATACCGTCACATGGGTGTAGTAACGTTGCCAGTTACCACCGTAGCCGCGATTTCTGCCATGCCACCCCCGCCACCTCGGGGCGCCGTGGCTGCTGCCGGCGGGAGGGGTGATAGGCGGACTACAATCTGCAGATGAAGTAGTATCACAATTTCGGCAGATGCTTTCAGAGGATGTGCCAGACGCAACTGCTGCCGTGGTAGTGCCTGGTTCCACATTCCACTCTAGGGCTGTACAAGCCCCGCCACTACCGCTACTGCGGCAGCCCGGCAACCGAGCCCCCAGTGGCCATATGGCTGAGGCAGGGAACGGCAGTTCCGGGAGTCGGCGGGTCATCTACAGTGTAAGTTACGCCGTCTGAGGCAACTTTGGCAGGCACAACCCTCCACCTCCCAGAGTCAGTCGGACAGCCTCCCACCGCCGCTGACACCGCCGTGACGGCAGGGGACGGGTGACGCCATATGAGAAACCGGGTACGGCACCTTCAGGGAAGTAACCAGACGACGTAATGTGACTACATCATCAGCCGAAGTCGCCTGGAAGCGTGATCTCAGTGACCCCGTGTCCCCGCTGCCACCCTGTGACAGGCCGCTGCCGGAGGAGGCGCCTCGGGGGAGGTAGGTGACCACCACCGCTAACCGCGGGAAACGTACCCAGGCACACCTACTAACTTGGTCTGGCTACTGTGTGAGCCTCGGGGCCCTGGTACCCGGACGGCCATCCCACCCTCCCGGGACCCGCGGCAGCGGCACGGCTGGTGGCTGGGAGACGGCTACCAGGGATACTGAGTTACGAAGCACACGGTCACTGCCAGTGTCACAACACCGTCACATGGGTGTGGTAACGTCAGTGCTTTCCACCATAGCCGCGATTTCTGCCATGCCACCCCCGCCACCTCGGGGCGCCGTGGCTGCTGCCGGCGGGAGGGGTGATGGGAGGGTGATGATCTACAGATGACGTAGCGTCATAGTTTTGGCAGATGCCTTCACAGGATGTGCCAGACGCAACTGCTGCCGTGGTAGTGCCTGGTTCCACATTCCACTCTAGGGCTGTACAAGCCCCGCCACTACCGCTACTGCGGCAGCCCGGCAACCGAGCCCCCAGTGGCCATATGGCTGAGGCAGGGAACGGCAGTTCCGGGAGTCGGCGGGTCATCTACAGTGTAAGTTACGCCGTCTGAGGCAACTTTGGCAGGCACAACCCTCCACCTCCCAGAGTCAGTCGGACAGCCTCCCACCGCCGCTGACACCGCCGTGACGGCAGGGGACGGGTGACGCCATATGAGAAACCGGGTACGGCACCTTCAGGGAAGTAACCAGACGACGTAATGTGACTACATCATCAGCCGAAGTCGCCTGGAAGCGTGATCTCAGTGACCCCGTGTCCCCGCTGCCACCCTGTGACAGGCCGCTGCCGGAGGAGGCGCCTCGGGGGAGGTAGGTGACCACCACCGCTAACCGCGGGAAACGTACCCAGGCACACCTACTAACTTGGTCTGGCTACTGTGTGAGCCTCGGGGCCCTGGTACCCGGACGGCCATCCCACCCTCCCGGGACCCGCGGCAGCGGCACGGCTGGTGGCTGGGAGACGGCTACCAGGGATACTGAGTTACGAAGCACACGGTCACTGCCAGTGTCACAACACCGTCACATGGGTGTGGTAACGTCAGTGCTTTCCACCATAGCCGCGATTTCTGCCATGCCACCCCCGCCACCTCGGGGCGCCGTGGCTGCTGCCGGCGGGAGGGGTGATGGGAGGGTGATGATCTACAGATGACGTAGCGTCATAGTTTTGGCAGATGCCTTCACAGGATGTGCCAGACGCAACTGCTGCCTGGGTACGCCCTGGTTCCACATTTTACTCTAGGGCTGTACGAGCCCCGCCACCACCGCTACTGCGACAGCCCGGCAACCGAGCCCCCAGTGGCCTTGCGGCTGAGGCAGGGAACGGCAGTTCCGGGGGTCGGCGGGTGATGCACAGTGTACGTTACGGCATCTGAGGCAACTTTGGCAGGTACAAACCCCCACCTCCCAGAGTCAGTCGGCCAGCCTCCCACCGCCACCACCGCTACTGCGACGGCAGGGGACGGGTGACGTCATTTGAGCAACCGGGTACGGCGCCTTCAGGACAGTCATAAGGTGACGTAACGTGACGATGTTGTCAGCCGAAGTCGCCTGGAAGCGTTACCTCAGTGACCCCGTGTCCCCCCTGCCGCCCTGTGGCGGGCTGCTGCCGGAGGAGGTGCCTCGGGGGAGGTAGGCGTCCGTCACCCATTACCGCGGGAAATGTACCCAGGCACACCCACTAACCTGGTCTGGCTACTGTATGAGCCTCGGGGTCCTGGTACCCGGACGGCCCTTGACCCCTCCCGGGACCCGCGGCAGCGGCACGGCTGGTGGCTGGGAGACGGCTACCAGAGATACGGAGTTACGAAGCACACGGTCACAGCCGGTGTCACAATACCGTCATATGGGTGTAGTAACGTTGCCAGTTACCA